TACGAGCGTAGACTCATGCAAGCCGCACCTCTGTAGAGCACTACGCAATAATCACGCTTCAAGAGTAAGAGTAATTTGGTTTAAGGGGTACTTATGTCCTCGGGCAAGTTGTAGAGGGGCATGTGCGGGAATATAACACGCACACCTATCGTAACTCCGATTCCCAGTCTGTTACTTGCGCACATACTTGGCATGTTGCAAATCCAGGGGGGAGGCTATTCTGTCTAGAAACTGTGTTGCTGATTATTTTACACTACATGTACCTAAGCATAGCCTTACGAGGTAAATAATCGGCACTATTTGACGCGTGGGCGGGATGCTTCATGTAAAGTAATAAGAGTTGACGGAGCCCAGCTGAACCTATATGGTATACTTACCAGGTAATTATAATATAGTACCGTATCATGTATTTATACATCTTCAAGGAATACATCTACTGTACCCGTATCCAAGCAGACAGGGTTAAGAGTATAGAGGTACAGTGCAGTACTTTCGCACGTGGCGGCGTTACCTGCGAGGAGGGTCCCCAACCTCCAACATGCATGGCGTCGCAGATTTGTGGCGATAGGTAGTTGTCTGAGCTTGCTACTACTTGGTAGGTACCATAGATTATAGAGATGTATCTTGGGTTGAAATATATACTCACTATTCAACAATAATGTATAGGAGATACGTCGCCTTTCCTCTTCTTGTCCCCCGTAACACTCCCTCGATGAGTGTCGCAGGGAATTAGTGAAGACAACCTCGCCGTGATACACTAAGTATTGAGTATGATCTCAATGATACCTGAGGGCGCTTCCCATTGGCCTATAACTAGGTACTGCTCTCACCCCGAGGAGTCGGGTTAAGCCTGCGTCTAGATATACGTACCTATATCTTATGGTTCTAAGTATGGTACTGGATGTACACTATGGTCAGAGGATGGGCAGAGTATGGGGAAACACCCTTCCTTGTCAGCGGCAAAGGCTGACCATGCTTACATGTACATACCCTTCACCTTGTTGCAGATACAGACATATCCTGGCTGTGCATCACGACAACGGCTGGGGTCTTCTGGCTGGGGGGTTTGCTTGCTTCTTGGAGTTCGCTTGATCTCCAGGACCTCACCGTGGATCCTGAATAAGAGCGATTAAGCATGCCATAACACACTACCCCTTCGACCCCGTGATACTGTCCGAGGCCAGAATACCCTTGTCAGAGAAAATGCCAGGGCCAGCTATACGGCCATTGGGCAAGGATCATTCGCGCTTTGTGGCGCCCTTGGATATCATATTTTGATCATGTGAACAGGATGATCAAGCCTGAGCCTGATCTTCTGTCTCTCACCGCCTGCACTGCACTGCTCAACCCAACGGTGGAGTCTGGTATGACTCCTTGGGCGCGCCGGTACCGGTAAACTATAGGCTGTGCAGACAACGAATACGTGTAACGAACAATGATACTGCCGCCATTGCTCAATGCCTGGCGGTAGCGTATATGGAACTCCTGATTGCGCCGCGAAGATGCATTTGGCTTCTATATATGCAAGTATGTGCTGAGTAGCTTGTATGGGATGGTAGGTAGGTCTCTGGCAGGTATTTGTGAAAGCCATGGGATCTGGATCTGTGGTTGGGGTACCCATGAACGCGAGGAGTGGACTGAGATGATAATATTACTAACTATATACTTAGTAAGTACCCAACGCTAGCGTTCAATGTATGCTCGTCTGCACGTTGCAGATTCAGCTACGGAGAAAAGAAGATTTCTAGCATCATGTCAAGGTTTCATTCTTGTCGCGACAACGCAACGCAACGCAACGCCACATCCGCTCACCATCACACCCGCCCGCCTTGACCCCTTTTCCCTGTTCCGCTTTGCACACTACTTTTACCGCTACTGTACACTACTGTACACGTGTGCGACCCCTTGCTGTAAGTATGGATTAAGTAACTACTCTATGTACTGAGTAAAGCGGACTAGAGCGGATACATAATCAAGTATAGCCTATCACCTACTTGAGTTGTACGTGTACAAGTAGACACGACGGCGCTACCCTTCTCATGGAAATGTTCCAAGCAACTGGCAAAGACTTACATGTAGAGACACTACAAGTACCTAACTTGGGCTCCCGGAAGAAGGGTGCAGAAAGGGTGTTAGCGGCACCACAGCCAGCCATTCGGGATAGCTGCCAGTATTTGGTGCTACTTGGCTCATTCGATCCAGGTTCCACACAATCGGTTCGTCGAGAAATTACATATCGAGAGCAGAGCCGGAGCCCGAAGTACTGTACATCTCACCTGGAAGAGCTGGCGGGTACGAAATATTTTTAAGTAGGGTTGAACGTCATAGGTACTGCACTAACGTGTTCGTCTTAATTTCTTCTCGAGGATGCGCTAGAAGACCTTTTCAACGCACTAGAAGACTTGAGGTTGATGCTAATGTCTCGCAATGCCGTACTCAATGCTACCTATCAATGCTCGATGTTGAAGCCGTTGGCGGCAGGGTTTGCCATGTGTACTATAGTTTGAGTCTATCATCATGTACAATAAAGATTGGCGTAGGAGCCATACTAGTGCATAGCAACGTGCTAATACCGAGTCCGGAGGACATACCGCCAGACTCAGCCTTCCCATCTAGTTTCACGTTGATGAGTTATTGTATGCCGCCGTGTTGAGCAGGTGGGGGTTCTTGCGCCGTAACTGTGAAGTGTCACAAGCAAGTCTGGGCGGCGGGGAGATTCGCGGTTAATGATCCTGAGCACTATCTAAGGATGGCATTGACATTGGACCGTTGGTTAGTAGGGCCTGGAGCTGCACGACATATTACTTATAATAATCTTCGAGATCGGTGCGCGCGATAGAGCCCTTGGGTCCGAGCGTAGAAATTACTGACATATGCATCAGCTTCCTGTTAGGTCCTCCCTTCGACAGGCATAGCGCACATTACGTCCGAGCGCGAAGGGGTCTTTCGTAGTGTATTCGAAGCCGGGGAAAGTCAGATGACCATGCGTATATGCGCCTGGGATTAGTAATAATCAGTTTAGGTGGGTGTCTTTAATAGAAAAAAACCATGCTATTTAGGATTCTCTTTACTTCAATTGTGCTGTATCCCACACAGGCATTCTACATACTTAGTAATGGAAATCGGCTACAAACTGTAAGTCTTGACGGCCAAGCAGTTGTAACAAGAAAAAAATAAAAAAGAGAAACCGAATCATTCTGTCGTTCGAACACTGACATGCATGTATGTACTACATAGTAGGTATGTAGGCAACAGTTGTCTTCCACACACGAGGACTTACTGTATAAGTTGCAACGGCACAATACGCCAAGTGACAGTCATAAAGTTCTAGTTTCTACCTCTTCTCAGCCCCAGCGTAAGGCCTTCATTATCCCTTATCCACCATTTCACCCTAAAACAGGGGCAGGGCATTGTTATCGACTGCACTACTTAAGAGCTACTTAAGAAATGTGCCTGAGAGCAACTCACTAGTGCAGTATATAGTCCCGGCAAGCATCCGGCGCTCCACCCCCAAAGCGCCGGTTGGATGGTTCGACTTATCCCAAGCAGGGTGTCCCTGACAAGAATCACCTCGTGGTTTGCAAGATCAAGGCGACTAGAAGAAGTTCTAGAGAGATCGTCGAACCAGTAGAACCCCAGCACCTGCACACTAAGTAAGGATAGATAGCAGATACATGCTGTACTGTAGATCATGAGTACACCAGTAACGTCTTTGCTCATCTCGCTATTGTCCTTGTCTCCGCCATTCCACAAACCGGCCCGTGTAGTGTATGAGCTCAGCAATACCTACAGAGGCAGCTCGAACCGACCCACTAGCCAGAAGCTGACGACACTTTTAACACGGCCTCGTTTTCCCACCATCTGACGCCCCCACACCTTCGGGTTTTGTTGGCCTCCCACCGCCGCTATCTGCCCACTCGCTACAACCCACTCGTCGGTGGTTCCTGGCCGGATGTGATCCGCGAGCGCCGGGTAAGCGGTGCGTATCCCTAACAACAGCTGAGTCTACACTAGTTGTCGGGGAAGTCTTGTTTGACAGTCGCAATTTGCCACCCTGCGTAAGTAAGGGCCGCTCGAGAAGTTATATGTATACTTATCTGTATTACATGTAGACGTCAAGGCAGGTCAACCCATGGGCGCTCCAACTGTCTGTGTGCCATGTTCCACAGACACCGGATGGAGCGCGGAGAAAGAAGTTCAAAATTTGCAAACAACGTCTTGCCATTCTGCTCTAGCTGCTCCGATCTCGTCGGCGTTCTACCGACTCCTGGGCCAATCGATGAACAATAGACGCCGGGAGCTTTTTGTTCTCCCCCTCCTAAAAGTGGAAGAAAGCAATGGTTTGCGAGGCTTCTTCCATTACACACGTCGCTATTGCGACTGGCATGTGTATAATTCAAGTATGCGCACTACAAGCACGGCAACCAAGCGTATTATCTCGCCACGTTCTCGCTTGGCACGGCCAAAGCAACGTCGCACCATGGTAGGACTAGGTACCTTAGTGGCTCGTAGAAGTCAAATGGGAGCTTCTCTCATCTCACGTATTTTCTTACCCCTGACCCGATTCGTAGCACTAATGGATTTAGCTTACTTCACACGAGTGTGTGTACGGTAGTTGTACTCGGGAACTACATTGGAGGGAGGGGAATAGATATCTCCAAGGTTGGCGCGTACAAGTTAAATTGTGCTCTACTCGGCAGATGAGCGTAACCGCGAAGCAAGAGGTAGATAGGGCAGAACGATACCTATGTCGTCTCACCCGCCAGGGAGGGGCGTGGGAGCCCTTGCGAGGCTCTCTTTGAACCGTGAGATGATCACTGCATACGCGGGTCTCTCGGATCCTGAAGCCGACGTCGTGGTGGTGAAACATGACTTTCCTTAACCGTCAGCTTAGCACGCACGTTTGGGGTCCATCTGGGGTCGGGAAATAGACTATTATAAGTATAGTGTAGGTGTAGGCCAGTCTAATAATAACGATAATAACGATAATGATGGTGATAGTAGAGAATGACCGCGCCCTACACCACCACCCATGATCCCATCCCGTTATCACGAAGACAATGTCACAACCCACCGGGGCGGATGACCCGCTGAGCTCTGACTCGCTGGCGGGCGTAAGAGGGGGTGCTGACTGGGTAATCTATCGTGTCGCCGCGGCGGGCGGCGGCAGGAGAACGAGGAAGAAAAGCCGCCGCGAGCGTGGTGTGACCAGGCTCAGTATCAGCAAGTAGGTGGTGCAGTCTCTGTTCTTTATTTGCATCCAACAGTGGCACAGACGCCGAGCTGAGCCGAAGATAAGACTGAGGCCGGCAATGAGATGATGATGACGAAGAGGGATGGGGATGTCGTAGGCGGGCGACGAAGACGACTGGGTAGTCGATTCCGATGCCGTGGATTAAGTGTCGCGCCAGCCCATCACGCCTCGACACTGCCCAATGCCCTGCAGCGACGATGGGGTATCGTCGGGTAGGCGACTGCACGAGGCTTGGCGATTCCCTGTCTGCAGAGGCTGCGTCATGGTGGACTGCCGTCCCAGCACTCCGGGACTGTCAAGCCCAGGCTACGCCCTTATCCATCTGCTCCCGACCAGACGGTCCAATCCTGTCGTCGAGCTGTGGTGTGCCGGGTGCGCCGGGCTTCGCGCGCGCTGGCCCTCAGAGTCAAATCAAGATTCGAGATCAGGCTTCGGCTCGGCTGTGGTGGTCGTCAAGCCTTGTCAGGCATGCATGGGCATGGGCATGGCATGGCAGCAGCACTGCGAACGAAAACGACGCAACAAGGGAAGCGATAGGCCGATCTCTCGTTGCCCATCCCCATCCCATCCACTCCCACATCCACATCCCGTCCCCATCAGCAGCAGCAAGTGCGCATATTCCTTCACCGCTTGACCGCTGTCTGTCGTCCCAATGCTCCCACTGCCGCCTGCGCATGCTACTAAGTCAGGATACCAGTACCGACCAGGGAAGGTTAGGTAGGGAGTCTACATACTTCTCTACTTCTCTACTTCTTGGCTAGGGACACGCCGCTGGATTCCTCGGCACGCCCGCCAGGCTCCACCACTCAGCTTCGTTTCCGAACGCTACCAATGAGGGGTGGCCTTGACATGACCGGCTGACTCGGTGACGATGACCATTTTAGGATGATTATTCTTTTTTCTTCTTCTCTCTGTTTGGTCGGGCGTGTCTGTTTGACGATTTCCTAGCGTACGCTATCTCCAGTACCTGCACTACTGACACCCATCCTAATAATTTTTTTTTAATTTTTTTTTTTACTTTATTCTTTTATGGCGCGGTCGCTACCTGCCGACCCACGCATCGTCGTTTGCTGGGAATGCCAGGAGGTCGGGTATGTAGTATGTAGAGTACATGGACTGACTACCTTGACTACACGTACTGGCATGTATCGCCACATGTTACTCTACTCTCTACGCATGCTCTCTCTATCTCTCTCTGTGTCCTTGTCTACCTGTCCGTCTCGGTCGAACCCCTGGTCGACCTGGTCCTGTCCAGTCCCAGAAACGCATATCGGTTGAATATAGTATGAATTGTCTACTGATACCCTCGTGCATGTAGGCCATGCGCCCTCATGGTGTAAGGAGACGGGACTCCAGCACCCAGTCCACCCATCCACGTCGACGTACGTGTACATTGTATCTCATCATGATGAGCCATGGGCTCTTCTAAAGGTTCCACTCGCGAGTCCACTTCCAGGCTCCATGCTCCATGATGCTGGACGGGTAGCTGGTCCCATGAAGTTGGGACTTCGATGTCTCCATACGCGCTACTGGGCATGTATGTATGTACTTTCTTTTCAGCATCATCGGTTACACCTAGCACGGTTCGGGAGATCTTCTATTACGCTCCCACTTGGGCTTTGATCCTGCCCGAGACGGCGACTGTCACCGCTGCTTGGTCAAATATTAAAATAACTTTAATATCCGTAGTCTGCCCGCCATGGACTCGCCGGGCCTTACACTATCGGCTGCACTGCTATCACACACTTCCATTGCTGCACTAGTTATTATTGCACGATTCTTAGTCCTCTTCTAGGTGCCAAGTTAATAAACGGTCCCGATCTCTGGTTCTCTCCATCTCACCTCATCTTACATGCTTCAGACGCCTGCTCAACTTGGGCACAAAGACATCTGCTCACTCAGAAACCTTGTCTCTGTCTTTAGTCTCAGTCAGCAAACACTCTTCTAGATAAGCTGTTGTGGTGTTGTCTATATCTGTTTAGTCTAGCGCACTCAGTCTCCCTTCTACCTACACAACATCTCGACTCTCTACTGCCTGCCAAGCTTTGCTGCGTCTATAACACACTACATCTAGCCGGCAGACATTGAAGTGGGCAATTGTCCGCCTAAGATATCGTCATGAGACGCAATTCGTTTGCGAGGACATCCAGTCCTTCTAGCAGTGAAGACCATACATCATCCCTTCCGCCCTTTCCAAGCCGGCAGCTGCTCGTGCTAGGTATATACCTCTATCAAAGCCAAACGAATGCCTCTACTAACACTGCTTCTGCTAGCTATCTGCCGAATTTGTGAACCAATTGCCTTTATGGGAATCTTCCCATATGTGTATTTCATGATAGAAGACTTCCATGTCACCGATGATGCCAACAGGATTTCCTTCTACGCTGGTCTGGTCACCTCGGCTTTTACTTTCGCTGAGTTCTCGACTGGTATCCTGTGGGGAAGATTGAGTGACAAGATCGGAAGGAAACCAGTGCTCCTGACTGGTCTGGCGGGCACCGCGTTGAGTGTTCTCGTGTTCGGCTTTGCCCCTAACCTCACTGTCGCTCTGCTTGCTCGAGCAATCGGCGGACTCCTAAATGGGTACGACTTCAAATTGCGGCAAATGTTCCCGAACTTTCATGGTTAACGTCCGCGTAGGAACCAAGGCGTATTACAAAGCACGGTGGCAGAGCTTGTCACTGCTAAGGAGCATCAACGTGGGTTAAAAATCTGAATTGTCACATTGGAACCAACAACTAACTATATGATAGCTCGGGCTTACACAATTATGCCCGTTGTATGGTGTCTTGGGTTAGTCATCCTTCAGACATGGTCGACTATGGAGCCAGACTCACTGACTTGTGTTTAGATCCATCATCGGACCTATGATTGGAGGTGCATTGGCACGCCCATGCATCAGCTATCCGCAACTTTTCTCGCCTGGCACAATCTGGGATCGATATCCATACTTGCTCCCCAACCTCTTCAGTGCCTTTATCGTGCTAGTTGGAGTCATCAATGGCTTCCTGTTTCTCGAGGAGACGCACGTTCAGAAGAAAATGCAACGGGATCCGGGGCTGGAATTAGGCGATTGGATTCTCTCCAAATTGACGGGTATCCGGAAGTGTGCCGAGCCACGTGATGAGAAATCAAAGTTCTCAGACCGCGATGAGATACGGCCACTGCTTGATCACGATGAACAGCTACCGACATATCAAACGAACGAGAACACGCCAGTCAATTCACCTCGTCTTAGATCTGCCTCAGTGACAACGATTGCGAAAGATCCGCTCGACCTAACCCAGTCGAAAGACAACTTGGGTATGGGTATCTCGCAGACATTTACTCGGCCAGTGGTTCTCAACATCATCTCCTTCGGTATCTTAGCCTTGTGAGTACTTTGCGTACGTATAGAAGTAACCTTTCTCTGGCTAACTCGAGATTTAGCCACACCATGACCTTCGATCAACTGTTACCAGTATTTCTAGCAACAGCGCCGCCCAAAGACGAAGTGGAACCTTCTCTCCCCTTTAAATTTGTAGATGGGTTCAACCTGGACTCGAAAACCGTGGGCATCATCCTCAGCATTCAGGGCGTATACCAACTGCTCCTAAACACGGTCGTGGTCCCAAAAGTCTTGAGGCGTTTCGGGGCCCTACGATCATTCCGTTTCATCGTTGTGGCATATTTCCTGCTGTACCTGGTAACACCATACCTCGTCCTCCTCCCCTCAGCATACCGTATGGTCGGGCTGGCTGTGGTGTTAGTATGGAAGTGCACGTTTGCCACTGTTGTCTACCCAAGCAACGCGATTCTCACTGCTGATTCGGCGCCCAGTCGCCTGGCACTTGGTACAATCAATGGCGTCGCAGCCTCGACAGCTAGCTTGTGTCGCGCTTTCGGACCAACAATCTCGGGTATTCTCTACTCTGTTGGACTCCAGTCTGGTTACTCCGGGCTGGCATGGTGGTTTACGGCCGTCGTCGCGATTGGCGGTGCCGTGGCTGGGCTTATGATTCCAGACCCTTCTAGGTCCCCAGCCTGCAGCGACAACGTTAACGCCCACGATCGCGATTTGGAGATTGCCGAGCAGGATCGAGCTTGACATGGCGCACACTCGTGACAGAATGCATAGAATTGGTTTCATATTAGCGGTCTACTTTTCATTTTCCTTTTTCCCAAAAACAGGATTCCCTTGGCGTATTATAGACTTGGTACATCATCTCTCGGCGCATCTCACGTTATTCCCACAGGTTTGGTCGCGGCTCTCTCGTCCCTGACAACTTAAACTGCGACCAAAGTTTCGAATTATTTTCCATCACTTTCTCCTGTCTTGAGCATGATCATGTTTATCTTTCGCGATACCCTTCTCGCGTTTCGCGTTTACGAACAGCTTGTTTGCGTTTGGTTTGCTTCATCTCGAAACGGACGGATTTTGGTTCATCACGTGCAATTAAATAGACTGGGCGGGGCAACTGGATAACATGAATATTTGTATACTCTCTCTGGGTTTATGTTTGTTCTGCTGTTTCTATATCTTCATTTCTTCTCATGGAATCGCTGGAAGGGGCAACAAGGGTACAAATGGGAATCACGGTGGTCATCTTATCTTACAGGTTTAATAATTTCCTTAACAGGGTGGGAGCGTCTATTCTCAGGCATTGAGATGTGCAGTCTAGCCCTGGCTGAAGCATGCTAGGTTGAGGTTTCTTGGAAATGGAAAATGCAAAACTGGGCTGAATTCTCACTCTTTCAGGTTCCTATGGACTGGCGTTGGGCATTTCGGTTGATTAACTAGCTGTCAGCTATTTGAGCTCAGTAGGCTTACGGGTGGCAGGATACAAATACGAATGATTCTTTTTATGATCTCTGTCTCAATGCGTTCTTTATATGACAATTAAAATTTTAAGACTAGGCAGAGATATACCTGCAGTCTCCCTAAGTTGGAATATCATGCTTAGGGCTTGGAATAGCACATTGGCATATAATTATTCAAAGAAATTCAAAGGAATTCATTAATGATTCCAGCACCCAATCTTCGACCAACTAAGAATCCTTCTACCTTCATCACCGTGCTATTTTCCCACACAATACAACATCGGCGCCAAGTGGCATCCACATCGTATCAGACAATCTTGCCACAGGCCTATCAGCATTGGCTCGCGGAGGACTGACGGCAACACCACCCTGCCCAAGCCAAATGGGTGCTATTGTGACGATGACACTGTCCACTAAGTCGGCATCCTCACTCAGCAACGAGTTGATAACCTCGCCGCCTCCCTCAATCATGATACTATGTAGACCTTCCTGCCGCACGGCTGATAGAATACTACGCCAATCAAAGCGAGCGCCATCTGTTTTCCCTTCACCGTCATATCCTGCGGTCAATATAATAAATTTACCCCCTGCATCTTCTAATATCTTCTTCTTGTGTAGGGGCAGCTCCTTCTCAAGCGTCACAATGTATGGCGCAAGACCCCTGCTCTCGCGCGCCAGTCGCATGACCTTGCTTTGAGCAGTGAAATCCCAACGCAGCCGCGGATCGACAATGATAGGCCGGGGCTGGTGGGTAGCAGCATTCAGCCGGGAGTTCAAGCCCGGGTCATCCGCGATGGCGGTTCCGACGCCGACGCAGATGGCATCGTGTCTGGTACGCAAATAGTGCGTCATAGCCTTAGACTCAGGCCCGCTTAGTGCGGTGCGGATGCCGGGACCCAGCGACAGCGCCGAGTCTAACGATGTGGCAAAGGTGAGTGTTACGAAGGGGAGCGTGGCACACGATGGAGATGAAGGATCTGCGGCCTTCGGGGTGGGCAGATGAGGCTCGAGACGCTCACGTTCGGCTGATGGGAAATAGAGCGGTGTTTCTGCCATTGCACTGACGATGAGCAGATGCTTGATAAACCAGGCGAGAGCTCAAGCCAAAAGACCCATATCTTCATATGTATTATTGAGGCTTCTCGCTAATGAGGCGATACAAGGCTATCGATAGAGGATGTTGACTGATTGTCTATCGTCCCAAGCACTTTGGCGTCGTAAAGTTCATGATCCGGAAGAGGGTGCCCACTACCAACCTGAACGCACACTACAGACTACCATACTTACACTACCTAGCTGGTACCTAAAATATTAGCTTTATCACCAATAGTTGGACGAGACTACGGAAGAGTCAAATATTTGAGAAAATAAACATGCATACTCATTATTCTCCAGTCAGAGAGAAATGGAGCGAGCTGGTTCTTGAAAAACTCCCTCTCTCTGATGGTAAACCCTCTACCGCAGGTATGGAAAATACAGTGAAGTACGGATAAATAAAACCACTGTAATTAACAAAACGTCCACTTCAGTTTTAGCCATCTCACACTAGTACATAGTAGGCAATATTCGAGAACAAATTCGCCAAGGCCGCTCACGATTATATAAGTAAATCTTACTGTAATCAATAAGATGTAGAATGCCCACATTCCAATGCCTACATATCGTGTCTCCAACATACACAAATAGTGTAGCTTGCTTCCAAATCAAGGTGGTTCATTCTACCGATTTACGCAAACCTGACCGGCTACCTGCCAGTTGTTCTGGCACACCGAGTTTTGTTCTACGAATGGACGTGGTGTAGTGTAGTGTCGGTCGCGCAAGAGGTCGCGGCCGACCAGTGCTCTCTGCTTAGATCCAACAGGATTTTCTTCATACCCAACCCAAAGACGTGGTTTCCGAGGTAGCGAGAAACAATTGGTTTCCAGGTTCCACCAGTTAACGGTTCACCATATCGGCGGATCTTACGTCAGATCATATATCGAGCGAAGTACAGATACAAGGTGCAGAGTGAGTTCAGTGTGACCTCATGTGCAGACACCTCGGGAAGGATCAAAGCAAGGTCACGGGCAGTTGGGGAATATTGGAGGAAGAGAGTCGTACGTTGGCTACTCCAAGCCTGCATGGGTAAACCAGCCAGAAACCAGATCTGGACGGGACACCTGCATTCGGAGAGAGAGACACGCGTGGCTTCGTCAATCATTACCCCACGAGGGCTGAGGCGCAGTAGCAGTCCATCATCATCCGTGGTCAATGGTCAGAACAAAACCTCCATACTTACTTCGTACAGACTACCTACTTCGTAGTACGCAGACCTACGGTACCTACCTCGGAACGCTGGTACTGGGAGGGGTGCTCGTAGTGCGTTGGTTCGCAGCAAAAGTCGTGGCTGAGAGATAGGTATCGCATCCCTTGTGCGCCTAGTCAGGCTCTTATAAATCGTCGGACGTATAGTTCTTGGCCCAATGATGGATCTGCATCCTTATTTACCAAGAGGTATGAACCTACAGCAGTGTAGGTACATGCAATGCACGAAGAGTCTCCTAGGTAGGTATTTTTTCTATGTTCATAATCGATATTCCTCATACATTTCCGTGACCAAATCGTCGTCTCTAGCGTATAGGTGGGATCATAGCTCCCTACCTACTTAATACTACCGTACCAGTAGACCACTTAACCCGAGTGTGCTCGTGTGTACCATTGCAGGTGGTTTGACGATCCTAGGATGCGGGTGCTGATGTGGTGTGGGTTTGGCGGCCTCTTTTCTTCTTGGCATAGCTCCCTCTAACGTTGCGTCGTACCAGACTGCAAGATAGGAATCTAAAGAGATTAGATAAGGAGGAAATAACAAATAAATTGACACAAACACGGCGAACGACAAGAAGATTTCACACCAAAAGAGATAGAGATAGCAGAGAGAGAGAGAGACAGATGGCCAATCTCTCTCTTAGTAAACCCAACAAAACTGTGGTCTGAAGTACACAGTAATAGGCTATGCCAAGGTGTGGCCAAGGAAAGAAATCCACGCGGCCAGCTTTGCTTCGCCACAACCGAAGCGCAGTTGAGCCGATGCCTCAGTGAGTAGTCAGTCGTGTTAAGCAATACTCGGTGGTGGCAATGCAATCCTCCGTCTTCAAAGGCAAAGGGAACAAGACGACGTGAAACCTTCCTGCCGACCCCCTTCAAACACCTAGGCACCAACAGTTTTTTTCTTTGTTGTTGGTGTTGTTGTTCGCTGCGTTGCACGTGAACCCACGTGCACCTTGTTTCGTCTGTGTTTCCGACGGAGCCGAGTGAACTGAGTTCTCTAACTTCATTTCTTCCGAACCATCTGCCATCTGCTCTACCTGTCTACCAAGAATCTCGCACTTCTACGAATCTCTAGCGGGTCATCGCCAAGGCAATCTATCCACCCAAGTAATCAACCGACATCTGCTGTACGACACCACAGCCGCATTTCCGTCGGCGTCGTTCCTCCCTTTCATCTACCTGTTCGATCGAGTCGTGCGCAGCGACTCGATTGCCGACCTCCTGCAGCATCGAACCGACCAAACAGTCGAACCCAGCTCCCGCATACTCGATCACTCACATCTCCAAACAACATGTCTCACAAATACGATGAACCTCCTGCGTATCAGGGCGGCCCACAGGCACCGCAAGCCGCGTACCAACAGCCATACGGCGGGGACCCGAATTACCCCGGCTACGCGCCCGGTCCGAACATGGGTTATCACCAGCAGCAACCCGGAGGTTACCCGCCTCCGCAACAAGGGGGTTATTACCCGCCCCAGCAGGGTTACGGCCCATACCCGCCTCAGCAAGGGGCTTACTATCCGCCGCAGGGCGGCTATTACCAGAACGACGGGCGCGGCGCGGCTGGTGGTGGTGCAGCGGGCGGTTGCTTAGGTGCCTTGGTCGGCTTCTTCGCATGCTGTTGCTGCTTGGACCTGTTGTTCTAAGAAAGCATGTGTGATGCCTATCCGGCTGTTCCGACGGAAGCGAGACGGAGCCCTGCATCGTTTGGGAAGGGATATTCCGACGCGCCCGCTGTTACGTATGGGCTTGTCGAAAGACATCGTGATGGCGAGGGAAAACCGCGACACTACGATGCCGAGAACATTGATTAAACGGAAGGGAAGGGGCAGGCCTAGCGGATACGCGGAGACGAACTGTTTCTTTTACTGCGTCTATCAAAAGTAGAATCGCCTCGCCATTTGGCGAGACGACTATGGACGCATACGAACATAATACAACCCTCTATCAGAGGAGCCAGGCACATACTGCATTTCAGTCGTTTCGAGCGGGGTAGATTATTCGACTGTATGGGCTGGCGTTCAGGCCTAGGACACAATCACATTGGACTTCCTTTGTAATAGCATTAGGTTTGCTGTATGATCCCTCATGAGCAAAACCCCACCAAGAGACAGTGGCTTCTGCTAGAGGTATAGATTCATATTCTACTACAGCTCATTTGCATATATCTAATAGCCCCCAATGCTCTTATTTGAATGCATGCTATGCCACGGTAAATAGTGAAACAAAACCAACTACTTATGCAGCGACGCCGTTGGTCTTCTCTGTAGATAAGCTTGAGAATAACTCTTGGAACTTGTCCTGTGCCTCCGTGACGCAGTCATGCGAATAGATCATCTTTTGGACGTCGGGACTGGCCCATTTGTCGGGCACCGAATTACCCTTCTTTCGCGCTTCTGCAAACTGGCGGTCACGCTCCTCTTTCGCTTTGCCCTCGCCTAGGTGAAGCGTGCGCCCTGAAAACGCAGCCATGTCGACGAGCGTAGATGTGCGCTCCTTGCGCAGCAACTCGTAGACCTTGAGGGCCCTTGAAAGTGCTTCCCTGTCGATTTTCCCATCTGTCACGGGAAGTGCACTGACACACTCGGCGACAACGGCAGCATCTTCGATGGCCATCGTGGCGCCCTGGCCAAGATGGGGTAGGGTGGGATGGCAGGCGTCTCCGATTAAGGTCACGGCACCGAGCGTCCAGGTGTCTAGAGGCTTATGCGAGCGCAGCCTCCACTCACAGACCTCTCCCTCAGGGACAAGGTTCAGCATACGCAGCACGAGGGGAGAGAAATCACCATAGACCTTCAACATGGCGCTCTTATCGCCTCTTGTTGTGTACGTCACGCTGGGCGCTGCAGCAAAGTTGGTATCTGGCTGGCATGTCGACAGGTTGTAAATGGTCTTGTTGCTAATCGGATACGCGACAATGTGTCGCTTCTCGCCGATCCACCGCAGCGCGCAGTCCGAGTCCAGCAGCTCGAGCATTTCGGGGTCTTTCTCCATATCGGCGCGCGACAGCATGATACGGTAGGCTGCCTGGCCCGTGTCCTCAACCTCAGCCGAGCTACCGACCGCCCTCAGCATAGCTGTTCGTATAGATGATTTAATGCCGTCTGCAGCGAGTATAATGTCGGTTTCTATCTCATATGCTTCGCCATCGCGGGGCTTTACTGTGAAGAGTACTTTGTCCGGCCCAAAACTCTTCACGCTCTCCAATCCTGTGGAGAAATAGAAAGTAATGGCTGGCTCCTTCAGGCACCCTTCGTATAGACTGCCGGCTAGAGATGCCCGGTGGCCGACGCAGTGCGGATAGCCGTACAACTCCGCGATGTCGGGCATCTGGACAAGAGACAACTCCTTGTTCGTAGAACCTTCCCGGATACTAGAAGATGTGACGGTAGTCGCCTCGGCGTGGATCTTAGCCCAGCACCCCCAGCGGTCGAGGACGCGGGCTAGATTTGGGGCAAGTTGGATACCCGCTCCAACGAAGCCGAGGTTTGACGCACTCTCATATACTTCGATTTTCTTAAAGCCCTTTTTCGCAAAGGCGAGGGCACAGGCTAGGCCGCCCATGCCTACATGAGCGCAACATTGTGAGTCCCGAGAATCAATCCGTAGAGATGGGAATACAGGGGGCTCTTCTTACCTGCGCCAATTATTGATATCCGCAAATGTTTGACGTCCGCCATCGTGATATATGCCCACGTGCCTGCCGAGGTAGGAGGAAGCGAAGATGAAAATGTCCACACTGTTTACGGTGCGCCGGCTCTCCTTATTTCAAGGAGCAAGAGCGACGAACGCGGTCGGAAGGATAACATCCACGGCCCGCTCGTCGAAAGAGACATCACGGGCAATAAAAAGCACCGAAGATGGCTTGCTGAGGGCTGGGGCAGGATCACAGACGCGGATGACCGTAGCTGCTGCTGTCATGTGGGGTGAATAGACACCCGGCTAATGAGGGGCTCAATTGGATCTTCCCGGCATCTCGACTGGCTAGGAGAATCATTTTGCCTGGCGGCGAAGCAATTCCGGGTACTTAGCTGGACTCGGACGCAAGGCGCATCCTTTGGGATAGTAGAGAAGTGGGCGCAAGCATTTGCCCGATGCGTACTATGTAGTAGTCATCGATCGCAATCTATTGATGAATGTGCACCCGGGTGGGTGCCGCTTAGGTGGTTGCTCGATAGATTACTACTGGGCTTGAGGGTCTGGTAGCTGTCCACATTGGAGTCAAGGTAACCTGCTGCTCCAAGCAGACACGGCCAATGTAATTACAAATAGTAGTCCCAAACTCGTGAAAAGCAGCAACCCTTTGAAACAATATGTCGATCTCTCGTCCACTATTCAGGTAGGGAGTCAGTCAGTATCGTCATGATAAACAAGGCGCTAGGTAACAACCTAGGGATTGCATACTGTGAGGAGGCGCGAGACACAGCCAGGAACTGTTTATTCGGTATTGCGCAACGGCAATTTCTCGATGGTTACAAGTTTGTCGAGGTAATGCGTGTTATTGTTTACCTACTGATGGTTCAGACTGTGATATCGCCATGGCTGAATCCTGCATCACAATCTAGATGCTCGGTTCCGAGTTATGGTCTAATTCGCACCACAACTATCTAGGTTACGTCGATGAAATCTAGATTGTTACCTACACACAGTCTCTACATGTAATTGCGTGACGAGAGGAATGATAATCCCAACCACGCTCGCTTTCATTCATGCCTTGCTTGCATCACCTTGTTCCTAGGAAGCCGGCCATCTGCTCGCAACTCACAGAGTATTTCAGTCAAGAGAGTGAAAAAAGTACCTAAGCTCTTGTTGCTTAAACAGGGTACAAATGAGGACCGGCATCTCTAGTGTTTGTAGCTTGTAACTTGTATGATATGATGAGAGATTGTTCATCATGACCTGACTATATATATTTACATGGAGTGGATAGACACCGTGGCGCTGAATAGGACAGTTAATATCGGCTGCCTACAGCTTTCTCCGATTCACAAGCGCTCTTTCAATTCTTCTTCATAGGTACGTATGAAGAATCTGGTGAATCTGGTGATAGGCCTTCGTCAAAACAGCCTTCTCGGTAAGGATAATAAACGCGGGGCAAGTTCATCACATGTACCGAGATGTACCGTTATGTACGCGGGGCAACTGGCTTTGGTCTCGAAGGGTGGTTTATCGATAAGCGGTGCCCCTGATCATCGTGCATCATGCCAGCCGGGCCGGGAAGTCCATGGCATAAACACCTTGAAACATGATAACCATCTGAATAATAAGAGTATGGCCTTATAATTTCCAATGTTGCCTCTCTTCCCATTTCCTTGACTTAAATGGGGCTTCCTGTTCTATGAACCAAAATGACAACACAAAATTTCAGTGCATTGCCCTCGCTGAGGAGACAGCATCTACTTGCCGAATTGTAGGTGTGGCTTTCAATACCTAGTGCTACTTTCGTAGCAGCTTCTCTCAACGGGCATTATGGTTGCTAACCACGGTTCTAGCACTGGTCTCAAGCAAGTTTGCCCCGATGGGGTCTATGTAGCCCTGACGCCTGGTGATCCGAGCCTTTGGTCAGGTGCTATCTTCGTGCGTGGTGGTAAGATTCGAAACAGCTTTGCGCACCGCCTCTTCTAACCTGACTTCGAGGCCCGTATGCTCCGGCCGTCATGCGCTTCCAGATTTCCTTTCCGGACTCGTATCCCAAGTTACCGCCTTTAGTGACGTTTTCAACTGATATGTTTCATCCTTTGATCACACCTCTCAGCACATACATGTATTCCACGGACGTGCAGGATAACGGCACAGTCAGTGCAACCGATGAGGAGCGTCTGCCGCCTGGCGGCTTCAGTTTGCGGCACGGGTTCCCGGACTGGTTTGGTCGTCGGGGGCGGAAAGCAGCGCAAGGAAAACAGTCCAGCGGGGATCAGACAGCCCGAATGACTCCACATCGACCACCGCCGCCCGCAGATCTTAGTAGCGGAGGTACACCTACTAGCTCAAGGAACTCAGCCATAAGCCAGTCGCCTGGATTCTTCGAAAGGAGAAAGGAAGAGATATCCGTATTCGCTATCCTTCTTTATATCCGTAGCGCGTTTGATGACGAGAATGTCCTGGACACGATACCACTCGAAGCCGCTGGGAACCCAGGTGCATGGCATGCCTGGAGGACTCATCGCATCGAGAAGGGGAAAGAGTTTGAGTCGTTGCCGCCATCAGCCGATAAAAAGCCTGGTGAGTGGAACTGGGAAGGCGTTTGGGAGGAGAGAGTAAAGAAGGGCATTACGACCTGTTTGTCGGAATCTGTCATGTTTGGTAGTGCCGGCACGGCCGATGATGTTGTAAGTGTCCACTGATTGCTATGTGACAGATATATCATTTTCATAATTCGATCGCTAATCCATCTGTCTTATAGATACGGTTTCTCAACATGGGAGAGGACGACCGCAACGCTGTAAAGGAGAATCTGTTACGCACCGTGGATCATCCTTCCTGATATATCTCTTACATTGCCAGGCAGGCACTTAAACAGATACCTAGGGCCTTAGATGCCCTCACCTTTGCGAAGTCACATTTAAAAGGAAGTTATCCTGGGATCAGATTAACCTTTATCTATTCAGATCGTATACATGCTTTGCATCGACGGTTAAGAGCACGTATCAGTTGTTGTTTCCCGAATTTTCTTCATAATACGTAGGCATGATCCGAACCGTGCGCCGCAGCTTCTGTTTCACCACCTTAGTGGCTGAGAATACAAATGAGTAAATCTCCCACCATTTCTTCTCTATCTCTATCTCTTCGTACATCAGTAAGGCACCCATATACATCGCAGGCTATCGTGGTAGCATATTGCATCGAGAAATCAATATCAATCGCCATAACTTAAGAATATTTGGCTATGCCTAAAGCATTGTCGCCTCCTACCATCGCTATCACTGTCGCCGTTCCTGGCGTTCTCGTTTTATTGATACTAGGTTGCATCCTCAAGGGTTTTCATATACATTTCCACTGTCGGTGCCTTTCGTTTTCAAGGAACCAACGGCACAAAGAAGTGTTTTCGGGACCTCTGCTGGGTCCCATTAATTCCAGTGCGAGCAGCGCAGTGACGGTTGAGAGCACTTTCATCGGCCAAAATGAGAGCCATTTCGCTACCAAAAGTGAACTCCCCTCCTCAGGACCCCAATGTCATATCCTCCGATATCCCATCCCCGCTCCATATCATCAAGAGAACCAAGACCGTGGAGTTCCGACCCACTGAGAAAAGAGAAACAAGCAGTGGCAGTATCGACTACGGTCCGGATCGACCATTGAGCGTGATGAAGAAGCGTCAATGCCGTGAACCGGCTGCAGAATTCACTTTCAATGTCGGGGACCAAACAACAAAACCCGATAGCATTGCCTCAACGCAACGAGAGTTAAGGTCACGGGCTCCGCTACGATGGCTTTCAAGGCGGACTTCTTCCTCTGGCACCACCTGTCGCAGGTACGATCCGCGGAGCTACAGCGGATCTTCGGATGGGTCATCAAACCGGGGATACATTGACGAGGCCTCATCATCATCATCATCATCAGTGGAGCCTTTCGAGTCTCGTTGCTCAACTCAAACGGATATAGCATTTCCGTCCATGTTGGCGCCACCCGAGTATACCGATGATTGCCATCTCCTTGTCCCATTTATTTTAATCACACCAGAGGTGATCACGTCGAATAACGGCATATCTACGGTGTGGGTGGCGATAGAGATTTCTTGCCGAATCTCTCTTCCCCTTACAAGTGATAAGCTAGCCCCCCAATCTAATACTAGTAATCTTTTGTCAAATCCTCTACGCGTGGGAAGTGTGTCCCGATTTGGGACTATCTATAACTTGCAGACTGATGTCATTCCTCTCCCGCAGACTGCTATAGTGAGAGTCATAAAAGACAATCAGAAGAAGTGAGATCATACGACGACTTTCTGTTGGTTATTGGAGTGCTTACACAAGCTTAGAAGTCTGAGTCTTGGCTCTAGTACACTAATATTGGCCAAGATTCGAACCGATCAGAGACGTCGGCAGCCAGACGGCGACATCATTCGAAAGTCTAACGAACTTATCGCTAACATCGAAAATGAGCTTGGGGCTGCTAGCATTGCATATGTTCGGGTTCGCTTGAGATACAATCACTCTGGATTCCATACAATGAACCAGTCAGCTCAAACACATGGGACAACGGACTGGCAAACCCAGCTTGAGACAACCGTAACTGGTATCATCAAGCGGCAAGCTTTGTCTGTGCCTTCGCGCTCATCGTTCTTCAATGAGAGCAAAAGTCCATTGTTCAGACTCGTGGCCTCATACTGGGGTCCACTCCGTGCCAGAGAGATATTCTCACATAGTTCATCTAGTCAAACGAAGTCACCAGTCATACCCAGTAATGCTCAGCTCAGTGGTCAACAGAACAGCACGATAGCTAAGAGCTGCTTCGCTTTACAAAGGGCAATGAAGCCCAACCCGACTACTCCGCTGCTTCGGAAACAACCCGGTTCTCAAGTTTCACCCTCAGACCACGAAGAAGATCCTGCTCGTAAGATCTGGACAGAAATGCGTCGCAAGACATCAAGAAGTAAAACTACCCAAATCGGAAACGCCAACGAGACGACCACCAAAGAAGCTCCCCCATTTCTAGGGAGGGCATCGATCTATACTGGTTCCCTGAGATTAAAGTCAGACGTAGACCGCCGCAGGCAAATGATACGCGACGTAGCTTTGCGGAACAAGAGGTCGATAGGCGCAGATAGTCTGAAGAGCTTGGTGCCGTCGCTGATGAATCTCGATATCGGCGGGAAAGAAGCTTGGGGCGATTCCTCGTCTACGACTTCTAATAAGGAGAATGTTCCCCCTGAACGTAGAAAGGAAGGACGATGGAGTATCGCTGGGTGGTGGTAAGAATGGACAGGGGTGTATAGAGTATGACCTAGAGATATTGAGATGAGGTAGCTTTTTTTCAGTGGACGAGTGTTTTTAGACGCTGAAGTCATGAGGGCTGCTTTTATATAATTCATAGCCTGGATGCTAGTTTATCTGTTGAGATCGTGAAACAGCCGTTTAGTGTGCGTGATACGACTACGTCCCTGATTTGATAGATGGATGGCCAAATACAATAGGCGGATCATGCTGGCATTGTCAGCAAACGTAGACACACGCCCTCTTCGCGTAGAGAATCATCTAGTCTCCGCAACCTCTTGCTATCACATATGATCGGAAGCAGTTACTGACGTTTTTTTATTAATGCGAGGCTATATTCTAGGTATTTAGCTCATCATAACTCATCGCGCCACGGAATCGAGTCCTGTGCGCCCAACTTTTCGACAGTTTTAGCAGCTGCCCGATTCGCCTTGCGGACAGCAGCTTCGATATCAAACGCCGTCCCTGCGCCCACGACATCCAGAGCATACTGTCCGACAAAGGTATCCCCCGCAGCGGTTGTATCGACGACCTTGGCCTTCTGGGCGGGGACGAGGCCATTCTTTGGACCGGAGGCAGACATGTAAAACACGCCGCGACCACCGAGCGTCACGATAACGTTCTGCACGCCGAGGTCCAAGAATTTCTTCGACACGCTCTCCAGTCCAGCTTCACTCTCGAGATCCGCCTCACTCACGCCGCCTAACACGGCAGCCTCCGTCTCATTAACTACTAGATGCGCGAGCCCCTGGTACACGTCTTCTGGTAAGGGCTGTGCCGGGGCCGGGTTCAACAGCACAGGGACAGAGGCATCCCTAGCCGCGCGCAACGCCGCCAGGACAGTAGGAAGGGGGATCTCTAGCTGCATAATCAAGAGGTCGGGCTTGGGAGCTGGCAGCACGGCGAAATCCGCGGGCTGCAGGCTGTGGTTCGCCTCGGGCGATAATATGATGCGGTTCTGGCCCGTGGGCTCATCCACTACGATTATGGCGATGCCTGTCTTGAGAGAGGGCGACGAGACGACGCCGGATACGTCGACGCCGTGGGATGAGAGGTTCTCTTTCAAAATGGAGCCGTAGCTGTCGGCACCTACGGCCCCAACCATGCGGATGTGTGCGGTTTCATCTGCAGAGGGAGATGAGGATGTGCTGTGCGAGCGCGAGAGCTTCGCGCAGGCTACGGCTTGGTTGGCGCCTTTACCACCTGGTGATACGGCGAACGAGCTGGAAGTCATAGTCTCGCCCGGTAAGGGGTGATGTGAGACATAGGAGACCAGGTCGATGTTGAGAGACCCTAGGACCGTGATAAGGGGCTTTTTGGTCGCCATGGTTGCGAACTGAAGCTGAGACGGGGGTATGGGCGGTTGTTCTATGATTGCCGGTAGCCGATCACGAAATCTAGGGTTCTTCGTTAAGCCAGGTAACAATGTGTCAATTTTGGAACACGATCCTCCTGAAAATAGTCGTCGTAATCACTTGCAATATAAATGAGATGAAATGTGAACACAGCTCGTGTGAGAGAGGGTCAAAGGACTGTCCATAGCGGGGGTCAGGTAAGTAACTGGGGACTTACCTACCTCAAGCTAGGTACCTCCTACCTAGATACCTAACCTAGACTTGTTAGGTAGGCCAACCGCCAGACCAGCTATGACAGCTCATAGAAACAAACCACTACCGTACATGTACCACATGGGCAGTTTTGCTTCGCAAGAAGAAGTACGGTAAATGATAGGTATATTATGAAGCAGCTGAATCTGTAAGAGCGAAGGCAGATTGTCCGGAGGCCCTTGTCAAGGGGTCCAATAACACAATACGGTTTGGTCCACATATGCTCCAGGTTCTACCTACGTCAAACACCCCACTGTTGTTACTATGTGGTAGAGGCCATTGTCGCTTCAGTTGTCAGCAGTGCCGTTTCTCCTACTAAGCTTCTATCTCAAGCTTCAAGAGTCGACAGGACAGTACGGATTGAAACGGACGATTGCAATGGCAGACCTCAATCTACAGGAAATCCATGACACCCTCATATCGGTGGCTCATGAGGCTGGCCGAATGATGTTGGAGGCGAATCCCACCGATCTCGACAAGGGGACGAAGCTTAACTGTATGTCATCGCCTGTCTGACGGGCAGGAAATACCCCGCCATCCTACCCCTCCGTCTTCTGATGCCATTCACAATGACTCGCATCCCACGCAATCTTCTACTCCCTCTCAACTTAAATCCTCACCAATCAAGGGAGCTATTTTCATACTAAAGGTAATGATCTAGCCGTTGATATCGTGACCGAAGCCGACAAAGCAGTAGAAGCATTGGTGTCTTCACGCCTATCATCCGCCTACCCAACGTTTGCCTTCGTAGGCGAGGAAACATACAAGCCGGGAGTGCAAATCACAGCGGCCCCGACCTTCATCGTAGACCCCATCGACGGTACCACGAATTTCGTACACGGATTCCCAAGCGCCTGCATCTCACTTGGCCTTGCTGTCGACCGTATACCCGCTGTTGGTGTCGTGTATAACCCCTGGCGAGACGAATTGTATACTGCGATCCGTGGGAAAGGTGCGTTCTTGACCGTCGGTGCGAATTGGGGGGTAGAAGGCGGCAAAGGACGCAAGAGTAAGCTGCCATTATCGAAGAACCCGATCCCACTTGGTACGTTGGACCAGAGTCTCGTCAGCATCGAGTGGGGAAGCCAGCGCGACGGCGTAAATTACGAGGTCAAGACCGAAGTGTTCAAGAAGCTGTGTGCAGTCAAGGAGAATGGAGGCGCAATGGTGCACTCTTTGCGTAGTCTGGGGAGCGCCGCGCTCAACATCTGCGCTGTGGCCGCAGGTCAACTCGACGTGTACTGGGAAGGTGGTTGTTGGGCTTGGGATGTCTGCGCCGGTTGGTGCATTCTTTCAGAAGCCGGTGGTATTGTCGCCAGTGGGAATCCCGGTGACTGGGAGCCTGAGCTTGACTCCCGCAAATACCTTGCTGTTAGAGGAGCACCCAGCGGGCAAAAGGAACTCATTGAGGAGTTTTGGGGCGTTATAGGGGATCGCAGAATGGAGTATGAGACTTGAAGAGCATCTGGAACAGCATCGCTTGCGAGTGACACATGTGAAAGAAGCTGAGACAGGGTCAGAAGCATTCGCAAGTCCCGGATTAGGTAAGAGACGAGAATAGATACATAGATCGGATTCCTCGACATTGTACCCGGCAAGAAAGCTGGAATGCAAACGCTGCGGAAGGTAATCAAAATCTTCAGTTCACGTTTTCGGCAATTACCCCATCAATATAAATTTATATATTACAGGCTCTACTATCTTTGCCAATTCTGGTTATAATGTCGAGGTAATCTTGATGATGGCGTCCTGTGCCATTACAGAGACATTCCATCGGGTTGCTACGCAGCCCGGTTCTGCGGCTAAGACATGGGATAGGGAGGAATTAATTAAATGCCGTGCAATAGGTAAGCCGAAAGTCCTATGACTCTGTAGGATGTGTACAAGTTCTGAAACATACCTATAGGAACTAGAATCGCAACAGGGGCCAATCTGCAAGGTCAAGCCCATCCTATATTTTCTAACTGGGTCGGCCTCACATCAGAAATACAGAAAGACCTTGAGCAACCTATTCTACTGGCAAGTAGAATTCTCGAAGCATGTGGTCTCCCCTGGTTGTCCGATTTTCTAACCGACGACATATTCGACGAGAACTACCCAGGAAAAGAGCCCGGCCACTTCTCTATTTCTATACCCGGAAATGAGAATCACGAATGCCCTCATTCAATCGTGAGACATGATCGAGTGTACCGGGCAACTCGACAAAAGAGAGGTGAATGGAGAGCCGCCGCACAGGATGCCCTCCAATATGATCTCCCGAATTTGATACAATGGCAAATAGATGAAGACATATTCCACGAAAGGGGCTGGATTGGGTACACTTGTCGTCACCCCAGAGGCGACCTGCCACTGAGCGAGATAGATAGCTACGAGACTATCGAAAAATTCGATAACGTCTATTTACACAGTGGCTCCCGTAACTTAACGATTCTCGTTACAGCTGAGTATCCTGCCCGCTTGGCCGAGCTATGCCGCCAAGGCAAGGCGCAAAGCGAGGAATATCTGCTTACCGCGTTCATGGCCACGGTGACGATCCTGCACGAGTACGTGATGCCAAACTGGAAAGACTTGGCACCAGGTTCAAGAAGTTTCACTCACTAACAGGTCTCTTAATATAGACTTGGCCACGCCATCTACTGGAAAGACCGTCGTTCCTTGACTCGAGATCTGCGCGAGCCATTCTACGGTGCCGATCTAGAAATGGAACTTGGCGATAGCTTCGTCTCTTCCATATTCGGGGGATGGGTCCCGGTACCTGTACGCGAGATGCAGAGACTGCGGGAGGATTTCAGCTTTGCAGATGGTCTCGCGTGGCGACAGGCTCTGAATTGGGATCATCATCGCGTGCGGCCAAAGTATCGCGCACATTACTCTATCTCCGTGGACTAGTAAGTGTCCATTTTCCTTGTGTTTGGCAGATTTTCGATCCAGGCCTCATATGTCCTGCATTTTATATCTGCCTTCACTTACCCCTGACGAGCCATTGGATTACAAGCTAACTAATGTGTTGCAGTATTGCCCGCCTGTTCAACGAAGCAGGTTGGTCGTCGGTACCAAACAAGCCCATGGAATTGGTCCGTCCGAAGTTCTTGACTGGAAACAGCATTGCATTGCGTACAGTGGGGATATACGCGCCACTGGCGCAGTCAAACCGGCAGTCAGTCCCCTGAAGTTATTTATTTCCCCGTAGGCAGGTCTCGGGCTTCGCTGCTCCTGCATGGTCCCGAAAATGTATCGAAATCTTACTATTTCAGGTGATTACTGACTGCAGCGTGTAAACAGCGCAACGGCTGCCATCGCGGATTTCCACTGTCACGCCGACGGCTGGGCTTGGAACCGAAGGCCTGGTGCTTGGTTTCGAATACCGCAGTATGAGGGCTGCATGTATCCGGAACTTGAGCTGCCTACGGCAGGGGAAGATACGATTTGCCCACCTATGGCTACAGTAACCAGGAACACGATAACTGCAAGGGACTCGATCCTATATACCGGGTCCCAAACAGCAATGAGGGGTAGAAAAGAAGAAGAAGAAGCGACAATATTGAAGACGGCGACGGCTAGGAGGGCTGAAACAAGGACAGAGACAGCACTACGGGTGGGAGGCGAAGAGACATCAGTACTACTATCACGAACATTGACGAGGACTGTGATCGTAACAGGTCCACTGAGGCTGAAGTTGAGCCCACGAAAGAGTGAATGCAGCCCTAGGAAATTCGCGCGTGGAAGTCCAACTCCGAAGATCCTGCGGCCCGTACCAAGTGGATCACCAGTTCTAGAACATGATACCGACTTGCGCATATCGCGAAAACGGGATAGCGCAATATCGTTGCCACTGGTCTATGGCAGAGCCTCCGAAGGCGAGTTACAGCGGAAGCAACGACTGCCTTCCACCTCGCCGGAGCAGATCCAAGGGCAGAGGCAGCCCCAGCACGTGAGAGTCATACATCCGGCACAGCCGCGACCATTACGGCGGTTGCGCAATACTCACGGAGAAGAGGGGCACAAAGATATCTCATCTGCCGAAAGCAGCAGCGACGACGACGACGACGACGAAGAGGATGACGTTGAAGGCCACGACGAGATCTCCGTCGACGAGCTCAAGAAGCGACTGTCGCAACTCATTGGCCTCTCGTTGATGGAGCTGGAGAAGTTGCTGGATGGATCGCAGACTAGGCCTGCTGCTGTTGCCGCTGCCGACGACGTTGAGTAAGCCTGCTGACATCTTACTCGGGTCAGACGAACCACTTACGTGGGTGAGTAGTGTACTGTAGTATGTACTATACGATATGCACATGGAACCATTGGTGCGGTATACTAAGTAACGCAGCGTGGTTGGCTGGGATTACGGGATGATATTAGAAACTGACACCTGGACATTTACATACCTTCCTTACTTTACTATAGGTGAGAGGGAGGATAAAATGCACGTACAATGTTGATTGCTAAGCGATGACTTTCGACCGATGATGTAGGGTAGGGTGGAAAACTATTGTAGTCGTCGTATAACCTTGAAACGAGGGGTCTCATTTACACCACTCCATGCCTACTCCATACCTACATTACCTATTCATGGTCACTTACAGATAGTGTGCCGTCTAGGGTAGGTAGTGTACGAAGTAGATGGCGTGTGGTTCATGGCGATGCAAGGGATTATTTGAATGGAACCGAAAAAGATGCAGGTCATCCTGCACAGCACGCCACAGTTTCAGCGGTGCCTTTTCAACGTACCTAGGTAATACCCATCCATCTTCAACTACAGAACAGTGCTTACAGGTTAGGTACAATAGAGATGGATGCCTTCAATTGGGCAGAGTTCGCAGATGATCAGCTGCATGCAGACTGATTAGTCGCGTTGGATCTTTGGGCAGGAGAAAAGCAATCGATTCTCATAGCCAGGTGCATTTCTATAATGAAGGGTTTAATCATGACTGAGAATAGATATTAAAGGCTTGTTGACTAGGTATTAGCAGCATCTGGACGAAAGCATCGCGTCGACGCCAAGATCCGTGATGACGGTGGCTGGATCGCAAGCCACAATCGTATGTGATATTGGCTTTACATTCCTCGTGTTGTTTGCGATTGGTTCCGCCAGCTAACCTAGGTGCTGTAGGTACCTACGGATAGATAGGTGGCTTCCCTCCAACATCGGTAGTACCTACATGTATGTAAGTATGTAATTCTGCTATGATATTACTGATTAACCAGGTTACCGTAGATGTCTCCCTACTTACTTACTTGTGGTCGGTATAAGCCGGCCAAATGGATGAGGATGTGTGTATTTAAGATTTTAAGATTCTCCTCTAAGTACACGTAGGTATGTATATATGTACATAGTAAGAACCGTGTACAGTATGCGCAGCCCACTGAATTACTTATCGCGCACTGTACATGAAGGATGCGTGCCAGGGTCTTACCAAAATATCGGGTCAAGTGGTGAGACTTCTAGCTTGTTGCTTTAAATTGCTTTACAGGTGTGGTGGGTGTCCTTGTCTTTTACTGAACCAACAAGGGAAAAAAAATAATAAGCCTGAAAACGGTGAATATATAACCACTTTACCTTCACCCCATAATATTAGTAATTTCGCCGCGCATTCCGTCCAATTCTTCCTCCTCAAAGTCTCGGTACTGACTACTGTATGTATACTTAGTACATCACTTAAGTATAGCAGTAGACAGATTGTTTGTCTGACGCTTATGCAGTACTAGGCCCGAAATACACATAACTCGCGCATCACCATGGGGGACAGACAGCCCGGCCGGCCCAGGGTCCAAGGACATTCCCGGTCAACAAACCCTGCGTCCACGCCGCCCGCACAAGAGCTGGCTGGCAATGGGCTGGACAGGCTGGGTACACTGCACAGAACTTGCACCACACCTGGGCTGCGCTCGCTAATTACTGGACTTTGATGTGTGCACATCAGCTGCTGCGTCCCGTGGGGTGCGTCGGTACACTATTCTCGGCTCCATTTTCGGTCATCTTGGAGGTCTAAAGTCGCCGAAGACTGACCAACTAGGAAAATTCGTACGTACACTACAGCAGAGCTGATGATAAGGTCAAACCCCGACTATGACGCGCGAGACGCTTCTTCTTCTTCTTTTTCTTTCTGAACCAAAGTAGTATTATGCGTAGAAAGAATGCCGGAGGAGAGCTGATTGATTATGTACAATTAGCGGGCGCAGTGCAGTGCTATGCGCTAGCTTACCTCAACTGCCGACAACAGCCCACAGAACAGTTACGTAGTAGAGGTAGGTACTGCTGGTAAGTGTCAAACAACTCTGAAGGCCTGAAAGAAGCTGAAAGCTGTGCAAGGAGTTGTAAGTCTCATAGAGTGGGCAGCGAAGGTCACATATATGTAATATAATATCTCTCGAAGGTGGATTTACCTGGCTTAATACTTACCTAATAGGTGCGCCAATATGCGCCTTTCAATAGACTCTACCGTAGGTAGTATTTCTTCATACCTACGCGAGATACATAGTAGACCTGATCAGCATCATGCGCTACTGTAAAGGCATATGTATATTACAGAAAAAGAAAGAAAAGAGAGGGCACGCATGTATATAATTGCATCGTAATATGCAAGTAAATGAATAATGTAAAGCACCTACCTACCTACAGTAAAGTGCCTAGTCGAGTGGTCTCCATGTGGCTACCTACCTACCTAAAGTTATGTACATGTAAGTACATCGCGATCTTAAAGGTTAAAACATTGTTAAGACACACAGCCTTAAGCCACTCTGACAACGTCTTTGTGATGCGCAACGGCGATATTTCTCTAGTGTACCTGAGTATGCGTGATTGGAGGGGTCTTGTTTGTACAAGGGTATGGGAAGAATATCCTTAGCAGGCTGAGGCCAAGATAAGTTTAATTCTGTTTTGGCAAGCTCTTGCGGGATCGGTCGTATGATAACACATCACCTGAAGCAACCGACTTACAGAGTGCATTCATTGCTATCAGAGAAAACATTTTTCCTGTCGGCCCAGTTTTCTGGAAGGCCAGAAGAATCTGGCGCACCAAACTACTGCAGGAACATCACGCATTTGTGTAGTGTGCATAACTAGTGTTGTCTATGGAGTTTAGGAAGCAACTCGAGACTGTATGTATGCAGCATTTAGTATACAGATATGGAGGCTTGGGTAGATAATATACGTGTATGCAGCAGGAGTTAGTATATGTACAGTAGACGAAATAGCGACGATAATGCATCGAGATGCAGTGTGCATTGCTCGTATCTGCAAATGAACATCTCTGCGGGAAGCCTATTGTCGTTGTACGGCAGTTCCGCTGTCTGGAAAGGGCACGTATCACCACATGGGCATAGGTAGGCATACTTCGTAGGTAGGTACCAATTCTGGCACATACACTGCGCAGACTCAATGCAGACCAGACTCGACGCAACGAAGCACAGCAGGACGTCCCGAAGTGTTTAGGAAGCGTGGTCCTCAAGGGCATATTCTTGTCTTCTTTCTGGGTTTTAGTCCAATACCCACGCATTTGTGTAGTTTCAATTGTCGTTTTTGGGGTAAGACGCGCAGATTTATCCCATGGTAGAATTGCCCTTTCTGACAATGAGGATAATATGTACTCTCGGTACTAGAAACCATTAAGCTAAATACCTAAGCCCCGTAGCCTGACGGTTGCATCACAGTCACGGCAACTGACTCCTACGTAGTATACTTATGGGGGTGGATATCCCACGCTTTCACGGGTTCGACGGCACATCAAACTGACTACTGCAATTTGGGTTGGTCTAGGCCCGCTTGCCACTGTCCATCTTTTTGATTAACAGGCAGACTGAGCAGCAGGCTGTGTGTACCAATAATCTTGCAGGCAATGCTAGATTCCCGAAGTTGATCATCTGAGGTCTCCCTCTACCCACTTACCTATTGGCTGAGTAACATTGCCAATGCAATGAGAAGTGGTGGCTCTCGTTGCACGACTTGGATACCGAGCCATGAGGATGACCATGGCTGCTCCGGTCAAATGAGCAAAAGGAGGTTCTCCTAGATCCTCTAGATACGTCGGTCATTGTCTGGTGGTATTGCAATCAATGGTAGTATAATTGAGCCTCGTGACATTATATGGCATTGTAAAACACAATTCCGAATTCTGTCTTGGCCTAACAAGGCTGTCATAAGCCACGCTGACTTACGGTAGCTAATATGACTCGGGATCTCTGTACTGTATCCAGTAATTGTTGCTACCCCGGAATTAATAGGAAGTTGAGAATGACGTTAAGTGTTGACACGTCGTTGATTCGCCCAAGTCTATCAGGGATTCGGGGCGACGCGAACGCGCTTTTTCCAAAACATTGTCAGGCTGCCTGCCCTCCGCTCTTCCCGCAGCTTGAGCGACTTGCAATTCCTACAGGAGAACACGACGACTTGTTAGAAAATCTCAATTGCTGCTAATTGGACATCGCTGCTTGACTGAACATGCAAATCCATGCCCGCGAAGTCCTTTTTCCTTTTTCTTTTTTGTGGAAAAACTTGATTCATTGCCGACACCCAAGCATGTCCACAACGGGCGCCAAGAGTGCAGATAAACCCAAAAAGGGAACAGTTGCAATGGCACAACGACGCGCGTTAGTGGTTTTTGGTGCGATTTTAATATCGGCTTTGCTAATTGTGGAGTTCCACACACGATACAGCTGATCAAAAAGGTCAATGGGCACTCTAGATTGAGGCTCAATATTGGGGGTGCGCTTCAATGTTGGGTGAGTGGCGGTTGCATGTGTAGAAAGTACCGTGGCGATAAGAGGGTATCACCACAGGTATTTTGTGCTACAGCCTACTACCTAACTACCTACATGTAGGTATGCGAGGTAGGTAGGTATGTACATAAGTAAGTAGAGTAAGGTGAGTTCAGGAAATGGATCCCTAAAATAGGAACACCAATGCCAGATATCCCGTTCTGTGCTAGGTAAAAGTCGGTGGTGGATTGGGAGTTCCCTGAATCAGATCACAGATCAGCAAACATGGTAGCTTCGGCCGACAATGTACTGTAACAGCTGAACATCTAATATCTAATGACGAGGGTGGTGCTACAGAGAAGAGATGAATTACGTAGCTGGGGAAGAAAGAGAGGGCTGGACAGCTTTTCGTCCAGGTTATGGTCTCGACTAAGTCTCCCGACTTTGCTGGGAAGAGATTACAATGATATGATATTTATAAAAATATACCATCGTATCTACCTACTTAGTATGCTTACTTACATAGCACTAAGTTAGGCCTTCTTTTTTTTGCCTTGGTTCTTGCACCACCGCTTCAGAAGATGTACCAAAGGACGGGCAGGCGGAGTGGGTACATGCATAGCTACCTACACGTACCTAGGTATGTACCGGTTGGTCTAGGTACTTAAGTGGTCTAGTGCAGCAGTCGAGAGCCCCGCCCTCTGCTCTAACCCGGCGCTGCCCTTGGGCGTGATGGAACCCCGGACCGGCCCCGACAGCTTGTGTCACTGCTGCAGGGGGGGTTTTAGCACAAACCCTTAGTAGGTACTCCACAGTCCCAACCCACGGCGGCACCAGGGTACCTACGTTAGGTACCTATGGCCCGGTACCTGCTCGGTACCGTCCCCTCCTCCTCCTCCTCCTCTTCCTCCTCCTGTCTGCCCGTCTCCCAACAACAGCCCACCTTATTTACATGTAAGTATACTCTGTACTACCTGCTTATATATGTATTATGTATGCTACTTTCATGTACCTCCTCCAACTGTGATACCCGCACGCATACTTCTGGCCCTGGCGCGCATCATTCTATTCGAGCACCTTTTCCCTCTTCCCTCACTTTTGTCGCCTTTTCCAACGCGAACTTTGGTCACTTCCTCTGCCGTGCTTGGCCAATCATTTCTTCGTCATGTCGCGGTAACGCAGACAGTCCAACATCCTTAATAGCCAGGCCATCATTCTACCCAGCCCTCTGTTTCATTCCCTCCACTCTCTCTCCCTCTCCAAACCAAAACTGCGCCGTTTCACCCTCGTTTGGGCTGTATACAAGTCGCTCCTTCATATCTGCCTGGCTTTGACATATTATATCCGAGCTTTTGGCACACCAGTTCCCCATAGCTGGTTGCCCTTGAGAAGAACGAGTTTTCAAGGTTGTTTTGCTCAAATTAGAGCTACTAAGTAGGTAGCCAAGGTCCAGTCATCACCTTCTAGCTGAGAACCGAGGTTTCACTCAAAACAAGCCCGTCCTTGATCTGGACCATCACTAGCGTGCTTATTGTTGCTTCTTTTTACTATCAGCCTGCTCTCACGACTACCACTCATTTTCGCGCCCTCCTCGGCTGTTGTATCGTACTTTTCCTTCGCTGTTGAGGCTGGTTCTGTTTATAAGTTGCATTGCCTATTCTATGTTGCGTCGCCAGTCTTGGAAAAGCACGTTGCGCTCTCCATCTTTCGTTCTCTCGTGATACTCGGGTCTTAAAATACGTCAAAAGGCCTCATCATACCCTGAATATCCGTCATACCTAAAAGCCACGAATAATGGCGATAGGTGAAGTGCAGCGTCAGGCCCACTCGGGCAATACTTCAGATGCACTCCATGACCGGTCAATTAGTCTACGACGAGCACGGCCACCCAATATGGACTCCGTCCAAAGTGAGAACAGAGTGCCACTTCGCGCTGAGAAGTCAATGAAAAGAGAGTCAAAGATTGGGTTAAGGGGGATTTTCAACAGGACGAAGGCAGGAAAGGGAGACAAAGACATAAACGAAGAATCATCACGAAGCGCATCACGGCCGCCAGGTATTCGAGCTTCCCTGGTAGATTTCAGCAACTGGCCATATAAGCTACATTCATCTCGCTCAGAGGCATCCCTAGTCAGCCCGACGTCCGTCGACCCGCGGTCGATCTCTACCGACAGGTTTAATCCTCATCTACCACAAAGTGATTCCCAGAAGGACAGACTTCAACCGACTGCGCCTGTACGTGGACGTGTTATCACTAAGCCATGGACTCCACCACCTCTCTTCCAAGTTTACCCGCAGGCAGTGAAGCATGCGACATTGCCAGTTTGTAACGTCCCTTTGGAAACTCTCGCGCGATATAGCGAGGCAAGTAACAAACTCAGTCGCGGTCCTGGGATGAAAACATCAGAGCATGGGAGCGATCCCAGTCTCATTATGAAGGGCGATACACTGAAGAAGAAGCAGAAACTTGCCAGTCTTAGGAATCCGTCGGAATGGACGAGTAAGATATTCGTCCTAGTCACTTCCGGATATTTACTACAATACGCCGCTGAAGGCACTTTTAATCGCGTACCAGAGAAGATCTTGCAGCTGACGGCCACGTCTGCCGCCTACGCCAGTGACCTCATCCCTGGGCGGCACTGGGTTTTACAGATAGCTTCTACGACAGATGCTGATGGACACACGATTGCGACCCCCAGATCTCGTCGGTCAAAACTTTCAATCAGGGATAATAGACACGTTTCCAATATGTTGCTCGTTTTTGAGAACCCAGAAAGTATGGATAATTGGTTGGCGATCCTCCGAAGAGAAATAGAGTTACACGGCGGTAAGAGGAGGACGTCGGAGACAGGGAATGTAGAGGCTGAAGACCAAGCCTCTGAGATAACAGCACAGCCCAGTCACAGGGTCATCATCACTAAGGATCGCAACCGATTTTCGCGGAGCATTCCACGAGACTTCTCTTACTCGCTGGAGAATACACAAGTTGATTCTATGGAGAATGGCTTTGCTATTTCTTTGCCTCATCGACTATCTGCCTACAATATGGATAATGCTTCGCCGACAGCTAGCATGATCTCGTCTGACGGCCAACGCCTTGATAACTTGCGGGATAGTAGTAGCAGTCATCGATTCTCGTACATGTCTTCTGGACAGAGAACGATGGTTACATCGGAAGGCTCATCGCCAGCTTGTTCCCCAACGCGAGCGAGTTTTTGCAGTCAAGGGGAGGATTTACAACCCCTCACAAGCCTGCCTGAAGTCCGCTTACGGCCGAATGCTACAGCCATTGTGAGCCGAAGACAGTCAATGCAAACTATGATTTCATCACTCGAAGCACCACTAGAGAAAAGCTCTCGCCCGTATGCTAGTCCTACAACGTCTACAGGCCATGAAAATGAGCAAATCAGTGGACCAAGCGTTCCGAACTTCAGCGTGCCTCATGCAGCCGGCAAACGATTTTCCTTAAATGCGTCAGTACCTAGCGGTCCTAATCATCTACCACAGCCAGTCGATCATGAGAGGAATGGCAAAACATCACGGAAGACACCGCCCACAGCGCTTTTGATGTCACGGCCCCTGTCGATAGTAATCGATCAGCCATCACCTAGATCTCCTCGATCACCAAATTCAATATCAATCTCGGTTGACTCTTGCCAGAGCTCTACAATGGAATTAAAGTATGGAACCTCTGTCCTGGGCAGCCCATCCGAGATGAGCACTCTGGTTGAAGTAGGCCTACCCAGACAGCCTGCTCAGATCCAGCCTTCACAGCTGAGCAGTGTAACCGAGATTACTAGTAATGCATGCAATCAAGTTAATTTAAACTCTGGAGTTGACATTGATGATGGGACAAACGAAAGCAGAACGGATGAACATATCACTAGGGCGGCTTCATCTCTTGATTCGTATGGTCCGCGACGAAGACTTTCAGGGACCTCGCCAAATAAGGAATCATATTCCAAGAGATCAAGCTTTATAAGCGAGAGCCTTTCTTCTCACCACCTACCCAGTTCATCGGCCATTATGAATGAACCGAAAGTAACGACCGACAACAAGGGAAACCTTGCGGTCAAATCATCATGTTCCCCAAAGCGATCTGCTCCATCACTCCGACCTCCACCTCAGTCTCTTACGAACGAAACCCAAGAAAAGTCTATCATATCTCGGCGCAGTATGCCCCAATTGAACGATGGGCCGCCGGCGCCACCTCCGAACTGTGCACTTCCTCCCATTCCCCGAAAGTCTTCAGCAGGGCACAACAGCATAACTGCTTAACCTTACCTCGCAACCCCTATCGGTTCCCTTTTGTTATGGTCATTTTTCTTGTGCAAACAAGGTCAATGTTATAATTCACGTATATATATATCATGTCTTTAACGATTTTTATGAGGGTCTTGGTCTGGTTCGGAAGCCAGAGCGCGGCGTTTGCAGTTTAAGGAATCGGCAAGTGTGGCATTTTCATGAGTTACATGCTGGAACGGTTTTCTTTGGCAATGGGCTTCCACTATGCTGAATTGTATACTATCATACAGACGAGGATAGCTAGCTTATTTAATGTTATTTACGCTGTACTTCTGTATTTTCAACTTTCATAGTGTTATAACCTGATCCGACATGATAGCAAAACTGCTATTGAATGCATTTAGTATCAACCAATTCTTCTATAACCGGCAAACCCTACGTCATTTATTCAACGAAGACCCGGTTAGAACTGTAACCAATGGCTATCTTTCCAAAGTTCTACCAGGTGAACACATACCAGATTGCCAGATTGCCAGAAACGAGTTTGTAATGAGATGAATAGCGACTTGCAGAACGGGTACCGACCAGGACTTTTTCAAAAGTATGTATGAACTCTGTGCTGTTAGAGCCATCGAGATAAATAAAGTATAGTGCATACTAAGTACATGAGATGCATCGGGAACTTTTATTTATATCTCGCATCCTTGAGAGTTTGAAAGTTACCTACTGCCTAAGAAAGGTAAGTACCTACCCAAAGTAGAGAGATATATCTGAGCATGATTGATGTACCTATTGATGGGAAACTACAGTGCGACCCGTCTACACTTAACACGGCTCTATCGGACTTAAGCATTAAACAGATATAACGCGGGGCAAAAAGGTTGTTTCGCCCCACACGGCCTTGCGTTTGCCTCAGAATTATTTCTAAATCGCAAAAATCCCACCTGCAACAGACATACCTGCACAAGTACCGCCATACCAGCCTGCACTTCATACCTGTTCCCCAGATCTTCGACTTAGAGAATAGCAAAATGGCATCGACGAAACCTAGGTACGAGTACTTGCGACCCAGTTGTTCTTGAGCATGTCCACGCTGACCTAGTGCTCCCTTCACAGAGATTGGGCCGATGACGATGAGGCCGACGAGGTCGCCGTTGAACTCCCCCCCCCTCAGACGATCCAAAACAAAGATGGCACGAAGACCACGATCACATACAGGTTCAACGAGAATGGCCAGAAAGTGAAGACAACCCGTCGCATCCGCTTGGTGACACACCGCGAGGTTGTGAACCCCCGCGTTGCCGAGCGCAAGACTTGGTCCAAATTCGGCCTGTCCGAGAAGGATGGGGCTGGTCCTCAGCTCGACACGACATCGGTCGGCGAGAACATCATTTTCCGGCTCAGCACCAACTGGCGAAAGGATACGAAGGATGAGAGCAAGGACCCCAACGCCAACGCCATGAAGGAGCAGTTGAAGGACAAGACCGTCAAGTGTCGTATTTGCAACGGCGAACATTTCACAGCCCGTTGTCCTTACAAGGACACGATGGCCCCAGTTGGCGCCGAGGGTGGTGCCGATGTCGCCGCCGGTATGGGAGACGAGCTCGCGTCCGCTCAGAGCGGCGCTGCAGGCAAGAAGGGCAGTTACGTGCCGCCTGCGCTCCGAGGAGACCGCGCCGGTGCTGCTGGAGAGAGGATGGGCGGTAGCAAATACGGCGAGCGGGACGATCTTGCAACACTACGTGTCACCAACGTAAGTTACAGTTTGACCCATCATCTCTGTCTAATCTTTTTGAGATTTGCGGGCCCGTCCGCGCGTCGAGTATCATCACAGACAACGACTAACACACCATGCCTTCTAGGTTTCCGAAATGGCCGAGGAAGGAGAACTCCGCGACATGTTCGAACGGTTTGGTCGCGTCACACGTGTATTCCTCGCTAAGGACCGGGATACCGGTCTAGCGAAGGGCTTCGCCTTCATCAGCTTTGCGGACCGGGGCGATGCCGTCAAGGCGTGCGCGAAGATGGACGGATATGGTTTCAAGCATCTCATTTTGCGTGTGGAATTTGCAAAAAAGGCTCAGTAAATTTGCATAGACGTCCGGTAGAGACGTGAGCGGATAGTTAATGATACGATATGAATCTTCATGGGCATTTATGCAGGATGGAATTATTACGTGGTGTCTATCCAGGTTTCATGGTCCTTTCTACTCTCTATCTACTCTCCCCCGGATGTCCACGTTAAACAAGAGTAGAGGTTCGGAGACTTGTACATCAGACAGGTTAGGTTGACTGGGTGGAAAGCTCGGCAAGTTGTTTGATGTGTTTCGAAAGACTACTCTCCTCCCCTGGACAATAGTAACGTAACGACAGCACATGCATGAGCCTCGCTACCTAGACTAAGTAAAGCCCGGATAGCTTTGGGCCTAATTTACCTCGATAGGGGATTGTTGTACCTTTCCCTTTTGTCCACCGATGCCGGTGGTTTTAAGTCAAAACGCGCAACAAATTAGTCACAATAGGACTGAGAAGCAACTGGATAATTCTATAGTTATCTCAACCGCAGTGACTACTCGACAACCCCGACGAGGTATTTTCGATCATGAGAGATATTTGTACTGCTAAGCTAGGCCATTTATGTCTTGGAAATTTTTTCGAAGGCGCGACAGCAGGAGGTATACATGTCTCATCGGAGCAAAGTGCATTTTGAGGCTGTGATCCGAGGTTGGCCGAATACCGTACATAGTAGGTAGGTAGTCGTGTGTGGATGGGGGCGAGAGAAGGCTATTCCTCGGGGCCATTTTTGGTGCCGCGCCTGTCCAACAAGTGACAAGCAGGGGGGGGACGGAGGGGGAAGATGCCAGTGGCTGCAATCGGCATAACAAGGCCGCCCAGACCCGTTGGGCCGGATAAATCGACACCACTTTTTCCATTCTTCGATCACGCTAGGGACTTTAGCGGCGACCAAACGGTGGGATGATCTGGGATGGTCTGGGATAGTCTCTGGATTGAAGGCGTTGTCGACTTAAGTAAGGACCTGGACATGTGATTCCAACGCTGTTTCGCTAGGTAACTGGCGGTTATCTAGTGACGTTAGTGACGTTAGCACCCACTCCAACCCCAGACTTCCTTTCCTGCCCAGACCCAGAGCAACGTAGCCAATGTGACAATGACAGCACCGAAGATATGGGCGGGTTTTCGTGCTCAAAACAGTTCGCACGACAATAATAATTGGCGGTATGGATCAATACCTAGGTAGATATGTAGGTAAATAATCCTCACCTAATAAACTCCCACATCTTCGCCTCCTTTACATCTCCTGCACCTCCCTACAATCTACCGACAATACCTGGTACAAAGTTAGCTACCGGGCCAATCCTAGTGCTGTGACGTTTCTTCCCCTAAGTACTTGTCTTGCTTTCTATCTCTTTCTCTCTTTTCTTCTCCCTCTCCTTTACTTTTCACATCAGAATAAGACGCTTTACTCGAGCAGGCGGTTGATCAACCAACCGTGCACTGTCTAAATTCAACATCTAGCCTCGCAGCTGCGAGCGATCGACGAAGTTCAACACATTTCGTCATCTCGCCTCGACACTGAGCATCCTTCTGCAGCACCGTCACGTCGGGCCAATCATCATGACTCCCTCAGCCAATGGTAATAACCCTGCTGCTTCTGAGCTGCGTCGCAGGCACGCCGCCGACAAGCCCAACAACGGCAATACCTCTCCCCCTCATGCTCATGCCGATGCGGGGAACGATGACTCCTTGCATCGAGCCGACCAAGATGGCAAGGGGTCCCGCGCTGAAGAGGTTAGCAAGACGTATGGCCGGACTCGTGATGGAAGGGGTGAGTACCAAGCGTCTTCTACGCGACCGTGGTTTGAGAGGAACGTCTGACTAACCTGTGAGTACGTATGCTGTCACAGTCTTCGTAGTGCCAGTTACTCGCGACAGGATCCCACAGATGCTGGATCCCAGGAAGCCTAAGAATATAAGCGACATCTTCGTACTAGCTATACTAGCCGCCCACATCTTAGCACTATATACTCTACCATCGCCTCAGAGAAAGTACGTCTTTGCTGCTATATATCTCTTCTGGCGTGCTGCCTACAACGCTGGGATCGGCATCCTGCTGCGCTGGCAATCTAACGACAACACACTTGTCGCGTGGGCTCAGAAATGGCGCCTCTTCGAGCTTCCCTCGACGGGGAAGAACCCACGCCCCTGGTTATACAATCTTCTCAAACGTGAATGCAAGACCGAGATCCACAGCGAGTTCGACTTTGACAGTGCTCCTATCGAGTATAACACCTGGCTACTCTTCCGTCGATTCGTCGATCTAGTCCTCTTGTGTGATTTCGTGTCGTATATTCTCTTCGCCATTGCATGCACCCATACACCGGCAGGTGAACCTTTGCTCATAACACTGGGTCGATGGGTACTTGGTCTTGCCACCGTCGCGTTTAACTTCTGGGTCAAAGTCGACGCGCTCCGCGTCGTCAAAGATTATGCCTGGTACTGGGGTGATTTCTTTTTCCTCGTCGACCAAGAATTAACATTCGACGGCGTTTTTGAAATGGCACCGCACCCCATGTATTCTATTGGCTACGCAGGCTACTACGGGATCTCTATGATGGCTGGAAGTTATGCCGTCCTTTTCATATCTATCCTCGCCCACGCTTGTCAGTTTGCTTTCTTAGTTCTCATCGAGAATCCCCACATCGAGAAAACATACAATCCCCCTCCCCCTCGCAAGCGTATTGATAGTAATGGTCATGCGCAATCGCCTAAGACGAGCGAGCAAGAGTCGGTAGATGATTCTTCGTCCAACCCTCAACAGCCGTCGCCTCACGAGATCCACAGTCTGCTCGGCCTCCGAAATATTGACTTATTTCGAAATACGGACTATTCGACATGCCTGTTGCTTTCGTATCTCACCATACTAGCGCTGGTTACCCCACAGACTCCTTTCTGGCAGACCTTGTTCGTTGTGCACGCACTTGTGTGGCGAATTTGGTATTCCGTAGGCTTGGGCTCGATACTACATCGCCAGTCTGAAGACAAGATGTGGACCCGCCACTTTCTCAAGTTTGGAGACACCACAGACGAAGCCTGGAGGCAGTGGAAGGGGATGCATCATATATCTCATATGCTTTGCTATGCCTCTTTCATTGCGGCTTGCTGGAAGACGTACTCGGTTCCTGTTGACTGGAGCTATGATTTCGTTCTACTTCGACATGTGATCGGCGCTAGTCTCGTCGCTCTGCAAGCCTGGACGGCCGTGAGTGTTTACGAGTCACTGGGCGAGTTCGGTTGGTTCTTCGGCGACTTCTTTTTTGAGCGCGGTGCAAAGCTCAACTACACATCGATATATCGTTTCCTGAACAACCCTGAACGGATTATCGGCACAGCAGGTTTGTGGGGTGCTGCTCTCATTACGTGGAGCAAGGCAGTCTTTATTCTAGCTTTGATCAGCCATCTTCTCACTATCGGATTCCTTGAATTTGTTGAACAACCTCACATGCGGAAAGTATACGGCGAGAGTCTCAGAGACGAGGCCGGCTTAACAAGATTCATTAAGCGATCACTTCCCCCTTACGTGGTTGAGTGGCAGAGTAGTGTGGACCAAGTCATGGATCAGACTTCGCGCCTTGTCGAGGAATTGTTAGATGCAGCTCGCCCTAAATTAGCTGCTGGCGTCTCGACGATTGTTAGAGATACTACAGCGCTCTTCAACAAGTACCCTGCTCGGCTCGGTATTGCCAAATTCACTCCAAACCTAGAAAGTTATGATCCTGCACACTACTCAATTACTGTTGAGGGAGAGAGTTCCTCTGGATCAGCGCTCACAGAAAGATCTAGCGGGAAAGAAGGAACAGCTGGCAGATTCCCCAACTACCTAAATACTCTAATCTTCGAGTACGGTGCACCAATCAAAGTCAAATGGAATGCACCATCAAACCACGGCAAGAAAGATTGGATTGGGCTATACATGGTGGCTGACAACCGATCAAGAGAAATTACCGACGTGTCTTCCTTAGGACGTTGGATTCCAACAACTCCTGGTCAATACGAGTCTACTACTGCTGACAAAGGAAGCGTCGCATCCGATATTCCCGTGCAAACGTCAGGTCCTGATGGAGTTGAGCTTGTAAAGGGCGAAATGATCTTTTCAGGAGACAAACTCTGGTGGACACAGGGCGTTTTCGAATTCCGTTATCACCACGATGGAGGTCATAATGTAATGGCCATCTCTCAACCATTCGAGATTCATGTAGCAAGATTTGAGGAGGAGGATGTGCCATTGGGAGCCGACGTACATGCAAGCTATCAGGTTGCAGTAGCAGCAGCTCTACTTCCAGTCGTGCAAAATTGTCTAGATCGAGACCCCGATATCGCACCTAGCAAGCCTACGGAGCCGTGGGGAAGCCACGTAGCGCGCGATGGCAAGTACGCAAAACGCATCGTTTACGCGATTCGACAAATGTTTGGTATCGAGTTTGCCCCAGCAGTTGTCCCTGCGGACGGTAGTATAAGAAACCTTGCATGGAGAATTTGTAACGCAAAGCAGGTTTTGGTGAGTCTTTAACGATATCTCAACCTTTCCTTCCTTCCTCTATGAAAACACATACTCGTTTCTCCTCCGTGGCAGGAAATTGCTAATACTGCGGAATATCAGGCACCGTATAGCATGTCAGCCTCTAAAGGGACAACAACGCCAGGAGGTGATAAACCAGCAAGTCCATAGATCGAACGGTGGCGGGGGAAGGCAACTTGTGCTAGATAATACACGTAGATGCCATTGATAGAGTCCACTATCTGCTACAAGTGGTGCTTTACCATTAGGTTTAACTCTAAGCTCTGATATAGAGCCAAGATTAGGAAGTTGTAGTTAACCTATGAGAGTAAGGCTCCGGCATACCATGAGCAAAGAAAATGCTCTAGAGTAAAAAAAGGCTTACATAAAATTAGAATATATAATAAAAAAAGGGAATTCTGAATTCTTATGATTATAGTTCCTGTAGAGCCGGTGTGATGTGACTCGTTTCTGGAGAAATAGCGTATGTAGCCTGCACGGCAATTACATACTGTTGCCCCTTTTGCGAAGATTGATATGTAATATTCTATTAGTGAATGGTCATGTGACTAATCTCGTAAGGTCTTTGTGCGCGTGAAGAGGCTGTAGCAGCATCTTGAACAAGTAGTGCCGGAGCTTTGCAGATTTGGTCTGAAGGCAACAATGCTTATCACATGGCTCATTTAGATCTCCCATGCTGCGAGGAGATGAAGTAAGACGCCCCCGTGTAGCATACACGATTCTTGCCTGGTTGATTATTCGATTAGATACTCTTTTCATCAAACTCCTTGGTATTATCCGTACTTCGCTGGCTTCATTAGTGCAGATGTTGCTCTATCCCTTCGAGGGCTAGGGCGTTCGTGGTTACTCGGGGGTCTGGAGACAGGGGAACAAAAAGATAGCCTGGATTTAGTCTAAAGGAGTCTGACTGCCCTCAGACTTCTGACCCTTTAGACTTCATGCCATAATGAGAGTTTCATTGTATACTTCGTACTGCGTTTCTGGTAGCGGTGATGGCTAGATTGACAAGAGTCTGCCACTGCTAAACAAGAGTTTTCATACTCTTGGTGGAACGTGGAAGATTGGCAGCCTCATTATCTTGCGGTGTAAGGGGAAAGGGAGTCAACGGCTCCAAAGTTGAATAAGCATCCTTCGTCTTCCGTGTAGATAGTAGGATGCTTTGGTATGATCTAATGTCGAAATCTCCCTGCCGTCCAGTTTCAAGAGCTAGGGACTGGAAATGATTCTGCCAAGTTGATGTGATTCGTATCAAGACATGCCAGAGAACCGGCGCAAAGCAGTGGAGTAGGCTCCCTATAGATTTACCTCTGTGCCAGCTGAATATGTAGTTCACCTTGCACTTCGGCCGTACGAAGGACCATTACAGGCTGTCCATGATCTTTCAAGACATGCAGGAAATATTGGGCAATATTGGAAAGTGGGGTTATACAGACTTTGCTTCTTAAAACAGACGCCAGAGACCTAGGCGGTCTGGGCGGCAGACCAGTTGTATATAGAGTCAAGTCAAGCCACCAACAGCCAAGAAGGAGTTGGTTGGCCAAGGACTTATGCAGTCCTAGTTGATCATTGTAATCTGATTTCTCAGTTCCAAGCCCAGTATGCCACTATTTTAGAGACGGAGTTACACTCAGCCTACATGAAAGTCTCGACTGAATATTATTGAAGTGAATGGGTGGAAATTGTACACTCGAAAAAAAAAACCCGGAAAAAGAAATAGTCTCTACATTTCAATAGGCGTTTTGAGTAGCTTCTAGCATCGGTGACCAAGGCAATTGAGACATAAACACATTGCATGCGATTAAGGGGCGTGCGCGTGTGTCCTGATGCCTCTCTGGAGGTCAATCATCGTCGGTCAGCGTATTGGGTACAATGTAATCCCGACCCTCCCAGTCCAATGTCGACCGATCCCTCTCAGTGTACGACGTCAACATCAAGAAACACGCGGTCCATTACGAACCCGTTACACCGAAAGTGCGGACCCCGGCATTTGCCGTGCAGCCGCCATCGATCAGTAACGGTTCGCGAAATTTTGATTGATCAGAAAATGCCAGTCCAGAGTTCAGGTCGGCCCGTTGTGGCTTAGGATACCGAGACGCGACGTTGGATCTAGTGGCTCATGAGGTGTGTAGTGCAGCTTCATAGGCAAGTAATCAAGCTCTGAGGTTAGTCCAAGCACTGTATTCACCACGGACCGGTCAACCCGACAGTAAGCCAAGGATTTATTACTACTTTACATGAGTTGAGACTCGATGCGAGAATGCGAGTTCTTCTTTCAAGTGGATGTGGATAATTGCTCTATGACTGAAGATATATTTTTGTATAAGAACTTTATACGGAACAGGGATTGTGAACAGCTGCAATCGACGTCAACTAAATGACGGCGCTGGTCGGGACCAATCAAGGGTAAATCATTGGACGGATAAATATAGACGACGGATGGTGGTTGGAGCTTCGGCGTGAAGCTCTGGCATCAACGATGTATGTCTGCGCCAAGGTGACAGTCGTATGGCAATGTAGGGATCGTGTGGTCAAGATAAGCGTAATCAATCGAGGATTTTCGTACTCTCAACGATACTACCCCAGCACGTCAACTTCATGCCTGATTGGGCAGGATTCGAATAAAGTGGAGTTTGTACGTGGTATACTGCCGGTGTTAGACAAGGAAGGGTAGGTTACAGTAAGAGGAGTAAAAGTTCTTCTACTTGAAAATGGTTTGTCGATGGTTTCCTAGCAATATATATATCACTGTATGCTTTGTTCTGGCCGCAAATGTGCCTGAGAGAGCGTATGAGCCAAGCTGCTTGAATATGATATCTATTGGTGTCTACGCAATGTCTACCGCTCTCATAACAACGGCAAAGGCAGCCTTGGTGACACTTTTTGCAGGTGCCTTGGCTTATGTTGTCTATCAATGTGTTTTCTCCCCTCTCGCAGTCTTTCCCGGGCCGTTCGCTGCCAAACTGTCTAAAACATGGCGTGCTTATGTGACATACAGAGGTCACTGGCATCGGGATTTGGTAGCGCTTCACCGACGACATGGGTCGGTGGTAAGGATAGGACCGAACGAGTTGTGAGTAACCGCCTAAGACAGTACCTTATGAAAGCTTGCTTGTCAAGAAGTTTATGTCCATAAATTTGCTGGTTCTGACTAGTGATAAGGAGCGTTATTGATCCAGATGCTTTCCTTCAGATCTACAGTCAGTGGTACAATCTGTCATCTTTCAATTCTTTCTCTCGGAAAGCTGGAATAACACATTATATTTATTGCAGGCGCGAATGGGGCATATGCCAAGTCGGCTTCCTACTCGATAGTTCAAGGTTCGCGGCCATTTGACTTGGCCGGCGAGCGCAGCGAGAAGATCCATGCCGCTCAACGTCGGCTAGTAGCGAGAGCCTACTCAATGGAATCGGTTATGCACTTCGAAACACAGGTCGATGAACTGATTGCTCAGGTGTTGAGAAAGTTTGACGATGTAGCACTCTCGAAAACCGTCATTGACCTTGGTTACTGGGTACAGCTCTTCACTTTCGATGTGATAGGAGCCATCTCATTTACCAAGCCATATGGGTTTTTATCCTCGGGATCCGACTCCTTGGGGACAGAGGAGAGTTTTTTTGCAAAACTAAAAGCTACTTTCGACAATGCCGCGTGGCTTATGCATGCGGGCTGGTTTTTCAGGCTTCACCAGAAAGTGATTATGCCGATAGTGGGGAACCTCTTGGCTGTCAATGAAAGAAACGGATTCTTCTTTCGATTTGCCCAGCGAGAAGTACAGGAGCGTAAAGACAGAGGAGGCAATGACCAAGATATGGTGGGTCGACTGTTGAAGGTGCAACAAACTAAAGCAGAACTGTAAGTTCTTTTCACCAACGATAAGTTTTCGTATCAATAGTAGTGAGTAGAGACTAACAGTTGATTTGACCTTTTCAGTGATGACCTATCCATCGCCTTCATGATGACTTCGAATATATTTGCAGGTTCCGATACAACTTCAGCCGCTCTACGCAGTATATTTCTCAACCTGATACGCCACCCTCGCGTCTTAGCAAAGCTGCGTTCTGAGCTACAGGATCGAGAGGCTAATGGAAAGCTAAGTTTGATCGTCCAGGGAGCTGAAGCTGACGCTTGCCCATACCTGCAAGTGATCATATATGAAAGTATGAGACTTTTTAGCCCCGTATCATTCATGCTTGACCGAGATGTGCCGGCTGAAGGAATAATGATTCGCGGGCATCATGTGCCTTCAGGAGTAAGGTTTAAAGTTTCCTCTCATAGGATATATCTACCCTCATTACATTAAATGAAGATACCATGATACTGACGAATGATGCTTTTAGACGGTCGTGGGAACTAGTCCGTGGGCCATACATCTAAGTCCAGAGGTGTGGGGTGACGACGTAGATGAGTTCCGACCAGAACGCTGGCTGGATTGCGAAGATCCTGGAAACCTCAGTACGTGAACACCTGTATAATTCAAACGCTTGCCATCTAACAATAAGTCATATTAGAGCGCTTCTTTTTCTCCTTTGTAAGTCTAAACCAGTCTCGGAATCTTAACCATTCTGGGGCAAGCCGACTTTTTCCCCATTTTACATTATTCTATTCATCCTCGAGCGAGGTACATTCTCCAGAAGCTTTACGTACTCTATACAGACTATCTATCCAAACTGACTATAGCTAACTCGAATTCCCAAAAGGGCGGTGGGACTCGGGGATGCATTGGGCGCAGTGAGTTATCCAACTATCTCCAAGCCACCAAATAATCTCCCGTTTGCGGCACATATACTGACCTTCTCTGGGATTGAAGATATCAGTTGGTTTGAGATGGAGAAGCTTGTCTCCACTCTTGTTATGCGGTATGACTTCAAACTTGCTGAGGATGCTGAGATAACAGAGGAATGCGGGTGAGTTGTTGTAGCTTTACCAGGTTATAAGATATGCTCACGCTTAGTTTTAGCACAGTTGTTTACCTCATGGGCCTGCGGGTGACCATCGCCCGTTTGGGAGAATAACCTCCCTTTGAAACTTGCTCGGATCCGCAATGACATTGCTGATGCGATCACGGCTGAATTAAATTCTATGAAAATACAACACCCATGACAAATCGGCGGATTAACCGACATGATTTTCTTGTAGACGTTGAGAATGGAATAAGTCTTAGTGTCACAGCGCCATCCAGCTGTGTTCCAATTGGGCTTGTTGTGATTGCACAATCCTCACCTCATCTCGAGATATTGAGAGACGGTACTAGTATTAGCAATAATTATATGTCTGTTTCCCATCCCAATAAAGTCTCAAAGGGCAGGAGGTGTGAAAGTTTGCAGGATGGTAGCCACTATACCTGGTCGAGGGGATAGATACTGTTGAGAAGATATACTGTTTTGAGTAGGTAGGTAGCTGTGGTATTCAATCTTGTTTCTCTTTCCACACCTCGTATAATCACTCCTATGCCTGCGAAGGCTTTCATACTACGACCCACCGTCGATAGCTTAGACGATGGGGTGTTCTCATCACTGATGCACTCTTGGTGTGCTAGGTTTCAGTCTCACTACACGTGAAGACTAGGTGAGCAGGAAACCTCGTTATTTACAATAAGAAGTCAAAGAGTGTTCATATAGCTGCTGGTCTACATGAGTCTTCATTTGGCAAGGGCACTGATAACTGTCCTTCGGAATGGGTAGAAAGGCGGCGGCGTCGACTCGACTACTAGTAAGCTTAGACGCTCAACTCTGTCGACGGAGCAAAAGCTCATTTTCCGATTGGCGTCAGCACACAGCCCCGAGCCTGGGAGTCTGGAACCTTTTTCGAATCTTCGATTGCGCCAATCCCTACCTTGAGCTGTGTTTCTGACGCCTAGAATGTTGTTGTTGTTGGGGGGGGGGGGGGGGGGTTTAGTGTGTAGTCTAGATTCAGTCACGTCACTCATCGACGCCGATTCCAGAGGCCTACTACTACCTCCGCATATTTCTATTGATGATATTCTGGAAGGAGAAGATAGAGAAAAAGAGAAGGAGAGAAGAACTATGCGACAATGTGTAGTTACCTGAAGTAGAAAAGAGATTTCTATTATTGGCAAACCCCTAGCCGTCCCTCCATTGTGAATACCTTATTAGGTAGGTAGCCTATGATGAAAGGAGCCGCCCGCTACTACTAGCCTGTAGCCCCTGCCCAAGTTCTACCTAAAGTTGCTTGGTAGGTACCTATATTTACTCCTGTTACTTAGATGGTACATTGGCCATGCCCCCCCCAAATTGAAAGGCCTTTCTTCGAGATCATTCATATATCCCGATTTACTCCAGCTTTTCCCGAGCTACTTGTATCGCAACACTTGCATCGATGTGACAGACACGGTCAGTGCCGAGAAGCGCGTCGAAGCGCCCGACGGTCCCTCCGAGGCTATAGCTGATCGCTCGATCGCTAGCCGCTTACACGCGCTATGGATTCGGGTTAGCGTCCATGGTCTATTTGTCCAGAGCAGCCGCCTGACTCGTCGCGATGTCACGATGTCACGATGGAACGGAATCGTGATCGCCATACTGATATCATGCCCCTCCTCCAGCCACCACCTCTTGCATTAATCTTCATTGTCGCCCTCGGGGCAAGTTGACACTGTCGATGCCGTTGCTTGTCGCTGCCATGGACGACAACGACGCCATGGATCTCTGGGACTTGTCCCCCGTGCCCACCTTCATCCTCTCGCCCACTTGTCGCATAGAAAGGGTTTCGGACGGCTTGTTGGATGCCTGGGGCCGCCGAAGCCGAGAAGAGTTCGTCGGTAAGGATGTGTTCGATGCCCTCTACGCCGGATCCTCGCTGAAACGTTTCGACCGTATACCCCTTATCCGCTTCATCGATGTCGCTACCAATACTCGGAAGCCTCAGCTCTGCTACGCTGCCTATAGTGCCGAAGATGGTTCACACTGGTCCGCTCGCGTCATTCCCATCTTCCGAGGGAACAAGTTGCTGTCCTTGGTCCTGGAATGGGAACTGGTCCCGTTCAAGCCTGGGGCTCTCTCAGGCTCTCTCGCCATTGAGGTAACCCAGAATATGCTCTCAGTCGACGAGACGCTCGGGCTGCTCATCAAAAATGTCAAAGACTACGCGATCTTTTTGTTAGATACCAAAGGCTACGTGGCAACCTGGAACAACGGTGCCGAGTTGCTTAAGGGCTTCAAGAAGACAGACATCGTCGGGCGCCACTTTTCCACTTTCTACGGTGATGAGGATCTTCGCAACGGCAAACCTGAAAGCGAGCTTGAGATATGCTTGCGTGAAGGCAGAGTCGAAGACGAAGGCTGGCGATACCGCAAAGACGGGACCCGATTCTGGGCGAATGTCGTTATCACTGCTGTTTATAAGGAGGGCGTACACGTGGGATTTGGCAAGGTCACCCGCGACTTAACTGAGAGAAGAGACGCTGAGTTACGATTAGTCGAAGCATACGAGGAGAGCGCTAAGCTAAAGAATGAGTTTCTCGCTAATATGAGCCACGAGATCCGGACTCCGATGCACGGCTTGCTATCTGCTTGTACCCTCCTGCTAGATACTCCTTTGACCCAAAACCAACGAGAACTGGCCGATCTTATTGCGGATGCTGGCCAGATGCTCCTCCAAGTGATAAATAGTATACTTGATTATTCCAAGCTAGTATCGGGCAACGTCACTATGACCTCTGTGCCTGTCGACATTTCGAACATTGTATCATCGGTGGTTCGGAATGCGCAAGTCAGGCTACGGCCTGAAGTCAAGCTTCAACTCAATCTGTCGCCTGATTTACCCAAGACCATTCAAGGAGACCCCCTACGTTACCGCCAAGTCGTGCAGAACATTGTCGATAATGCGATAAAATTTACTGAAGAAGGATCGGTCTCCGTTCAAACTTCAATATTAGAAGAAGATGAAGAGACTTGTACAATTCTCACAAATGTCACCGATACTGGCATAGGGCTACAAGTCACTGATGCTACCGCACAAAATTTGTACAAGCCCTTCATACAACTAGAACAATCCTATAACAAACGCTTCCAAGGTACCGGTCTTGGACTGTCTATCGCCAAATCTATAGTGGAATTGATGGATGGTCAGCTAGGATATCGTCCCAACCCCACCCGCCGGGGCAGTGTTTTCTGGTTCACGGCCAAATTGAAGAAGATACCGGAAGAAAAACTCGAGAATAGAGATTCCATTGAACTTCAGTTGAGAGTGGCCAGTGAGGACGCCCAGTCTTTGATACAGCGACTGGAAGAGATCGCTCCACAGATGAAGCTCCTTTTCGCGGAAGACAATCTAATCAATCAACAAGTATTGCGCCGCATGCTTCATTCGTTTGGCTTCTCACAAGTTGATGTTGCAAGCAATGGCACAGATGCCATCTCGATGCTCGACAACGCACCTGATAAATACGATCTCATATTAATGGATGTGAACATGCCGATCATGGATGGCTTGGAGGCGACAGCCAAACTCAGAGAAAGCGGTGTTAAAACACCCATTATTGCCTTAACGGCTTACGCGCTCGCAGGCGACATGGAGAAGGTCTTGGAGAAGGGTATGGACGATTACATCGCTAAACCGATGAAGAAAGATTTGTTGGTGCAAAAACTACTAAAGTGGTTGGACCCAAGTGACTGAGTATGGATAGCTTACACCTGCTCGTCTTTTATGTATAATGAAAAATGATATTGGCGTACGGAAACTACCGACACTACAGGTATGTTCATGACACTGCACGACTCTGCGCCAGCTCCGCCTTATTAAAAGCAGCGGTCAGCGCTTTCAGCCACATCGTGTCAATAATCAATCGTGGATTGGCTCAGCCCAGTCTCGTACGCTATGGATTATTTGCTCTTGCTTGTCCAGCATGAAAGCAATAGATCCTTTACACCCACATCTCAATACACTATGCACCTGAGCGGACTGTGCGTGAATCTTGCGTAGAAATGAAGGTCGATCGCCAGGTTGTCTACTAAGACGAGATAACCTCGATGTTCAGTGAACTGCGGGTCATTCTATTATACTTCTCTGCTAACTCTTTAGCCGCTTTCTCGCCCAGTGCTAGCAGTGTGCCCATCAGCCCAGCTCAAACTTCTACCACGCTCGCAATTCAACAGCAATCATTGAATTTAGTCCCAATTGTACTAATTCAGAAAGAATGTCAGGTTCTTGTTCTGGTTAGGGAAATGATGCAAAAGGCTTCTTCCCTATCTCATGAGCTAAAACCTTTACTGTCTGTGACTTCGTTAATTACATTAGAAGCAAACGACAGAGCTATTCGTCCGAGTCGTTTGCTGGCTTCCGATATTAATATACTGCCTGTATCCCACGGATTACCCTAGTATTCTTCGCACTTGTCACTGGTTGGTCGATTGATGGGAATCGTTACCGCCGTGGGGAAACAGCAGTCTCCTTATAGCTCCTCAGGGGTAGTAGGTGTGAGGTATTCTAAATGATCTACCTCTAAGGCCTAGTCAACTGAGAGAGGATATTCTAATATGTAAATTTAAAAAAAACACCCTCCCGAGTGGTACGTGGTGGTCAAAGCTGTAACTAGCAAAAGATATTCCTCACAATCGAGGTGAAGTAATTGCTCAGTATGAGGGTCGAACTCATGACCTTCGCATTACTTGATACAACTTATCATTGTATTAGTACGACGCTCTAACCAACTGAGCTAACCGAGCAACTGTATTGGAAAAGGCAACTCATCTTAATGTATATAAAGTGCAGTTTGAAGTAAGATCATTGCCCGTTTTATAATGGAGTCCATTGGTTTTAGAAGTTAATTGCAGTATACCCTACAATTTTATAGTTATAAAGTTCAAGGGAAATATAGACCAGACTTCCTTTACCTTAAAGTAATTACCCCTCCTATAAACCCATTACCATCCTCATCCTTTAGATAAGGGTTGAATTTGCTTTACGCTAGCTTAAACACCGAAGTGAAGATAGCAAGCTGTTACACGTGTAACCTCTGTACCGGCTGCAGTATGCAGTTCACCTTGCACTTCGGCCGTACGAAGGACCATTGCGGGCTGTTCATGACCTTTCAAGACATGCAGGCAATATTGGGCAATATTGGAAAGTGAGGTTATACAGACTTTGCTTCTTGAAACAGACCCTAGAGACCCAGGCGGTCTGGGCTGGCAGATCATTTGTATATAGAGTCATCTCAAGCCACCAACAGCCGAGAAGGAGTTGGTTGGTCAAGGACTACTGCAGCCCTAGTAGATCATTGTAATCAGAATCCTCAGTTCCAAGCCCAGTTTTCTGCCCTTGTTATACTCCCCAAATAGGTGCTTGTAAGACCCTAATTTATAGTAACTGAGAATTCCACATCTTGCCCAGCCTCTGGTGTTTTAAGTAGAAAGTTCCCCAATCACGTCATTGCGAGTCTGAAAAATCAAGTTCGGTCCATCGTGATTCGCAGCGATGATTTCGTACAGCTGATACTCACTCTCTCTGTGTCTACCCTTGCCTAAGCTAGGACTACCTCCACCAACTTTTCCCAGGTCTCCAGGTGCAGTTTGAAAGTCGAAATACCAGATGCTTCTAGCCAAGACGATACTTGACTGTAGATATGCCATAGCCTTACCAGCACAGCTACGAGTTCCTATCGAAAAGGGCTGGAAAGCTGCATTCATAAGTTCCTTCTGCTCTTGCGGAATGTCTGGATCGTTCCAACGCTCAGGCTTGAACTCGAAGGAATCAGAGAATATCTCTTCGTTGTGGTGAGTGGCATAAGTATTAACTCCAACTTGAACCCCGGGAGGGATAATGTGGCCATCCACGATCCACGGTTCGGTCGAGGTTTCTGTTGAAGAAAGCTCCCTCCACAAGGTTCCAGGGGCAGGAGGGGAGATGCGCATAGTTTCGTCCAGGCAGGCTCGGAGATACTTGCAGCTTGCAAGCACCGGGCCCCCTTTTATTTCTCTGCCGTCTTTAAATGAAGATCTGATCTCTTTCGCTAAGCTCTCATACGCCAGAGGGTTGCGCGCAAGGTAGAAAAATGCCGCAGCTAGCAACGTTGATGTAGTTTCACCCCCAGCTGGAAAGAAAAATACCGCCTCTGCCCAAATCTCGCTGTCCTTTAGGTACTGCCCACCATCTGGATTCATACTGTCGGCAACAATAGAGTAGAGGTCATGTCTAACATCCTTCTCCTCAGCCACCCTTGAAGTAATCATGTTCTCGATGACCGTGAAGTATTGGCGAACTTCCTTAGCGAATAATAGCTCCAGAAAGCTATAAATTCGTATCTTTTTAAAAAGCGGGAATTGCATAGATAGATTGGCGCGGTAATTGCCAAATATGTGGGCATCGATGAGAAACCGATATTTTGGATCAACCTGGGTGTTAAGTGGGTAGCCAAAGGCAAGAAGGCTGACTGTATCTATTCCCAAGCGCTTCAGCTTCTCAGTCATATTGACAGGGCTGCGCGACTGAGCAGATGACTGCAGTATATGAATGAAGACATCAATCTGCTGAAGCATGATAGGCTCGAATATCCGCATTGAACGTTCTGAGACAATCTGTCCGATTAACTTGCGCTTGAACCGATGGGACGCTTTGTCAATAACATTAAACACATGCCACACGCCATCAGTGGCAGCCGTGTGTTTATATAAGTGAGACTTTGCTACTCTCTCATTCTGGTAGATGTCTACTTCTTATCAGGCCATGTCAACTGAGTGAAGGGTGACGGGTACTCACCGCTCAGCGCCTTGATAGAGCTGAAAACCAACTTATTTGGGCCATATCGCATGACCGGTCCTAGAAATGATTTGGTTAAAACAGAGTTACACATAGAAAGATAGTTTCTCGGAGCTAAAATAGTCTTAGTTTTGCATACCATATTTTAGTAGATCGTCTCGAGTCTTCACATGAAGCGACATAAAGCCAGCTTGAATCCCACCATAGACATCTGATACCTTGGCCAGTAAAGGGCCTGGGTAACCTCGCAAGGGGTGTAAAAAAAGACGATAGCTGAATAAAAGCGCGATCTGGTAGATTGTCAGTGAGAGGTCTGGGGATATCTGGAAACTGAAAATCATCAGCTTACATAGGTAGCAAACCCTGCCACGAGATATGCGGCGAGCATAGAAGAAGCTTCTTCCATCGTTTCGAACTTCCAATTCAATCTCCTTTGAAACCTTTTCAGTTTTTACTTGCTATTGTTACTTGACTGGCTTCACGATGGGCCGACTAGAATAATGAATTCAATCGGCCTGCACCTCCCGCAACTTGCAGAGACCTGAGCTAGTGTTAGTTACGTGAATTTGAAGCAAGTTTGTGCTTAAGAATCCCCAAAACTAACACTAAGCTTATTTGTTAGAAGTAAGAGATCGCTACATGCACATGTATATGCATCATTCTCAAGAGGACCCAACAACATGGCCAGTCCCGCAGATTAACCCACATAGCTCGCACAGACGGACTGTTTGATGCTTACTTCATCGGCTGAGAACTACTAGGTTCTACCAGTGATGACATATTGCCTCCTTGGGCGGCAAAGCTTAAGAAGTTGATTGGTGTAGTCCACATTTTACACCAATTGTTAGTACACTCGAGCGTCAATGCCGTTCAGCTGCAGAGGATTGACGGCTCCTGAGCCCGATGGAGTACCAACAATACAAATTCGGGCAAGAAGATAGGCCGAGAAGCTATTCGATGTGCGCCGCTGATAAAAAGTGGCATGAATAAATACATTGCGAGGCTGTTCCCACCTACATATACATCAATAAGGTGCTTTACATTCCAGGCTGCAAGAGTGACCCATCTGACTACGCGTGGTATCAGACGACATCGCCAGATAACAACTACCATCGAGAGCCACGGTGCACAAAGATAGACATAGAACAAGGATAATGCCGGCGAGCCCTCTTATCCCTCGGTATGACGCTGCTCCAAATACTGTGAATTACAAATATGTATCAACTTCCCGATGATTGTTCTTTTATATCGCTTGCGACCCAGATAGCTATGTAAATAATAGGTGAGGAGGAGCTGTGAAGATTTTCATCGGGCACCCTTGCCGAGAAGAGTTTCGTCTCTAGTCGTCAAGTGCCGCAATCCACCTTATTATGGACGACTGTACTGTACCTGGGCCATAGCACTAAGCGACCCTAGATGACGATATGGTACCATTATTCCACGAATGCTAGATAATTTGAATCGCATTTATACCGGACTAGTTCACAAAGCTTTAATGCCGTTGTACCCGCAGAAATAGTGAGCTTCGTGAGAAATGAAACTGAGCGAGTGGTGGGATACGTTATTCCTCGTCGGAGCGCGACACCCCGGTTGCCTAGGAATCCCCGGCTTCAAGGCGCCCTCTTTGGACATAATGAGTTTCACTAAATGCCGTCAAAAGAAGGTCTATCGATAACAGCACGAATCTATAGGTGGAAAAATTGCTGTCTTTATGACCGTAGCAAGTCCAGTGAGGTTGAATGTGAGCAGAACCCTGGAGTGTGAGTTCAAGCAGTTCTGGAGCTCAATCAGGCACGTAAGCTTAGCGCATCGTGAGCGCACGCTGTGTGCCGGATATGGATTTAAATACGGTAGTATGAGAAGCCTGAGACTTCAAACACGATTTCTGAGAGCCAAGCTTTCGTCAGCACCGCGTAGTTGCAAAACAAGATGCGATCAATCTGTTTTGCTTTCTTGGCCTCGGCATTTGTTAGGTACGCCTCTGCAGTAGGTGTTACCGGCGCTGCAGAGGGCTTTGCTAAGGGGGTTACTGGAGGTGCAAGTGCTGCATTAGTGGTGAGTAAGAAACTGTCGGATCTATTTTCTGTTTGCTTCAGAGGATGGTGAATATCTGGGATCTTTCTTGTGTTATGAAAGTTATCACCACGCCATACCCAGAATGATGATTACTGACATCAATACGGTATTGCGCAGTACCCGACAACAAACGCAGAGTTGGTGTCATACCTCGGTGACTGCTCCCCTCGTGTCATCATTCTCACGAAGACTTTTGACTTCAGAGGCACAGAGGGCACAACTACCGAGACTGGCTGCGCTCCTTGGGGTACCGGCTCCGGTTGCCAGACCGCTATCAACCAGAATAATTGGTGTACCAACTATCAGCCAGGCGCACCTAAAGTCTCGGTTTCGTACGATAAAGCTGCTACACTCGGAATTACAGGTGATTAATCCCGGAGTCATGTCGACATCGCTGTCTTCCTCATTTCGAGATATCGTGGTTCCTCTCGGGACTGGAATTATGAGCGAGAAGTTACATGTTGATTATATACTGTAATCCTACTCTTGGAAAGTGAAATTGACTAACCCGGATCCTTTTAGTGAAGAGTAACAAGTCACTTGTCGGCCAAGGCAGCAGCGGTGTCAGTATGTAACCACTGGAGTCATTATTTTTCTGTTCTGGTTACTCCCGGATGCCATAGTTGTCTATCGGGCGCACAAGTGTGTCTCGAGAGTTTACAGAACTCTCGAAACACTTAGCTGAAAGAGCAAAGACTGACACCAGTGGTTGTAGTCATCGGAAAGGGGCTGAGAATTGTCAGTGGGGCATCAAACGTAATCATTCAGAATATCAAGATCACCAATCTCAACCCCCAGTATGTCTGGGGAGGCGACGCCATTACCTTAGACAACACTGATCTCGTATGGATCGACCATGTCACGGTCAGCTTTTGCCTTAATTCTTATCCAATTAAAGATCCATAAACTAATGTGACTATTAGACCTCACTTATTGGTCGCCAGCACATTGTGCTGGGTAACAACCCTTCTAACCGAGTAACAATCAGCAACAACTACATTGATGGACGAACCAGCTGGTCAGCTACCTGCGATGGCTACCATTACTGGAACCTGTACTTCACCGGCTCGAATGACTTGGTGACCTTCAAGGGAAACTATATTCACCACATCTCAGGTCGCGCCCCCAAGGTCGGAGGTAACACGCTTCTGCACGCCGTAAACAACTACTTCTACCAGAGCAGTGGGCACATATTTGAGGTTGACTCGGGTGCCAAGATCCTTGCTGAAGGAAACGTGTTCCAGAATGCCGGTAAGATGGTCGACAACACAATCTCCGGCCAGATCTTTACCAGCCCTAGCCCCGGCGCGAACTCAGCTTGCTCAACATATCTTGGCCATGCCTGCCAGTTGAATGCTTACGGAAGTACAACATCCTACACGGGCACAGATACCAACTTCTTCCAATATTTCAAAGGGAAGAACATCGCTGCAGCCGATACAGCGTCTACCGCGCAGTCAAACGTTCCGAATAAGGCCGGACATGGCAAGATCTGAATAGCTAGGAGTAGTTATGTACGTGATAATAGAAGACTCAAGCATATGACTAAGATTTAGTCGGTAAAGGGATGCATAAATCCTTACTCCAAAATAAATAGCTATTGCCTATCATAACCATAGAGTCCCTACTAATTGGTTGGATAAGCACAAGCGATCGCCTAGTGGTCCCAATCACATACAGCTATATTCAAGGACATTATGATGACGACTGTCAGCTTTCCAACACCCCTAAAGCCCAAGCACTCTCTCATTGTGTGAACTATTCCTCAGCCTATCACTTGAATGTTCGAAAGAACAGGTTACTTTACGAAATTAGTATTGCACTCATAGTAAGATAACCACCGACGCACGAGCCTCCTGAATGTAGAAAGCACCCACATTAGAAGCTTGTTTAACAACATCACTCCCTGGTCATTTCTCTAGGATGTTTGGCCCAAGCATCGTATCCTCGAAGGCAACGTGCATTCATTTAAGATAGCTCTAACGGTGACAACCACTTTAATCAACGTTCACCTTGCGACGGCCAGCTTCCCAGCCCTTAAATTCATGGAAGCCCAGAGACGCCTAACGGGCTGTGGTTTGGTCAGGAGCTCGGGAGTCGGAGGATATTGTCATGGGCTCAATGAGATGTGGTCTTCTCTGATTGATTCATGCATACACGAGAACCTACAGAACAGACCTTATAACGGTGACAGAGTTTGCTTGAGTTAACTAGTCACTGACATACATAGCACACTAGGACTGGGTACAAAGTTGAAGTACACTAAAACGGCAAGCGACCTTGTTCAACCCAATATTCCATTCTCGGTGATTCGGCCGTCACTTTATAATGTTTTAATTTTTTTAAATTTTTATTTAGTTATTTATTTTATTTTTTTCAATAACGTCTACTGTCATTTTCTTCACTAATTAAAATCGGGACAGATCTTAGTGAGTGACCGCGAGAGTTGGCGGTGACTTTGGTTGGTAATAGCCTGTCTCGTTAGGTGCTTGACTCGATTCTGAATAAGAACGACATGTCTTCGATAGAACCGATTTAATGATATGATGGGAATTACTATTTTATAAGAAAGGTATTAAAATAAGCCCCATAGATCTCAACAATCTCTCACACTAGTTCAGTAAGCACCTTAAAAGGAAACTTGATGCCGAATTAACCGAGCAAGTGAAGGGGGACAGCTTCTCAGCTGAAGCACAGAGGCTTGGATACCTGCCAAGGAGACACCGCATACAACGTTGTGGCTCATGGCTACATAGTACGTGCAAGTGCCGAAAGGAGGCATAGCTAGTCTGCAATTCACCGCACTAATGTAGCTTCGACTGGAAATTACTTATACCCGCCGGATCCCGTTCGCCGGTGACGTCTGATTCTCGGCGGCAGCTCTGGAGATGGCACGGGAGACGCTTGCGAAGCTTGCAAAGGCTGGAAACGCAGCACAAGAGTATATATCTAAGAAATGGTACGCCCCCCACTGCATTTCGTGCCCAATGCACAGCCACTAACGAGTCGCAACAGGGTAGAGTTTGAAAGATCTAAGAGTGACAAACTAAGGGCAGAGGAAGATGCGCAGAGGTTGGAAGCAATACGGCAGAGAAACAAATATCTCGATCTCTTCAATGCTAAGCTCACGGGGCCTTCGGCAGATTTCATGCCACCAATAAGGTACGATGCAGATACGCGACAACGCGCAGTAGTTTTGGCGACGGTGCCCATCGTATATGGCCATTTCGATTTATCAAAGCGCTCGTACCAGTGGTTGGCCAAGCACGTGGGCATGAGCTTGAATAGCGTCAGTCACTGGGCTATATGCGTCGTGGACCGGGGTTTCGGCCCATGCTGGTGCTACGATTTGATGAGCGATCAGCTCTCTCTCAACATGTTAGGGAAGAGCTATCTCCGCGTCTATGAGGCGACAGACGAGCTAGTCGCGAGCTGGACTTCGGCATATTATGTTGGAGAGACAACTAAAACCCACGAGCAAATCCAAGAATTAGGTAAGGTAAAAAAGTGTCCTATGCATAAGAGTTGGAGCGCATCGTAGCTACCTACCCACAAGGGCTAATCGCGTGCGCTAGGGACCAACCACCTCACCGCACACCCGAAATACAACTTGCTGTCGAGCAACTGTCAGCATCTCGTCGAGGTTCTAGTCAAAGAGTTGTGCGACGGGAAGACAATCAGTCAAACCAAGCTGGAAGAAGAACTCAGCTTGGCGTCACCACGAGTTGCTCGAGACCTCCTGGTTGCTAGGTTGAGATCTAAGCTTGATGCGAAAGAACAGAAAGAACAACCTGAGAGCCTCGAAGACGAAGTTAATACTATCAAAGCACTAGAGAGAACAATGACGGAAAGAGAAAGTCGTCGTCGTTAATCATACTCAGGCCAATGATGTAGCTGGACATCTCATCTGGACATAATTACCCCTCTCTAGACCCCTTAGAGTAGACTATAAGGATCTAATACCTTTTTTTTCAATCTATCATGGGGGGCTTTCATCAACATGGCTGCGATGTATGTATGGTATCCGCTCAGCGCGATGGCTATTCTCGCATAACGGGCCATATACTATATGAAACGCTCACGTATAACCTAAGCGCTGAACATCACAACAGTGTCCACCTCGTGAAGAGTACTCATGATGAAGAACTAAAAGGAGGAGGCTATGTGCTAATTGAGAGGGCGTGTATCACTACCTCACCAAGACCCCCATAGTCGACCTAATGACATCCTACATGTACTTATCCTACCGCTCTAATATCTAGCCCACGCAAAAGGAAGGGTTTCAGCTCCGCATGCTCAAGGCTACAGTAAAGATTCAAACGAGGGTAACCTATCTGGTGCGGTGCGATACGCGGAGAGGCGATGGAGTGTTTGTCATTGGGGGTCACAATACCCCTAATCAATGCGTCCAGATCTATAGATCCAAGTATAGAGCTTACCAACAACAAGCTATTGGTAAGAGGTAAAGAACCTGCGGCCCCCTAGCCTACGGGGCCACTTCGCTTCGTGGGGCGTGATGGCGCGGTAGGAAACAGGAGCGAATAAAGGATCAATGGGCTTGCAGAAGAAGACAATACCGCGATCACTGCAATTCTCATGAGAACCCAAGTCATCGCTATGATCCAAGGTTCTCGATCCGGGTCATGGTACTTTCCTCAAGGGCATCGAAAACAAGTGGTGTACTTAAAGCCAGGTCCGGCCAAATTTACATGTGCGGGCGTGGGATAGCAATTGTCTCTGAAGTACCTCTTGGCGGAGCAAAAAGGAGCAAATCCGCTTAACTTGGCACGTCCTAGCTGTTGGCCGGTTGAGTCACTCCGCCGGCGGAGTCCTGCGGACCACCGACTTATATAGCTGGGCCAAATTGAACATGGGGCTCAGCCGCAACAATAATAACTTCCAATGCCACCCTGGCTTGGGTTTAATTTTATTCAATGGAGATTTATCCTATATGATTTTTAATTTGTATACATCTCTCTTTTGCTTTTATACCCCGTTCGATCAGATCGTGGCCTTTATGAATTCAATACCTGACTTGCAAGACCGATTCCTTCGGTATATACCATACCAGCAACAGCAGCTGATGTCAGGGTAGAAAAGATACCAGCGATCAAAGCTGATATAGCAACCCTGGAGACGTCACCACCACGATTGGGAGCAATTTGTGAAAGCACACCGATTTGTGTTCCGAGGGAACCAATGTTACCGAATCCCTATAGGAGTTATGTTAGCTTCTAGACCTTTCGACTTCTTTTCAGACACGCATTGTCGCAAACTTACACAGCAAGCATATGTGGCAATGATAGTTGCTCGGGGGCTCAGCATCATGTACCGTGGGTCGGTTGTAAGAGCAAGGAAGGCAGCAAATTCGTTAATGATGATCTTCTGGCCGATGAGCTCACCAACCTGGAGCAGCTCGCCTTTTGGCACACCAAGAAGCCAAGCAACAGGGTAGAAGATATAGCCAAGAAGGAACTGGAGTGTCAGAGGGGGGTCTGAAATGCCCCAGTAACTACCCCACCAGCTGAGAAGGCCGTTGATGAGCCCAACGAAGGCGATAATACAAAGTAGCGTGGCAACAATCATGCCCGCAATCTTCAGACCCAGCCAGGCGCCGTTGGCGAATGCGTGTAACGGGTTAGCGGCCTTGTCCTCCTCATTCTCTGGCACAACCACCTTTCCGGCAGTCAGGGATTCCTCCGTCTCGGGATATCGCATCTTAGAAATGGCGAGTGACGCAGGAATAGACATGATACAGGACGATACGAGTGCTTGTGCGTTGAGTCCGAGTCCAATATAAGCAACAAGCACAGAGCCGGCAATTGTGGCGAAACCACATGTCATGACCTGGTGCAGCTCGGCAAGAGTGAGATATGGGACAAAGGGACGGATCAACATGGCGGATTCACCCTGGCCGATGAAAGGAGTGGCGGACGCGACAACGGCTTCACCTCCAGACACCCGAAGAGTCCAGAAGAAGAAAACGGCAAATTTCCCAATGAACCACTGGATAAGTCCAACGTGGAAGAGGAGAGCAACCAGGGCAACGAAGAAGATGATGGGTGGAATGACACCAATCAAGAACCAGCCAATGTTGGGTACGTCTTTATCTGTTAAGAATACGACACCTTCATTGGCGAAACCCAGCAGAGTACGAGCAAGTTCAGATATGAAGCTGAAGATATCATAACCAGCATGGGTTCGCAGCACGAAGAGGGCGATGATGAATTGCGTTAGCATACCGCCTGAAGCAAAATGTTAGTGAGTGATCTCTACAATAAACAACTCCACAAACAAGGCTACATGGTTACTGACCAATTACTGTGTGCCAGGGAATGGCACTGAATTTCCTTGATGTGACGGCCATAACGAAGAGAATGACAACCAGACCAAAAAGAGCCTGGAGACGACCGAGCCTTGTGTTGTCACCCGACTCTTCGGGCACGAGGGTACCGAGGAGGAAGACACCGACTGTTCCAATGGCAGCAAGTGGCCGGTGAAGATACTTGGGGATGAGCTCATACACCCTGAAGACAGTGTGGCGCCATACGAGCTTGGCTGGGTCCATGACATATCGAACGGGAATCCAGAGGGTGATAATGCGTAGCGTGATGGCAAGGTACACCAGGAACGGGATCAACCAGTTCTTAGTTTTGCGAAACTTGACTAAACCAAAGATCCACCAGCTGTTGGCGCACAATGCAGCACATGTCAGTTCACCGACTTGACGAGCGAGAGACGTCGCGCCAGAGAATTGGAACTCACGCAGTAAAGACGAGCCAGATGAAGAGGTGGATAGGGGCCCTTAGTCTCCGATACCACATTTTGATAAAGCCCGTAGATGTCTCGGGACTGTTAGAATCGCGCGATCGGTCAACATTGCCAACCTCCTCGTCGGTGGCAAGCGACGTCTTCTCGGCGGGGAAGTCGTTGCTCTTTTCGTAGCTCTTTGGCCGGTCTTGTTGTGTCATGTCGGCATACGTGACGTCGTTACTGTGGTTGGCGTGATCGGCTGCGGCACCGCCGTGGTGAACATGCTCATGGCGATGCTCGTGGAGATGCCCGGCCACCTGCGGAGAGGCGTCGGGGCTTAGGGTCTTCTCGTCCGAAGAACTCATTGTGCAGCGCAACAAGGGGTCTTGGCTCACTAACACGCCTTTCCACCGAGCCTTGATCGGGAACTACGGGCTCAGGTAGTGGCAATGTCGTCGGGGAGACAAGGGAGGCGAAGGACAAAGGATTGCGGCCGAAAGGGCTGGAGAGTCTCTTCGCACGAGCATGTGTTCAGGGCGAGGAGAGCGATGCAGTATTATAGAAAGTTACTTGCACGGGTGCCAAGGATGGCCACCTCGCAGCTATCGAGCTGAGCTGCTTGATTGGGCAGCCCAGGCATTCCCCATCGTTACCAGTCAGTGATCTCGCCGGTGGCGATCGTGTGGTCCTATCTCTGGGTCTGCTCTGGGTACACGGCGGTACAGGCCTGGACGGCGTTATTTGCAGGCGACGGAAAAAAAAAAAACGAGGGCACACTAAGATATGGGGTAGGGTCCTCGAAAGGGAAGGACGTTGCTTGGGCTGGCCTGGCTAGCGCCGCGGCATGGATCTCGTCGATGCTGATAGGCACAACACCGGGATGGTTTGGTCCTGTGTGGTCCTGTGTGGCTCTCTGTGGCTCTTTGTGGACCGCAAGCTCGCTCTTTGTGATCCCCTGCGATCCCTGCTCACCTGGTATCCCGTGGTGTGCCCGTGGTACTACTTCGTACACTGGCTGCGCTAGAATATCTGTGGAACGCTTCAGCACACGCCTGGCCACTGACACAAGGCCATATGATCTTACTGCTTCGCTCGGCAGGGAATAGGCGTACGAACTTGCGGTTGTAATGCTATATACATGATGCTACCGAAAGCAACTTGATCGCGGCGAAGATATAACAAGGCATAACAGGCACGATATGATATGTACATACCTATCGAGGGCATCCACCTCAATTAGTGCGCGATGGGAACTTGGGGTTAGACTGCGAGTGAAGGCAATTAAACAATTCCCGTCTACTTGGTATTAAATTTCACATTTTTACTCCATTTGTCTTGTGTGTCTTATCAGCATAGCGTATTTCTAATATCGAGCAGAAATCAAGGTCTTAGTGTCGATGCTGATAAGTACCTTACCATCGGACACTAGGCACCTCTTGGTGTGTAAACCCGGGGACAATACAAGCTACCGGCCGGATCGCCGTTGTCTTAGAGAAGGCATTCATGACTCGTCATAGATCACCGATTGCTTCTGCATCCATTTATCTGTACATAGTATGGTGCTGTACAATGAGCGAACCGTTAGACATATAGTACTCACTGAAATGGTCATCGACAACACCCATCACACGATAGGTATTACGGCAACGGCGGCGGCCACAGCCGACGTATAAAATACACCCAGCACATGCAGCAGGCAGTGTAGACTATCTACTTAGTTGTATGCATAAACTAGGTACCTATTCTCGAGATCCCATCGTCAGGTGGTGCAGATCGGAAGCCTCATACTAGTGAAGCTGCATAACAAGCAAAAAAGCTACAGTTTGCATACACAAGTAGACACAAGTCCCACCTCTCATGCTACCTACTGCACCAAAGTGCTGGCAGAAGCAATGAGACGACAACACCATTTACCTCATACTATGTATATGCCTCGATGTGATGCAATGTGCGGGCACAGCCGCGGAAACGACATCATGCGGTTCTCGTCATGTTGTACGTGCAGTGAGTGGCAAAAGAAGGGTACTATAGTAGAACTGAAGCACCAACCGGTGACGCCGGGCATCGTCGGTCAAACCCAGCCAGTCCCCGTCCTGATGATAACAGCCGTCTCAGCGCTGTGTACTATGTACTGGCAGCTAGGTACTGCTGATAACATTTCCAGAGGCATGGGCACGAACGGGTCTGAACAAGGGCTTCGCGACCCGCTCGCCATGCCAAGCCGCCAACTCCGTTATTGTCCGTTCTCCTACTGTACGATTCTCGTATCTCATTCGACAATGGCTCGAAACGCTCAAAGATAACGGTCGCCAGAATCGCAAGGATTCCGCTCCAACAATAGGATCGTGAAAACCCATTACCTTGTTCTGCGTCTGCCTCTGTTCTGCCCATACCAGTTTGTACGTGCAGTACCTAGGTAGGTAGCGCACACACTAGAGTACTGGGCCACACACTACTAGCACATTACAGATACGGGACTCTGGTCGCCAACGGTCTGGACGAGGGCCTACTTACTTACGAACCGCAGCCGGGGAGAAATTTCACATTCTGAGTTCCTTCGGTAGTACTACGTACTATCTATGAAGATAGATACCTACGAGCGCAAAGGTATGAGAGGCGCCTCCATATTTCCCACATCACTACATCATACCTATCTACCCCACAACTGCGAGGTTTTCTTGGTGTTCTAGAATCGAAGTAGGTAGCAATCCTACACCTGAGGGCACGCGAGCAGAGAGCCTCACATACAGTTCGCTCCCCCGCGTCCTAACCCCAGCTGAGGAGGAGGGCCAAGGCTGGACCTGCCCTAACTCTGTATCCGCTAGGTAGGTAGGTATTCCCTTGGCGATTTCACTCAGCTCTAGTTCGTGACTAGAATTGTAGTGTACTTACATGGGCATCCAATAACCAGACCAGAGTTTCAGAGATCTCAGACAGAACATCCATTGGCACGCCAATGATACCCCGTGCTTCGATCAAAACTATCTGGTTTCTCTCCCTTGGGGAAATGACCTCAGCACTATCATATACCATCAAACCTTCTAGTCCCGATAGTCCGGTAAAGCTAGCACACTATCATCAGATACTAGTAGTACTCGTCGAAGGTGTATCAAGCAGCTACGGGAGTACAGTACATGGAGATAGCAAATCCAGAGCAGCAAAGATGAGGAGGTTCAAGACGGCCAATGAGCGAGGGGCAACGCCCCGAGACTGATGTCCTCCTTATCAGGAGTCTATCCTGATTTGTACCATCTCCGTGCTTATTTGCCATAAGTGTCAGCCAAGCAGTACGAAGGATACACTAAACAACCCTTAATTGACCAGACCGTTCAATTAATCCTAAACATCATATCAGCTGCCAGTCTAGCATTTGTATGATAAACCTTAATTTCATACCGAAGAGACACCGTGACCTGGGCATTCTCCTCGTTATAATGCAGCACTACTCAAGTAAGGGGGCATACCAGCTTGTGTAGCCTAGGCAAATTGTGATACCTCGGCACCGACGGTCATCTATCCAGGATACGGTATTTCTACGCCGCCAAAGGCTTATCTACGCCAGGGGGATACTGAAGTAGGTGTATGCGCCTAGCAAATCATCTTGCAGCGCAATTGAGACCCGCCGTGAGCAAATGTATAGGTATTGGTATCAAATGCTCGGAATAGTTGGAGGAGACGCTTACTGCTACCAAGCCTTAAGTACTAATCCCAACCAACCAGTCTCCTGGGAAACTCTACAGTCCTTACGGATAGCTCACTGCATCTCTTGGGTGGCATTGCATTAGCTACTTCACGACCAGCCGCGGCCCGCGTTGCCTTGGCCAAGGGTGGGATGACATGAAAAGACCTGGAACTGGTTTAAGTCCACGTGTAAAACGGCGTCGCGCATCTGCCAAGATAGACTCGAAATCCAGGATGTTATCACCCATGTACTTAAGCTACGTTTTATACGATTCGTACCTGTTCAGCTGAAAACGCCGTTGGTCAGCGAATCTGGGTACTGTAAGTATGGCGACCAGAGAGCGGCCATGAATACCAATCTGTACACATTATATGTACAGGCGGCGGTTCTTGCCCGTGACATTATCACCTTCTTTATATTTCAGAACATCCAACTGTGAGAGGAGCGGTGATGTCGTAGGTCGGTTGGCCAAAGAAGATGTCATGCAGTTCCCCCAACATAAGTGTTCCTGTGATAGGAAGCAGCCCGAGCTATAAGTTTTCGAGCGAGCTTTGCAGTAGTCGCCATACACTACTTTCAATAATCGGAGATAAAGCAGCATGAGGATCGAGACTGGATTCAAGACCTAAGAAACATTGTTCGTCTAAAAGTCGGAGCCAGGCGCTTTCCTAGTGTACACTGCAGGATGACTAGACAACATCCTCGCTTACAGCCGGATCCAATTCCGCGTTCACGGAAGAGAAGAGATCAACACCTGCCGAGTCCCGACTAGGTATCTCCACAAATCCCTTTGGACTTCTTTCTCTAACATCAAGATACAGCGAGGTGACTACCGCTGCAAGAAGTAGTAGCACCGCAGAGATGAGAAATACGGGCTGCCAGCGCCCTCCATTATCTACTTCCCGATTAGTACTTGTGTATTGTAAGATCATAATTCTCGTGCAAACTCACCATCATTATCGTTTGTCGTCTGAAGCGCAATGATAACGAACACAAATAAGGGAATGTTCATGAGACTGTACACACGGGCCCTCGCCTCGTCCGTGACGATTGTGCCGCGATGATACGCCACGCTAGGCACGTAGATACCGTTACAGACTTCCAACAGCAAAAAGGAGGTGAACAGTCCTACTTCCTCTCGAACGAACGCTGCAGCCATGAAGCAGACGGCACTGATTACCAACGCCCCCATGAGGAGCTGTGTTGGAGTCAGGGTATACCTTCTCGACCCTTCGTGGCCGCCGCTATGGTCCGTAGCCGCTAGATTGTAAGACAACGCGCCCAGAACCATGATGGCCATGAACGAGGCGAAAATGACACCGTGTGGGATAGCGTCTTTCTCAATTGGATGGCCTCTGTCATGGGCGTCTTGCAGCGTCTCTGGCCAGAAAAACATAAATAGGAATATAGTACCATCAAAACAGCATGTCACGAAACTCATAGCCCACACTCGTAAATCCCACATCGATCCCGCCGCTTGGGCCAATGGTAGTTGTATTTGCGCTTCAACGGTCTTGTCGTCGCCGTCCGTGGGTGTACCGACAGTTGAGCCGACCCCCCAGTTTTCGCTCCAAGTTTGAACCATCAGTATTGCGGCGCAGAGGTCCAAAGCCTAGTGTTGATCAGTTTGTCAATATGTAGAGGCAATATTCGATGGTGTCGAGAAAGTCACTTACCACACCCAGAATGAAAGGGTGAATCTTAGACCCCAAGGCCAAAACGACACAATGTCCCAACACTACAACTCACGAGGTTAGTTACCACATTTTGAGCGCAAAATGATCTAGTAAAAACCGCAGGAAGCGTATAAGATGCACTTTGACCTCTAAGAACAGCCTTTTCCACTCCCACAATCATCTAACTAGAGTAAAAGGAAGGCACATCAAACAACTCACCACCCGCGAAAATAGCCGTTATACACTTCGACGTAGTCATGCTTCCAAACAAGGAGCTCAACGACAACGAGCTGCGCGCAAAGCCGCGCTCGTTATATTCAGCGACAAGCCAGCTCTCAAACGCCGTCCACAGCAGCGTGAGAGCAACCCCGCCTAACACTCTCCCCAGGACCAAGATAGGAAGCTGGTCGAAGCACACGGACACGGCGGCCAGGGAATGGATGCCGCAGAACACGAGACACGCTCTCCGCCGCCCGAAGCGATCAGTCAGATAGCCCGTGAAAAGCGCCGACACGGCCGCCGCGACGTAGGTGCTGCTATACAGTGCCGCGACCGTGGCCTCGTCGAGCGTCTTCTCGGTGCGGAAGAGGGAGTACATGAACGGGTTCTAGGGTTTGTGAGCATGAAGCTTTCCTCTGTGTGATAGGGATCGATCGCCTTACCTGGAGCCATTCAGACCCGATGACAAGGAGGTAGACGCGCAGGAAGGTCCGCCGGAACTCCCTCGCCTCGTCCCCGAGGGGGTCCGTCTCGCGCTTCTCGGGAGCCGCCGCTGTTCCGCGCAGCGAGGACAAGATCGTCTCGTGGCCCGCGACAACGGCGACGACGGGGACGAGGACGAGGAGTCCGATCCAGTATATGTCGAGGCCCATGTTGATCCCGCTATGAGCAATTTGTTTGCGCAGCGCAATCGATACATACAGGTCGGAAAGGAGCGTGGCATCGCGATTGACAGAAGAGTTCGTCTGATGTTGCGCAATGGCTGTTTTGAGACCAGATGGGTTTGACATTCCTTTGCTGCATAACATATTGTTTCCTCAATGGTAGTACTTATTTCGCCATTCCATGAGCATGGTACAGATGTCTCTTTTTAATTTGACGTATACACGGTCTATGGCTTAGTTGCATTCCTTGTCGTCTCAGATAGGTTCCCTAGAAGCTTCATAGGTAGCCTGTTCGTGATAGAATGTCCATTGCGGAATCGAGCGAAGGGATGGATAGTTAGCGTTTGATTACCCGCTATACGATCCGTTCCCTGGAAAGAAAAGGCTTATTGACTAGCATACTATTTTTCTCACGGTTGTCTTCTCCTCGGGGATATCATGATATCATCGGTTAGATGCACTTGAGAAGCAAGTTGGATATCGCTGGTATGGGTATATTCGTTTACGAACCAGCAATCTCATCCCTTTCATCTTCCCACTCGTCTTCATCCATGTCCTCATTCAATGCCTCTTCGCCATCGCCAGCCAGTCCTTCACTGTCAATTTCATCCTCTTCCATCATCTCATCGAAGAGATCGCTGTTATTACCATTGAACTCATCATCATCTTCATCCCCGTCGCCCTTTGCACCGCCTTTCGCCCCGCTGGCTGCGCGTTCTTTCCGCTTCTTCTCCACATTAGCCTTTTGCTCCTTTCTCCTGGCTTCCTTTTCTTTTGCCCTAGTCTCCCATCGCTTATCTAGTTCTTGCACCTCTTGTCTAGATTTGTGAATGTGCTCGTGCCACATAACTTTTCCTGAGCACATGCCTTCTTCAACCTTTGTCATTCGTAACTTCATGCGCGGTCCGAGTTCAACCAGTTTGACTTTGCGTCGCTCTACCCTTTCATCGTCTTCGGCGTGATCGTCTCCATTTTCACGAGCGGCACGAGCCTTAGTAGAGACTTTCCGAGGTGCATCTTCCAAAACTTCAACCTCAGCATCGGTGTCCATTTCGCTTCCGCTGGTGGCATCTGTCATGTATCCTTCTCCGTTCTCACCACCAATCATGAAATCGGCAATATCCTCAAGCTTTCCGAGATTCGGCACACCTCCTTTCCGGCCATTTTTCCCGTTAAGAATTTTCTCGGCAGCATTAAGCCTCCGAAGTGGCCTAGAGATGCCAGCAGCTTTGGTAGTTATAGCATAGTGTCGGAAGTTTAGGACAAACGACCCATCGTTCTTGTCGGTGGCCGGTTCTCTATTTATTAGAAGCACGCGCCGTATTGACTTAAGAGGAGTCGTTTGTGGGTTTATACGTGGGAACATCGACTGGAAAATGGTAGTCGTAAGGGTTTCTAAGTGTTTAGGAACAGGGGTGTGAGTGTCTGAGTTGGGAGTAGAGATGTTATTCATTATGAGCTACAGCAAAGCAATTGGTAGGTTAGCGACCGGTATGGATGGAAGCAAGTGGGCATTATACTATCATACCAATGGGGGTGTGGTGTATTCCTTGCCACCACCTCTCGGATGTCTCTGGGCACGACGCACGTCTTTGCACAGAGAATATTTTTCAACTCGGAAATGCAGTGTTGGGCCTCTCGGGGTGGTAGCGACTCGCAAGTTTGTGTTGCCAGACTCGGATCGCGAGAATAGTAGGAGGTGAGTGACACCTAATGGCCCGGTCATAGTGACATAGTCTCGCAACCGATTTGCACGGCGCTCTTTCAGGCGGCTAGCGGTACCCGGTTCCATGACTTGACGAACATCTTTGGCCAACTGGCTGACACTAGAACCGACCTCGCCAGCGCCAATGCGAATGACCATGCTCTTGGGGTCTGAGGCCGCAGAACGGCCAGTCGGCGGTGCCTGGTGTTTGGGGTTTGCGGCGCCGACATGTGTGCGCTTTTTCGTACGTTGTTTCGCCATTGCTGAATTGGTGCGCCTCAAATCGCGCTTGGACAATAAACAGGGTGAGTTCGCAAAGACGATTTGCGTCTGTTCCTAATAGTAGCAGAGCAGGTTTTTAGAGCTCTCCCTGCGACTTCTTCCTAACCTAGGTAGTTGGGAAGGTACTCTGGAAAAAAACATGGACCAGATAATGATAAGATAGACTGATAGCCCCGCTGTGGGATCCGCTCTAGCGGTACGCTAGTTCGGTGCGGACAGGGCCTAGGACGACCTGCCAAGCACATTCAGCAGGCTTTAGTCGATTTTCATGTGAATATACCGAGTCCTTTAGTGCATGTCCACTTAAAAATCTTATCTACTGTAGCCCAACCTTATCTTATCCAACATTTTGTTGCGCTTACCTTTGCGACATCGTCACTTAAGGTATTGGTTATCGACTACCTACCTTTGCACAAAGCGCCCGACGCCCTCACTAAACGCTACCAATCGAATTGCATACAATCTGCACATTATAGAAACTGACATATCTCACGTTTTGTCTCCTATGGCACCGTCGGTAAAGAAACGAAAGGTGTCTCGATCCGAGACCCTCCAGAACGATCACGATGATAACTCTCAGGCTGGGACATCCTCTTCGCCTACCGAGTCTGCTACGCTAGTGGATGAGAGCCCGGCCGCCGGTGAACCTGAAGCCCCCAAAAAGACATTCAAGGAATTGGTACGATGTTATGCCCACTTCTGCAGTCGTCCATCAACTAATTCATTCGGTGGATCAGGGTCTTATCGACAGCTTATGCGATGCTTGTGCTTCGTTGAATTATACACATCCTACCCCTATCCAAGCGAAGGCCATCCCCGAAGCCCTCTCTGGCCGAGATATCATAGGCCTAGCCGAGACAGGCTCTGGAAAGAGTACGGTGTTTTAGGTTTCCTCAGTCCTCCATGGTCACTGACTTTTGCTTGACAGCGGCCGCCTTTGTACTCCCCATATTGCAGTCGCTTCTTGAGCGGCCTTCACCCCTATACGCCTTGATTTTAGCGCCCACCCGTGAATTGGCACAGCAGATTGGTCAGCAGGTTGATGCTCTTGGCGCCACAATCTCTGTCCGAAGCTGTACCATTGTTGGAGGGTAAGTTGTGACGGACTAGTTCCGATTCCGTGATTAGAAAGTCGTACGGTGTATGGGCTGTGAAGCCCTTCGAGGGCGTTTTCTCAAGGGGTATTTTGCTAATTCCTTGTTTATTAGTCTCGACATGGTTCAACAGGCGGTGGCATTGTCCAAACGCCCTCACATCGTAGTCGCTACGCCAGGAAGACTCCTCGATCATCTTGAAAAGACCAAAGGTTTTAAACTAAATTCTCTTAAATACCTCGTAATAGACGAAGGTGACAAGTTACTTGATATGGACTTCGGACCAGTCATAGACAAATTGCTCAAGTTTTTACCAAGGGAGAGTACGTATTACAAAGTTTCAGCATCACCTATAGGCAAGTGATAGGGTATGCTAGGATCGCTGACCTATGACCTAATTAGGACGAACTTTCCTCTTCTCTGCAACGATAAGCTCAAAGGTAGAATCATTACAAAGAGCCTCTCTACGAGACCCTGTCCGCGTTCAGGTGTCATCCAGTAGATACCAGACTGTATCAACATTAAAGCAAGTATGTTAATCCCCAGCTGGCCCATATTTTGGATTTGGATGCTGATCTGCTAACTTCCGTTTAGTACTACGTAAGTTTTGTGTGATATTACAACCTAGAAGATATGACTGGCTATTGGCTTTCTTATACTGGCACAAAAACGACTAACATTCACTTTCTGAAGCTATTCATACCCCAGGCGTTTAAAGATGTCTATCTGATATACTTGCTGTCCGAGTTTGCAGGGCGTACGATTTTAGTTTTCACCAGAACTGTCTTCGACGCCCAAAGAATCTCCATTATGATTAGACACCTTGGGTTCAAGGGCATCCCTCTTCACGGTACATGAACTGTTCTCTTTTTGCGGTTTCAATATCCCAAATTTCATCAAACTTTTGTTCTAGCAAAGAACACATTCGGCCTCTTATACTGACCCCAAAATAGGACAACTAAATCAATCGGCCCGTCTGGGGGCGTTGAACAAATTCAAAAGTGGTGCAAGAGATATCATGGTTGCAACAGATGTCGCAGGTACGAAACCCAATCCCACCATTATATTAGCCATTCTAACGATAAACAGCAAGAGGACTTGATATCTCTGGTGTGCAAGTGGTTTTGAATTATGACCGTTAGTAGTTTCCCTTCTTGTGGCGTCCGAAGCATAATTCTGCGTGCCCTTGTAGCTTCGACCAAATGTGAGAGATGTAATTAACATGATACCTCACAGTCCCTGGCGATAGTAAAACTTATATCCACAGGTAAAGACTTTATTCAACTTTATGCATTCCTTATTGACTAACGAAATCAGAGTTGGCCGTACGGCGCGTGCTGGACGGAGTGGAAGCTCCATTTCGATGTGTACGCAATATGATCTTGAGATCTATGCTCGTATCGAGGCTGCCTTGGGCAAAAAGTTACCAGAATACCCTGCACCTCGAGAAGAAGTTATGGTTTACCGCGAACGGGTCGAAGAAGCGCAAAGGCACTCTCGAAACGAGATGAAGAATCTGATGGATGACCGGGGAAACAAAGGGTCTGTCCTGAGCGGTCGTAAGGCCGGCCAAAGCGCTATGAAGAGACGTCGTGACAACATGGACGCTGAAGAAGGCTAAGACCTTGTATTATGGATGCATTGCAAACGAGACACATATCGAGAAAAATAGGCTCGTGCAAAGGAAGTGTTACGGATAAAAGTGGCATGGCTATGGTTTAAATAGCTAGATTGGACGGAAGAGATCTGGCATTTGACCACTTAATACTAAACTAAATTTTATTGAAAATGTAAACTTCGACCAGGCTGTATCCTCTGTGTGCTCAGACGGGCACGTAGTATGTGCTGTTTAGACAACAACTCCTAAGACAGGCCGTTATCTAATAGTTATCCTATTGCACAATCTCCATCTTTAGTTGATAAAACCTGTATACAGGAGTCCTCATTTGGTGGACGGGTTTGTTGCAATACTACCTAGGGGTTCCTAGCCACGTAGCCCCTTAGGATGCATGTATGTTTGCGGAACATCGTGATGCAAGCTGGAAGAGACACTTGCCCAAAAGTATGTTGAGTGCTACCTATTAGTACCACTGTCCCATAGATGTCTCAGATGTATGACACCTAATTAGAACGAGTAAGGGCGCCAACAGGCGAGAGCAATGAACCATGTCGACAGATCACAAGGATACTCTGGGGTAAAATACTCCGTTTGGCTCTGTTCGGAATGCCACCCTCCATGTCTCCCCAAACATACTCGGCCCCCCTGCCGGTAATAGTGTGAACTATCTATGCTTGCCAGTTTTTCCATCAAGCAGCGATTAGCATTCACTGAACATCAACAGTCAAACCGGGATTATGGAGACAGGTTGACTTAGGACTTCATGCCCTTACCCATATAATAAATACACTTGAGAGTTCGCAATAGTAGACACTTTCTCTTTTGGTGATGTCACACATGCTCTATCTTATAAGTGGTAGATAAATACTCTTTGTAAATGGGTTGGCTACAGCATCTCTCAGCAGTTTTACTGCTGGCTCTTGTTTCTCGGGTCTCTGGACTACTTGCATTTCCCGGCGCCGAAGGCTTCGGCCGGAATTCCGCTGGTGGAAGGACTGGCAGTGTATATCACGTTACAAATCTTAAGTACGTTGGATTAATCGCCTTAGGCGTGTAGCTCAGAGTGCAACAGTTGACAAGGTCCGAACATCCAGCGATCAGGGCTCCGGGTCGTTTCGAGATGCAGTCTCTAAGGCTAATCGCATCGTGGTCTTCGATGTAGGCGGCACAATCAACATCACTGATCGGGTGGTTGTCTCCAGTAAGCCCCTTCCTAACTGTTCAATCTCACCTGCAACGAACGTCTCAGACGGATTTTATATACGACATATTCTCAGTATCGCCAATATTTTGCCATGATAATGTGTTTTGACATTTCTTGAAGAGAACATCTACATCGCGGGACAAACGGCCCCAGGGCAAGGGATAACGATTTACGGAAATGGGCTTTCATGGTCGAATGCGAACGAAGAAATCGTACGCTATATCCGTTTCCGCATGGGCAGGTCGGGTGACTCGGGCAAAGACGGCATAACCATCGCCGATGGCCAGAACATGATTTTCGACCACGTCTCCGTGACTTGGGGCCGGGATGAGACCTTCTCAATCAATGGGAAGGTTACAAATGTGACGATCCAGGACTCAATCATTGGTCAGGGACTAGACACGCATAGCTGTGGTGGACTAATACAGACCGATGGCGGCGTGAGTCTCTTTAGGAACCTGTACATTGATAACAAGACGCGCAATCCGAAGGTAAAAGGGGTAAACGATTTCCAGAATAACGTAAGATTCGCCCCGGATTGACCATCTGATAGCCTGCCTATTTCTAACCTTGTTTACTAGGTTGTGTACAACTGGGGAGGTGGCGGCGGCTACATAGCCGGTGATTCTGCCGGCCCAAGTTACGCAAATATCATCAACAATTACTTCATCTCAGGCCCTACATCAAGTGTAGCGGCCTTCACACGAGGCAACGCCAATTTCCACGGATGTCAGTGTCTCCACAACGCTCCGAGATGTCTACAACGCTATTCAGATGGAATCTGACATTCACTAACTTACCTTCTTCTCTTAGACGTTTCCAACAATTTCCACGACTCCAACCGCAATGGCGTCCTCGACGGCACGGCTCTCTGCGCCCAGAAGATGTGTTACGGCGACATGGACGTCGTGAAGACCAAGTACACCTACCCCGGCCCGACGAAGCTGCGCAGCCCCCAGGAGGCCGTGACATACGTGCTCGCCAACGTCGGGACCACGTTTCCGGCGCGTGACGCCATAGACAAGATCCTCGTGGCCGAGGTGCAGAGCTGGGGGAGAAAAGGCCAGCTCATTAGCGACGAGAGGGCGAGTCCCATGTACGGCCCAGGATACATCGCCGGGGGCACGAAGCCGATCGACTCGGACGGCGACGGGATCCCGGACGCGTGGGAACAGGCTAATGGATTGAACCCTCGGGATGCGAGCGATGCTATGAGGATCAGTAGCTCTGGGTACGCCAATATCGAGGTATACGTGAACTCGCTGGTGCCGTCTTCGTAGCTTTCGGTGAGTATGAGTTGGACAGGACAGAAAAATCGGTAAAGGTAGCATGAACAGTGCCTCTCGGCCAATGCGGACTACTTCTAGCATGCTTTTCTTTTATCGTGTACACTATATGGAAAGTACGCTGCGCTACTGATGATCCCTCAACGATCAGACAGACCCTAGGAAGTCCTATCAATCAAGAGTGAAAACGCGAAAGGAACCCTAGTAATATATTCGCATTCAGGGCAAGCAATATAGCTCGCCTATGGGTAATGAACCAATGCGGCTGTCCTACCTCCTAGACACAGATATATACATATTTCGTCAATCTACACAAATATCCCGATATGGGCGGATTATGGATAGTAGGCATGCTCGAAGGTGAAGAGGCACGCAGCTGCCTCGAATATAAGTCAGACGGAGGGACGTCCATCCGCTTCGTGCCGCATTTCTCTATTGTCCAATGCCACCTCTGTCAAAAGTTGAGAACAGCGACAACGCGGCCGTAAGCGTCGAATACTACACCGACACACCTTTAAGCCACATATTTCAAAAGGGAGTAAACTCAGCGACTCTAACCCGGCACAGAAGAAGGCACAAGCTACCCAAAGATAACGCATGCAAACACAAGCCTGAACAGCCGAAAAGGCCGCGATAAGATGCCAAACCGAGATGCTGGAAAGTTTTGTTGGGCCGCAATCGTGGGATTGTGGCCGAAGTGAGAGAGGGCTAGCTAGCCAACCGGAACTGCTCTAACACTTGTCAACCAGAGAGGTTGCAAGAGGCGTGGGGTTTGTGGGGTTTATTAGTGAAAGCTCAGTCTTTGTTCCAGATATGGGCAATCAAGCAGAATCTTCTACCCTGCCTTACCTTTTTTGCGTCTTTTCTTCCCAAATTGCTTTCCACGCCGATGCTGGCTGTCATCGCACGACGCTCGGAGGCCTGCATTCGGCTTGTTATAATACGCCGTTTCGAAGGTGCTTTACATGTCACTCAATTGCACGATTGAGTTACCTCGTGTTGTCTATGTATTAGATGTACAGGGGTCTAGTGATTAGACGGTATACAACACCTGCAAAAAGTTCGCTGGTCGCTGGAGCTACGTGGTTTTCGAAGATATTCATCTATTCCGCTGATCCTAGCACAACATGATCCGTAGAAAGACAAATGATCTACCAACTAGATGGGAATGAGAACCAACAATAAGGAGTCATATGGGAAGAGATGGAGATGGTGGTCATAGTGACAACCGAGGCATAACAGAGGACGATAACGTGTCAGATGATCACATCAGTCTTCCTCATCATCGCCGCCGGTAGCGGCTGCTGCGACAGAAGTCTTACCGCTGGCGGGGACGTCAACACCGACTTTGGCCTTCGAGCTTGGCTCATCGGCATCATCGTCTTCTTCCTCTTCCTGATCACCATCTTCTTCCTCATCCTCCTCGCCGATCGCTGCTTCAACTTCTTCGTCGTCCAACTCCTCTTCCTCTTCGCCATCGTCGACAGCAGGGGCGCTTGCCGTCTTCTGCTTCTTCTTTGGGGGAGCGTCGGCTACAGGGATGACGGAGTGTTAGTCAGATATAATACCACCAGCATTGCAGAAGAACGCTGCGCTAGGATACCACTGCAAGGGAGAAGCAGAAGGACTGCATTGACTTACGCTGTACTCCGTTCTTCACTTCTGGCTCGCCTTCTTCGTCGTACTCTTCGTCCTCCTCTTCCGCGTCGTCATCATCATCGTCCTCTTCCTCCTCTCCGTCAGACACGCTAATTAAGAAGCCTATTAGTCAAAACGCTCATTGCCATTGCTATAGGCTTCACAAGAAAGCCTAAGAACACGTGGTTACAAAGCGCTAGCTCTCCCGTGGATATGACTTCGCCGGCGCATATACAGCGTTCTGGTGCGCAGTACGATGGAATTATCTGACCCTGGTCGAGCCAAAGGTCGCACGATAGTCGGAGAAGGTTGAGGAGACTACGAGAACTTACTACTCCTCTTCTTCCTCGCTTTCATCACTTGGGAGCGCAACGAGCTCCTCGTCCTCTTCCTCCTGCTTCCTCTTACGAGCACTCATTTTGGCGTAATCTTCGAGATAAGGGATGTCAAGCTGGTGGGATTCGGGTGACTAGGTAAGAGAAGTGAAGGGTGGACGCAATTGGGACTAGGAAATGCAGTATGGAAAGAAAAGATGGACGGAGGGAAGAGAGGATGGGCGGGAGCTGGGGAGGTAGGGGGGCTGTTTAGCTGTCGCGCCGGAGGAAGGCTGCTGGGGGGGGGGGAGTAGGGGACAGTGGGGGAGGTAAGCTGGACAGGTCAAGCTGGGGCTGGGGGCCTGGCACACTCAGGAACTGAGAGCAAGGAGGAGGGAAGAAAGAAAGAAAGGAGAATGGGAGCGGGGGGTGAGGTCAAGCAAAAGGGTGGAAGGGTGAGTGGACGAGGGACTGGAGCTTAGAGTAGAGCTCTACAGCTTGCTTTTTGGCTTTGGCTCTGGCTTTGCCTATCTGGCGCAATTGCTTATTACCTACCCTGACGTCTATGAGACCTACCGCCCAGTAACGTTCACCCGGCTACGCCGTGGGGCCCTACCTCGTAGAGGAGGAGAGAGAGGGAGGGTAGAGAGAAGGCTGGAGCAGCCCCGGGGTGAACGTCGTAGAAAGCTTGGGGGGGGAGGCGGAAGAGGAGGACGAGGAGTAGGTAGGTCGGCGGGAGGGAGTCGAGGGAGTGAGTGTGTGGGCAGGTGGGAGTGCGCACTGCGCTGCGTGTAAGTGAGTAGGCGTCATTCCGACCCGCAAATCTACCTGGCTAGGTACACTACCTATCTACCTAGTAGTTGAAAGCTCGACGGTTGTTGTAGCGGGATACCAGGCCCCAAGAATACCGAAGCCCATAAGCCATGATGTATATGTAAGTAGGTCTGATGTACTGGACGTCACTCCGGGCGCTGCAAGCAATGGCGCGGTACCTCGCATTACCTACATCTCCATCCTGCCCTACATGTGGATGAGGGAACGGGCGACGGGGGATGATGGACGATGGGTGGACCAAGCACCTACAGTAGCCTAAGTAAGGAGTCTGCATGTATCCAAGTTCCACTACCTACCTCCATAGGGTAGCAAGGTAGCTAGCGAGCTAGCAGAGGTGCAGAGGTGCAGAGCGAAGGTTGCTACGATCGGAGCCGGCTGGTCTTGGTAACTCGAAAGAAGCATAGGGGATAGAGGGGAAGCTCCAGTCTAAGCATGAAGAGGGCCTCGAGCGTGAGTGGAATGGTCGAATGGTGGAAATGGTTGGTCGGGAGAAGATTCGTGTAGCACCGTATATATTAATCAGAATCACTGTGTGTCTACTGTGCTGCACTGCTGCCTCGCTGCCTCTCGCCTCTGTCCATCTCCAGTGAGGTGAGTGAGTGTCCAGCCGCACCCCTGCCTGTGGTCTCTGTGTCTTCGTTCTCTTCTCTCCACGGGAGAGCTCGGTCCTCTTCCAAGTCCTGGTCCTGAGAGCTGGGTTGCTTCCAAGCTTACTCACACACGGCAGTACACTGACCCCTTGTCGAGGACGTCCGAACTTTGTACGCTTCTTGGACGCATTGTCCCGCCGCGGCATCCTTCTTTCTTCGTCTTGTGATTGCCTATTGCGTAGAGCCTAATATGAAGCTCGATCCTATCAATATGATCGGGTAGGCATCCAGTAGAGTTGTTATGCTCGGTGTATCATTATGTTAACATATATGGCTGTGGCAAGCTAGTAAGTACTTGCCAGAGCAGTCAACTAACAATGGGGGGAAATAGAATAAAAACAATAGGCAGAATGCGGCCCATGCTGACAGTCTGCAAAACCGCAACAGCTAAACTGTCCCCTTGCCCGGGTCTGCAAGGTCTACTGTTGTCTGAAACAGGACTATCGAAGATGAGGTTGGGGACTGTTCTGTTAATATGAGACTAGATTTTTTTTAGGGGTGGATGGATTGTAGCAACCCTCTTGTCTTCAGGTAAGGTAGTAGGTAGATCAACAAGAACAATGCCATAGCGGACGGTAGAATTGACCCTGCTGTGTTCGAGTTTGCTGCTGCATGGACCATGCTATAACTACAGTTGGTATGATACCTATTAGTCAGGTATCTAAATAATAAAACGGATTCGACGGACACGAAGCGACGCGATAATCAATCGCTGGAAGGATATCTAAGCATTCTGTGCTACCAGGTGAACGAATGGGAAGGTTATTTCCATCTCCTCTTCCGGGTTAATTGAGTCGTGGTCAACTCCAAGCCAGCGACATCGGCTGATTTTATCGACATTTGAACGGCGAGTCGGCGGGCATTTGATTGTCAAATACCTCCTACATGGGATAGTACGTTGGCAGAAACGGCCAACATGAATGTCTTATTAGTTGCGGCGACTGGTAGTTTGTAGCCGAGACAATTGCGCAGAATTGTCTCTTGGGTTGAACTTGACCTGGAACCGGCTCTAGCTTTCGGGCCGGTCAATGACCAGACCACATAACTGCCGGAGAAGCAAAGAAAATATGGCTAGCACTCGCGGTCTCTTGGAGTGGAGGCGAGAGGTAAGTGAGGCAGAATGGCTGAAGACTTCCATCTAGCTAGTCCCGAGAAAAGAGACGCATCCCTCTCCCTCTCCGGATGCTGGGAAATTACCACCGACAACAAGTAAAATTTCACTACCTAGGTACCTACATAGGTAGATTTGGAATGGTACTTAATGGATGTAGGTATACATACTATGTATGGACTTAGGTAGGTAGGCTAGAGTTGTACCTACTACCTTCACTGGGGTAGCATCCGTCACAATTTCGCGCCGCGACAAAGTACTGTATACTAGACACAGTGACATATCACTTCACACTATCCGCGTAGGTATGTCTTGGATAGCCCACAGGTAGGTATTGTAAATTGGCAACATATTACATGTTCTCGTGCGCTAGGTATGTGTATTCCTACAGCTGACTACCTAGGTAGGTATGCCTCTACAGCCAGTCAGTGCCTATGTTTGTTTGTATGAGGAGAAGGTAAATATTGTCATCTGCCTAGGTAAGAATTCATGTTGTAAGTTCACATACCTACCTAGGTTGTTTGCAAGAGTATGATAGCACGCATGCTTACACGCAGCAATGAACCACCCAGGTGGAGAGAGACCTGCATGTAAGTACCGTAGGCATATTCGAATTTAGGAAGATTGATTTTAGTAGGGCATCAACTTACCCCGTAGTCAGTAGGTTAGTACTTTGTATACATCTCTATGTAGGTAGCTAGGATGATTCCTCCACCTGTATTGTAACACAAAAATGATTGATGCTCTCTCCGAGCTCGCCATAGCGCAAACTCGCAGGAAGAAACCAGCAAGGTAGACTACCTAAGTAGGTAGGGCAATGACGTCGGACGGTGCACAGCATATGCAAGGGCAAGAGACATTCTGTCTCAATATCCGGGGTGCCTGACGAAGCGCGTCATATCAATAGATATTCACTGGGGATTTACTGCCATGGCGGACAGGGTGCCAGCCTACCTTGCCTTGACTCCTTCATTTGAGTGAACAAAGCTTCCTGTCTGGTTCTTTTCCTCTTCGGTGTAACACCAACCTGAATTGGCCAATCAAGACAGGTTGATACCTGAGCTGTGTCGCCAAGAAAAGGGCCAGAATCCTGTCGACTGTGGCCCGCAACCACCTCGCCGGAACTTGACGAGGGATTCTAGCTTCTCAGTAGTCTACATCTAGTGGCATAGACACCACAATGCCTGGCTAGCTGTTTGTACACCATGCTGTCTTTTGGAAGCCCAAATTGACCCATTGCTTGCGATTGCTAGGGCAGTAAGTAAGTTTGATTGATATTATCGCCGACCTCATGTACCTAGGTAGCGTCGTAGTAATTGAAGGTGCTAATTTGTGCCATCTATCAGTGCTGCTGTATGCGTGCATACCTTATGTTGAGGTAAAGAAACCTACAGAGAAACCATGGCACCTAGGTACACTCTACACATAAGGTAGACGAGCTGTTTGGAATAATAGGCATACTACTAGGTTGGTAAGTATACAGGGTATGTAAATGACTGCCCCATTCGAGGCTCGGTATATCCCTGGACTATATCTCACATACACACATACACCACTACCAAAATGCATATCATAGGCTGCTCAGTAGCAAGCATCTAGGATAAAGATTTGCTAGCCTCCTCCCAGTCAACTTTTTATCAAGGTTTGACCATCTTGGCTGGAGAGACAAAGGAGGCAGCAGATGGGTTGGGCCTTTAAATTTAAATAAGAAACAAGCGCAAATCTTCAACACCTCGAGTTGGAACGTCATTCACTTCATACTGATCTTTACCGATGTGGAGGTACGGAGGTCGAGGTCATACATAGTATATGCCCATCACTCTTGGTGTTGCTCTACCGTGCCAAGCCTGATGCATATTTGCGAGCGAAACCTACGTACCGTAGGCCATAACATTAATGGGATGCTTAGGTACGAGAAAACGTGCTTGATAGTGTGATAGGTAGCCTCGACATAGTACCTGTGGGAGCCAAGGAAAATTGCCCAACTACTAAGTACGTGACGTTATAGCCCTTCTTAGCAGATCTGGCCCGAGAAGCCGCGGAGGCGGTACAAAATGAGAGCAGCGAGCCAAGCCGAGGCTATAATATACGCTTCGACGCGTGTAGCTTGAGATGTCCTTGGGTTGGAAACATGTGAAAGATTGTGTGCGCCGGTAGGCCTAAAGCGCCGAAGGTACGCAGACGTTTCAACGTGCCGCAAGACTTTGGCAATGCTTTAGCACTTTGCAAAGGGAGTTGAAGCATGGCGTCTTATAGGGCGTAGAATAGAGCCATGATCGTTTGATAGAGCCACATGAGAAATGGTACCTATTTGTAGGAAGTATTGTGATTGCACGTGAGTGCTACCTATATCCCTAAACAGGAGTACCAGCTCTTATAAATCATCTGGTTTAAGTTTCAGGTTTCTGCAGAACCTCCATAGTATAGCCTTACGAAGAGCATTTGTTTGCACTAAAGTATGCCAATGATGTATAGCCCGTTTTGTTCCTCATATAGAACATTTTTGAGTGTATAAGAGCAGCCTTCGCTAAAGAATGGTAAGAACCTTGAATGAACAATGATGTATGGTATAAAGTAGCTAATAAGAACTAACCGCCTGCTATAGAAAGTTGTCTGTAAGGATTTCTTGATAATTTGTAACTAAAGCCGCCCTTAAAACCGGACTGAAGTGCACAGGTTCCATTAGGTAAGTAGGTACTTACGTACATACCTACATTGTAGGTCGGGTCCCCATTAAGTCAGGTACATGCAAGTACGTTATACATCTACTAGTAGGTAGTATGTTTGGGCCCAACAGTGGGTGCGCGTAAAATGAACGATGAAAAAAAAAAGGGCCAAGGCGAAAACAACGAACTGCACAAGGTCATTCATTCTACCATTTCACTGTCCGGCTAGAGGCAGAGAGATTGAGATTGGTAATTATCCAAGTGGTTAGGGCAGTTACTTAGTACAGGACAGGGTTGTATCTTGTACTTAGTAGTATGCGCCATGCTGTGTGATCGTTGGTCTGGTGGTATCCCATGCTCTACCTGTAACTTGATCAACACAAACCAGCTTCTTGGTTCCCAATCCCTGTTATTTGTCCCGGCTTGCTTACACTCTTACACTCCTTCATTCCTCGGGGCTGCTCTGGTGCTGTCACCATTTTTTCCCTCTTCATTTTCTTCTTGTTCCGACCCCTACGCTACACCTTACCTGCTACCCAGTGTAGGCACAGCTAGGACCGGCCTGCTGTGGTGGAAATCGGGTGTGTGCGTTTGTGGCTTCATTTCTTTCCACTCCTTTCCCTCTTTTGGTCCGCGCCACAAATCCATTCTATCGTTCGTGTGTGTGCCCGTGTCTCAAGAGGCCCATACATATCTTGCAGTGGTACCAGCAACATCGATTGTAGCCAGGAACCTCTTACACAATCCTTTCAACTTTGTGTACCTCGAACCCTCTAGTTCTTGCACCACCATTATCCTCCACTGTGCCCTGGGCGCTTGCATACGTTTTACTCGCATTACACTTGCATATATCCGCCCACCGGCCTTCGTTTATGCATTCCTTTGTCACCCTCGAGTCCAAAGTATTCTAACCGACTGGATGCCTCAGCTCGCCTCGGGATCCCATCACCTTACTCCATCCTGTACTTTCGTCACTTCTTGTCTCAAGCCGTTTAGGCTGAGACACACTTCGACTCGCCTCTGCCTTGTCCAGACGTTCAATCCGGTCCCGTATCTCGTGCCCGCTCTCGTCTCCTCGAATCCGACTATCGTTAAGAGCATGGATGGTCCCTGACCTCTGTTGATAACATCATCCGCTTCGGCCTATATTGTCATAGTGGCTAGTAACCCGACGATTAAACATCTGGAAACCGAGTCCAGCCGCACACTCACTGCTCAAAGGAGGGTTTTGCACACTACGATATCGAGGTTGGCCGGTCAAACAACATTATTAGGCTTCTACGTTTTTGCGAGTGTTGCACGCGTCAGAAAGGGGATATAGCCTGTGATATTCATACGACACAAGCAACTCAGCTCCAAGCTTCTGGTTCGGGGGACAATGGCCGTTGTTGAGCATGTAAATGATGAGCTCTCGAGCCTTGCGAATCAGCATCCTAACACGCGCGTTGATACTCATGTCACGGATTCTGGCTCGGGTGTAATGCTGCCCTCAGAAGGCGGGCCGGTTCGCTTTCCTCGGCGAGATCACAGCTTGAACTTGAAAGAAGCCGGAGCCTCTGTTACTCGGGATTGGAACTTGAAACATACTCCGGAGAGGAGCCCTACTTTACCTTCCCCTTCCTTCTCTTATTCATCTTCTACTCGCTCAGCTCACAGACAGAACACTGGTGGAAACCTATATGAGCAGAGCCATTACCAATCTTCAGTCTCTACAACGTTGTCGACACATGCCACGAATGCCTTATCCCGCGACCCGCGCTCACATACAGGCTACAGGAGAGATATTCCCTCATTGTCTTCGCAGGTGTCCTCGCCACCTGTCTCCCCACGGTGGGATTCACTTCCTAAGACTGCTGGTGGTTTCTATAACCAAACAGCGACATCCGCCCCCAGCTCGCCCGTGGCCCTCGAGTTTGGCAACGGATTATCTTCTGCGATGAATGAGCCGCACCGAAGCATTGACTCAGTGACTTCTGAGACGAGAGACGAATTTCCTCCCCTATTGTTCGCTAAGCCGACGGCCATTGAAACCCCCGTATTCATCGAGAATTTTTCACGACCCCGTGTTCCGAGTATTAAGCAACCATACCACGACGGGCCTCGACTACGATCCCCTACCCAACCCCAGCCTGAGCCCACTCAACATGATCCCACTAATGTACTTGCTGGCCCTTGGCCTCGATCCCGAGGTCCATCCATTTCATCCAACAAGTCTGCTTCTACATTCGCTTCTGTTGCTTTAAGACCGTCACATGATTCTCTTAATCGGAGTGATCCGCGCGGCAGGGTTCGGCAACCCCCGCCAATCCGTCTACCTGGCACCTACGGTCGTGCTGAGAGCAGTGGTCCTAGTTTATCTCGTGATGCTATTCCTCGGATGGCCTCGCTCCCTAACGATGAGCTTAGGTCCAGTTTCCGATCCCAACTTACTGCCTCAACTGCCCAGGGGACCCTAACAACCGAGAGGAGCAGTGTGCTGACTAAGAGCAGCTCTGTAACATCTGTTTATGGGACCGTTGATGATACCCTTAGCGTAGACGATGTGCTAGGCCTCTACGACAAGGGATTTGACGATGATTCTGCGCCAGAAGATAATGATCTAAACGAATCGCCCCCACCAACAGCGATATCCGAGGCAAGTAAGGAAAGAACAATAGAGATAGATACCGCGCCTGAAGTCACCACCACCCCTCCGGAACCGCTTCAACCACCTTCTATCTTTAGGGACGATGGTCCCATTGTACGCGATTCAGCTGCTATTTTCAACATTTCCGACCATGAGCCTACGCGAATCGAGCCTACGATGCCACAGAAAGAAAGTTCTGATACGTTTGATGTCGTCCAACCCAGTTCTAGCGAGGATTTCACTCCGTCGCCCCCAGTCCGTCATGAGACGAACCTAACAACCACCGGGGACGACGAGCGTGATAGATATGGTTTCAAAAAGAGTAACCAATATATTACATGTGAAGAATTTGATCGATGGGACACTGAGTACTCTAAGTATCTTGCTCGTCGACGGAAAAAGTGGCATGCCTTCTTGAAAGAAAATGGGCTCATGACGGATTCTCCTAATCGTTTCCCTCCACGCTCCGCCAAGGCCAAGCGGTTTATTCGAAAAGGAATTCCCCCGGACTGGCGAGGTGCAGCCTGGTTCTATTATGCTGGCGGCCCTGCTATTGTGGCTAAGCACGCTGGACTGTATGGCGAACTCTTAGATTGTGAGGTAAAGGAGGTGGATGCTGAGGCTATTGAACGCGACTTGCATCGTACTTTCCCAGATAATATCAGATTCCGCTCATCAGCATTCCCTAGCGCACCTATTCACGACAAGACCTCGGCACGAAATAGTCAACAGACGGTGACAAGTTCAGCAAATAATTCTGCCGCACCCGGCGAAACGGCTATTATTTCCTCCTTGCGCCGCGTGCTCTATGCTTTCTCTGTTTACAACCCACGCATTGGCTATTGCCAATCTCTTAATTTCTTGGCTGGACTGTTACTTTTATTTGTTGAGTCGGAAGAGCAAGCATTCTGGTTACTCAATATCATCACAAGAGTGTACCTCCCCGGTACGCACGAGATGAGTCTCGAGGGAGCTAATGTTGACTTGGGCGTGCTTATGTCGTCAATCCGAGATACGATGCCTAACGTATGGGCGAAGATTGGTGGGGAATTAGATGGCACAGATGTTGCACGGCCCAAAAGTCGGCGCCATAGGCATCGTGTTGAGTTGACGACCCGCCTCCCCCCCATTACCCTTTGCATGACAGCCTGGTTCATGAGCTGTTTTATTGGAACATTACCGATCGAAAGCACCTTGCGTGTGTGGGACATTTTCTTTTACGAAGGCTCCAAGACGTTATTTCGTATTGCACTGACAATTTTCAAGCTTGGTGAGCCCGAAATAAAAAAAGTGGGCGATCCGATGGAGATTTTCCAAGTTGTGCAAACGATACCCCGGAAAATTATCGACGTCAATGGTCTGATAGAAGCATGTTATAAGCGGCGCAATGGATTCGGACACCTCAGCCAGGAAAGCATTGAGCAGAAGCGTCTGGAAAGACGAAAACATGTCAAAGCAGAGAAAGAGCAGCTTGCATCGGGCGAATCCATTGCATCGGTAGATGCCGAGATGGGTAGAAAAGGTACACTATTCAAACGGAAACCCAGGGATTAAGATCATCTCAATCCAGGCTTGCAGCACCATTTCTCGCTCGCCATTGGGCCCATCATCTAGCGTACAAGCCTGCGGCAAACACGGGGTTTAACGATCAATGGGTCACACCGGGTGTTCCCTTATCGACCGGGACTTGTCCAGTCGACGTCCCGATCGGAATATCGCATACTACCATTCAGCAGCCCAGTGAGAGGCTACTGTTCTTCACTCCTTTCAACTTGATTTCTTTTTTTATAACGCGTAATGAGATGACGAATATTCATAAAAAAGCATGGCGGCAAGAAAGGATTCGCAAAAAACTTAGATTCTGACACGGTTGGAGCATGATGTATTGCTTCATGCATAAGACCTACAAGGTTCGACCTTGAGTCAAGAGCGTTGTATTAACTATTTGGAGGAGCCATCATGATAGATGGAAGGAAACAACGAATGGGAGGACTACCACAATTATTTTCATATTTCGGCGGTTTGGCATGCATAGAGAGGGACTACCGCATTTCGGAACTTCTCGCACTATGTACGGAGGGTATACGTGAAAGCATACTGCACCTGGCAATAGCGGCAAGGGTTTTAGCATAAGCATATCAGCATTCTGCATTATGGGCGGTGCAAGGCGTTGGGGCCATGAAATACAAATCAATCGGTATGTGTACATAGATTGGCCATAAAGACAAGATAGTTTTTTCTCTTTCCTAATTTCTTAGCCACATCCGAGTAGTAAACCATCCGCATATACCCTCCGCGGCTCTTGGGGTATTGATTCCGTGTAAGAGAAGACAGCGATGGCTAAAACGATAATATCTCTGCCATCTTTTATTGTCCATCAAAGCTTTCCCCAATCTTCGTAACGCTGTCGTTGGGTATACAAACCAAACGACTTTGTCGAGAAACCATATTCTGCCTTTCACTCTTCATGTCTTCCCTCGGGTATCTGCTACTTAGCCGGGTTTAGCGACACTAGAGAGTGACTGAGCGATCATTCTCAGTTCATTCCCTCTTGTGAGTCCAAATTATTCCTACTACCATGGATGAACGAGGCTAGAGAAGAGAGACATGTAGCAGTAGTTGGCCCAGATCCAGTCCATTCTGATTGATTGATTGAACCGAACCTATCTAGCGGTCCCGTCTTAATCCGACCCGACGGCCGTTTCGAAGGCATTAATCTGCTCGTTTTTACTTGCCGGCCGGCTTGGCATAGCGCGTGACGTAGCTCTTGACATTCTTGTCGAACTCGGGGCGGTTGTTCTTGTACTCGTCGGCGATGCGCGTCTCGAGGGGGTCCTCCGGGTTGGGCTCGACGAGGAGCTGGCGGACGGCCTCGAGCACGGCGCGCACGCGGCTCGCGGGCTTCCAGTTCTCGGGCTTCAGGACGCCGAGGCAGATGTTGCCCATGCTGTCGTTGGTCACGTTCGGGTGGTAGATGCGGGTCGCGAAGTTCACTTGCGGCGCCTTGAAGGGGTAGTCTGCCGGGAGCGTCACGGTGATGTTGTACACGCCTCCTGCGTAGGGGGTGTCGGGGGGACCGGCGAGGACGACGTCCCATTTGCTTAGGTCTGCTTCTGAGGGTAGGCTTATCGTCATCCCCTGTGGGGGAGACTCCGTGCACTCTTGGAGCTCCTGGCGTGATGGGTGGTATGGGTTAGCGGGGTTGATTCTCTCCGTGTTTGCCGTGAACAAGGATGAAGGATGAGGGGAGGGTGGAAGGGGGTTTGTGCGTGCGCGGTGCGTCTGTAGATGTATCTACCTTTGTTATTCGCTTCTGGGAAGCGGCCATGGTCACTGATAAGCTTGGGTTGGGATGTTGTTGGTAGTTCGGTGATCGGACGGTGAGGTTGGCGAATGAGTAGACTGACTACTTCTGAGTGGTGAGTAGAACTAGCACTGTCCGGGTGGATAGCTTGAGCTTCTTAAAGCTTTTGCTCGCGAGTGGGAAAAGGTGGAATTACTGGGTAAGCTGACTCCTCGAATATGTATTCAGCCTTGTCTAAACTGTCCGAGCCATTGTGATGTGCTGGGGGGAAATAGATGTCTTTAAGTTGCTGGTTAGATGATATCATGGCCGCACGGGTTGAGCGAGGAGACTTGCCTGAGCAGACCATCCGGGTGACCTCCCGCAATGAGGGGCATCTGCAGCAAGGTAGCCTGTTCTAGCACCGTACCTTCCTCAGCCTGTGCATGCATGTACCTGAGTGAGTACCTGAGTAAGTACCTGCCATGTACTTAAGTACCTAGTCCGCTCGGGCGCTCTTTACCCAAAAGATACAGCTCTGTCAGCCTATCAACGTCTACTTTCCACCTCCCCACGTTCCCTTTTTGGTATACATAGGTAGTACAGTGCAGCCTCCCGTCCTGTCGGTATGTACACCCAGCGCTGGGCACTCAGTTGAGGTTACTAACCATTGGAAGAACTAAGTGCTGTAGGTAATGGATGTTTTCAACTTCAAACAGGCTTGTATTCAGCCATTTGAGGTGTATACCTTGATCTGTCTTGTAGCGTATCTAATCCTGTCTCACCCTTGCCACTTGTAAAACAAGGCCACATCAATATACAGTTGCGGCAGTCTGTGTGATACGTGTACTTTGGGTTTACCGCATGTGTCCAGAGTAACCGGCCTAATTACCATCCTGACTATGACTGCTCAGTTTGTAACGTCTTTGGCCACGAATGGGTCCATGAAATAAGAGTCAAGCCGTTAGCCATCAGAAAGGACTCGCGTCCAGTCAAACTTCCTCCAACGACTCTTGAATCCATCAACCCTACTGTCTGACCTGTGCCACCGACCTTGTTTCTTGATTACGTGTGGCTCCGCGTCTACCATGCCTCCCAAGATTTCTCTAGCAAACAGATCACCTCTCGGCCATCTATTGGAGTCTTCCACCACATGGCCCAGTCCACCGTCCAACGTGAACCAGGCGTGAAAATAGGGCATCTCCTTCGCAATAGACCGCCTAAATGCCAATTTTCCGAGTCCGTCACGTGCTCGTGCCCCCGTGTCAATAATTTTCTTGTGCTGCGACCACTCTTCATCCGCTGAGAGCATCGCCTCCTTGAAGAAGGCAGGTGCCGTGTCTCCTAGCTCATACGGGATTGGCACCGCTTGCATGGCAGCGTGCATATGTCTCTGTGGAGCCGCGGCGTTCTCGTAGAACACGACCTCTCTTCCTTGATCGTGATATAAGCGAGTCAGACACTTCATGAAGTTTCGTATCTCCTCCCACTCATCGTCATCACACTCGAGTAAGTTGGTCCGGTGCTGAATGGGCACGATAACGGCGCCGCCTTCGGTCAACTCTGGCTCTGTAGGTAAAGTCAGATATACACGCGTGGCTAGCGAGATAACGGGTGCCACAGGAGGTAAGTCTCGGTCTTCATGGTGACAAAGTTGACAGTTATCGAGTATCTTGTTGATCTTCTGGTATTCGTTGACAGCAGCGTTCCTGAGGTTGAGCTCTGACCTCTCCACGCGCCTTGCTAACTTCTCTGCATTCTCGTCCATATATTCGAGATCGTCATCAAATTTTCCATCTTTGGCTATACGTTCGGCAAGTCGAAGTCCTTCTCCTCCAGCTTGTCCCCGTGTGCGCCTCTCTTCGCGAACCATGTCGTCTATCGTCATGTCGTCATTCTGCTCTACCAGTCCTCTTTCGCGGCCTCGTTTGGTGTCCACCGCCTTGGCCTCTGCCCGCGTTCCTGCCATCATGCGATTCTCCATCACATTAAGAACCACTGCTTCAGGACCCTTAGCTGCAAATGTGGCCGCAGCTTGGTTATACTCAGCTTCGAGTTTAGCGGCGTCTGGCGATTTTCTCAATTTTGCCTTCATCATCTGGGCTTTTAATCGATTTAGAGTTGTCTGATCTACTTGTATCGGCTGGTGGGAGGTAGCATCATCAGGGATAACTGTGCCCTGGTCCAGTTCCGTAGGTCGCAGGGATGCTTGCCGTTTCTCACGAACTCCCGTGGGTAGCTTTCGTTCCTGAAACAGCTCGCCGCTAGGCTTCTCTTTGCCCACATACCCTTCCCCATAGACTCTGCGCCTATCCAACTCAATCTTCTCCTCACGAGCATCGTCAAAATCGCGTAGGTTCCCATATCGGTCTAATGCAACCTCTTCCACAGTACGACCAGTGCTCTCCGCCATGTTGTAAATACCCTTCAATTTCGTCATCCTTGATAGCGACCCGCCGTCCCCGAAGGTATAGTTAACCTCATGCTGAGCAGGTAACTCAAGTTCATCTTCCATTTTACCATCGTTGAGGCCATGTAAATGAGCGGCATTTAATTCCCTTGAATGTATTATTCTCTTTGGCTCCTCCTTGGGTGGTGGTGGTCTAACTAGTTTTGAACCCTTTTGTGTGTAGTCAATGTCGAGGGCAGAGGGGGCTGTCATCCACGAGTCTCTTGTTAGAGGTGGCGAGCGAGCGGGCTTTTCATAGTCTTCAGCGGCTAATTCTTCATTTGGCAGCGGTAGATCTTGTTTCGCATCCGTTGATTTTAACCGAGTTTCCTTGTTTGTATTACGGCTCACATCTTGCTCATCGTGATGGTCTCGCCGATGGCGTTCCTTGTGGTGATCTCGATGGTGCCGGTCATCATCTCTCGAGTGGCGCGACCGTTTATGTCTGTGGCCATCATCTTCATATTCGTCGTCTCCACGCGAGCGATGATGTCCGCGACGGTCGCGGTCGCGGTCGCGTTCACGATCGCGGGCTCTGTCTGCAGAATGGTCGCGTCTATGATGATGGTGGTGACGATGTTTGCGGTGGCTTTTCTCAGCTAAATTCCGTGCGTCGCGCTCTCTTTCGGCCTTTTCAGCTGCCAGGGTTTTTTCAAAGTCATCAAGGCCGTCCATATCGCCAGTAGCCAGGACAATGTAGGTTGGTTTCAAGGATGTTGATGCTTGATAGATCAGCGTCCCATGGGGACGCATACAAGGAATCTGGAAATGACGACAAGGCTTCAGCTTTTGCATAGCAATCGAACATTCCAAGGTTCCACCGAGTTTAATCATATCATGCAACCAGAGGGAGGCTGGGTATATGTATATCGGGTATATGCAACTATCTAACTGATGGGCTAAGGTTCCACCATTTCAACTTTACCTGAAGTTACTCCTTGACTGAGGCCCTAGGTGAAAGATGATCACATAATTCACAGAATACAGGACCACGGAGATTCTACAAATATCTGCAGACACCTAGGAGCTTCAAAGGTCTGAATCAGTCCTCTGGAGTTTTTCTCACGGAGTACCTACCCTGTTCCCCAAGTCAGCAGAAAAATGAGCTGGCACTCGTGCTCGAACCCAGATCGTCCTCTCAGGCCATGTTGAGCACAATGCCAACCCCACAATAAAGAATTTAGCGAGGAGTCAGCGCAACGCGGTTTTCCTGGGTCACCCGCTTTACCACTCGGCCATTTTCCATCTTTCTCCCCACTTCAACCTCCCCACTCCATCCAGCATCGCGTTCGTTTCTCAAATCTCCCCTCGAGTATATCGTCTCACCGCGAACCCCCATTCGTCCATCCCCTGCCTCTTTCAAACGACTTACATCTAAATATCTAGCTATTATCCATCAGTCTTATAAGACAAGAGTTGGATCTACCTGCTGCGTCATTGAATGCGGCAGTGTACACTACTCTTGAATCACTGCGGCAAACAAAGTCGAGTCCGGCTGCTGCCATCAAAATTATCACGGCCCATGGGATATTACAAGCATAATTTGGCCCATTCATCAAAAACAAGGAGCCCTTCTCCATGGAACTGGCTGGCTTTGCTAGCTAGCACTTACAACACGTTCATTCGTTCGATGCGGATTTTCCTATAACTATTCCACACCCTCCATCAAGCGTTCACAGTATCATAATAATAATCCTCAGCAACAGCATGTCGTCTCTCATCAAGCCCGCCCGGCCTGCGGCTAAGGGTGCCAGGGGCTTCCAGATACGTCCCAAGGGAGCGGGATCGGGTGATAGGATCAAAGAAGTTCTAAACAGGAACAGAATGGAAAATGAACGAGCCATGAGTTCGGAGCCTACTTCTTCTCCTTCTACATCATCTCGTCCTAGTAACAAAGATCGCCCATCATGTCCGAATCCCCGATGCCCTAACCCTTCAGCGCCTGTCCAGGATGGATTCTGTTCTGCCTGTGGTCGTGAAATTGACAGCTCCAACATTGTCGCTGAGGTGGTTTTTGGTGAAACTTCGTCGGGTGCCGCCATTGTTCAGGGTAGCTATGTAGCTGCTGACCAGGGCACAACCCGGAACATGGCACCAGGAGTTCGGCGTCTTGGAGGACTCGTTGGCGACAACCGTGAAAAGACAATCCGTGAAGGTAAGGTTCAAGAATAACCCATTTTCCTTTTATTTTTATTTTTTTATTTATTTTTTTAATTGCTTTCCTCGCCGATCACTGACTCTCGACCTCAGCCAGGAATATGATGTGGGGATTCAAGTCACGGTTAAGGAACGTAACCGAAAGCGCTATCGAATCTGCCATCATGATTTTCAAACTTGTTCTTAATGAAAACTGGCTGCAAGGCCGTGGCATGGACAAAGTAGTTCCTGTCTGCCTCTACACAGCTTGCCGAAGAGAGGAGAAATGTGACGTTATGCTTATTGATTTCGCTGAACTCGTCCACGTAAGTAAGCATCATAATGTATATCAGCCCTGGCTCGAGTTAACTTATCGTGTTAGATCAATGTATATGAGCTCGGCCATGTTTTCAAGGATTTGAGCAACATTTACTCCTTCCAAAACAACAATGTGAGATCAATCATACCCGAAGATCTAATGATGCGGTTTGCCGAGAAACTAGACTTCGGTGATTTCACTAATAAGATCGCTGCCGATGCAACAAGACTTTGTCAGCGAATGGGCCGCGATTGGATGGTCATGGGGCGTCGACCTTCCGGTATTTGCGGCGCTTGTCTCTTAATGGCGGCCCGTATGTGGAATTTCCGACGGACTGTCAGAGAGATAGTTTATGTCGTCAAAGTCACAACACACACTATTGAACAGCGCTTAGACGAATTCACCGTTACTGAAAGCAGCAATCTTTCTATCGAAAATTTCTTAAACCAGGAATTTCTCGAATCACGACATGATCCACCTTCTTTCTACAAACAAAGCAACGAATGGAAAGAGAAGATAGAAATAGAAAGAGAGTCTAGTGGAAGAAAGCGAAAACGAGTGCTGGAGGATATTGATGGCGATGAGCTGAGCCAAGCAAACGCTACTAGTACAACTATGCCACCACCACCAAGACCAATTCTACCGCCAGATTTCTCGAAAATGCGTCAAGTCACAGAGTTCCTACCAAGATCTTTTGACGACACAGAAAGTAGGGAAACAGTAGCTCCTTTTGACCCTTCCCAAATTCCGAAACCAGCCCCCAAACGACCAAAGGACGTTGTCGAGGGTCTCAGTGCAGAGGATCCAACTAGTAATCAAGCTATAGATGAACTCGTTGAGATCTACGGCGCTTCAGATGTCGCTAATGCAGATGAGAGCAATGTGGTCAACGAAGAAGAAGAAGAACAAACAGACGCCCAATCCAAGAAGGGTAGGCGCAATAAACAGGGCCCTGAACAAGAATCTCTCAACTTTGATGAAGAGTGGGAGCGAGACGAAGCGGAACTAGAGAATCAGATCAACGAGGTCATAAACGACCCTCATAGTTCTGCACACAGCAAAGCACTAGCAACAGCGGCGCATCTCGCCCATATCAAAGCCGAACTAGCACGCTCGTTGCTTCCCCGTAAAGAGCTGAAAATGGATGAAATTATTGGCGAAGATGAATTTGCCGATGACCCAGAAGTACAATTTTGCGAGCTTGAGCCCGAGGAAGTACTGATCAAAGAAGAAATATGGCTGAACGCCAATAAGGACTGGGTACGGAAACAACAAGAGAAAACGTATCGGCAGCAGATGGAACAGTTAGGGCCTCCGAAGCGGAAGCGCAACCGGGTCAAAAAGCCACGAATGGGCGAAGGCCAACTAACGCCAGCTTCCACTCCTGGCGAAGCGGCCATTGACGTGATGAAGAAGCGCAATACAGTGTCGAAGAGGATTAATTATGACGCCATTGCCAGTCTATTTGGGAACAATAAGAAACGTGGCCCAGGCTCTGTCGTCTCCCGCATGGAGAGTGAGTCTGCTAGTCGCATGACTTCTCGTGCAGGCAGCGTTTCAGATGCTGGAACGCCTCCGCCCAACAACGAAAGTCCCAGGCCAACTACTGAGAAAACTGCTCCCAATGCTGTGGGTGATGAACAAGACGAGGATATTGAAGATGATGAGCCGGCGCCAGTGGTGTACGACTATGAAGATGACTATGGGGATGATGGCTATGACGATGATGGCGGCGATGGCTATGATGACGGAGAAGGAGAAGCGTACTAACCTTTATTCAGGTTGGTGTGCCTTAATCAAACTCAGTCATTGACTTGCACGTCTTCAATATCTCGTCCATATGGGATGCCTCTGAATTTCGGACCTACATCCGCATTTGGGAAATTCTTGTACATTTACTCCAAAATGGGCCGGCTAGGCCACTCATTGAAAGTAGCTTAATACCTTTACTTCACGATCCTCGTGAGATCTATACTTAGTGCTTCTAATGTTTACACACGGAACTACACCAGGTACATGAAATAGTTTTGTGTACGGTGACAATGCATTCTGGTACCTTTTGCTGCCTTTTCATTTTCGGATTTTTATACTGTAAACTAAATTGTCTTGCCTACACATAATAATTGCTTCAGCCTAGAAGCAAAACAAAAATGTAGGATGCTAAGTTCACAATGGCAATGAGCATGCGCTCATACCAGCCCAAATATGAGCATCTAGTATTATTCTATTTCGTTAAAAACACAGACGTGCAGATCCGATCCTCTACTTCGACAGACTTCCTAGTTGTGCTTCTTTTATATAAGGACGGACCGGTTAAGCTTTGACAAATATGTACGTAGGTTACTATTTTTATTTTCTCCTCCCCGGAACAGTTGGACGGGCTTGAATAATTCTGCAGTGAGGAAACGCGTTGTTATGATTCACTAGTTCTAAGACGGTCTTAAAGCCGGAATTCAAAGAAATACTACCAACACTAGCCCAGAGCACTCAATCTACAAGCAATGATGTCACCTTTATTAGAATAAATATAAAGTATGTGGTTTATGTATTTTATTTAGGGTTCAGGGTTCTTAGGTGTAAACCTACCTAAGTGACCTAAGTGTATGAGGATTCTTTTTAAACTAGTGAGGCAAGTAGACGGAGGTAGGTTCCCAAGGTACCCATGAGTGACTGATTTTCTCCAGCGTCTTCTTCCGCATCTCCTTCAGCGTTTCCGCCAGCATTTGCTCTGGTGTTGTTTCGGAGGCGTTCCTCGTAAAGGTCTCGAGAAATTCGTCGTACGAATGCTTCGTGGTCCATTCCACGGCTATTTACAATGGCCCTGTTTCTCAACCCTGCTATTGCTCTGAGAGACGTAATCTTGTCCTGGACATTTTTTACAATGATCATGTGAACGCTCTCGCCTTGATCATTTTTGATGTCCTTGAAACCATTCACGCCTAGATGCTTTAGAAGTTCCTGAAAACCCCTGAACCTTTCGACAAAATCAAGATGGTCCATGATGTAATCCACGAACATAAGCTCTTGCTGTCTCTCCCAACACAGCACTGTGGCATATCTAAGCTCTCTAGCGGGGACGCCGCAGACTAGTGAGTCTTGTGTTCGTTGTGTCATTGTGGTTTGTTAAATGTTAGTAAGTGAGTTATCGTATACTTAGGTTGTTGCTTTTTGCTATTGGAAAAGTGTCGTTGTCGTGCGTCGTATTTATGCTACTTCTCAGACTCTGCTCCTTATATAGTTGCACCTCTGGTATCTAACGAACTGTTGCCTTGTTAACTGACTGTCTTGTTGTTATTCGGGCATTGTCATTGAGCTGGGAACTTGATAGTTCTTTGAGGATGAACAGGCCCTTTGTTCTCAAACAGCAGATAGCTTCCTATAATGTAATATGTCGACGTTCCCTTGTCTACAATGCAATTGGCGATAATATTGATCGCAGGCATTGTCTACTTGGTTGGCCCATTGGAAGCGGTACCGAAATGTCGTCCCAGATAGGCATTATAGAAACGAGCCAGTACGAGCCAGTACGAGCCACGGGGTACAACACCGAACTCCAACCTGACTTGCAAATGAAAGTCGCAGCCCTTGGTTAAGATGCAGACTAGGGCTGGCAATGTAGGGATTTGTTTGTGTGGGACACATGTAAAGAAGGAGATTCAAATCGGTTCTTTATTCTCGCTGCAGCACCACTAACAAACCCATTATTCCAAACATGACCGTCTTGAGCCACGGGTGCTCGCCAAACATAATTGTAACATAGCCGACAAAAGGTATGTAGCCGACAACACTCCCAATGATATCACTCCTATCGAGGTAGTCCTGGCCGCGTGCGTATAGCTCTGTGTCGTCTGCAGCATTGTTGTCACCCTTAGTCAGCAACTTGGCGTGCGCCCCCGTTCCAAACTTGCGCACGACGCGGTGGACGATGGGTATGTCCTTTCCCTTGACATTGTACACTACAACTTCGCCGACGTCTGTTTCGGCTAGCAGGTTGCGGTTCCATAAGAATAATAGATCACCACGTTGGAAGGCGGGCTCCATAGATCCGGAGAGGACGACGACGATCGGGGATGGTGAGTCGGCGGCGATAGAGAGACCCTTCCACATCTGTAGAGCGCGCAATAAGTCAGTTGAAAATGCCAGAAATCGATATTCCATGCAGACGTGTTCTGGAGGCTATAGGTGGGATAATAGCTGCACGTACCATGAAAGCTGTAGACATCATGAGCGCGAAGTTGAGCAGCTGTGCAGCTGCTTGCCGCGGGTTCTGGAGGCTTGACAACATGACCGGCAGGTTGACAATTGGTCGGTCTGGTAGGATTAAGAGAGTCAGAGTATGGCCACGGTCTATTGGGAGCCTCTGCTCACCCTATAAACAGAAGAGGACTTTTGGCGACCAGCGTGAATCAGCTTCGATAATGACAGGTTGTTTAATGCAGATTAGGTACGTACTGTACGTATCATACCCTGTCTCTGCAGTGTCCAGAATGGGGAGCTGGGTACAGTGTATTGTACAGTGCATAATGCTCGGTTCTCAGTAGTGCGGCACTGTACTAGGAGACCCTGTGTACAGAGGACAGACTGCGGATCCATCATACCTATGTGCTCAACTACACTACACTACCTACGCCCTGACATCTTTCTGAATTAACGAACTCATCTGTAGTCGGCTCTTTTTCCTCTGTCAGGATATCCTCACTAGTTATCAGAGGCCCCTCCATGAGGTTATTCACTACTTTACTGTGGAGGGTTGGAAGCTCTATCGTCACCTTGGTCCGCAAAGAGCGGATATGTGTCTGCGTAGAATCTTACTGGCCGTATAGCTTGCTCATGGAATCGTAACGTCTTGTAAGACCCTCAATGACCACTTAGAAGACAGGAGACTGTAACCAACGTTCTCCAATCCTACCTCGACAGTCCTGCGCCCCTCAGAGGTAGGATCATGCAGGTGCCAACTGCAGTAATATGAACCGTAAGAGGCGTTGCAAGGCGTCGGCTGAGTTCCCATTTGATCAGTACAATCATACATCATGCATTGAAGAAGCGAAAATGGTCTTGACTATCAAGTGTTGTTCAGAGTGTATAAGTATATAAGCGCTTAGGCCCTTCAACCTCCGTCATGGGCTAGATTCCGAGAGACGCCAGCATCCCACGACTAGGCTTAAAGAAGGCTATGCATCAACTTCCCTCTCAGATCATAGTTGCTGTATTGCAATTGATAGTCACTACTTTGCAGCTTTTCTTCATGGCCTTTACATGGTTCAACTCCAGGCGCACTCGACTGGCGCATAGTCAGCGTATGGCGCCTCCCAGGTTCTCTTATATATGAGCTGCCTCTAACAGACAAGGCTTAGGAAAGGCTGAAGCGACTATGATATCCCAACGTGGTTGTAATCAGCCGTCCATTGGGTCCCAAAGCATAACTGGCCAGTGTCAAATACCTTCTTCTCAACTACCCGGGACCCAGAGTTCTTCTAAGAGTACACAAGACAGCCCAGGGAACACCAGCACTTTACAAGGACGGACAAATATTCTATGAGTCTCGTCTCACAGACGACGAGAGCACGGCATCGACATAGGCTTTCGAATCTCGACTCAATCAAGCCTTTCTATCCTCCCGAATCATTGCCATAACCCTTCCCTTAGATATTAACCGTCAGATAGAGTTATGCAGGACATGGTAGTTAAGAAATCTACGCTCTGTGGGCTCAGCTTATATACTTGCGAGCATGACATATGGTCGGCCTTCTCTAGCTATGATCAGCATCAGTTAGGTACTCAATCAAACATGTGGTCTTTATTGCCGCTAGAAAGGTTTATGGCTAGGTATAAGTTGGATAGCTATGTACCTACATAAGAGGTAGTTAAGTAAACGCCCATGCAACTGGGTGGGTAGGTATATGGAAAGATCGATCACTCAGCTACCTACCGCGCTGCATCACCATCCTCGCTAAGAGTCATAAAAGGGGGAAGGGAGGTGATTCAAACCTTTCGACTTGAGGCAGGTATCTAGGTAGGAACCTATTCTTCTATAACCCCAGCCAACACGCATCGTACTTGCCACAAGTCAATATACTCAATCACTATGTCGGGCAGTCATCACTCACTGGTGCTGCTGCTGGTCTTGATCTTGCAGGCTTGCAGTGACTTTCATTTGCTTTCATCCTGCCACCCTCTCAACTCGCCATGTTCTTTTAAATCTCCTCAGCTACCCACATCCCAATAGACACCTTTTCTCCCTCCGCGCCAACAATAACTATACCCTGCTGCATGACCTATTGAATCCTTATCCTCGGACCAACACTCCCAGGCCACTCTTCCTGTCCTATTGAAAATTTAATACGCTAAGTATCATAGTCAAGATGCCACCGACGGACACAACGCCTCTCCTTCCGCAGTCCGAAAGAGAACCGACACCAGCACCTCAGGAAGACAGCCATGTATGTTTGCCTTGAGATGATTACAGACTACGAGACTCCTGACACTATGCAGCCAATTACCCTGAGAGCATGCCACTCGCCTTGGCAGATTATCAATCAGAGGTTCCTTTTCATAATTCGACTGCTCCTAAGCTCGTACCTTACCTCGGTCGCTGGCGTAGCCCTCAAATATAAACTTGACAATGAAGATGACCACGGTGCTGGGCGGATCCCGTTCGAGTTCTCCACCATTTCCTTTCTCCTGCTATGGATATACCATCTGTTGACCTCGGTACGTTACCGCTGTCCGGCTGTTGTTCTCCGGCCTTACTAAGTTATATGTAGACATGGACGGGTGCGCACACCTTTGGGCGGAGTAATCCAGATCAAGATGACGAGCCAGAAGATTCGTCCGCACAAGCTCGTATCGCCAAATTCTTCACACCACCACATCAGCCATCCACTCTCCAGCAGACCAGCTTCAGTATATTCTATACTGTCACCCATGTCTTCACCTTTCTCCATACACTACTGTATTGGACTGTATTTGTGCCCGCTGGTCATGGTGGGTTCAAGCCGCCCAAGTTTCCACATCACCACCATAGTCCTGGCAATAGCACGGTGGCCTTCTATGACCCAAGTAAGTGGTGCTCCTAAGCTTCGAGGATTTGTCTTACGGTGATTATTAGGAGGCTAATTCCAGTGTAGATAAGGGACTATTCGAGGAAGATGATATCAAGGCGTTCAGCATCATCAATGTTTCTACCATTACGGCTATCATAGCCATCCTCGAGATCATTGGCCTTAATAGCATCCGCCGCCAAACTGTGAGTGAATTGTCCTTAAAGCCTGGTGTGTCTCGACGCTTCAGCTGACTCAATGACAAAAATAGTCGGTTATAGGACACGTAGCTGGCATTCTTGCTGCGAGCGGTCTGTACCTTGCTTGGGCTGGCATCGGCAAGCTCGCAACAGGGCACTGGGGTTTGTTTTTCTTGGACCCCGAACTCATGGGCAACTCTCCAGAGGCTGCCGTTGCGGCGGCTGCTGGATTCGTCGTTGCGGCTCTATTTAGTAGGTTCTTCTAGTCCACTTTGTGCATAGTGATCCTGCTAATTCACTCAAAAGTATTCGTATGGATGTACGGTCTCATTGCAATGAGACAATCGATTACGGCTGCCAACTAGGCGCCCTTTTAGTCAGCCTATTATGACGGAGTCAAGGGGATTGGAGCACGGTTGCCACCCATCACGCACCCAAAAGACTCTGGTGGAATGCTGTAGAAAAAAAAAGGCGATGTGGGAAATTCTCGGATTTGTTACACACCCAGCACTGAGCAGCCTGTTCACAGCCAGCTGGCCATCTCGAAGGACTAGGTGATAAGTTATAACTGCCAAAAGTATATGGCGGTGAGTCGCAACCTGATTATAGAAGTAGGGTCTTCAGAATGTCGAGCAGGTTGATGATGAATACCCGAGGTTTGAGCCTCGGGTGGGTGGTACATGAGATTGAGGTGCTGAATTGTCGAGTGGTACACGCGGTTCTCCTAGCTGATGTGTCAATATGATGTATCCATACTGCTTTAGTGTCTAGAATTCGTTGTCTCTCTATGCAGAAACACGCTTTTAGAACGTGACCTGAATTAGGCGAAAAGGAATTGCTCCTGTTCCGCCTGATCACAGTGTTCAACCAACGAGAACATTGATGATCTCTGTCATCCAGTCTAATAAGGTAATCCCTGCGTGCTTCACATCTCTTAGGTCGAGATTAGCTCCCAACGGCCTAGACCATATCTGACCTAGACTATCCTGTACACGTGTAGATATTCGCCAACCAGCTCATCACTAGGTACTTAAGTGTAGATCTAACACACCGCGGTCTCATCTCATCTACAACGGCCCCTAGATCTGCCATGTGATCTGGTAGATACACGTCAATACTGACTTTGTAAGCCATTTTTAGCTCAGTACTGTCGACACATGCTAATCTCACACCTCTTTTCTGGAAATGATAGGAATGAAACAATGTTTCGATCACAAGCCTTGGCAAGGCAACTAATAGGTAACCTATAGAAGCTTATCTTGGGGTCACCCATTCATTCAATGCCACGCAATCGGTCTCAATAGCAGCCATGGAACGTCACCCGCGTGCTTCCCTTGCTATTCGCTTGGTGCTACAAGGACATTGTTCGAGACCTGGGGATAGGTAGGCAAGTGGATGATGCACGATGTCGTCCAGCATCCAATTCGGATTTCTAATACGTCTTTTCTTTGGGCGTCTACTCACAGCCTCGTTATTCCGAATGCTACTCGATCTGTATGAATCGCCGGAATATTCATGCGGTGTGTTTTACAGAAACGGAGAGGCATGTCGCGTGGCTAGGGATCTGTCCAATCACGCCTCATCTTTGATGTTCGATCGTTACTCGGGCAGAGATGGCTGACTGTCTCTAACACTTATGGCGACGTCCCAAACACGGAGCCAACTGGCCTACGTGTAAGTAGGTGTGTTAGCGAATGCGGTCGTCTTCGCAAGCCATATCATGAGTTTTCTCTCTATTGCACAAGTATTCACACATCTACATCTAGACTACCCACCACCTCCACTAGGTTGGATCTACAGGTCCATTACATGGTAAGACTAGCTATATACGTGTATATATACCCTATATTCTGGGAGAATAATCTAAGTACTTGGAAAGAGGAAAGGAAAACTACTTAGAAACTATTCGGTATGGTTACTGTACGCTGACACTCTGGGAACTTGTTTGGCGCTACCTACAGTTCTGTAGCCTTAAGTAGGTGCATAAGGCGGACCCCAATCCAGCGAAACCCACGAAGTTACCAGCCTGGGCATCCGACGCATGTACCCAATGTGATGGTGTGGGAGCGTGATGGCACGAACCAAGTGCAAGACAGCGAATGAAGCAGAGTCGTGGCCCCGATGGTTGTTGTAGTGTCCCACCGCCGTGCTGTCGTCATACGTGCCGGCAGTAGTGCGACCCCAGCCTCCGGTGAGAGTCTTCAACTCGACTCACAATTCACTTCAATTCACTTCGCTTCACTCCACTCCACTCCTGTCCACCAACCTGTTCTCGCCTGTCTATCTTTAGCCCTGTTTCTGCCCCCATCTCCCATCTCGACACCGGTGCATTGCAGCGATCGGCCCAACCCAGGCCTCCCTAGGTAGCGGAGCGCCCAACATCCCGGCTACGCCCAGCCAAAGCAGGCTGAAATGCCTACCAAGCACGACTCTGCACGACGAATGAATGCCCGTGTCAAGGTGCATGGGTATCCTTACCTACAGGCCACTCGGCGGGCTAGCATGGATGCATTCGGGTTGGGTAGGCGACGGTAGCGAGTAGGTACCCAAGCCGAACCATACTTACAGTACCTAGAAGTAATGCGCAGCACATGTGAGTACAGGCCTAAATACATAAGTAGGTAGGTAAGTAGGTATCGAGGAACGGTATAAATATCCACGACACCCCCCTTCAATTCTACCCCCCTTCTTTCGTTCTCCCTCCCCCACCACCACCGTCAAGGGTCGCAAAGCATTATAAGGATATCTCCAGAGACATTCGTTTGTTCTCTCGAGTTGACTCTGGGATACACCGCCCGGGCCCGTGTTCTTCATCACTCTCTCTCCCACACTCCTTTTTTTTCATTCGCTCTTTTCGTCTGAACTGACAATCCTCCCACGTTCTTTTCGTCGCTCTCTAGCCAATTCACACAATCTCGAGGAGAAGCAGCGCAACTGTGTTCGTGCGCTTTTCCCCGACCTTGTCATCGCAATCTACACGCTGTCTCGATTTCTTTTGCGCCTCCAATCGACAACCGCCAACATGTTCAAACGCTCGTTTCGATCCTCGGACCGAGTCGACAAGTCGGCCAGGCTGAAGAAGTCCAACGCCCCAGTTCGCGATCACCAGAAGCTGTCGAAACTACAGCAGTCGCTCGAGGAAACCCTTCCTGTCAAGAGGTCTCTGACCTCCCCGATCATCACCCTGATGGTCGGGCATGAAGGGCGACTGTTTGCCGCGCATGAGGAGGTTCTATGCCAGTCGCCGTTCTTTGAGCGCGTCTGCCGTGAACAATACCTCGATGCACAGAACAAGAGGATTTCCCTACCAGACGAAGAGCCCGAGATCTTCTCGGCCGTGCTTGAATACCTCTACAAGGGTGACTACTACCCCCGCTTGTTGCACAACAAGCACCGCAACTCTTGGGAGCTCGAGGACGCCGTGCGATCCCCGGACCCTTCCGAACCCAACAACCCCCGAGGCGGCCGCGGAGCCGTCGAGGCCACCATGTACGTGCCGAGCGTGGACCAATACTTGCTAAGAGACACCGTCCTGTACTGCGCTGCCGAGCGATTCGGACTCGAGGAGCTCAAGCGCCTAGCTCTTCGAAAGCAGGGCCTGCAGAGTGGAATCGATGTCGGCACGATTCTCCGGTCCGCCCAGTACGCCTACGATAACACGCCCGACACGGACTCCCGGCTCCGCGCTCACTATCTCGCTCTGATCATCCGATGTCGCAAGACATTCAAGAGGAGCGGAACCATGCAAGCTGAGATGGAAAAGGGCGGCAAGCTCTTCTTCGACTTATTTGTGGCCATGTGCAACCATCTCGACGATGTCGTTGACATGAGCAACGCTCACACGCCCAAGACGATCTGAAGGGCAAAACGTATGAGACCACCACAATTATGGTCACTTCTGGATTGTGTTTTTAACGGAGGAACCTGATGTTCTTTTTGCGTGTTTTCTGGAGAAGGAACGGATCTTGTTACGGGTGTGGTGAATTGGCGTTCATTGTTTTCGGTTTCTTCCCGATCACTCAGCTCTCACAGGCATCTCAGCTCATCAGATTGGAAACACCATTTGGGAGAGCCTACTACATACACATTGCAGCAGACACTCCACTTCTTCAGCGAGGTTTGGCCGACCTTTTTTTGATGAACTTGAGCGTTCGAGGAGAGTGACAGGGTATAGACGTACATGATTCTCACCCAACTCATCCCTCGGCTCTCCGATTTCTAATGATCCTAACATCGCAACTCCATAAACATAGCCCAGAGGGTCTCTCCATCCGCGTCGTATCGGTCAGGCACGAAACTGTTATGGACAGAATTCCACAGGAAACCCTGTCTCCTTGCGAGATAAGTTTTTCCCAAGTGAGCTGCTCTATGAAAAGTCGAGCCGTGTATGACGGCCTAACGACGCGGTAGAGGGGCAAGAAAGGGCTTCTCACCACTCAAATATTGGCAAATTTGTCTTTTACACTGCTTTTGCTATCATTTTAATAACACGACGAGGGCCCATTCGAATACATGAAGGGCATTGGAACAACGTTCTTGTTACCAGATTGTTACTAGGATGGGAGGTGGATACGAACAACGGCAATAACAAAAAAAAAAGAACGACAACCACCACCTTCGCCGTGGGCAAGCGGGGAGGACGAATGTGACCACAGGCTGGCGCGCCTCTTCGCTGCCGACTCCATCTCTTATGTGTCAAGAACAACAAAAACAGGGGAAAGATTTCAAACAGAAAAACAAAAAAAAAAAAGCACCAATGTACCCTCCATACATGTCTACCAAGCCAAGATTGTAAGAAGATAACAAATTGACTGTATGTTTGGTGTCATCCCCTAATGAGCAACCCCTTGGCATGGTTCCGCTAGCGCTCAAGCTGGCATCAATGAAATTCCTCATAACACGTCTCTCTCTTTCCGGTTTCCTTGTTCTCTTTTCTGTCCAATTTGTTTCCCCACAAGGAGGATGAGGCGGATGGAAGATTGAATGAAGCTCAGGAAGGAGATGGGGCAGTGAGAGAATGGAAGATGATGCGAAGAAAATGGATGAATCTGATCTAGTCGCAATCTTGATGATGTAACTAGCATCTAACTAAAAAAAAGAGAAAATCCAGGGAAGAAGACGGTCTTTCCCTAGTGGAAAGTAACGTCGACGACCCCGGCCAGAGCCCTCGTCAGGGCGAGATAATTGAGAGATTTCGGCCACCTCACTTTGTTGGGTTTTCTTGGTCTTCGTGATGTGTGTGATCGTTACCGTTCCCGGAACACCTTCTGATGGGTTTATGCTTTATTGGTGAAGTAGATGTAAGTGCGTAAGAGAAGAGTAGCACATCAAGACTTGTTTCACTTCCGATCTGGATGGTAGGTATCTTCTCGATATCGTCCTATACCATATATCTAACCTTAGTTTATCATATGATATACGTATATGGATGCTCTAACGTGCACTTGGAGAAACCATTAAGCATAAGGGCCCAGATCGTTAGGTATGCTTCTTGGCCTGGACAAGATCTGTAGGGCTGAGTCCCCACCCTGGTTGCTTAGAGTACATTACATGCACATGTATCTGCTGGTATCTTAATTTTCAAGCATATCTGGCCATGCCAAATCCACACCCGCGGAATAACGACAATGTCTAAGGTTTTACTGGCGATAGGCATATTGTATAGATAGCAGCTTACTCCGTACCTAGAGTGTTGACCTATAACTAACTGTCTACCTGCTGAAGCTTGAATCCATGGACAATAATACGTCTGTCTAGCGATGTCGATAGAACTCGGAGAACACATTCAACTCGCAGATACAACCAAATCATGGTATTAAATGCATGATGTCCCCAGGTTGGAATCATAAATCACCAAATTCTCGGCAGGCAGCTAGATATAAATTTGGAGCCCTACTGTAAAAGAGCAACCGTGATCCCAAGGATGGCTACTACCCCTCACCCCCACACCCCGCAATGTGGGTAGGAGGTAGCTTCTAGTTTACCTGCCCGCCAAGTTCAAATTATTTTTGTCTTCTACATCGCACGCTGCCCTCTCTAACGCCTGGCCCAGAAGTCTACCTAGGTACGGACACCGCTGCTTGGGACTACTTCCACACTTATCATATCGGCTATCATATCGGCTACAAGCGATGATGGCTTCTGAAGCAAGTGCGTCGACATCGGCGGCGGCGGCTCCGCAGCCTGTGGCCATCGTCTGCGTTGGAATGGCAGGCTCAGGCAAGACGACTTTCATGCAGCGCATCAACGCGCATCTGCATGCGAAAAAAGAGCCACCTTATGTCATCAACCTCGACCCTGCCGTCTTAAACGTCCCCTTCGAAAGCAACATCGATATCCGAGATTCCGTCAACTACAAAGAGGTCATGAAGCAGTACAACCTAGGTCCCAACGGAGGCATCTTGACGTCGCTGAACCTCTTTGCCACCAAAGTTGACCAGATCTTGGGTCTTCTGGAGAAGCGCGCCGCCCCGGATCCGGAGCAACCTGGCAAGAAACTCATCAAGAATATATTAGTCGACACCCGTGCGTCTCTTTCCCCATATTCACAGGGACACTGCATTCGACTGACATATGTATAGCTGGTCAGATTGAAGTCTTCGTATGGTCTGCCTCTGGGCAGATTCTCCTCGAATCCCTCGCGTCTTCGTTCCCTACCGTCATAGCCTATGTCATTGACACGCCGCGGACGGCTTCCACTAGCACCTTCATGAGTAACATGCTCTATGCCTGTTCGATCCTCTACAAGACTAAGCTGCCCATGATCTTAGTCTTCAACAAGACTGATGTCCAGGACGCGAGCTTCGCGAAAGAATGGATGACGGATTACGATGCATTCCAGGAGGCTTTGCACCGCGATGAAGAAGGCAACGCCTTTGGCGGCGTTGAGGGCGAAGGTGCGGGCAGTGGATACATGGGAAGCCTGCTCAACTCCATGAGCTCGATGCTGGAAGAGTTCTACGCCCATCTCAGTGTTGTCGGGGTCTCGTCTATGACTGGACAAGGCGTCGATGAGTTTTTCGCCGCTGTACAAGAGAAAGCCGAAGAGTTTAAACAAGACTACTTGCCGGAGCTGGAACGGAAGAGGAAGGAGAGAGATGAGCAGAAACGCAAGATGAGGCAGAAGGAGCTAGACAAGATGATGAAAGGCATGTCGATGGGTGAATCTAGCGGCACGGCAGAGCCCAAGACGGCTGATAACGATGACTCGGAAATCGAGAGCAATAACGGGGACGATGACGACTACGCAGATGTTGACGATGAGTATGACCGCGAGGGACTACAGGCCAGGTATGCGGCAGCCATGGAGGCAAACCAGGACTCGACGATGGACGACGCCAGTTTCGCCAAATTTCTTCATACACAACGAAGGTAAGAAGTAATGAAATGGGGGCTATTAAAGGGAAAAGTATGTTATTTGGAAACGGACATATGGCAAGTCAAGACAAAAGCCGTGGAGTTTATCGGTAGCATAGATGGCGCAATGATACCAATTTTGATTTTCCTTTTTTTCCCCCCTCCTCTCTTTCCAATCCTTCTTGGTGTAGAAAAGAAGCCCATAATAATACTCAATCGCCATGCAACTCCCAACTCCAATTATGATGCTTTCCTCCCCAAGCAAGCTAGCTAGCTAGCTAGCTTTCTTGCGTTTCAGATGCTGCGTGTATCATCGTCATCGATCTACGCTTCCCACGCTCTTCATTCCTGCAAACACGGATCATCACCCGTAAATGCTTCACAGCCCTCTCTTCCCCAACACCAGTTACTGTCGAGAATATCGTCTCCATTCTATCGCGCCTCGAACTGCACCATTCTGTTCCCATCATTAGTTCGCAAGTCCCGGTTTTCACAAACCCCCGCGTCCCCCCCTCCGCGTCGCGGATCCAGATCTCTTCTATATTGTGTATGAACGGTATACACGTATGGGCAAGAAAAGAAGAAAAACGTACCTCTTCGTCCGCTCCTTGTACAGGATACGGCAACCACATTCCTTGCAGCGGATGGTGTCGCTCCGCCGGAGGGCGAATTTGAAGCCGCAGTCGCCGCAGATGTAGTTTATCGTGGCGCCCTCGAGGTCGAACGTACTGCGCGCCATCCCGCCTGCGCCGCCCGCGCCGGGGGCGTTGCCTTGGCTTGTGGGGATCTGGTAAGCCTCGCGCGACATTTGGACGGCAAGGTTGGATGGGGTTTAGGGAGCGGGGAAAGAAATGTAGATGTCGGTCGATGTCGAGGTTGAGAGGGGTTCGTGATGCGAAGGAGCGTGATGAATGTTGGTTGGTTTGGAGGGGTCTGGCTGTTGGGTGGTTCATTGATTGATTCAAAGAAAAAAAGGCGGTGGGAGATGGCAGGGAAGCTGGAACTTTGCCTCATAAACACAACCAGCACTAATGGCTGCCTTTAGGCCCCCTGTAGAAGCTACTCCCTAGGTGCCTCCTACATAGTGGCCATACAGTACCTACAGTAGACAAAGGAAACCTTACTGGAGTTACTGGCAACTTTTTGACGGGAAAGCCCACCTACATATTTTATATTGTAATGCTGTGCATATAAATGAAAGTGAACGTAAGTCATATAAAAACTAGAACTATGATTCTCTGGAGATAGGCCATGTACGATTTTGCTAAATTGCCTAATGTGGCTTAGGAGCGACTTCCCAGGAAGTCGTCAACTGCTCCCTTGATACCTACCTAGGTACCTACTTTGAAAAGTCGGGGCAAAGTAACAGGCAATATTGGCTTATAATGATGGGGTTCCATCTCAAGTATTCGTCTCTTCTAGATGCATCAATAGTAGTTTAACTACATATCAAGCACAGCCGTGACCCGTTGAAATGGTAGGTAATTCTTAGTCTGTGACTTGATGAGGCACGATGGCCATTTAACTATTTGTAACTACATAGGAAACGCGCCGTTACGCTAACCCGAATGATGGAGAATTACCTCGGCGTCTGGCCTGTGGACGGGACTGGAGCTACTTACCTATAATCTATTATTCGGCTGGTTCGATGAGCATCGTTCGTTTGGCAAGACGCTATTTTTATCTCCCGGTACACTCTTTGCCCGCGTTGTATAGATTTAGACCGGCTTCAATCGTGTTAATCTGTCGCTCAGATTCGTAGCTATAGACGTCCTGAGTTTCAGGCATATTTATCATCGCGTCCTGTAGCTTGTTGCTTCACGAAATACCCCTGTACCGCATCAAGCATGGCAGAGCTTCCCTTCGATCCCACCATATTACCAGCAGATGACTCCTGTCCGTTTTGCAACATTGCAAAAATGTACCCGTCGTTCCCGCCCGAACAGCCTCCTGTCCCAGGCTCGCCAGAGCTTGACCCCTTCAAGCTTACCCCGGCCTCATTCGTCGTGCTATCTACGCCCATGCTCATGGCTTTCCTCGACATAATGCCCCTGTCCCACGGGCATCTCCTTCTCTGTCCACGATCGCATAAGCCAAAGCTCTCTGACGTATCGCGCGAAGAGGCTGCCGAGCTAGGATCCTACCTGCGCATCCTCTCCAAAGCCCTCTCGCGGACAACGGGCGTCTACGACTGGAACGTTGTGCAGAACAACGGCGCCGCGGCGGCGCAAGTCGTGAACCATGTCCACTACCATCTCATACCGCGCCCAGAGATCCGCGCGAGCGGCAAGTTCCGCGAGAGCTTCACCATGTTCGGCCGGGGCCAACGCGAAGACCTAGATGACGACGAAGCGGTCGAGCTAGCTGCGAAGCTTAGGAGCAATATCGCAACGATATTAGATGAAGAGACACGCAAAGGGAAGTTATGAAATACGCAGGATAAGAAAATAGGCACACTACATGAAAGAATCCCGCGTGACTTTGGCACGCGCACCAAGGGACGGAATACTAGGCTCTCGACGTCGCATTACTATTAAGCTACCATGAGCTGTCTATCGTCTATTTTTATCTACTCTTGCCAATGATAGCCCGGATCGCGCCGATTCTAGTACGCAAGTTTATTCGTCATCGCCAAAGAAGACCTTAACGGGCAGCCAGTTGTCGCTGCAAACCTTGAACCGGTCCTTCAGGTTCGACAACTTGGAAACTTCCTCGTCCGTCAGAGACCAGCCGTCGAGGGCAAAGTTACCCTCGATACGCTCCTTGGTGACTGACTTGGGAATGACGTCCCAGCCGTTCTGAATGCCCCACTGCAGCAGACACTGTTGTGGCGTCTTGCCCTTCTTCTCGGCGATCTCGAGCAGTGTCTGGTCCTTGTAGAGTGGCGAGTTGGTGCTGCCGAGGCACGAGTAGCCGGTGCAGTGGATGCCCTTCTCCTTGCAGTAAGCCACCAGCTTAGGTGACGGGTTGTTAGGGTGAAGCTCGATTTGGTTGACTGATGGTTTGATCTACGCATTGTTTGTTAGCTTCGAGGCTCCTCAAACATCCCTCGCTCATGGCGTGATAGGCCTCATACCTTGCAAGAGGGGTCGTTCAACAACTTCTCGAGGTTGGTGATACCGAAGTTGGACACGCCGATGTTGCGGACCATGCCCGTATCGAGTAGCTTCTGCATCTCACGCCACGTATCGATGAAGTTCCAGTCGTCGTAGTGCTTCTTGAGGTCGTCGGGACGAGTCGAACTGGGCCAGTGCATGAGATATAGGTCGACATATTCCATGCCTAGGCTCTTTAGAGATGTGTCAAGGCCCTCGGCCACCCGCTTGTGCCAGGGGTTGTCGAGCTTCGTGGTGATCCAGATCTGCTCGCGAGGAACACCTGAAGCGCGGACGCCCTCTCCTACCTCATTCTCGTTGCCGTAGGCAAGGGCTGTGTCGATGTATCGGTAACCGGCGTCGAGGGCGGCCTTGACGGCTGCGCTCGTCTGATTCTTGGATGATTGCCAAGTGCCCAAGCCGATGGCGGGCATCTTGTCTCCCGAAGGGAGCGTATAAGTCTTGCTATTACGAGTATTTACATCAGCACCAATTGTCTCGGTGACTTCATTGCTGGTAAACCTACCTGGTGTGCTTTGTCTCGGCCATGATGTCGTCAGAGTGTACAGAAGTTGAAAGTAAGGGTAAACACAGATAGAAGATTGATGAGGGAAGATGTTGCAGAAAATATATGGAGGGGTATAGAAGGCTAAAGAGGGGGGAAAGGTTCTGGTTATAAATCGATGTGATTATCCATTCATTACTCTATTAATTTTGGAGAATGCGGATGAAAACTGAATAGCTTGCGCAGCAAAACTTGCTCCTTACAGCATGTCGAAAATTATATCCGCTCGCTATGACGCAGGGTGGAACGCCCACTCTGTAGGTACGGCTCTGTTGAATTCGCATTGTTTTCTTTTACCGAATTCTCCAATGCCATCTATATTTCTATCTCTATTTGCTCGATGAACCAACTACAACCTGTATTCTAGCACGCGACTTCTACTTTACAGCTCTATTCCTTCGACCGTGAGCCTCATCTTAATAAATCTGAAGATCGAGGGTTTCTGGGAACCCCTCCATCGACATCATAGAAATACTTGTTAGGTGAAGACAACTCCACAGATTTTCGCTTCTGGACATGGTAGCATGGGGAAAGGGGGATTATGGGGATTTAGATCTAGCTTGGGTTATGCGCGCCAATGGTGATCGAGGGTTGAGAACCGGCGTCTCTCCAATGCGGATACTAGCACGCAAAACTCGCCGGGTTAGGACCGGTGCAATGGTACTTGCATAATAGCTTATCGCCTTCGCCTTAGTATTCAAGAACGCTTCCACGAGCAGCGAAATCATTGTGATGCTGGAGAAGGTCTATGGTTCGCACCACGTAGATGGGCTGGAATATCTGCTGTAACGGCCTACTTCAGTTGCAGTGCTTCACGTGCAATTGCTCACTCTTGAATTGACTGTTGGTCGGTTCGATTGGAAGTTTTATGATAACATACTTATCTCAGACCTTACAATGAGGTAAAAATCCATGGTTGATAAGAGAATGAGAAGTCTAGGTTCTCCTACATGAGAGAAGAGATTCAGTAGAATACGAATTGATAGTAACAAGAGCTGCTTATATTATAACACACGAAATCCGGTCTCATAACCCCAGTTTCTGTTCTATGTTGTTTACTATTTTACTACAACCCGATGGAGCTATGATGATAAATAGACATATGAAATCTGCGAAACCCGAACTGGCCTGACTTCTTTTTGTAATATTATAGTAAAATTCAATAAATTGAACTAACAAGAAGCTGCTGGTTTAAAAAGGGGTTGCCCCCTCGACACGATGCCGACTGAGGGTTCCCTGCCGATAAAGAATATGTAACAGCTCCATGAGATGTGCAGATTTATAAATAGTTGAGGCAATAAACAGAAACAGCCAGAAGAGAACACCTCATACGTCCTCAGTTCATAGCCGAAACCCATGATGACCCGTGAATGGATCAAGGTGCCATATTTATGACACCAGAGTCAATGTTTGATGCCACAAGCTTCGAGTGTGTGAGACTGCTGCCCAGGAGCATCTGTCCAACTATCAATTCATAACACAATGGATATTTTTTATAGCGCTGGAGCACATAGTATGGCATACAAGTGTTCACTCTAGTCGAACATGATGGACAATAAATCCCTTCCTCTCCTATTAGAACTGTCCCATGCACTAAAATGGCAAAGAAGGCCATATGATACACTTCAGTTATACGTTATGTAAGGGGCACGGCTCCAGCCATTGGATTAACATAATGCTGGCGACCTTAGTGTATTTGTTAGGGAGAATGTTTTTCCCACAAGTGGATACTTTGGTTAAGTAAGTGTTTGTTGATTTTCCATTTGACATATAATATACCTGTGACACATATCTTTCGATTTTTTTGCTATCTGTGCATATGTATGTAACAGAAACCTGCAAGAGAGACAAGACCTGATCCGAGATATTACCTGGAGGCTGGCCATGAATGCCCACGGCAAACGCGGCGGCTCCCGACACGTTGGACGACAGATTCCTACAGGCTACCTATGCCTCCCGCTTGGCCCTTGCAGGTCGCGTTAGCATTGCCGTCTAGCGAAAACGTTGCGGGGAGGAGAATGACTGAATCATGTCAGGCACAACAGGAACGTACAGGAGGTAAGTAATATGTTCACGGCTTATGCCGAGATCTATTCCTCTTTTGGGAAATTAACTATGTACTATCGGGTTTGGTAGAGTACAATGAGCAGAGTCCGCCAGTCATGCTTTCGTGGCTGGGTACTGAAATAGTACGTAAAATGAGCTGAGGAATGACCAAAGCCGAGGGTGTACGGTCCCCGGGTATTTCTACCTAACCGACGCCTCTCCCTCCGCATCCACGAGACTCAGCGCGCCCAAGATCAAGTAGCGGGAGAGAGCCTTGATTTTTTATTTTATTTTCTCAATTGATACATTTCAACCTATCTAATGGTTTCTTTCAGAAGATAGTTTTCTGCCGAAGCGTTGGGGTGCATGAGATCTCCTGCGCATTCCAATGCTATTCCGGGGGAGGGCGCCGGTCGCTGCCGATCACGTGTCCGTGTCGGATGCTCAATATCATCCGATGCTGTTCAAATGCCCGTAAGATTCCGGGACTGTCCCCAATTGCTTTCCGAAGTCGACGCCATCACCGGTTAAACTTTAACCGAGGTATGTTTTAACTTGATTGAGAGGTGGGTGAGTAGAGAAGATTCCGTTGTGAATACTTCCGTTAGGAATGCTACTATACGAAGGATAGCCCTCTGCCGAGCCTCCAGAGGTGCCCCGTCTAAGCAGCATGCTAGAAGCGAGTGCTTTAAACTTTTCGTCTGTCGTGTAAATCGTAAATCATTATTGCGCTGTGCCCCCAGGATAAGCGATCCACGCTCATAGTAGAGATGAAGACACATGGCCATAAGTATGAGATGAAAATAGGTCATCTAGCTCTTCCGGTGCTTCTCATATGCTTCGACAGCGGCCTCGAGCTCGGCCAAGCTCGATCGATCAGCATAGGCGTTCATCATGGCCTCGTTATGTCGCCGGGTGGCTGCGTCGGCCTCGGTATTGTGATATTGTTGCTGTTCTTGATATTGCTTGTATTTGGCCATGCCATAGCCTTTGGCGTTACATGTCAGTCCGTCTGTTGTTTTCTACAGCTTGATCTGTTATAGATACATGCTACTCACCTATGCCTACCACGGCGGCAGTTGCAGTTGCACTATCAGATTTGTGAGTAATTTTGCTCACTTGACAAGGATGAACAGGCCATCTCACAATTTCTTCTCCATCCTGCCTGATTTGTATAGAGTTGGGAGGTGGCTCGGATAGACATGAGATGTTGTAGAAAAGGGGCGTGTTGTTGAGCTTGAAGGCATACTGTTGTTCTCGTTGGCCGTGACGGCACAAACAATGACCAGAAATATTGAAGCTGTACGATTTCTTGCTGTAACGCGCTGTGTGTTGTCGCCCACGCTTTTCCTCGATGAATAAAAGACGACGACGTGAAAGGGGTAACAGACGCGGAGTGAGGATGATGATGGCAGAATGAATTCGACAGTTACCTGAAACTGAACACACCGAGTCAAGAGAAAGAGGAGGATGGGTCTGAGAAGATATATACGATGAGCTCTGGTACCTAAGTATCAAGTAGGTAGGCCGTAGCAGGTAAGGATGTTTATATGGCGACTACCTTGGCAATAGTTAATGCTCCCGAGGTGGCATACATATGCATCATTCCTTGCCCCCGCGTTTGCGCACACCTACCTAGCCCAACCTGCCTAGGTAATCTGCCTATCCTAGATACCTTCCTAACCGATAGGAGTAGGTAGTATACTATGAATATCTGAGATATTAGCAGTACGAGTATATACCGCCCTGCGTGAATCCTCCCGGGACAGCGGAAGATTTTTTGGGCATCGAGTGGTACGAGATTTGGGAATGTGAGCGGACATGGGTCGAGCTCTTACGATGCGACGTTGGTGGCTTTGTGCTTTGTGGGGGATTGGGGGATTGGCGCATATGCATGATGCGGGGACTCTCCTAGCCTTGGTCCCATCTCTTTTTCTCTTTAGTCTAATCGCGGAGTGCAGCACAACTTGCCATGGCTTCTTCTCTTGGCAATCTCGACTCTCGACTCTCTAACAACACCGGATGAGTTGATATCTTGATATCTTGATATCTGGTTGGAGGGCAGAGATCTGTCTTGGTCTGGCAACCCTAGAGCCACATCTCGTTTGTAGGGGTGCCTTTGTGCAAAAAGCCCTTGCTAACTCACAGCCCAGACGAACAGAACACAGGTGTAACAAGGTTGGATCGTTGCATTGCATTACTGAACCAACGGTCACCGAGTTTACATCTGCTGTCTACTTCGTACATACCTGTTATGCGGATAGATGGACAGTAATCGACACTGACACGGCATAGGATCGGCGTGGCCCGTACACAGGACTGGCGTCAAAACCGTTTCGACAGTCTCACGCTCATTCTCACACTCGTCCTCATTATGCACTTACCTACCATCTCTCACATCAGGCATACTGTACATTCCTAGTATGTTGTGCCATACCTATGTTTTCTTTTGCTTGCGGCATTTTATCTAGACCCGTCCGCTGGAGGGAAGCCTGGGCGGCATCGACGACGCATGTGTCTTGTCTGCCTGCCTCTATCTACTTAGCCAATTGACGCCCTTACCATGCAGTAATCACGGCAATTATTCACCCTGAGTAGCAGGGGGGCAGAGGTAGGGTACCGCCAACCTAGCAGCGACATTCTAATGTGGTTGTCCATGTATGTAAGGAGAAACCCGAGTAGGCTAAGACTTTCCTCAAATATGCCATGCCGAGTCACAGTTTTCGGAGTACAGAAATGCGGGCAGGGAAGATAGAAACGCCATCTCTGACAAACATGTGCAACAAGCGTCTGACGGTTACCTACCTTTCTTCAGACTTTCTTGTAGTACAATAGAGATGTGCAGAGATGTGGCGGAAGATTTACCTTCTCATATGGCCCAATTAATCACTCTCAATGCAGCCCCTGACGTCCTGGCTGTCTGCAAACTCGACTGAACCTCCAAATCTTCGTAAATCCCATTCCCTACTGACCGTTCTGCACATGTCCATCCCGCGCATCATGACTCAATCTGAGTGTCCATCGTCCCAACAACCCCATCTCTACCCATCCCCTTCTGTACGCACGTCGTTCACAGTCTCGGGAACTCTTGCCCTTTAGAGCTAAACGTTCTAGACGCACACCTGGTTCGGCCAATCATAGCAAACGCATGATGTGCCAGCGACGCGTTGACGAAAGTCTAGAGGAGGAGGAGGAGTGGGGTAAATAGTGATACTGCCTTGGGTAGATAAGTAAGTATCGCTTTCCAGCTGGACTTGTTGAGTGCAGATTGAGTGGGAGTGTTGCAGCTGGCTGTGCAGTCTGATGTAATTCCGCGAACCAGTAGATGGACTGACAAGACTGAGGAAGCACGATACTGCACGATAAAAGGGGGCGACTTTCTCGCGCAACACCATACTCACATAACCCACCAGCGCGGGTGCCGCGTCGTACGTGAAAGACACCGCTCCTCGCCCTGCGGTCGCACGCCCTACTGTACAGATCGTACTATAGGATTGTGACGCCACCGCGCTCATCCGTCGGTCAGGTCTCGAAGTGTGTGAGAGTGTGATAGCTCATGGTGGCAATGGCATCACCGACTTTCACTTGCATAGACGGGCTAGAGCTATCTGATCTTGTCGGTTCATCTGCGACACTGCGGAAGACCTAATAGCGACGATGATGGTTTCATTCTCTAGCCAATGTACCAAGAATATCGTGAATCGGAAACGATGCACTTCAGGTACCGACATCCGACATGCCTCGCTTCCATGTCGCGCAGGTTCCCTCTTGCAGCAAGCAGCTTGGAAGGATTGCATGGAAGGATATATCTACCCCTCCATTAACCCCCCTTTGATTGCCGAGTAGACGAATCTACATCTCACTCGAGTTTTCCTATAACGAGCTGGCCTCATGATCGAAACCCTTGCTCTAAACCCTTTCGTAGTATCCGTAGACGCACTATCGCAATCCCAATCCAACCTCTCATTTATATAGAGAAGCCTAGGTAAAACACACTGAACAAGAAAGAAGAATATGTCATGTCTTGCTTAAGCGGTGGTTCTTTTTCGCATCTATACCTATCTATTCTTTAGCACGAAATATGACCTAAATTTCTTTCAATTTTAAGTAACACCTCTCTGTCTACGTATCAAACATAAACTCTTATTTCCTATATCCTTATAAAACAGTGCAAAATGAGGCAAGCTGGTTTGCACCGTTGTATTGCTGAATACTCATTGACCATGATATAGGTCAAAAATAGACCAATGCTTGCATGAATACGGGCTTGCAACCCAGATCATGTAAAGTCTTCGTGGCTCAGTTGGCTAGAGCGTTGGTCTCATATTCGTATGATCCGATCCAAGATCGGGCTATCCAAAGGTCGTGAGTTCGAGCCTCACCGAGGACATATCCTTGTACTTTTTCCCCATTGTTTTTAGATTCCATATCTCCCCTCTATGTGCACATGATATCTCTGTCTTTGTCATTATACTACGCTTCGGATTTTCCCTTCTTTTCCTCTTTTCTTCTTCTCTCACAGTCTTATATCGGATGCATTGTAGAACTGTGGTATTAGGTGAATAAGCATGGCCATTTTAAATTCGCCCCCTTTCCCCCATAAATATCATCCTACCTGGTGTTGGTACCTCAATTGGAGTAGACACGCCCAATCAGTCCAGGCATTAAGAGAGTTTACATGAAAATTATGTATCGATATCATGGAGTCACTGACTGCATTACGACCGATCCAGCAATCCACCATTCTTTTCAAAATAATTTGCATTGTCTAGATTACCCCGAGCTAACCCAGCGTCTCGCTTTTTAAGGATCAAGTCGTCGAGGACCTCAACTCCTAGATTTCAGCACGCCTTGCTGAAGGCTTTTCCTTTTTTCCCCCTTTCCCCATCCTTCATGCCTCGGTGTGAACGTTAACTGATGAGTCAATTACATTCGTTCTTCTGTCGGCATATATACTGCATCTCATCTAGATTTGATAGTTGGATTGGAGACATTACGGTATTTAAGCAGTGGTTCCGATCTTGTTTAACCCTTTAAGCGATCCAAGACTTAGAGCTAGACCTTGTGATCTGCTTCTTATGCGGACAAAGCCTGTGATAGGACCATCATCGCCCTCCTTTTCTATACTCAAGTTGGCCAGAGCATCCTCTCCTGTAATCATGTTAGCGAGTTTTCTCAGTTGAGGTGAGCCATGTTAGGAATACATACCGAATACACTCCTGGCATATAAGTTCGCGCTTAAGAACTGGCAATCGCCCTTCATACTAGCCTCAGGTGTCAAGCAGTTCATATTCGTGCAAGCCATCAGTTGCTCTAAAAATTCGCGAAGAGTCTTGGCTTTACTATTAATATTCACCTTGTTCTCCCATTCGAATTCGGTCCACATTGATCGGAATTGTGTCTCTGTGCACGTTGCTGGTTGGATATAGTCCATGATGTCGACATGGAGATCATTGAGAATGACAACGTTGGTGTCAGTGCTGTGAGCACCGTCATATACTACGTTACCGAAAATGACACCGGTGTCGGTGGACGAGACCTTGATCGTACACTGCACATTGTGGAAATCATGTGGGCCGAGGTTCTGGGTTGTTGGTCGCTCCACCACTTTAAGATCACCCAACGTGGCGAATTCGACTGAGAGGTTTTGTAGTGTCTCGGTTGTCTGGTTGACTAAGAGGACATCCAAAACGATATCAAACTGGTGCACTTTGACGTATGCCTCGGCATAGACTGGATCAGAGAAACCGGTCAGCTGAACGACACGGCTTAGTTTTGAAGTAAGGTCCTCAGATGTAGCCTCGCCACCGGTCGCCCTTTCGAGGTCTAATTCAATCTCATCAGCACCTTCTGCGCTGTTCTTTTTAGAAAGTTGGCGGATTTGGACGACATCATCGACCTGGATTGCCGTCTTCGCCTTCTCGAAGGCCTCTTTCGCCGCTCGCTTCTTCTCCTCGACCTGAACCCTAGCCCGGAAGGCCTTGCGGGTATCTTCGAGGAAGACAGTTTCCAGCTTCTTGTTATCGGAAAACTCGGCCAACGACCGAACGCAGGACATGATTCTGTCAACTGTATCCTCGTCAATGGGGGCTTTGGCGAACTGGGACTGCCCGACACGGATGATGGAGATCATAATGAGCATGGCTTCGGCCTTGAGGGCATTCGTCCGCGCCTTATCTGAAGATATCTCGGAGTGACGCATGACAAGCTTGGTTAGTGTAGCAGAGAGAACTGTTGCCAAGTAATAATCCCCTTCAAGGATCAATGCTCTCAATGGAGGCTTTTGTGCCGCCTTGACAGCTTCTAATCTGGCAGCAGTAGTGGACGCGCTGGTCAGCGCCGTCTCAGTAGCATATGTACCGTCCGCTAGAACCCGCCGTGAGCCAGAAGGTTGCGCGGGTTTAGAGTGACCATTCACCTGCTCCTGTTCTTGTTCATTTTGACCCTCGACATTGTCCAGGAGACGTTGCTCAGAAGCCAGGATCGGTATCTCGCCCAAGCTTGCGCGAATCTTTTTCCAAGCATCCCTGATATCATTTTCTTCAAGAGAGTACTCGCCAATAATCCAGATGATCCCGCGATAGACCTTACCTGCCCGGACCTCACTGAGTGTATCGACCAATCGTGCGACAATTGAAGGTCGTAATTTAGGGAACTTTTCTACGACCTCCTTGACAAAGCTGATAACGTCAACAGCGGACGAACTGCTGAAGTCGGCAATGAAATCCATTAGAAGATCAACAACGCTGGCCGCAACCTCGGAAAATTTGATGGCGCATTGGTGAATGGATTGGATCAGTAGTTGTCTGTATTCGGCGTTCTTCTCGTATTCTTGATCCACAGTCTTGGAAAGCTCTTTCTTCAGTAGCAGAATGACTTCTTCTACGTTCTTGCTGGATACCATCTCCAACGCAATCGCGAGAGCCTTTTTCCTCACATCAATATCAGGGCTCGAGAGAACGCGGAGGATTTCCATGATGAGGTCGTCAAGCACCCCTTCATTCCGTTGGCGAAGTTGGTCTACACGATCAAGTACGATAAGTTTTACATTGTTGTCTGCCTCTTTGATACTAAGCTCAATGAATTTGGCAGCAGCGGCTTTGACGGCTACAGGGTTGCTGGTAAGGGTGGTCAAGGATGAAGCAGCCTCGTATACAACGGTTGAAGTGTTGGCCTCTAACAGATCGAAGATGAGCCTCAAATACCGAGCCTTTTTGTGTCAGTTACGGTGCTTGATTTGGACGAGGTTTTTCAACATACCTTGTTCTGTTGGTTCTGGATAGCGTCTTTGCGGATGAACTCGAGCTCGACTAATTGCAATAACTCCTCTGCGTTAGGGATACCGTCGAACACATTGCTCAGAAAGGCGAGGGCCTTGTCGTGATCAATGCTTGATAGAGCCGCGAAAGCATTGCGCTTGCAAGTCGCATCGCTCTCACCATCAAGGAAAGTAGCGATCAAGTCTGAAGCATCCGGGATGAGAGAGGGCGAATGTTGGTGGATCGACGCAACAGCAAAAACGGCGTTCTTTCGCACGTAAGCGTGCCGGTGCTCGAGACAAGATCGTGCAGATGATAGAAGAGGCTCGATTAACTCCGGCTCTCGCAACTTGCAGAGGAAGCGTAATGTGTTTCCTCGAATGTACTCATTGGGGTGCTGAAGATCGTTCCTAATACCATTGCTGCACCACCCAGTCAGCGTCGACTTATCATATGTGCTTGCTAGGATTATCTCGCTCACCAGACTAGAATCATTTCTTGTTTCAGTTTCCCACTAGCATCGAGCTTGGGGCATATCTCGTAGTAGAAATATAGCAACTTCTTCAGGTGCTTGGATTTCGAGGGCATAACGAATCGAATGATGTGCATGAGGAGCTGAGGCATGGGGTCTCCGTTCAGCATGATGGTCAGGATGCGCTTCATTGTGTCAACCTTGGACTCATCAGTGCCCTTCTCTAGCTGCGTGCGCAGCTCTGACATCGAGGGGACATCGGCAGCATTGTCCTGATGGACTAAGCTGTACGCATTCTCGAGAAATGTGGTCATGGTAGGCAACTGCTGCGGCTCTCGACCGCCTCGTCGATATCGGTAGCTGGTCTAGTCGAGGGACAGGCAATGAAAGAAGAGTCGACTCGAACGGCGAAGCGGAATTGCAGTCGGTATTTCGCCCCTCAACAAGACGCAGGTGGGAAGGGAAGCGGTATGAAGAGACAGGGTTGGGCTGGGAGTAACGGGGGATGGCGTCAATAGACAGGAGGAAGTCGACTAGTCAGGTACACGACGACTACGCATATGCATCCCAGAGGCCACTCGACTGCCAATTAATCTGGTGGTTCGAAAGTAGGAGTGGCGGTGGTGGTGGTAGGCAGATAGTTGTATTAAGTCGTAGATTGGCCCTCAATTCGTGACCAGGCTGTCCCAATAGACATCGGCCAGCATGTACGTACATATAAGACTCCCACACAGAAATCTGTCCCTCCTGGACTAGGAGTGGGCCACTTCGTAGGTTAGTAGGCTTAAAGTACCTCCCTAGCTATTTATCCAGGCAAGATACTTCTCTCAATCGCTAGAGGATCGGAGGGAAGTGTGGGGCACCATCGTGGCTGAAGCTCCCCTTTGAAGGGGGGACCTACCTAGGTATTATTCCATATGTACTAGTACCGAGTACTGTGGTAGACATTAATAAATATTTACTTCTAATCTGTCTCCAATCTAACATCCGATTCTAGCGAATCAATCATGCCCACAAACGGACGTGATAGTTGAATCCAGCCTCAAGCAGAGTGCTCAGCTGTACGTGTAAGGCTGATAAAGGCAATGAGAATTGTGGCTTGCTTGGTTCTCTAGAGATGTTGACCGCCTTGGGCCAACCAGTGCGAGCTAGGTAGGGGAAACTGCCCCGCCAAATGGAGGTAGTTACCCCAGCCGATAAGGCTGGCTCGACTGGTTGGAATACCTGCTGTAACTCTGTACAGCTCTCTTTGATCTCGAAACTCTACCTAATTCTCATAAATTAATCTCTCAACACGCAGGTCGAGTATAAAAACAGAGGAAATCCATACAATTTCGAAGTATTAGCGAATTCTCCCATTGAATCAACCTTACACACCATCCCACCATGGCTTCATCCAGCGAGCCCTTCTATATACGCTACTAGTACGTTCAGCTGCCCACCAAGCGACGACATGTCTATCGCCGATATTGGTCCGCAGCACCCTCGCTGACACACGACAGCTCCGGCCATTCAGGTCGATTCGGCCATGAATTCCTCGGTATGCTTTGGCTACGCAATCCGCAACCAAAAGTCTTGCTAGACATGCATCCAGTCTATGCATGAACGGAAGAGAGAGAGAGAGAGCTGACTTGGTTGCATTACGCGCGCAGAGTTCGACTTCCGTGTAGTTGGTGATGGACGAAGCGCGGTAGCCCGATACGCCAACAACTCCAATTACCGAAACGATAGTCTCATCCGGAAAGAGAGTGCGCGCACCCCGTTACTCGACCTCCCTATTCACCATGCCCATTCCACCTCCCTACAAACACGAATTTCTTCTGGGAATAACAAAGAGAAGGCGCTGACCCGTCTCATGATTTTTCAATCAATAGTGTGCGTCAGTTCCTTAGTAGTCGACGAAATTAGACGTATAGTGAAGTCGAGCGAGATTATGAAGGAAGATGATTCGAAGTGGCCACAAAAGAACAAGGATGGGCGACAGGAGTTAGAGATTCGACTGGGCAATGAACACATATCGTTCGAGGTGCGTAGCGGCATTGCCATTGCCTTTTCTATTCCCATCACGCGGATTAGATGTTTGCTTACAATTGAGGAACGCTCTCTTAGACAGCCAAGATTGGCTCATTAATCGACGTCACCGAGTCGGCCGATCCCGAAGGCCTTCGTGTTTTTTACTACCTAGTTCAAGATCTGAAGGCACTGGTATTCAGCTTGACATCGCTTCACTTCAAAATCAAGCCCATCTCATGAGAACCCTAGTGAGGAGGATACGCGGTGGACGTTTGGTGGTTTAGATGTTTCATGTACACGAGCTAGGCCCTTTCTCTTTGTCCAGACCTGGAATATACCCCCCACGTGGCTGTTCGTAAAAATAAAAAAAATGCTATATCAACTGTCGCTCCGTTCTGCCTGCAAGCGCCCTTCGGAATAACCAAACGCCTTATGCCCGTGTGTTTGGGTTGCTGTTCCGAATGTACCTCGCCAGAATAATGAGTATGCCTTTCAATGCGTACCTTACGTGTACGCCGCTCGCAAAGATAAGATATAATAACCGATTTGCTCTCCATGCTCGAACTGATCAATTTCCTGACCTGTCGTCTCCTCCTAGCGACACCACGCTCACGCTCATTAAATAGGTTTGAGTTGTTATACGTTTCAGTCGTTATCGAATTCTTCATCGGAACTCCAGGGCACTGAAACAGCCCCTGTCCTCCACATGCTTAAGCTCCAATTGTTGGAACCTGCTTGGCCAATAGCGTCAGCTTACAAACAACCAAGACTATACAGTTGGGTACTTACTTCTCGCTTTTGGCATGGAAATATATACCACTGACAGCACCCTCTTTCTGGTTGAAGCAAATGTAGTAAAACCCTTCGAAACTGGCGCCGTTGAGGGAGGTGACACGATGATCAGGCACCAGAAAGTGTTCCTTCCAACGCATGAAAATATTTTCGCGTTGCGCAAGGTTGGGTATTGACACAGCAACACCCTTCCGCACCTGCTTGCTATACTGCCGGAACGCTGAGAATTTGCCCCAGTGGTTTAGGTCGATCTTCTCTGTAGCACCCCAACCCTCGTGTTTTGTCAGGAAGTCGTAGCGGTTACCGATGATCTCGCCCTCAAAGTACGTCGTTAAGGTAGGGTTGTCTTCTGTCAGGCCTATTTCGAAGTCGGGATGGTCAGCAAATGTATCCGATAGACATGGTGGTTGAAGCTTGGATGATCGAGACCGCGCCACATTTCGCTCAACGGCTAAAAAGTGGGATGTGAGGATGAGAAGTATGATGGAACAACTTGCCTTGAATCTTAAGATAGCCACACAGAAAAGACTCGCGCAAATCGACATACTTAATCTCAACTTGCACATCGTATATTTGGCGTTCGGATTGCTGTGTCCCATGAAACTTGCTCCCAGCTCGCAAGTATGAAGAGGGTGCCATGGGAAGTATCTGAAAGAGTAGTTAGCGAGTGGTACCACATTCTTCTTCCTTAGACACACGGGCTTTCAATTGAGTTCATCAATGCGTATGCGTGCACATACCCGAATATTAGAATAGTCGAAGCCCATGGATGGCGGGTATTCGCCATAGTTTACAGGGATCCGTCTGTCATCATCATCAAGCTTGTCCTGGTCTGCCGTCGTGGTATCAATGTCACACCGAGAGCGACGTCGCTCGGCCGGCGCCACAATTGTACCACGCTGCACATCCCCCAGCTCTTCTGGCTGTTTATGTGATGGTGTATCTGTTTCGATTGGTTCCGAGATCGAACGATCGGTGCCGCTCCTCGAGTCGGGCCGTGGTGATTCTGTGGTGGATCGCGACTCGGTCAACTCGTCGACGACAATTTCGTCGGCGGGCGCGGTGATGGGTGTCGGCGACATGGTCGCATCGCTATCAGTATTCACCTCTAGCCCATCTTCGTTCGGACGCCAAGTGCTGGGAGAGTGAACATCCTCAGGACATGAAGAGCTATGTGTCCGGGGTGGCAAATCGGGGGGTGTAGGGGGTGTGTTGCTGGATGGTGTCGGCATGGTGATGATATGGGGAGATGAAAGCGGTGATCGCGCCTGTGGAGGTCGTCAACTACAGCTACCTAGGTATGTAGATATACCTATGCCCCTACCAAAGTGTGGTACGCGAATGAATGGATAGCGGCGATAATTCGGAGGCTAGCGAGACAACAATACAGCAGCGATGTGCGCCAGAGTCAATCAAGACTTGGTCGTTCTAAGTGTATACAAAGAAATGGAAAAGAGAAATACGATGTGAAGGGAAGGCAAGGAGAGGAGAAAGAGACAAGCCAGGTTGGCTGGTTGCTATTAAGATGGGAATGAAGTACTAGATGTTGACGTCGAGCAAAGTCCAAGTAGGTACCTTCTACGAGACAAGTAGGTAGGTAGTACTTGAAGAGTTGATTTGGGAAGTTTTGGTCGTCTTAGGCCAAGGCCAGTGGGACCAGACCGAGGCGAGTTGAGTTGGGTTGAGCTAAGTGCAAGAGCACGTCAACTCAGGAGAAAAAGGGCAGAGCAAGTTACTGTAAGTAAGTAAGTACTTAGACAATGGGACGTCTGAACTGGAGGGCAAAAGGAGCGGATCTTGAACAGACCAGACTAGACTAGACGAGACGGGATGGGAGTGACAGTGATAGAGGATGATGAACTGGCTACCTAGGTATCTACCTATCTAGACTAGGTAGTAGTCTAACCTCACCTACTTACTTACAATGGTGGTGATAGGTAGTAGACTTCTGGTCTACTTCGTACGTGACTTACGTGTAGTGTGGCAGCAGGGCTGATCCTCCAACATGCCTCCATATCTCCATATTTAGTAGGGACGCATAAGTACTACAATGCAGGCTACTAGTAAGTACCTATGCCTACCTGACTCCTGACAGTTCCAATAGGGGGCAGTAAGTAGGCAGTGCAACTAGCTACCTGTAGGTACTTGCTACCTACTTTGGTATGGTATAAGGTGGGTGGAGGAGAGTCGAGCAGTTATCGCCATGATTTACTATATGTAACAGTAAGTCGAGCAGGTAATTTACCCCATCACGCATGGGATACGATACTCTGTGCGAAGGCAAGTAAGTACTGTAACTAAGTATATAGTTAAGTAGGTAAGTAAGCATTGTACTTACCTAGTTGGAGACGGGACGGGGAGCATGGTAACCCGCCCACCGACTTGCCTACCGAGCCTACCGCTCGAGCTTGTCTACTGCAGATATCACAGAGGATCTCTAGCAGACTCTAGCTAGTAGGTAACTACCAAGAGCCTGGAGGGAGGTTATAGGTGCATTAGTTCACGCCACTTACACGTCGGACGTACGGCAATAGGTACCGGTACCCCAGATCAGAGAGACCCAGATGACAACTGCAGCGTAGTTGGCAAGATTGTCTCTTGTGGTAGACTGAGGTGTTTCCATCTCTTGTTGGTCACATTACCACCAGCGCCTGTTGCCGACAGTGAGCCGGGTGCAGAAAAAATGTCTTGGGATTCCATGGCTGATGTGGTCACGGTCTTGGGTCCAGTGATTCTGCAGCGCCAAACCATGAATCGAACGTTTCTCGAAATGCGTCTGTTACACCGGTAATGATACCACCACACTACTATCGCCGTGCTGCGGGCGGAGCGTCGCATTGCATGAGAAAGCGCCAGAGTCACCAGTCGATAACCCACCATGTTCGACGTCTGGCCCAGCTTACTTCGTAGTAGTACTGCCCAGAGTTATTCGAGCTCTGTCGAGATCACGCCGAGAGAGTCGCACTCCACAAACTGGCGGTATTGTGCGGGGTCTACATTACAAGGTATGCATAGTAGATGGACATCTCACTAATTCCCACACTATATTCTGCGTATTAATCTTCTGCAGTAGTGTACTGTACACGTTTCAGCTGCTCTGAGCCCTGGACTGGACCCTGGAAACCAGAGGCTTTGCTTTCTCACTTGGCGGGATGATCATTGCTCGTTTCTGTAAGTCCGCTGGAGAACCATCTTCAACGGTTAACCTCGCTTCTAGATAAGTAATCCCGCCATGTTCTAATTCTAAACGCATAATCCCACATTGTTGCTTTTGTCTTCTCCCCTCTCTATCCCACCATGGTCCCTTAGATTTGATCTCCGCAGAGGGGAAAGTCGTTACTATCTTGTAGTGTGGCATCGACCCATTCAAAACCTTGATGAATGTCATACTTGGTATATTCAAGGGTGACGTCAACTGCATCCAGCATGCGACCTCTAACAGTAAGGTCAATGCATAACTCTTACTTGGAGGTATAAAAATAGACCCTAATTCGTCAAGTTAAGCAAGCTGCCCAGTATCGAAGAACGAATGCAGATGGGCATGTGTCTCCTCTCCTGCCCAAGTTAGCTAGGCAGCCTATTTCGGTACGGGGACGACGAATAGGTACGATTCCGGATCTCTATTAACCTGCATTACCGCTGCATGTTGGATTCGTCGGCCAGGTCAACTCCTGTCACCTGCAGTTTCATGCACGCTCAGTTTGAATACCCACGACAACTCGTAAAAGCCGGGACGCGTTCGGTTCTCGAGGCCTTGGTCCGAAGCCGTGTTCCGAAGACTTGGTGAAAAGCATACGGTGGTTTTCGTTGTATGTTTAGTGAATGACTATGAAATGAGAGTACTTGGATGGACACGCTCTAAAAGCAGATGCTTCATAGAGCTCTAGCAGCCCAGAAAAAACAATACTACAAAAGAGGTGGTTGCGTGATGTCTTTCGGGTAGTACGAAAAATGCGGCAAGTTCCGTTATAATTAGATATCTAAGTTTGTATTTGGTTTTTTTCGTGAGCTGCAGAATCGAGGAGCTCCTGTTCTGACTTGAACCCCCTAAAGTAGTGACGGCGAAACGGATTAAGCTCATCTGCGGATCGGCCATTGACCTGGCTCTCTTGTGTCTTTCTCAACGCTAATGCCGACATATCTACGTCTGAGTCCGGTAGCCGCCGGTAGGTGATCAGCCGTCTCGACCCTGGTAACGTGTGAGTTGACTACAAACTGCATATATGACAAGACGACCAACTCACATTTATTAAACACCTGGGTGCATACGACAACCGTCTCAAGGCATGGGTGCGTGGGAACGGGAATCTCCTGGTCTTCATCATTTGCAGTTGGCATCCAGAAAGAAAGCCGGCCATTATCGACCAGCATGTCTGTAGCGAAGTTGAGTATGTCATCCAACATAGCTATGAAGCTATAGGGTTTCTTAGGAGGGATGAATCCTGGCTCTCTGTGCATTGTCAGTGGGTGAATTGCACAAGTTCGACAGCGATGGGTTCTTACTTGTACATCAATTTGCCTCTCTCAATACTCCGCGCATTTCTCTCTGTATCCTTACATCCCAATACTTTCAGACCTTCTCTCACACCATAGGGCGGGTCACATAGTATCCCATCAAGAATCCTAGCCCTGCGCACAGGAGTGTTGGTGAGGTCGCTCACGAAAACTCCTCCTAATGCTTTCTCCAACCCATACTGCTTGAAATTGCCCAAGAGACTCTTCTTCCCACCTTCACCTCTCATACTCCGACCGTCGATATCGCTGCCCCAGACGAGAGCACCAAACTGTGCACAGGCAACTGGAAAGCTACCGGTGCCGACGAAGGGGTCATAAAAGAGCTTGCCAGGCCCAGCCAGAGCGATATTGGCAGTAACAAGGGCCAGTTCGGAATCCATTGAAGTCGTACTAATGTAATCACGCTTCTTCAGATTGAAGGTATTGATCAGGTCTCTAGCGCTACCGCCAATAAGTCTCCCAAAATGCACCTTCAGGGGTGACGATGGCTTCTTTTCAGGCAGAGGCTCAAACACCCATTCCTCGAAGAGCGTAAACTCATTGTCGGGCGCCGATAAGTCGATGGCGCCCTCAAATGGGAGGTAAGAGAACGAGTTAATGAGAGCCACTTTCTGTTTTTGAGACCTCGAACCTCGAAAGCAGTCTAAACTGATCTTAAAAGACGATGTGGCATAAAGTGGCCACAAGTGAGTGGTGTCTCTTTTGATAGTGGCATGTAGTTCATCGAGCGTCTCGGCAGATCCCCAGTGTTCATAGACATTATGTGCTAATATCGATCGCTCGATAACAGCGCGTGCAGCAGCATCTGAGGAAAACTCGACCAAACAAATTGGAGACTGGGAAACATTAGTCCACAATTCTGCATATAACCCTTGTGAGGCGGTCGTATGCTCCCTTCATCTTACTTCGTCGCTGTAAGCTATGATCTTCAAATCGACTTTCGCTAAGACAGCGAGGGCCCTGATCTCTGCCAACCGGAAAGACTCATGTAACTGTGTGAATCGAATGAGGTATTGCATGACGGGCTGTTATTTCTGAGTGTCTAGGCAGGAAGTCTAGAACTTGAGGTGTTTTGGTGTCTTGCGCGTGTGTAGTAGACAACTCCATCTGTGTCCAAATCTGTATTGGCCGTGAGTAGGCGAGAGGACTCATTCGCACAATGTGGGAATGTTGGTGCATCCAGTCAAAAAGTCAGGGGCGTGAGCCAATGAAGAAAATGGCCGAGTGCTTAAGATGGCGCTACTATCGCTTGACGCAAAGCCTCTTTTGACTTGTACAAATTGACTGCAGAAGATGAGTTTATTCAATTATACGGCCTAGTCAGTAATAGAGCTAGCCTGCCTTATATTCACCCCAGGTGTCGTCCTACAGAGACGGTTTAGATCATTTCTTCTCTTAAACATTAGTTTGCAGCCAATCTCACAACAACACTACAAAGCTATAAGTCGAGCCGCGCGCTGGGGATTTTGCCCGCCATGTTTTCGTTTGCGAAGCCCAGCGTCTACCAAACTCCAACATGCTTTGCCACATACGGGGTGATGGGCTACCCGGCTACCAACCAGCTCCCAACCAAAGTCAAGCCTTGGAGCACGATACTGTCACAAGACTATATACATAGGGTGAGATATTCAGATCCCCTGCTTCTTGTAATATACAGAATACTAACACCTGGAAAAAGGTCGATCTCATCTTGCCAGATGAGCTGTCACTCCTGATTAAGGAAAAGATTCTTGATGGCGCAGCACAGATTCCAAGCTACCATCGAATTATCATGACTCTCGGACAAGTGCTAGAAGGCGAATTCTTCACACAGTATATCAAGATCGGTATGCGCCTTCTACGCACTCAGATGTCTATGCTTGAACAGATTATGATGCTAACATACATCTGTTAGGGGATGTCATGATGCTTTCAGAGGGGAAAGTTGGCGTCGACAATGTTTTCTCCTTAAAAGACGGTACGAATCACTTCTTGTTGGAATAACAAAATATTCTCGCTAAATTGAACTATCACCCCATAGGAAAGCTTACTATGTATCTTGATAGAGAGACCTACGAGCGAGCTGGACTTGTGGGTAAGCCTCATGGAGTCAAAGGAGCAAGGGGGTCGCAACCAAGATGGAGTAAGTCATGTTAAACGAGTCAGAGTTCGATGAAGCTAACTTGTCGAAGTTGTCGAGTACGACCTCCGCAGCCCATCCGCATTGCATGGGAAAAAAGGGTTTGACAGGCTTGTCAATGCTTGCAAGAATGCATTGAATGTACCAACAACCTGGCTTTTCTGCAGCCTCTCTAAGCGTAAGTGTTCCTTGTCCAAGGAGTAGAGAGAAGCGCTGCTGACATAAGCCCAACAGCCCCTAATCCAGATCCTATTGCCCAATATCGCCAAACTAAATACACAGCAACACCAGCTGTTGTCCAGAATATGCCAATCCAAATTCCTCCGCTGAATATCCCCTCGGCTGTCCTTGCTGATCGAAGCCGGCAAGAGCTGGGTGAATATTCGACCGAAATCTATGAATGGCTCTCTTTGGTTCGTTTAGAGAGTCCACGGGTGGGACTTGGCGATGATATCAATCCATACCTATCCACCTACGCTGTACCAGGTGATCCAAATGGAAGCAACGAGGGCCAGTTGTGTAAGATTACTTGGCAGGGTTTCATAGCGCCATTATGGGCCGTAAACACCTTAGCGGAGTTGATCAGGACCCTACCGCCAGAAGGATGGTTCTCATTTAGCACCACGCCCTTCACTCGAGGCGTAATGGGGCTTGGTGCTGATTATACAATCATGAGGCCACCAAGCAGCCCAGGGGAGTACGTTCTCTGGGAGATCAAGGGGCACGAATGAGCAAGCCCATTGATAATCTATCATGATTCAAAGATATATCTTTTGTGGTGCTCAGCTTTGACGGGGCCGGACATTACGGTCTGCGAAGTTTTCTTCGGCAATCGCATCTTGGACAAGTTGTCTGAGTGCGGCCTGACCCTCTTCGCTGTGGAAATCCTCCCGTTGGGCCAATTCCTCTATCCTTCTCCTGAACTCTGAGTCGACTTCGTTATCGACGTCTTCGGTGGGATTCATGGTGCTGACCGAGATGTTGAGTCCTTCGGGTAGAGGTGGAATATTGTTTTCATCTTGTGGAATTTCGCCATTGACTCCATTTGACAAGCGTGGAGCCTGCTCCGCTTCCTTAAGTCTGAGGTACTCCGCAACTTCTGGGAAATCACCTTCCTCAGCGATCTTTTGGCGGGCGCTGTAGCCATCGGACCCTTTCACCATGAGGTCGGCGCCGAGTTCTTCAAGGAGGACTTTAGCCGCCTCGACTGTCTCAACAACGAACAAAGCGGTCTCGTCATCTTCGTCGCGTAGATTAACATCAACTTTGAACTCTTGGACAAGGGCACGTAAAAGTTCTAGGTGGTTATAACTTGCGGCAGCGTGGATAAGAGAGTAGCCATGCTCGTCTTGCTGGGCGGCCAGCTGCGGGTTTTCGCGAAGGAGGGGCAGGAGCGCCGGGCTGTTGTCAGCAGCAAGGAGGAAAGGGTTGGCAGGCATGCTCTGCTAAGCTAGAAATGGGATTTGAGTGAAACACGTAGATGATGATGGCAGATGATGGCCGATGATCTCAGAATGAATGTGGCAGCGGGTGATCTTGACGCGACACAGCTGAACCTTTTTTTTTTTTGTAATCTTTTTAATCTTTCACTTGGAGGGGCTCGCCGTGTGACGCATATTGCCCAAAAGTGTTACCCCACCATACCATACCCGCAAGAAGAAGGGCTTACCGCTTATGGTGCTACTATACTCAATTTAGTTGGACTACCGAGAAGTATTGCCTTATTAGGATTAAATTATTATTCCTCAAAATATATCATCCAGCCCGCAACACACAGGACAGGCCCATCCATTTCCCTCACTCTGCGTCGTTACACAAACCGACATATTACATACAGTTATCGAGGATTGCAGGACCAAGCTACACGGAAAGAACAACCTAGATAGATAACTTGGTAGGCACCAGCTACATAACCTAACTTTCCAAGTTCTTCTACGCTACGCTGTCTAGGTCTATTGTGCCTTCCTACCTAGGTAGGTCTGCAAGTGACTCATGCCGGCAGCTAGAAGCTTTCTCAATCAAAGGTCTGTTTCAGCCTGCACTGCCTCCAAGCTACTTACATATCACTGGCACTACATAAAGCATCACTTCAAGCTGATCCCCCTTTCGGATTACTTTTGTATTACTCACGGCCACTGCGTCCTACGAGATAAGGCCTCAGTTGATCTCTCTTCACTCCACACATCGTGCCTAGCCAGCTACCTTAGGTAGTAGTAGTGAGAAGAATCAGTTCGCTGACATTCCGCTACGCTTATAGCTCTCGTCTTCGTTTCATTGTTGTTGGCATTTCTATAACTCGCCCCCGGTTCTCTCTTAGAATCCTTCACTTCTCTAACTGCTCATACCATAGTAACCAAATCATCATGGATTTGTCCAAAGCCCCTTACTGCGGGCAGGACCCTCAGCAGAATTCACAGCTTCTTCGTTCCCTGAATGGTGCAACTGCCAAAGTAAAATCCGGATTCAGGGTGAAGAAGACGACTTTCAAAGTTGCCGGGTCGCCAGACGGTATCAGTGTCGACTCATGGCGCTTTCAGGACTGGGATTACAAAAAGCCCAATCTCCCTACCTATGCGCGTGGTCTTTTTACCACGAAAAACCGCCACAATGACTACGAGATTGCCGTCAGAGGCTACGATAAGTTCTTCAACGTCAGTGAGGTTTATGACACAAGATGGGAGAACATTATGAGCAAGACACGGGGTCCTTATGAGCTCACTTTGAAGGAGAACGGCTGCATCATCTTTATCAGCGGCTTGGAGGATGGGACTTTGCTCGTATGCAGCAAACATTCAACTGGAGACCGAAGTGATGTCGAGGTGAGCCATGCCAGTGCCGGCGAGAGATGGGTGGACAAACAGCTAGCCACCATTGGCAAAACAAGAGAAGAATTCGCCCGGGAGCTACGCCGTAGAAATGTGACGGCTGTTGCTGAGCTGTGCGACGATGAATTTGAGGAGCACATTCTGGCCTACGGTCCTGACAAGGCTGGCCTGTATCTTCATGGTATCAACGTCAACATTCCCGAGTTCATGACATACCCAAGTCAACTAGTCCAGCAGTTTGCAGACGAATGGGGTTTTCGGAAGGTTGGCTTGAAATCCTTTGATGATGTCAAAGCCGCCAGGACCTTCTTAGAACACGTTGCCGAATCGGGTGCACACGAAGGCCGGGACGTGGAAGGTTTCGTCATTCGCTGTGGAATCTCGTCTGGAAGGGATCAGCCACAGTACAACGACTGGTTCTTCAAATTCAAGTTCGAAGAGCCATATTTATTGTACCGACAATGGCGAGAATGCACCAAAGCCCTCATCTCTGGAAAACCACCAAAATTTAAGAAACATACAAAGATCACTGAGGAGTACCTCCTTTTCGCCCGTCAAAGACTGGCCAAGGACCCCAATTTGGCCAAACTTTACAATCAGAATCACGGTATCATCTCTCTTCGGGACGAGTTTCTGGAATATAAGAATATGAAAGGCTCTGATGCTGCAAACCTTGAGAATATATTCGGGAATGACAGCTCGAGTGTGTCGGGCGATGTCATTCTCGTACCAATTGCAACAATCGGGTGCGGAAAGACCACTGTTGGTGTGGCCCTTACCAATCTATTCGGTTGGGGTATTGTCCAGAATGACAACATTCAAGGCAAGAATCGTCCTACAAGAATGACCCAGGCTGTGCTATCACTATTGTTGGAGCATCCTGTCGTAATCTCAGACAGAAATAACTCTGAGCGCCGAGAGCGCGAACAGATCATCAAGGACGTCCTCGTCCAGCATAAGAGCGCCCGACTCGTTGCTCTAAACTTTGCTCATGGAAACATCGACGAAGTGAGAAGAGTAACGAGGGAGCGAGTATTAAAACGTGGGGATAATCACCAAACTATCCAAGCCGCATCAGATGAAGCTAAAGTTATTGGTATCATGGAGAACTTCATATCCAGATTTCAACCTTGCGACCCCGAGAGTAAGCCAGATGACGGCTTCGACTTTGTTATTGATCTAGATCCTGCTCAGGGAAGCCGCGTTAATGTGGAGAAAGTAGTCACTGAACTTCACAAGAATTACCCAGCGCTGATTCCAAACATGCCAAGCACTGAAGATATGGACGAGGCTGTTAAGAGGGCTATTGAGGAGTATTCCCCGGAAATCAAGCACAAAATACCCGATCGCACAAACAACAAACAACAAAAGCAACAAGAGGCTAAGAAATCTAACGACACTAATAAAAAGAAACCACTGGAGTATATGGCAATTTCAATTCCTGCTAAAGAGGTTACTGTAGCACTCGAGTCAGCCTTCAAAGGCGTCGAGCCAGAGATGCAACGATTCTATAAGCAACTCCAGCAGACCCGCCGCATCCAACCACTTTTCCATGTCACCCTTATGCACAAATTTACCGCTAAAGAGCACCCTGAGCTGTGGCAGCGCTATACTGCCCTCGAAGCCGAGAGCCAGTCCATAGATGGCAAGCTTGGCGAGTGCGAAGTAGAGCTTGAGCGCGTCGTATTCAACGATCGCATAATGGCCATCGTGGTACGGATACTAGATCACGAGGGAAAATGGACATGCGTCAACAAAGTGGCACACATTACCGTGGGCACACGCGATAGCGGGGTCAAGCCGAAGGAGAGCAACGATCTGCTAGCACGATGGCTCGATGTCGGAAGTGGAGGCGACACTGGTATTGGCGAGCGTGTTATAGAGGGGAAGCCGACGCTGAAGGGAACTGTTCGTGGCGTGCTGTCTAGATAGAAAATGAGTGGGCGGATGCGAAACAGGACTGGGCGTTCCAAACGAAAGGGGGCCGAGACGTACACTACTATGTACTCCCTGGACTGTAAAGTATCATGTCCCATGTTTTATTTTAGTCGAAGCGCGCCGCAAACATCAATCCTTAAGGCAATATCTGAAGTAGTATAGTTATCTCAGCGTTAAAATTATTAAATCAGCAGCAGCCGAGAGGGAACCCTCATTTGATGATATTTTGCTAAGAGAATCAGGGCGACGAGGTGACAATGACACATTGAAGCGATCTTGGTGAATAGCTACTTTGGTATCCAAAGATTAAAATAGTGGTAGATTTTTATTTTCCTTCCTGTCAGCTTTATTAACATCCTCTCCCTTTCCTCGCAGCATCATATGCTAACTGATTTTATATGGGCAAAGTGTTCGTGACTTCAGCGAAAGCACTCCACTGTTTCCAAGCCTCGCCGCTCTTTATTGTCCATCTTGCTCTTCTGACCCCCTCCTTCCACCGTCCGTTTCCGGGCCCTCTCTCCTTGATGACATTGCCATCATCGCCGGGCCCCATGGCACTCGTATCAGCCTCGCAGATGCCTGATACAACGAATAGAGCCGCTGTATTCATGAGCACGAACTCCAGGATGGGATCATCGTCTGGTAGTTCATCTTGTAGGATCTTACGTAGAATCTCAGCATTTTCGTGGGGCTCTTTGCCTGGTGATACAGTCTCCAGTGGATGTGCACTGAGCCCGAAATCCTTAGGTTCGAGCACGAAGTTCTGGACCTGTACCGTATTATCGCTGTCGTTCCCAAATAGCTGCCAGCAGAACGTAGGTCCGGCGCACGAGATCTCGTCAAGCTGTTCTTGGCCACAGACGACCAGCCCTTTCTTGGCACCGGCTAGTCGTAAGGCCTCAGCAAAGACAGGGCCTAGGTCATCGCGTGCAACTCCTAGCATACGCGCTTCAATTGCATCGTGAAGGGGGTTGGCCAAGGGGCCTAACAAGTTGAAGATAGTGCGCCACCCAAGCTCTTTGCGAATGGACGCGGCGTGCTTCATGCCAGGGTGGAACACAGGGGCGAATAGAAAAGCGTAGTTGGTCGACTCGTAGACGGTAGTGATGGTGTTAGGGGTTATGCGATCGAGCTGGGCGGGTTTTGGTTGCATGTTCATGAGCAAGTCGGCAGAGCCAGACTTGGAGGTCGACGCACGGTTGCCATGCTTCGCAAGGAGCAGCAGAGACGAGCCGAGAATGGAAGATGTCGTAGAAATATTAAAGGTGTGGTGAGAGTCACCCCCTGTGCCGACTATGTCGCACTGCATGAATATGTCCGTTAGCGTCTCAGAGTTTACTTATTGAAAGCCTCTGCCAGCTTTTTCCTCTTCGCAATCTTGACACTTTCAAGGGAAGCTCACCAGCCCACCTAGGTAGTTGCCTTCTGGCCGCCTCGACTTCGATATGGCATTTTCCAACACCTGGAAGTCAATATTGGCAGCATGGCGCCGCATGGCAGCCGAAGTCTCGGCCAAGACATCGGCACGACGGTCCCAGTTGGTAAAATGTAGAGCTGTGAGCAGTGAGCCCGTCTGAACAGGACTGAGCTTGTTCATGAAGATTAGGGAGATTGCCTCTGAAATCTCGTGGGCCGTCACCCTTGTCTTCTCAGGATCCGGCCACAGGCGTTGCAGCAAGGGACGAATATCGACCAGACCATGCTGGTCTTGTGTTGGAGCGGCCATGTCGTAGAAACTGCGACTTCGGAGAAAGCGCTTACTATGTATGTGAATTTCCTGCGCTGTCCCTGAGCTGCGGTTAGGTAGTCCTAGCTTCGAAAATGCAGGTTGAAGCCGGCAAAAGGCATAAGAGCATTCAAGGTAGCTCAATTGGTCTGGAATTTAACCTGTAGACCCATTCCTTATCACCGTGACTCAGATGTAGGAAAGCAACCCCAAGTGTTCGTGACGATCTTGCTGCCCCGCCATCATGTAAGTTATGTAGCCTGGATGGAGGGGCAGGGGCCGGGCAGGGGTAGCTGTAGCGTACCTACTCTAACTTAGGGTACCTATGTACAGACAGGCTCGGCTACAGAGTACAGAGTACATGGCTGACAGCTGAGGCGGTGAGCTCCGGCAAATCTACCTCCGACCGCCGACCGTGTCGCAGGCCCGACCCGCCCTGCCCTGGCCCATACGGCTCGGAAGCCAGCACGCGCGGTCCAATTAATTTTCACCCCAGCTTTTTGCGACAGACGGGCCCACGGGAGTCGGAGCGAGAGCCCTCACCAGCTTAACGTTGACAGCGCCATTCGATCACGACAATACCAGCGCTGTAGGAGAGGAAGTCTATGAGAGTGAAAAGTCAACCCGGGATTGCTTGCTAGGGATCACAGAATTGCCCATGATGCCGTTACGGCTCCCTTGCTCTGCGCGAAGCAGCATAGGGCGAGCTCTCCCCCGAACGACGACGAGCTCTACAAGAATACCAACCCTCGTTGCCCAAAACACATCGAGAGTTGCGTCAAGGCAGTATGCAACGGCACGGCCGCCAGTGCCTCTCGCCGGCCTAAGGTTACCAGACGACTATATCCCTCCGACCCAACCTCCAACTGCTCGGCGGCCCGAGCTGAGAAAGGCTCAGCTTCTTCGCTCATATACGGCAATGCTGCGATCAACCCCAGTGATGCTGTTCTTCCAACACAACAATCTTACTGCCGTAGAATGGGCCGCTGTACGACGAGAGCTGCGTGCCGCTCTAGCAGCCGTTCCCCCTCCCGTTGCTGCACTCGATGGCACAGTCCCTGCCGACATCACAGATAGCATTAAGCTGCAGGTGTTGCGCACGCGCATGTTTAGCGTTGCTTGCAAGCTTGTCGACTACTTCAAACCCGAGGAGCAAGCTGACAAGTCGAACGCATACACACATGATCTGTCCAAGACAGCCTACGAGGCGATCAAAGGCGCTACCATTGACGAGTCATCCACGTATGGACAGATCAGCCCCCTTATCATAGGCCCTGTTGCTGCCGTCACTTTTCCTTCAGTTTCACCGGCACACTTGGCAGCGGTACTCAAAATTCTCGCGCCGTCTCCTCCCGCATTTCCTGCCCCGACGCGGAAAAAGAATCCTGGATACTACGATCCGATTGCCCAGAGTGGGTTCCATAAGTTAATGCTTGTTGGAGGCAGGATAGAAAACAAGGTTTTCGATAACGATGGAGTCAAGTGGGTTGGTGGCGTTGAGGGTGGCATCGACGGACTGCGGGCGCAGCTCGTTCACTTATTACAGACTGCTGGTCTTGGTCTTACGACCGCTTTGGAGGGTCACAGCAAAGGATTGTGGCTAGCCCTTGAGGGAAGAAGGACACAACTAGAGGAAGAGTCTAACGGCGGTAAGAAAGAAGGTGACGTAGCAAACGAGGCCAGCGCCTAAAAGGTGTGTACTATTTGTCTGTATATTTTATGCTAGAACAATGTATAATCGTATAACTACCTAGAATAAGCAATGTATATGGGTCCCAAGGCAGTAACTTCATGACATACTTGATCTGAGAACTAAGCAGTAGCAGTCGACTGCAAGAAATACATGGCATCAATCAATGTTTCTTCGTATCTAAAGGTATATAGAAGAATATCAGGAGAGAAGATAAATACATAGAAGCTCGGTAGGTATTTCGCATATACTACCTGTACTTACAGCTACATAAGTATACTTACACAGGGTGTAACTCTGGCAGCATATTAATTGATCTCCAGGCTTGAGAGTGCGCTAAAATAGACCCTGCATGTCACTAAACTGACGGGTCACGGCCGCCCATAGTATCCCGCCAAGATGACCAAATGAAATGGAACGGTAGCTTGGGCACGTCGCATTTGTATTTATTTCTCAGGTCCAAGCCGAAATAGCTCCCGACTTTGGCAACGTCATTTCCCAATACCACCTCTCACCCTATTTCCTCCTTCGCAAAACCCGACAGATCTACAGCTATCAAAATCCACTACTATCTTGTTCGCATTTAGTTCGTCTTGAGATAATACTATTACTCGAAAGACCGGATGAGCAGGTGACGAGCCGAGCTTCGATACCAGTCGTACAGCTGTGCGAGACCCCGACCGCGCAACGTTTCGCTATGGATTTTGCGCCGTACCAGAGCTCGCCGCCTGAGAACAACCGGCCGTTCTCTCCGCCCATCGGAGAAGGCGCCACATCGCCGCGCGCGTCGCTCGACCAGAGACGCTCGTTCAGCCCGTCGCAGCGCAACTTTGCCGCATACTCTCCGCCGCCGCTACATCACCCGCAACCCCAGCGCTCGTGGCAGCCAGAGTATGCTTCCGAAGACGGGTTTGGCAATGGAATAGGCGTGGGCATGGGCGCGGGCGCGGGTGGGGGTGGGATAGGACTTGGCGGCAACGGGGACTTTGTCAGCGAGTTTGATACGAGTCTGGGCCTCCGCCTGGATTACGAGGCCGTGCTCGCTTATATCGGGTTACCGCCGCTCGGTGCGATTATACTATTGATCTTGGAGAGAAAAAGTGATTATGTTAGGTGAGTAAGGTTCAGCAACATGTATTGTCATGGTATGACCTCTCGGAAGTTTGCTATGCCTTCTACGTTGCACTATAAGTAGGAACGCGGAGCAATTTTCGAAAGGCATGATTGGGCATTTGAAATCAATATGCTAATCGTACACTTTTAGATTCCACGCGTGGCAGTCGAGCCTTCTCTTCACCGTCTTATTTATTGTTCATCTCCTATTCTCCTGGTCAACGTTCCTCAGTTGGGTCATCGTGCTCGGAGACCTGGGTCTAATTGGGTTCCTTGCACTTCATGCATACCGGGACGCCGATACTCTCGATAGGTGGGTGAATACCAGCTTTTTTCACAATCTTACAACGAACAGTCTCTGACCCGTCGTACAGATTCGAAGTACCCATTTTTGGAAGTATAGCAAGCCGTATACTTGACGATGAGTAGGGGGTTTCTAAGGATTTATGACTGTACTTTTACATTCAAGCATGATTAAATCTGGGATATTGTACGGGGAATTGTACGACTCTTGTTTGCGTGGTTTAACTTTGAGAAATTATGGAAGTAGTGGACGGTATAATTATAATGCAGGCATGTAAATACCTAGGAGTCCCGGTTTACCTAGATACTTATATGATAATGTGGCAAAGCCTTCTCTCAAGGCTCGGCTCGGGACAAGAAACACATAGTTCAAGCAAGACATCAAAAGCCTGACGTCTGGCTGTTCCAGGCTGTATAGAGATAATCGGAGTGCCTCGTTGGCCCCAGCCCTCGTAACTTGGAATTACAATATTGTCTATCCTATAATCTCTCCCCTGAGGCAAGTCAAAGAACTCCTTCAGATTTGTATAATCAACATTGATCACTGCGGCGTTGCAATAATCATGGGTTCAACAACACCACGGAGGTAAATTACGAGGAGCATTCAGTCCAACTACTTTTACAGGAGAATGTCAAGGATTAAGAGTCCATGCGCTAGGCATTTTAGCTAATAGTTATTTGGGTAAACACAAAGCGCAGCTAATCAATAAGTTGCATAAAGGCTTTTCGGTTTTTTTAAGCTGTCAATCAAATTGATTAATCCACGGCCTTCTTCGCCCTTTAGATAGAACAGTGTAAGAAGAGGTAAGTAACCTCACCTCTTAGACCAGACTCGAGGGACTCTCTCGGGATGCAGCATCTGCTACAACAAGATCATAGTATTGGGTGGCAGGACAAGCGTCTGCCAACATCAAGTGTTTGCATCCCGTCCCCCGTCCACCCGGTAACTGGCACGGGCGTATACAGCCGAATGGTTTCTAGGACAGCCAAACAACGCTTAAGACGGGGGGTATGCAGTGTAATTCCACCTATGTGACGGCAAATGACCTAACACAGAGTGAAGTTCCTCCGAAAGCCAATCCTGCACCGTCGGGGTGGCAGCTAGGAAGCACACGGCGAACGTGAAGACGTGGGAAGAAATATCGTGACCAGCAAAATTGATGACAAATATATTACCATAAATCTCTTGTTCTGTGAGGCCTTCGCCGTACTTCGCATCCAGTGATGCTTTGGCAAGCGAGGATAAAAAGGTACGACTACCAGCAGTCCCTGACTTGTCCGGGACGACTCTGGCTTTTTTTCCGACTCGTAGATGCTTGTCATAGCATAGAATTCTGGAACACCGTTACCGCTTGCCCGATTTGCTGATACTTGTGAGGCATCTGCATCTGGTCCGATTGTATTAATACCATCTAATCCTTGTTAGGCATATTACGAAACTTAGAGCAGGCTTAGGTCTAGTAACATCTATAGGAATAAGCCACTGTGTGTATGTATTGTAATTAAGCTGGTAGGATGCTTGGCAAAGATTTATGAAGCCCACGATCGGTTTTTACAATCCGGGGACGTTGTTTGAATATTACCAATCTCGCCCCCAAGTTTTGTTCCTAGTCTCATATAAGTCATCGCAATTGTTTCATCACACCTTTTTTCAATTTTCAACGTCTCTTCTTGATTTTGTCGTCCTTGGTGCAAGCCTCCTACTATGACTCTTGTGGGCGTTTACCGTGAGACCACGAATCATGTTTGTTTCCAACTCAGTTTGGCAACAAGCTTGCACGTTGACTAGCTGAGTTATACGGCAAAAGCTTTCAGGACACAACGTAACCATTTGCGCTCCATCTCTTTAGCTCGAGCCGCCATTCTCGATGGGGTCCCATGGACTCAGGGCCTGGAATTCACCTATTTCATATCTGATGTAATGTAGAAGTTTGGCATGACTTTGAAGGATATCTGACGTGCTAAACATAATCCCAAACCCGGAGAGAAGTGTTATACAGAGGGAAATCTTACAAACTTTACCCATACGAGTCTGGTTCAATTTGTAGAAGACATGTATAAACAACAGTTATCACGGTTAAATACTCTCTCCGCAATCTTTTTCAGCAGCATAAAAGAAACACTACAGAGTAGTAATCTCGACTTCTGCACACCGACTACAATGGTTGCCTGTATTATAGCATCCACGCTCCTGTCTTGGAAAGAGAAATAGCGCTCTACCCTTTAGTTTCTGGGACCATGGTTTAACGCGGCGATACGGGCGTTATTCGACCCGTATCTTAATTATTTTGATCACGACCTCGTTTATCAAGTTATCCAGTTCAGTGTGGGTGTCTGGATGCTGTTCTGCGGTCTCCTTGACTTCTTTGGCTTCGCCTCTATCCGTGAGCCCGCGACTGGTTGAAAGCAGCATTACAGGCATTCGTCAAGCTGCCAGAAAACCAAAGGAAGGAACAATGCTTCGTATTTCAGGAGCTTCTAGGGTAGACGGAAGTGCTGGAGATCGGCGAAGAATCACGTGTGGAACTATTTCTTATTCTTCACTCAAGTTTCGCAAGGGCCTATCCTAATTACCAACCTTAACGCCCGTTCGATTAACAGTTACTGCATGTAGGAGTATCGCAGATCGACAAGATGCTTCCTATCTGTTTGTGGCTTGCATTAAATACGATGAGAGATTCCTTAAAAATGTGAGACGCGCAAAAGAGCCAGCTTGGGCGTCCAGGAGGTTAGATCTGATAGCCCACTACCCCATCATTCACGCCATTTTCCATCAGACCCTTGTGCCAAAGTAAAAGTTCGGTTGGGTTCCGCAAAAGCGAAGTAAAAGACGACTATACGGGAAAAATATTCACAGCCAGGAACGCCCATGGTGGTTGAATTCTGACAAAGCATGAGACATACACTCTTCTGGCCATTGTGGTGCACTGATACGATGTCAGGTTGTTTCACCCGCCGGAAACCGTGGACCCTATTCGTCTATCTTCCCTCTGTGTAGAAATGCTAAACGTCTTCTCATTCGTGATGAGTAGGGAATTGAACGGGGCTAGAAATACAACTTTAAGGCCGGACACGAAACCCCTGGTGTTTATACCTTCGTCTGACCTCTCAAGGAGGACATATGTTCAGCGCGCAGAACAACAAGGCTTCCAAATTGATGTTAATAGTTGGCACTCCTAACCTTATAGCAGAACTAGACTATTAATATACGAAGAGAAAGAAACGGGAGATGTTGCACGACTCACCATCGTCTGGTAATGGTACGATGTGAATTCGGTCCGATCTCGAGCTTTGTTACACCCGCAGGGGTAACACAGATCTGGTACAACCTCAACGCGCCGAGCATGTGAAAATCTATGCCTAGATTGTCTATCTTCTTCCGAGGTAACCGATACTACGTGCTTCGGTCAACGGAAGCAACCGAGAGCGGTTTGCGGAGCTAGTAGGACTTTCGGCAGCAGGTAGTTGACTAAAATCTAAGACGTTTTGGGCATAACATGGAAGGTGCAGATTAAGCGTCGCTAAGCGAGCAATGATACATGACTCCAGTTCTGGTCTGGTACTCTGTGAATAATGTAGCTGGCTCTGCCTTGATCTATTCTGCATCTGCTCATGACCGATTATAGGTATAGTACTTTGGATCAGTTCCCACGTAATGGAAAATGACGAGATGCTCGAAGAAAAGCAGTGGTTGTGGCGGAAGTGAGTTCACTTCTGGCTGTATTATCACGGTGCTGTATATATATGTATTGTATGGAGGTGGCCAGTTTCCCATCCTTGACAACGCTCGACCTCGTAGTTGTGTCGTGGGATAGCGTTCATGGCATTGACGAAGCATTTCCAACTATTAGCAGCTTCGCTATGACGCCCTTCGCAGCACCCCCGAAAGAAAAGAAAAAAGATCTATGGATATCAGTATACTGTACTATCTTCTTATCGTCTGAATCGGACTCCAGCTTACGAGAACCCGCACACCCGGCGCAGGCAGTATAGAAGTGGATAAGACAACGGTGATGCATCGTTATTACCATGCATCCCAGTCTATAAGACTGCCTTTTTCAGCCAAAAGAACCAGCGGTGTGGGTTATGCAGATCATGTCTTTGCTAACTCCCTCCAGTGGATAGACCAACTAGGTAAGTTGTTCGGGTACTTACCCGTAGGTGTGGCGTCATTGTATCTGGATTATTACCACTTTAGGAGGCAACTCGCGTTTGTATTGGATGAGTCAGAAAAGAAGGATAATTAACCTGTGACTCTATAAGTTATGTATGTATGTATGTGATACGGTATGTGCTGAAAGTTCCGATGACATGCGTCTCGCTCCAGTTTCGATACATGTGTATACTATATCTTCTGGTAGTAGCTGGTGAAGGACCCCTGCCGACAGTAGTCCGACCTTAGGGGCCCGCATGGCTCTCGGGTCAAGTTACCGTGAGGCTGGTAATATTCGGTATAATCGATACCCTCTGACAAATAATGTCGGGCCATGATGCTCGAGTTAGACACCGTAACACCATAGTTCACAATCTCAAGTCCTTTGGCTTTATCGTGCCCAGGGCCCCGGCTATCTTGTTTCGATGAAGTGGCCGTCAATCGCTGACTACAAGAATAAAACTATCATCGTGATTGTTTAGTTCCACCTCCAGGTATATTATTGCAACTTTAAGCTGTTCTAATGCCATATTCTGTAGGCTTATGCTTCATACGTGTAAGGCGTCTCACCTAACTGATAGCATATCTGTTAGTCTCATATGGTGATGCTATCACCCTGGAATCATTTGCGGATTGAAACATAAGAATTCGCCTCTTAATGATAGGAGGTAGCGCCGAAGTGTGTATCGGGCGTAAGAAGATCCTTGGTATAGTGTGTTGCGTGGAGAATTCGATATGGGGGCTACCTGATAGGTATTCAAGGTTAAATTGTTGACATCGAGCATGAGAGCTACACCTGTTAATCGTTGCCAAGGCGCCAGCATCTCACAACCATCTCTCATTACGCAATCAATCAGGTATAACATAACATTGGCTAGCTTCCTCGACCTCATGGAGGAGGACATCGCGGGCGGATACCGCAGGGGTTCCCTTTTTTCCGGCAGAAAAGCGAATGCAACGTGAAGTAGGACGGTTTCCGATTTCGGACGCAAAACCCCAGTAACGGATTGTGGCATCCAATCTAGGTACATGGCGTATGCTTTTGGTGATAAAAAGAATCCAGAGAGCGCCAAGTAGATAATGTATGTAACATAGGGTGGTACTGCTCCGAATTGGCGACTTCTGTCTAGGAATTACCTGGACGGACAGCTAGTGGCTTGGTATATAGTAGGCGAAGATTGAAACCTTAGCGCCTTGGGTTCCCGAGAAGCTCTCTAGGGCCACAAAGGCGTCCAGTTCAGTGTGACGTTTGTGATTGGCGGTGTGAAGGTATGTTGAGGAAATCATCGCCGAAGCCAACGGATCATGTCCACCTTCAGCTCTTAAGTTCACTAAACTAGTATGTTGGCGTTCGTTCTTCATACAATCTAACGGCCGTCGGAGCTAATTGACTCAGTGCTAGCAGTGGGTTGGCGGGTCAGAAACCAGGTTAACGTTGAACTGCCTAGCTACATAGTCTTCATTCATGCGGCGATAATTTTGCCGTTATCAGCTCAAGAAGGTAGACACGCATTACACACCGCACCACTTGTGCGGCAAACTGTCTCGGCGGCATTCAAGTAATGATACTAAATCCGTTGTTAGTGTCTGGGGAAATACTAGTGTTAGCGTAATTAGACACAACGATTAACATCATACTACCTTAGCGGGAGGACGGGAATTTATGGTATCAGTCATAGGCAAGATGGCGCGATGGTGCGATGGCGCAAGATTTCACATAAGAGTAGATATCATAAATGTCCAAGCGGTACCGGCGCTGGTCGTGTTTGGTACACAACATTATCAATGCAAAACTCACCTCGTAATCGTCCAGGGATAGTGACAGAGCTTAATGCCGAGTAGGGGTCCATTTGTATAAGTTGTCCTTGAGCGTCGCTTAGATTTGTGCTCATTTTCATGCATCCGAATCCAAGGATACAAACATCAGGACTCAGCCCGTCTTGCCCGACAAGGCATACATACAGCTTACCGCACACTCAACTTTAAAGCCATTGGCCTATAAAGAATCCGCTCCCGCCACACCAAGTTCAGTGACTCCCAGCAGATCTTACCAAATTTGATATCACTCCATAAACTTCAAGGAATTCTGAGGATTTAGGCAACACAATGACTATTCAGCACGAGCATCTGCAAAAGGCAGTACCCGTTCCTACCGCGAATGCCGGAAAGACAGCAGCCACGGCTTCAACACAAGAGATCGCAATACCAGAAGCCCCTCGGGATGAGGCTCAAGACTTGTTGATTATCTCACCTTATACTGAGAGGGAACACCTGCTGGATTTGAAGAGTCTCGACACGGAAAATGCGATCGTCGCGCAAGCCCTAGTTCACTTAAAGTGCCTCCGGTCCGACTATGCGACTGCCCCATATATCGATACATTCAACTGGGCAGAGGTAGTAGAGCAGGTAAAACGGCTAGCACAGCAAAAAGAACACAGTTGGAAAGCAAACTCGTTTTTCGTGGTAGCGTTCAGGTCCCAAATCCCACCGACTACGGTCTATGAAGACCTGGGGGCCTTGGACAAGGCAGCTCATGCGGAAGCGACGGCGAGTGGTGGATTTCTCAAGTATGTGGTTCTCTGGGCCACCGATGCACGCCATACACTGACGACGTATAGGTACTGGTTTGGGAATCCCGATAAGGACGGTAAAAATCTGGCAACGTGCGTGTGGAGATCGCAAGAAGACGCAAGGAAAGGAGGCATCGGCCCCGCGCATCGACGCGCAGCCACGGCAGCTCGGGACCTTTATTCCCATTGGAAGATTGATCGGCATAGGCTTATCATTCACGACAATGTGGAAAACTGGGATATCACCGACTGGGCGTGATGAGTCGGTAGGGTAGCATTAGGTCAGGCTACTGCATGCGAGGAGAGCGGGCTATCATCGAAGTGTTTGATAGAGGGCCCAAAATCAACAAGGTAGATAGAGAGGTTCGCCTGTATGCAACAGCGAATGAGGGGAGGGCTAGCCATGCTGGATATTCCTGGGGACTGAGTAAGTCGGCCAGGGTGGCACGAAAGACGCGAATCGCCACACCGGCGCATGGGTTTTGCTGGTGAGATTCCAGGTAGAATAGATGCTTCCTTCGGCGTAGGGCTTGTAGAGAGCGAGTACCATCGGCGGTTTAATTGCCAGGAGGCGCAGACGCAGATGAGACGGAATTATAATAGAAATGGATCGAAAGACCGGAAGCTCCTGTTCCCTCTACCTAATGCAGGGTGACCCCTAGTAAGCTGGACCAGACTGGCGTAGCGCTGCAGCCTAGGGAGAAAGAAGAAGAGACGGGACGAGGAGTAGCGACGGTACCTGTTGGCTCTACTGGCTGGAGGAGGAGGGACAGGGCCATCTTGCGGAGAGAGCTAATCAGGGCCCTGTTCTGTGCCCGTGGCAGGTCCTTGGTAGCCTGATAGCCCCATTCGTCAGCTGCGTGGTGACGGGAGGCTTGAGCACACGCTCGTAGCAGGTCGGCATGGCGATATTTGGCTGAATTGGAAGCGTACGACGGCGGCGAAGATCACATACAAAGATGAGACGACGTCAAGATGAGGCTCTTTTCGCAAGAGTCCATTAGTGGTCTAAATGACATGGAAGATGACAACACCCTTGGGCTAGCTTTGCAAAGCGTGGGGGTTCAAGAGTGGGATCTATTCGCTTCGCGCTCTGGATCAACGCCCCAGCTGGAAGCGTCTGGGAGAAGACCGCCAAAGCCGGGGGAGGGGCTTGCGATTATCGTGGATTTTCTTGTGGTGGGTACCTAGATAGAGTAAGGGATATCTTGTTAACTTGAGTGTTCCCGTGTTAAGAGGAAGGCCTGGCGCCTAAAATGCAATGCTGTTCTTGGTACGGGAATAATTGAACCAGCATCATCAGGCATGCCAAGATATGTAGGTAGGTACATGTAAGTGATATATGTACGGTAGAGTCATAGCTGCATTAATTTCATATTTCGAGACCGATATTTAGGTAATCATCGCATTACCTACCTAGGTACCTTAGGTAGGTACATACCTGCTACTTACAGAAACGTACCGACAACCATAAATTAAACTCCACCCCCGCGGCTTCCTCGTCTTTGTAGAACTGTAATTACTAGATACATCCGCAACCATGACCACCAAATCAAAAGCATTGCAATATGATATATTGATAGTATCGATATCAGCAACTCTAACGGAACTAAGTATATTATCGTGTCAGATAGTAGTCAATGTTCACCATGCTAACGATATTACAACGAGTAATATTGCAACAAATAACATGCTCGTACAGATCTCGCAGCTACCATAGTCTTGTTGTAATACCGGACCATCGATAAGGGGCTGCCTACAGTGGTATGGATTATGGATGATTCCATTAGTACCTTCTCCTCAGATATGAGACATGATCGGAGACCCAAGCGGGTAATGAGAGGAAGGAGTATTCATACGAGTATAAAAAATACGTAAGTAACCAGACATACGGCAATGATTATGCAGTTAAAATCTCAAGAGACACATACTTAAGCAGGTAGGTAGGGAAGGAACTCCTATGATCGTAGATATCACCCTCATTCTTTCACTGTCTTCGTTTAATTTATAACAAGGGCAGGAATACTAGGCTTGGAATCTAGGCAATTCAGATTATAATGAACAACTAGGGCTGCATAAGTCCTTGACCAACCAACCCCTTCGTACGGCCGAAGCGCAAGGCGAACTACATATTCAGCTAGCACAGAGGTTGCACGTGTAACATAATTTGATGGGTTTATTTCTCGATCACCTTGTTCACCAATGATAAAAGCCATCTAAATGCGTATTGAAGTATAGGGACTGTCCATCTCTTTAAGGCCTAGATTGCCTAGGCAGTACGCTCACCCATTTCGATCTATCTGTATGCCATTGTTTGGCGGCTAGTCAGAGAGACTTGTTGAAGTTTCACTTAGTGCCTTTGCGTGTCTGATATAAACTTTTGCCTGAAGACCACTCTTCAGAAAGTATCACAAGGCGCCACACTGAAATGCTAGTAACATAGTAATACAATATTAAACTAAATATACATACGTACCTTAGTCTACCGTCAACAAATACATATACATAATAAAGGTCCTTTTGCCACACTAAAGTCCACCCACCTCCGCCCTCGAGCTTTATTGTAAAGACCTTCTCTCCTCTCTTGGAGATCATCCTTGCATCTCTTGAGGGTTACCGTGACGGCTATGAGGGCTAAGCTCAAATGGTACGCCTAGCGCCGGCATTTCAGTGCTGGGTGCGATTGAATTGTGTTTCGTAAGAGTCAGGGCATAGAAATTCGGCCCTTGCTGGCCGAATGAACTACCATCATAAAAGCTATTCTGGTAGCTCTGAGGCAAGGGTTGTTGTTGCTGCTGCTCCTGTCTTTGGTGTTCTTGTTTGGCCTTGTATTTGCGGCGCAAGAGCCAGAAGATGAGAACCCCGAGGATGGCCAAAGCAGCAACGCCTACGCCTGTACCAACGCCGGCCGCAGCCCCTGGGCTAAGCCCTTGTGAAGGTGAAGTATGAGGCGAATCTGGGTCTGTGTTGGTGTTGGTGCCTACGGTCGCGCTTATTGTTAATCCCGGCGAGGAAGTCGTGGTCATAGCTGGAATAGTCAAAGTAGATGGTGGTGATGTCTAAGCCATGATGTTAGATGAGAAAGAAGCTTGGTTTTGGACTTGTTCAGAACCCTGAGTTCAGCTTACTGATAATATAGCAATACCCCATGCATTTACGCCACGATCGTCACGTACTGTATGTGTTTCTGCTTGTCCTGTATGTTCTACCAGGTCGGTTCGTGATCCCATTATGGTATCGCCAGAGGCAAAAGTGGCCTGGCATCCATACGGAGCCGCCCCAGTATCTGTTGCAGGGGCGCAATTAAAATTCCATCCTTGCACAGATGGACAACACCAGATATAATCGGCCGACTGGCCGGCATACGATGTTCCAGTTGAGCATGCTCTGAAATAGTTTGTAGGGCAACCGCCATCGGTTATATATGGCACACTAAGAGTATATGACGGCGGCACACAGCCACCTATCGGAGTCCTTCCTTGACCGTTGTTCGTTACAGACGGCATTCCGAACATGTTACTAAAAAGGGCATGGGATTCATACACGACAAACCAAAACCCCGTGCTTGTCACACACGAGCTCATGGGCGTCCAATTTGACGTTAAGGAAGGATACGAAGATGGATTGTCAGAGAGCATGGCGTCGTAGATAGCGGGGTCGCTGAGGCTCTCGATAAAGTAAACAGAGTTTATATAGAGCGAGGTTTCCGCATGATATAGTGAAGAGAGACAAGAATGACGGTTTAAAGTAGATATGCGTGTGGGATTGGGATTTATTCGTATAATAAAACAATCTCGTCAACGCCGCCAGGACCAAGCGCTTACAAACAATGTCCCTGAGGCTCGCAATTGGCTGGCAAGGTATTGCTGTTAGGGCTGCATTCCTCGAATGCAGGTGGCCATAACTGCATCGCTTCAACGAATGAAAGTCCAAAAGGTTGAAAACACCCACTATAATAGGAAACATGTTGGTTCTAGATGTATATTTCCAACATGGGCACCGAGCTAACGGAACCCCAGTCGTCGCCGCCTGGTTATAGATTAGAGAAACAATAAGAACCAACGGCTTATTCGAAAACAGAGGAGGGACTTTCTCTCCTGCATCCAAAATGCTGCCACTTTCATGTTGTCTGCAAGATATATTCTCTAGTGTGTAATTATCGGAAACTCCAGCTATGAGACTATACAGGCTTCGGTCATTCAGATTGTTCGCGTCTGTCACCATTGTATTCCTGTTAATTCATCTATCGCGCTCCTACTATAGAAAATCCATACATTCCCAGCCTCGTAGCCATGTTGCACCGTCGGCTTGCCCAGAATCTCCCCTGCTCAATGACGTGCTCGTCGTTATTCGAACAGGGGCAACAGAAGTGCTCGAAAAACTACCGGCGCATTTCTCAACGCTGCTCACCTGTGTTCCCGACTACATCATATACTCAGACCTTGAGGAAGATGTAGAGGGCCACCACATTATCGATGTTCTCGATCGGGTTAATGATAACGTCAGAATGAACGTCCCAGAATTCTGGCTTTACAACAGATTACGTGCGTCAGGAAGAGAACACTTAGAATACCAGACTTTGTTCGGGAGTGGACCGTCGGGAGCTTTAGACAACCCCGGCTGGAAACTAGACAAGTGGAAGTTCTTACCTATGATCTCTCGAGCCCTGGAACACAGACCCAGCGCAAAATGGTTCGTCTTTATCGAGCCTGACACATATATGATCTGGCAGAATATTTTAGAGTATCTCTCCCAATATGATGCGAGCAAACCGCATTACCTGGGAAAATACATGTGGATTGGCAAGGTTCTTTTCGGCCATGGCGGATCAGGCTTTATGATTTCGAATCCAGCCATGGAAATGGTTTCAAAACATTGGGCAGAAAATCAGGATTGGTTTGATGAGTACACCGCAAAAGAGTGGGCTGGTGACATGATTCTTGGAAAAGCGATGGAGAATATCGGCATTCACTTAACCTCAGCATCACCTCACGTTCAAATTGACAGTCGTAAGTTTCAGCCATTGCGTTTTATGTCCTGCCACTTTCCTCATATCAAGAGCGCATCCTCATCCCTTTCGAGATCCACTGTGGCCACCCTTTTTCTTCTCATCACCCATCTAATGTTCTGATCTCCTTTCTGGTCCTAGTGAGTACGCTGGATTGGACCACCAATAAGAACGATAAACCTCCTTGGTGTTATGCACCGGTGACATTCCACCATATGAACACACCCGATATTCATACTCTATGGCGTTTCGAGCAAGACTGGCTCCGACAGAGCAATGCCAATACGTTCCCCCAACTTCGCGATATCTTCGAGAGCCTTGTACAGCCCCGACTTCAGTCCGAGCTCGAGGACTGGGACAACCAGTCCAGAGGATTTGAATACAGTGATGAGGCATTCGCAAAACTTTCGGATGAAGGCCGAGCTGCTATTACCCAGACGGAACGAGATGCCCCAGCTTCATTCGAACAGTGCAAAATTGCATGCGAAAGAAAACCCTCATGTTTGCAGCTCTTCTACATCCCGAGTCGTTGTTTCCTTTCCGATGAACTACGTTTGGGCCAGGCAGTAGAACCTCAATGTGTCGAGTACTCACACATCAATAATAAATGTATAATAATGCAAGATATGAAGGCGCCAGGCGTTACTCTCGAGAAGGCAAGCTCCACCAAGTCGGGTTGGATGATGAGCAGGATATTGAAAGCGTCACAAGAAATGAACAACAAGTGCCAAAGCTTGAGAGAGAACGATTGGGTAATAGAGTTATGATATGCCATACAGTTCAGCCGCATAATTTGCGTTTTCACCGTTTCAAAGTGCTATTTTACAAGCGGGCTCTCATGTACCTACCGTATCATATTATATTGAAAGTTGGACCTACAGCTTTCGGAAGCAGCTCATCTAATAAGAGTTTTGTGACCGCTACTATACAAGCTTCATTCTCTCTACATAGATTATGGAACCTAATAACCTAGTTCGTTTCGGCAATAGGTATCTAGCTGTCCTCCTTTTAATTTATCCCGCAGAATTCGTTAACCACAGGAATGTATTCAGCCTTTGTTGTAACAAGGACAGAGGTTTGGGCTTGGAACTAGTGGTGTTCATAAAATAATGATCTACTATGGCTGCAAATGTCCTTGGTTAACTAATCCCTTCTTGGCTTTGCTATCTAACCTTGATTCTATATTATAATAGTTATCTCGAACGTCAAAAACGTCGCCGTTAGACGTTCGAGCGGTCTAACGGTTATCATATAGCCCCACTACGTTCAACAAGTGATCTATTTTGGGAACTGAACTTTATATAACCTTGATTTTAACATTGCCTATATGTCTTTGAAGGTTATACATAGACGGGATTATGCCTGTAGGCGTAGGCTGTTACACGTGTAACCTCTGTACCGGTTGAAGAATGCAGTTCGCCTTGCACTTCGGCCGTACGAAGGACCATTGCAGGTTGTTCATGACCTTCCAAGACATGCAGGCAATATTGGGCGATATTGGAAAGTGAGGTTATACAGACTTCGCTTCTTGAAACAGACCCTAGAGACCCAGGCGGTCTGGGCTGGCAGATCAATTGTATATAGAGTCATCTCAAGCCACCAACAGCCGAGAAGGAGTTGGTTGGTCAAGGACTACTGCAGCCCTAGTTGATCATTATAATCAGAATCCTCATTTCCAAGCCCAGTTCAACTGCCCTTGTTATATAGGCGAACTTTATATTTAGATGTACGTGTGCGTAATACTTGTGGAAAGAATTACTAATTCAAACTCTCAAGAAGCAAAGCAAAAACTGATAGGCAGCCAAAACAGCCCAAACCTTGACAAAATAAGAATCTGCTACGTTTCTAAGTCCTTTTCACCAGGCTCATTTGTGGTTGACTTTAACTCTATATACAAGTGCTCCGACCCTTGCTAGCGATGCGCCTCAAAATATGTCGCATACTAGCAGAGTCTGTATACCCTCACATAACAGAGCCATTGTTGCTATTAGTTCTTAAACCCATTGGCTAGTTATAAGAAAGACCTTGGATTGAAACATGTTTTCCTCATTGACTACCTACTTAAATAGGACACAGATGGCCCTTCTCTATAGCCATGGAAATACTGCATATATCTTTAAAGTCTTATTTATATACGGTACCCAACCAGAAATAAGGGTTTGGTTGGCCGTTAGAATATGACATTCAGCCGTTGAGGATTGTGAACTTCTGTTAATCCAATATGTTGCTCTCCAGTTGCTTAACTGACTCCTTTGCATAGTAGCACATGCACTAATCCTAATTTGTCCTAGATATGGGTAGCGCTGTGCCTGGGCTAGCCTTACCGAGCCTTACCTACGCAGCAGACAGTTTCTGCCGGCTCTCTCCGCCCTGCGGCCGCTCGGCCATCTGCCCACCCACACACACACAATTTCCATCCCGCCGAAACCACAAAATTTTGAGACCCCAGCGAGCGCGTCCTCTGCGATCGTTCGTCATCTACCGAGTGCAAGCTACGCCGCAGCCCAAAGACGACTAGACGCTGTACAACTCGGGTTCCCTCATCATCGCGATCATGGCCGACTCTATAAAGGATGCACCGTTGAAGACGGTCCAGGTGGAAGCTTTGGTACGCCAGCCGCTTATGCCCCTCATTACGCCCCTCCTCCGCTTCGATTGTGCATTTCTTGTCGACGTAGCCGTCACTGACCCATGATCTCTTGCGCAGGTTGTCATGAAGATTGTCAAGCACTGCTCTGCCAGTTTTCCTACAACAGCTACTGGATCCATCGTCGGTATGGACCAAGACGGGGCTCTCGAGATTACGAATTCGTTCCCTTTCCCCACCGCCGATGTTGCCAGCGTTGAAGGCAGCCACCAGAACGACGCCTCTGCGCTAGCTGCCGCTGCGCCTCGGGCCAAGGCGAACATCACCTACCAGAATGAGATGATTCGACACCTCAAGGAAGTCAACGTGGATGCCAACAGTGTCGGCTGGTACACAAGCGCTACAATGGGCAACTTTGTCAATCTAGGCTTCATCGAGAACCAGTACCACTACCAGCGCGAAAACGATAAGACAGTAGCTCTAGTTCATGATGTGAGCCGCAGTTCGCAGGGCGCTCTAAACCTACGCGCTTTCAGGTTAACTCCTACCTTTATGACTGCCTACAAAGAGGGCAAGTTCACCACGGAAAGGTTCGACCAGTCTTGTCGTATTTGAAATGATGTAATGCTAACTCATAACAGTCTGCAAAAGTCAAAGCTATCGTTCAGAGATATCTTGACTGAACTTCCAGTCAACCTACACAACTCACACCTTCTCACCTCTTTCCTCCACCAAATACCATCCAAACCAACCGCCGCCGACGTGGCTATGCCTACGTCGCTTGCCGATCTGCAAAGTAACCCTATGCAAATGCCCCTTCACCCTTCAGCCGATAATCTCGACCTCTCAATAGATCCGTTCTTAGAGAAGACATGTGATTTGTTACTTGACAGCATAGAGTCACACTACACCGAACTCAACAACTATCAATACTATCAGAGACAATTAGCGCGAGAGCAGACCAAGATCACAGCATGGCAAACAAAACGTAAAGCGGAGAATGCGGCACGAGTTGCCGCCAAGCAACAACCCCTTCCCGAAGACGAATGGCAGCGCATCTTTAAACTGCCGCAAGAGCCCAGTCGCCTCGAGGGTATGCTGAACGCTAAACAGGTTGAGCAGTACAGCAAACAAGTGGATGGATTTACTGCATGTGTCAGCGCCAAGATGTTTGCTGTCAGGGGAAATCTCCTTCCGGAATAATGAGGACGTGGATTAGAAAAGCGGGATGATGTTTCCCGTAGGCATGCATCTGGCACGGCGTTTGGCGATTGGGCGCTCTTTTGGGTTCTATAGAACAATGGCCTGTATTTGGCGTCACGGGACAAGGTGCAAAAACGACTCGACGTGCTGCTGTTGTGGGAAATGTGCCAATCAAAAACGCAACATAAGCTCGAGTATAAAAGGCGGCGAGAGCATGTGACTCTCAGTGGCTCATTGGCCGCAGTCTTCGAGACATTTAGCTAGTCAAATACCCAAATTGTCGGGTGACAGCAATATGAATAATGTATGGGCTTCATGATTACACACTAAATTGAACCCTCTATTGGTTCTCACATCCAAATTGACAACATAGCATGTAGGAAACAATGTTTCCATGATTAGAGAAAATGGTTTGGATAAGAAGCTATAGTCGGACAGGAACTGTACATGGTAGGGTGCCAAGGTTGTTTCATGTTGGCTACTTACCTACAGTAGGTAGCGTCCACTTGTAAGATCCATCCGGCCCGGGCTTACACACCGGTGACCGGGTATTGAAATTGACCGAAACTCGATGGCTGCTTTGCAGGTCTCTGCCTCGCAATGCAACAGCACTTGGGCTCGCATCGGATTGGTTTCCCTCATGGATACGCTTCATTTTATTTTTTCTGGTGGTCGATCATTCTTATGACATCAAAATGGTTCACAGCAAAGCCCTCTTCACTCAATTCGGTGAGTGCCTATCTGGGACAACCTGCCAGCCTAAAGTATATGTACTATCGGACTACGGTAACGTAACGTAAGTGGCTTTCAGTCTGGAAGCTGATCACTTACTTCCCGAGTGCTGTCCGAGTGTATATAGTCAGCAGTGGCTCTCAGACGTACAGTTTACTAACCCAATCAGCCTTGAACCGGCCTACCCGCCCAGATTAGATAGGTAGAGCAACTTGGCTCAATAGCTGAGCAGAATACCGCCCCCTCTTCGGGATGGGGTCACCTAGGTACCCATAACTAAGTCTGTAGCATCAAAGGCCTAGTCTAGATGACTGTACGTAGGTAAGCAGCACTAGACTCTGTGTAGGTTTATCAGGGAGGTAGGCGAGTAGGGAGAGGGAGAAGTGTCTCAACACATTTGCCGAAAGCTTCGAGTGCGAGGGGTAGTGGGACATGGTGTTGGTGTCAGGGACCATCAACCCCACCAGCCCACTATTCAGGGCGCTAGGCCGACGACGGATTCGGCGGAGCATAGGCTGTCCAATGAAGCCTGCCGGCTGGTCTAGTCACCGTAGGAACCCGGCGGGCAACAAGGAGGGTTCTTTGAGGGTCTGGCAGGTCTGTTCGGCAAGCAGCCCGTGAGAAAAAGAGAGCTGTAAAGTACTTGTATTTGTGTGCGTGGTTGAGAGAACATACGGGGGTTTCAAGATAGATAGATAGATAGATACATATATACATACATGGCGGTATCATTGTGCTACAACAAAGAAATACTCCAGATGTACCTAGGTAGGGTACCTACCGCGATAGCTGTCGGAGGGCGCTGTGGCACGGCGATGGAGGGGTATAGTAGGTACCTACTCAGTACATACCTACGTACTCAAGGTGCCTATGTAAGCTAGGTACCTTGCCATGTAGATAGGGCGGTAGCGGCTGTAGAGCTGGTCCCAAATTTTCTTGCGACGTGGGAAATCCTCCACAGCCGACTCGACTTATCGTCTTATCCTGCCCCTCCGTGCTTACTACTTCTGCCACTCCTCCCCTTCTTCTTTTTTCTCTTCTTAACCTTCTTCTCTTTCACCTCCTCAACCTTTCTCCCTCTTCTTCCCCTATTCATTCCCATCCTCGTACTCCTTTGAGTAAGTTGTCTCCAGCAGCTCGCCTTTGAACTCCAATTAGCCAATCTCCCATCAACCCGCTGCTAACGTGAGAACCCCTCGTCAGCATTATACCCCTCCATCATCATCACAGCTGTCTCTTTACTCCTACAGTAAGTGCCAATTGAGCAGCACCAAGCCGCAAAGACGTCAGACTGACCGTATCTTTCGCAGAAATGGCCGCTCCCGCTTCCAAGTTCAAGGTCGCCGACCTGTCCCTTGCCGCCTTCGGCCGCAAGGAGATTGAGTTGGCCGAGAACGAGATGCCTGGTCTGATGTCCATCCGCCAGAAGTACGCCAATGACCAGCCCCTCGCCGGCGCTCGCATTGCTGGTTGCCTGCACATGACCATCCAGACTGCCGTTCTGATCGAGACTTTGACCTCTCTCGGTGCCGAAGTCACTTGGACCTCTTGCAACATCTTCTCCACACAAGATCACGCCGCTGCCGCCATTGCTGCCGCTGGTGTCCCCGTCTTTGCCTGGAAGGGCGAGACTGAGGAGGAGTACAACTGGTGTCTTGAACAGCAGCTACTCGCTTTCAAGGATGGCAAGAAACTCAACCTGATCCTCGACGACGGTGGTGACTTGACTGCCCTCGTTCATAACAAGTACCCCGAGATGCTCAAGGACTGCTATGGTGTCTCTGAGGAGACCACCACTGGTGTTCACCACCTTTACCGTATGATGAAGGAGGGTAAGCTCCTCGTCCCCGCCATCAACGTCAACGACAGTGTCACCAAGAGCAAGTTCGACAACCTCTACGGTTGCCGCGAGTCTCTGATCGACGGTATCAAGCGCGCCACCGATGTCATGATTGCTGGCAAGATTGCCGTCGTTGCCGGCTTCGGTGATGTCGGTAAGGGATGCGCATTGGCTCTCCAGGGAATGGGTGCCCGCGTCCTCATTACTGAGGTTGACCCCATCAACGCTCTTCAGGCTGCTATGGCTGGCTTCCAGGTTACCACCATGGAGAAGGCTGCTCCTCAAGCTCAAATCTTTGTCACCACGACTGGTTGCCGTGACATTCTTGTTGCACATCATTTCGAAGCTATGCCCAACGATGCTATCGTTTGCAGTAAGTGATTAGCAACTTTACCTAGAGACTGCAGTAACTAATCTGGTGTTAGACATTGGCCACTTCGACATTGAGATCGACGTCGCTTGGTTGAAAGCCAACGCCAAGAGCGTCCAGAACATCAAGCCCCAGGTTGACCGCTTCCTCATGCCCAGTGGCCGCCATATCATTCTCCTGGCTGAGGGTCGTCTTGTTAACCTCGGCTGTGCTACTGGCCACTCGTCTTTCGTCATGTCCTGCTCTTTCAGCAACCAAGTCCTTGCTCAGATCATGTTGTACAAGGCTGAGGATGCTGCCTTCGGCAAGAAGTATGTGGCTTTCGCCAAGACCGAGAAGCTTCCCGTCGGTGTCTACGTTCTCCCTAAGATCCTCGATGAGGAAGTGGCTGCCCTTCACTTGGCTCACGTCAACGCCGAGCTCACCAAGCTCACTTCCGTCCAGGCTGAGTACCTCAGCTTGCCCATTGAGGGTCCTTTCAAGGCTGACCAGTATGTTCAATCCCTGTCCTATGGTTCCTGTGCACGTAACTTGCTAACCTTCCTCTCAGCTACCGATACTAAACTAATTGTACATAATAATTTGTTGCATCCCGCCTTTACCGGGTTCGCATGGGTGTTTTCTGTTTCAACAAGCATGAGTATGAGGCATCAACTGGCGTGGGTATCATAAATTGGGACTGGAGGGTTAAAAAGGTTACAAGGGGCCGGCCGGTCATACTTTTCAACAAAAGGCGTTGGCTATTATAATGCATGATTCCCCTCAGCGTTTGATATTTTCTGTAGACACAGAAGATTTGTGTCGCCAGATACCGACAGCTACGGAGAGAGCTGTATGGAGCTCCGTCAACCGGATCTCAATAGATTTGTAGAAGCTACCTTGCTTCAACAACAAATGATACAAACTTCGTGTTATGACGGACATACTGAATATTCTTTTTATCTTCTCTTGTTATCAGTGTCCTAAGCCCAATATCATCCATCAGTGTCACGGTATCTTGCCATACATAGCAATACATAGCGTGGGCGAGGATAAATTCAGCGTAATGTCTGATGAAACATACTGCTAGGCAGATATCCTACACACTTGGTATACCAACAGACTAAATCTCTATTCGTGGCCATACACTCATCTCACGGCATATTATCTAATAATAAACTCTTACACCAAGATCTAGCCTCTTGAGACTCAAAACATACTGCCCACTGATCTCCTACTTCATAGTCGATTTCTTTTCTAAGATTTTTATCCATCTCCTTGTTCTCGCCATTTCAGTGGGAGTCTCACGGGGAAGTAACTGAGGGAAGCAATTGAGTATACTCTCCAGGACCGAGCAATTATAGTCTATTCAGGTGATCTAAAATTTAAGTTCTACTATGGGAGCATAGCTTACGATATCTCTTTTCCTGGGGGGAATGTATTAGCATACCGAATGCCTCTACTGATCTATAGATAAGCTGTTGGTGTTATTGGTGATATTCTGTTCCACGGGATAGGGTGGTGTTTCACACTGATCAAATGTCACAGCACCACTAGATAATTGTATCCCGCCTGTAGGCCTGTGGTTATATGCAGGGAGGGAGGTTCTAGCTATGCCAGCTTGTCTACTTGCCTAGTTTATATTTACGTTGGTCCTTTGTCCATGCTCTATATATCGGAAATCGTGTGATAAGTAGTTCGGAGTATTTCGTAGCCTGTGAGTTGTTTCATCCACTGTCATGGAGCGCAGTATGGTGTTTGCAGTGAAGCTTTTACTTGGTGTGCGAAGTTGAAGAGGGTTAGTAGTGAAGGTATTCAGACTCGTCTCCTCCAAGGGCTAGGTATTATTGAAATTATATCATCTGTTTAGGTTCCTCCCAGCCTTGATTGCGGACTTTGGTCCTATACAATTGCCCTGGATTATAATTACATAATCACGATTGGATTGATCTTCCGACCTTCAATTCCCGTTAACGTGTCTCAAGGAGGGGAAGGTTGAATAGCTTCATATTTCAATGGGAGTTGATGTTTGTTTATATTGGGTGTGCAGCCAAAATCTGCAGATGGTCCGTCAATATCTCAGGTTATGAACTTAAAACTCTTGGTAGTGTTTCTTTGCCCGCCAGTCTCTAATTATTCTAAGTGAAAATGTTTCAACTGTATATTACAGTTGGAATCCCGACTGCTGCGTATCTCAACGGAGAAAGGAAGTGTACATAGTTTACAGTTATCCTGAATTTATTCGCTTCGTTTGAGGTCTTTTGGTCATTATGCAATAATATACATCCTATCGTATACTTGTTTCCAGAGCCCATCCATGACGGGCTCCGTTCAGATGCGTCATTTATTATGATCATTGTTTGTATATAGATATGTTGGAGTGTACTAGATTTACAACAAGTTTTCAATAGGGAGAGATAATTTTTGTGGATAATTAAAGCATAGTTTATATAGGTGATACGTACTGTTTCTGCCTTAAAATTGGTCTAGATATGGCTTCGGAGTTGGAATTATCCATTATACGCGTATTGACAGTCCCGTACATTATTTAACTTGGCGAGCAGCACAAGCCCTATTTTTCTGCCTACAGACACCTGCTCACCGCGACCCATATCGTGGTTGATATCGGGTCTGCAAGTATGGAAGTACTGCATAATATTTATTGCTGTACGATGCTCCTTAGGACCTCCGTGCCTACCATGGATATTTACAGGAGGACTCTTTGTTCTAGTCTCCGATGCCCCTTAAATTGTCCTTGTAACAGTGGAAACTCTTTAGATATTGTACCATGAAGCTCGGTGGCTCTGTTGATGTTATCGACAGTGTTGAGTGGCTGAGTTTCACGATCGTATATTATGCGTGGATCTGCGTAGCATCATATTCTCTGGGGCGAGAAACATGCTCCGTAGGTGGCGTAGATTGTCTGTATGTACGGATATTCTAGGCTCCTGGTGCAACGAATAAGTGTTCTCATACCTCGGTACTCTGTGTTCGAGATGAGGGCTAGACTCTTGCGAAACAACGTTGCATATCCACAATGATATTCACAGTACATATCAATAATATGTTACCTAGCTGATGCCACACTCTTTGCCTGTCTATAATCCACCCTGTAGGGTGTTGGTATAGAAGTTCCAACCATCAACTAGTGGGTGGTGTCGTATGTTGTTGTACTACTGCTCTTGTTTCATGATTAAGCCCCTGGACAAGACCAGAGAAACTACATCACATGTGATCCAGCCGGCAGAAGATACCTATCCAGGCAGGAGGGAATGGGCCCCTCTTACGGAAAAGTATTGTGGCAAGAAGAGTTCGACTTGCCGACTTGGGTTAGCATACAAGATGGTGATAGATATCACAGTGTCGCATATTATGAGGACAGACGGCTGGATTCCCGACCTGACAGCGTTCTATCTTTTGATATTGTGGCGGTCTAGTGCTTCCCTTCTGTTTCTTGGTTATATAGTAGACCAGAGAGCTTCCAGAGACAAGTAAAAGTAGTGGATGTATCTCCTAGGTAGTTTACAATTGCTAAGCTGCATAGAAGTTTTCTCTATGTGCCTACTACTTGGATCGTCTACGTGAAAGCTTGAATATCGATTTAAATTGTTTTCAAACGATGCCTAACATAATGACCTAACAACTGCCTGGCTACAAGTTTCGAGAAAATTACTGAAAGGTAGAGGTCTAGCCTTCGGACATAGAAGTACCAGAGCTAGATGGCCTTCAACACGGCCCTGTCCAACAAGATAGATTCAAATCTGCTCAGTACGTGTAGTCTAGATTACTACTACTAATAGTTGCCTTGAGATGATCACTCCAGTGGCCGAGTTATAGGCGCCACGGCGCCCTCCAAGTATGTCTGAGTGACTTTGAAGACTTGAAAACAATCAAGGCATGCTTACTAGACAGCCACAATGCAGGTAATCATCCAATTCGTTTCATTACACATAAATGTACCCCGTAGTTAGAGAGTATGTTATCTGCTTATATGCTTTATGCATCGAAGCATCAAAAGCATTGCAAAAACTTACAGTTGGTCTATTGTTATCCATGAGACATGAATTGATATACCACAGCTCACAAACAAGGAATGAAGGGCAAAACAATAAACAACAAATAAATTAACAACTAGAGGTGCCGAGATCAGACGTTGGACACCGAGAAGAGCGGATAACTATTAGATAAGTATGCATGGAAAAAATTTTGATAAATTAACGTGACAAGACAATCCAACTTTGCCAAAGCCTTGGTTGAAGATAACGTTATTCTCGCCCATTGTTGCCAGATCACAGGTACATACCGGCACCGTGCTGATCACCCAGTTCCATCGATTATTTAAGCTGCGCTACTTACATGGACTGGACTAGGTAGGTAGAAGAGGGGTGCTGCACTTTTCCTGAGGACGAGAACGAAAAAGAGATGAAAAAGCAAGCAAGTAATCATGATAGTGGCACCTAGTCCTTCTAAATAACACCCGCTCCACGGCAAGGTACTGTACATAGGTGGACCACGTAAGCAATGATCAGCTATTGATTGGGAGAGGAGCAAGGGAGACATTCATCTGAACGTAGGTAGGTATTCGTGTCTTCACCCTCGGCCTACTCATGCTCAGTCCGCTCGGGTCTCACATGATGATGCCCAAATCAACATCGATGGGTACACAGCAGCGCCTAGACTGGATGGATCTTCACCAAGTACCGATACATAACATTGGGCGCTCAGGCTGCCTCATAAGATCGCTCCGGCTCGGTTCCCCAGTCATGTATGTGGGCTGGCTGGCCGTGTGTCTGCGGTCTTCATGTCGTGCCCCTACCATGCACCATGCTGCTGCGCGAGGAAACCTTCCACTTTCTGGGATGTTTAATTTACGGCTCCTCATACGAGTATTTGTTGCTATGACGCATATACATAGACAGGAAATACAGAGATATAGACATCAGCGACAAAAAGCAGACACGGCACGAGCATGCATGCAGAAAACCTTTGACACGCACAAAAGCAATCACGTAGCAGAGGGGGGAGGGGCGGGCGTTAAAAAAAAAGATGGCGTTTCCCCGTTTTCTTTCAAACCAGTCTAGCTTAATGATTGGTACCTAGTAGCTACATAAAGTAAGCTTCACGTCCAGGGGTCGAGAGGAATAAGTACCAAACCTGTCAGACCGGCCTAATCTCTGCTTGCACGCTGTGCTTATGTCTGCTAGGGGAAGAAGAAGAAAAGAGCGTACGGGGCCCAGGAAGAAAAAACGTTATATATATGCAAGTACCAATTATTCGTCAGACCTGCTGAGCTGTGCTGTAGGTATATTTTGCCTCTTTTCAGCTTTACCTCAGGTGAATGTATGTAAATATGCACGGACATCAGAGGCGAGGGTGGATTCGGCGCTGAATGAGATACCATACTTCATATTAGCATTAGCTGAGACGAACTCGCAGTCCGGCTCGGAGCAACATGAATGAAACGGGGTGCGATTCAGGCATCTAATCCGAGGTCGTTCGAGTTTCGATGTGTTTGTATCTTCATCACTTGTTTTTACCTTATATTTTTCTTTTCCTCTGCTATCCTTTACCTACCCGCATGTCGTGCCGGAAGCCGGAAATCAAGGTCGGTCTGCATTCCGAATGCATATGCGCCAAGTCCCAGCCACCAGACGATACCGTTGACAAGTTGATTTGCTCTCGATATGCGGGATCTATGCTGTATATTCATGGGGGGATCTACCTGAGAAGAAGCAGAATAAAAAGAAGTATAGACCGAGAAGCAAGGCCAAGCTGAGCAGTTAGATAGAAACGGGATTGATAGCGCCTCTAGATTGGGCCTTTGTGGCGGGGAGGCGGGGAGGAATGAAGGCGAGCGAGTTGTATCTATGGTCTTGTAAAGCTAGATTGGCCGGCTGTGTCCCACACCTCTTCTTTATTAGTTTCCTGTTTGGGACTTCCATAGAGTTCTGTTCTTTCACAGGGTGAGCTATGGTAGACTACGAAGTACGGTAAATATGTATAGGTCGTGGTTGCGGCCAGCCGAGAACCTACTCCGTAGAAACCCCGTCCCTATTGCAGAAAATAGATAGATAGGCGATGAAGCATGCGAGATTGTCTCCCATCATTGTCCATAGCGACAATGTTGCAAAACAAAAACGATGTGCCATTATCGCCACGTACGAGTGTCGTGTCGCCAGTTGAGAAAGGCGTATAGACACGTATCGTAGTTGCAGAAGCCAGGGAAACTATACAGATCGGACGGCATTGTACATTGCCTAGCCCTTGGCAGAGAAGAAAAGAACGTACCTGTAGCTAAAATAGATGACAGGAACATGGCAAGATTTGATAATCATCTAGACTACCTAGGTGCCCAGGCAGTCGGCCCTTCGAATTACACTAGGAAGTGCGTAGTAGATCGTAGACTTTTCTTTGCCTACAGTGACAGCTGCAAATTGCCCCTCCGCAGACAATAATAGTAAAATTGAGCAAATTTTTATTTGTAGCATAGCTGATGGTCCAGAATCAAATGGTTCGCCCCGCTATCGTTTCTGGCATGACAAAGTGCTTGGAAAGATCCGGGTCACGATTCTGGTTACATCGACGGGTTCCTAGTTCCCTTTTATGTGGCTTCATTGACCCCAAGAAATTCCATTTGCGATGCAAGCGAGTGGTATGTCATGTGTACATCGTCACACGTGTACAAATCTCAATCCACCCTCTTTATCGAGCTGGTTTTCTGGAGAGTAGAGCTTCAATCAAGGGGCCGAACAAGGTGGCATATATCCCACGATGATCCAGCAAGAGACTTCCTTTCGACGTACGCTGCATATATCACCATCGACCGCAGCGAGCAATATAATGATTATATTACTTGAGATTTGTGATTGACACATAATCCTTCGAGACTGCGCTGGTGCTGAATACTCGAGTCGCTTATGTTTCGATCATACAGGTGCGGTGTTACCGTTCCACCTCTCAGCTGATGATACTGAACAGCTGTGGCAATGTCCCAAAATGCTGGTCCTGAACACATTACCATGTCACCTTCAGTATATGAAGGCAGATTGTGACAATCTCCGATACTAATCGTACATCGTATCTGAACATGACCGAAAACATGGCCCGGTTCCCTTTTATGACCTGCCAAACGCCAACGCATAAGCCCAAATCATCCGAGTCTGCCCGCCGTTGTGACCTCTCCAGAATCAAGGTCTTCCAATCCCTTTTGGCCAGTATCTATATGCCCAGTCTAGGCGAACAGCAGATAACCACCCTACTCAAACGTGAAACCGTGGCAGAATTGATGTGAAATCTAGTAGAGCTTCACCCCTGCCGCAGTATAACTAGGTCACATGCAACGGTTGACTAGAAAAAAAATATTACTACACATAATCGCGGCTAGCCACAAGCAGATTGCCTGTTTGATCACCGAGCAATATTGCATGCAGGGTTTATGAATGCCCTTTGGCCGAGTTCGGCAAAACGTCGAACGACGTTCGTAGTACCCCCGGTAACCCGTGCCTCGTCTAGAATGAACTTCCGGGCCACAGCTAGCTTACTCTTCGGGTCGCTCTCGTCTAGATGGGGAGGGAGTGTGCTTTCGAAATCGGGGGGGAACTTGTGCGTCAAGGCTCGAATAACTGTTAGCGAGTATAATACGTCCCGATTCTCTCTCCCGTCCAGCAGCTCGCGAAGCTGCGCAAGTATGACATCTCGTTGAGGCGTGACGTCCATGCCAGGCTGATCTCTGATGAGCAGAAATTCAGCTAGACTATGCCAAAACCTGAGTTCTCGGTTTCGATGATAGACGGAGTTATCTGGATGCTCGAGAGGAGGCCTGAGTGGATTATGGTCGAGAAAATCCCCTGCGAGTAGAGTCTCAAAGACAGCTACTCGATTGCGTACCTCGTTCCCGTCATCTGTGGGCGGCAGACCATGACTCATATTGACCTTGAACTCGGCTGAATAAACCAATATAGCTAGCTCCCAAACCACACGAAACTCGAGGTTAGCCGAATATGACATCCCAGCGACATCGTTAGTGGTCGTTGCAGACAGTGACTGCAGAAAGGCCGCAAGTACTTCTTGAACGCGCTCATTAGATGCCAAGGCATTTGGCCCATAGGGTTTGAGGTACCAATCCGACTCGAAGAACTTCTCCAATCCCGGGGCATAGACCTGTTCATAGAGATCATGAACCTCGACGAGCTTATCCTGGCTCAATGGAGCATCTATGGGTGGAGGCGCCGTACTTCCTAGGACAACAAGCTCCCGAACCTTCATTTTGCGTACTGAAATACCAGTGTAAGCCGGGGATCGTTCCATAAATGGCGATTGCGGAGCATGCGAGGAAGTTGAATGCAAGGGAACAAAAGAGGGACCGCCTCCTCTCAGATGCGGTGGCCCTTTCACTCTGTAATCAACAACATGGGGGATGACTGGTGTGGTCGCTGGGAAATGGGAGGTCGACATACTCGAGGGTGTGAGAACACTATCCAGAGAGTGATCCATCGTATGGTAGGGATGGCCTTCGCCTTTGGCGTTGGAGACCGAGGTTCCTAGAGATGCCAAGCCCGGACTGTAGGTTGGCGCCGGCGGAGGGGCAGCGCTGGGAATGCCCGATGGCATAGCCGTGTAAGATGCGGTGGTGCTAGGTGTTAGTGGGGTGGAGGCGGAGGCAGATACAGATGGCGCGCTATGAGGGAGAGAAGAGGTAGAGGAGGCAGAGGTTGGGGTAGCGGAATTCTGGGTTGAGTGAAGGTTGCTTGTTGCGTGATGTGATTGCTGGACTGTTTGCGATTGATGAGATTGTTGCGGTGATTGTTGAGGCTGTTGTTGTTGTTGTTGTTGTTGTTGCTGGTTCTGTTGCTGGTTCTTGAAGATGGGGTCGTACCCAAGACATTCGCGCTTGGACTTTTGACAGTTCTTGCAGGTGGGATGTAATTCGTCGCACTAGATGTCACTGTCGTTAGAAATCTAGATACGAATCCTAGATGATTGAATCAAGTTGGGGTGTGTCTGAGATGTGTCGGAATAAGACATGGAAATATAGCCTGCGACAACGCTGCAAGTGCAAGCGGGCGGCGTCGCTGTTAGCTTCAAGATGGGTATGGAGATGGTTTGAGGGGAGGAAGTTGCAGCTATCTGAGGGATGACGAAACACCCAATGGGGCTAGGTCAGACAATTGACATCAACATGGCTAGGAAGTGCGAGTGTCTGGCGCATTTTGGGGCTAGTGTATGTAGGCGGTGGCAGAGGAGTCTTGTTTTTTTTATAGTTATTTTCTCCTGGGTTCCTTGCTTTGTCTGACAGACGGGTTGGCGCATGTTTGCTAGGTACGGGCAGATCTGGGGCTCGCTAGATTTGGCTCGCTCGCTTCTCAGTAGCGCAAGTTCTGTTGTCAAGCGAAACCCCAAGCGAAAGTGAGTAGCGAGCGGCCACCTCAGGCACAGCACCACAAATCAAGCTTCGTCCAACCTTCACTTTCGCGACCCTTTTCTCATTCTCATTCTTTGATATTACTATGTCCACCTGTCGGCTTCACCCGCTTCGCACCATGCATATGGGAAAAAGGGTAGAGGAAAGAATGCCCAATACATACCTTGATACGCCGTTTGCGGCATGTCAAACAGCCTGTTTTGGTTCGACGCTTGATCTCCTATACCCAGACGGAATCATCACTGGTTAGGCTATCTGCGCTGGTATAACATGGTACGCGGAAGAGCGGCGACCCCTTACCTTCTTATGGCGGCCAGCCTGCAGCACCGCACCCGGCCCGCCGGGAGGCAAAGCGTACCGCTGGCCCATCGCCTCGGGGGATAAGCTAGCATACGGGTTACCTCCCATGCCGCCCATTGGCACTTGCTGTCCATAATACATGGACTGTTGTCCTGGGACTGGGGGTACCGGCGACACAGGTATAGACATAGCCATGTGTTGTTGCTGTTGCTGGGGTTGCTGCTGCATCTGGTCGAATGTGCGCATGCTCGGCAGCGGTATTGTGTTGTTCGTCGTCGCATGAGGGCCTGCTCTGTAGGGGTCGTGTGCCTGAGGGGCTGTATTTGCATAACCATAGTGCGTATTGCTCATGCCTCCTGTTGCGTACGTTGATGGCGTTGAATAAGGGAGAGGCTGGCGAGAAGTCCCAGGGATATGGGGTGGATTATGCGACATCGTTTCCGGTGAGGGCCCGGTGGCGCCGTGCTTCTCCTTCTGCCTGTCCTGGTCTTTTTGCTCTTTTTGCTGGTCCCGAGAAGCGGCACTGCGGCCAACGGATGTGGATGGGGATGTTGGCGTTATAGAGGCTTTAGATTGGTCAGTAGCGACAGTGGTCTCCTCCGTCACAAGGGCGGACGAAGAGATAGGCGGCGGCGGCGGCGGTGGTGGTGTTGATGTTGACGTCGACTCTGAGATCGGACCATCCGAAACGTGATCCTGTTGTAGTTGGTAACCCTGATCCTCCAGTCCCTTCTCTTGCGATGGCTCCTTCTCCGACTCTTGTGTGGTACCTATTTCTGGCCGTCGAGCTGCATCGGGCGGTTGAGGATTCGGGGATTGACGAATGCGCTCCTGCTGTTGGGAGGCATTGGTGTCTGCCTCAGGCGGCGTGGGAGCCCAGGTCTGTGCCTCTTTTGACTTATCCTGTCCCGAGGAAGCTTGTGACGGGTGTGGTGACGAAAGCTCTGGCCAGGACTTGGGCAGTACTGGCGGGAGGGCATGGACTGGTTCTTCAGCAACGGCAGAGGCCGGTTCAGGCTGAGGTTGAGCCTGTGGCTGTTCCTGTGCCTCTGCCATTTTGATTTGATTTTAAATTGGAACTACTACGGGGGGCTCGATCTGAGCAGGGGCTCGCAGAATCGAGGTAGCAGCAGCTGCTGCGAAAAGGTAACGACGCCCGCAGCGGACCAGGGACTGGACCGGACAGGCCCTAGAACCCCGGGACAAGCGGTGCGGTACCTTGACCGGTGGCCAGCTATGCGACAAGCGAGACGTGCGTACGTGCGTGCGTGCGTGCGTGCGTGCGCGCGCGAGAGGAGCCAGGGGACAGGATCCCAAGGGGGAAACACAGCGCCGCAACAGCAGAGAGGTAACAAAAACGATGGTGGTGGTGGTCCGATGTTTGAGGTGTTTCGACGCGACCCTGGGCCGAGATTCCTGTTAGCTCGACCTGTCGGTGCAATGGGCGTTTTTTTTTTGTTCTCTTGCGTCGACTCCGTCTAGCCACTTGGCTACTCGTTTTGTGCTAGCGCGCCCCCGGAGACTAATAAATAAATGCACGCTGCAACGGAATTCAAGGAAATGGAGCTTTGAGGCTGCTTGGGTGGTTCGTTCGTGCAGCGAGGGGGGGTGTGGCACCGACTTGTCTCCCGTGCATGGATCGATACACTGGGAGTACATATCTGTCAAGAGGGCTCGCAGCAGCGTCGCATGTATCCTGTAGGCGATGATGATTATCCTGCCTCCTCGGCCTCATTCTCGTCCCTTTCCAACCTTTGCTTAGTGCTTCGCTTCCCGGCCACGCAGCCACTGGACGATGTTGTATGTACCGGGAGGTACAGTATTGTAGATACGTGGAAGAATAAGCTGGGAAGGGTGGAAGAGGTGGAAGAGGTGGAACGTGCCGGTGAAAATGAGCAGGGATGCATGCTGTCGTGTCGTATCGAAGTATTTGTAGGGTAGAGGCCGTAGAGTACAGTATACCTTACAATGGATACAGAACAGTGCAGATAAATGCACGCTGGGCACAGTGTATAGACACCTATCCCGATGTTCAGGAGGACGGTGGAATGTGCTCAGGACGGTAGTAGTGGCCTGATATCAACTACTACCTACCTAGGTACCTAAGGTACTGCACCCCTCTATTACAGTAGCTAGCAGGAGTATCTATAAGTAGACCTCCAGCACATATCGGTACTTACCTACCCTGACTTACACTAGTAGATACATGGGTGTACTTCTCTACACTGTATGTCGATACGGCCAACTAGCAGAGTGGTCTAGACGGCAGTAGGGCTGCCCTACCCTGTACGCGTAGAACTGAGTACTCGTACCGAGGTACTGCTGCCCTGCCCAGGTGCTCATACTATATTTATTGTACCAGCAATGTAGAGAACAACAGCGTGCTGAACTGTACCTTGCCTTCGTTAGTTGTGGTACATGCGCACATGCATCTGCTCGTGTGTATTGGATCGCCAAGTATGACCGATCAAGGGTCACTCTGGCTGTACCCTATGCTCCGAGCTACCTGAGACAAGGGTCTAGCGCAAACGGTTCCTGATGGGTTCACGAACGATAGACACATGTGTCCTCAATACTTACTGATGTGCGAAGGAATCTGGGGCGTGTCTTGACGAGATCGTGATTTAGGCGCGGCAAGCCGGCGTGGCATACCTAGTTGGACGGGTGTGGCCCGTTGCTTAGCACAATTCATTGGCGACGGCCTTCCTCTGTCGTTTATCTCTACGAACAGAGGGCAATCAGGAAAGGGAGATGCCTACGAAGAACGTAGGATAACATGAATGGGTGAATAAGGCATACTACCGGTATACTTCCACTTTGCGCAAGAGGAGCAAGTCCCTCTTCTTAGGCTCCCTTTCTCTCAATATTGTGGGCTCAACTCTGCAGATGGCTTGATTTGTGCTGCTGACTTTCCGAATTCTGTCCCTTTTTCACTCCCTTCGCTGCCCTATTACGCTATTATGTTATGACGCCCTGGAAATGACAAATATCTTCACCCCAAGCTGTCCGTCTTGCGACCAGGGTGCCAGCAGCTCTTAGGCTGACGGATGGCGAGTGTGTCCCAATTATAAGGACTGGGTATAAGTAGTGTAGCCGGCGTAGATACTGGTAGTCGCCATGAGCCGGTCAATAGCCAGATAAATAGGCCCTATGCAGTGCGAAGCATACCCGGCAGGATGCGACGTGACGTTACAAAGATTGTGTTGAACCTGGACAGGCGACAAGGGAGAATGTGAAGATGTGCTGATGCAAATTCGCTGTACTGTAGTCTGCAGTGTACACTAGTTGCTGGAGATAAAAAATGGCAAGGACAAGGGATAGATAATAAGGAGACACGAAGGTGTTTATGTATCAGCGAGGAAGTACGGAGTACACCACATACCTAACACCAGAATCTTGATGTGAGCAGCTCGAATAGCCAAGTTATAGGTACGGTAGGTAACAGCCCACACATAGGTATCCAGCTCTATCCAGGCATCCCTTTGAGGGTCATTTCCGCTAGGTATAATCTGCCAGAAAAAGCCATAGGCAACTTGTCCTTGCAAACGAGCTGAATAGGCAGTCTTGATTGGATAGAAGATCCTATCCAGCATACCAACTTGGCAATTTGTAGCTCAAGTGGCCCTTGAAGGGATACAGCCAATATCCATCATGAGATGGTGAAAAAGAACCACCTACCGTTTCTAATCCAGATGAAGCGACCCATTCTCTGAGGCCGGTAGGTATCTGGATTTGAATGTTGGTCCTGATGATATGATCCTCAATGCACACGCTTGCAGACCAGAATCCTAAACTACTTTTTATTACTACAGCAGGCTTGCTTGTATGGATGTAGGAAATACCAACAATTAGGTAGGGACTTCACACGTTAGGTCACAGCTGTGTTGTGACCTGCACAGCCACTGGGAGGTCATTACCACGTGACATACCTACTTTACGTGGCCACACATAGGTAGGTACGTACTGGGTACTGTGCACCCTTTGTCGAGGCCCAGGTAACATACTTAGAGTTACTGAGCAGTGTCCATCTAAGTAGGTAAGTGATGTAGCGCTAACTTCACGGCTAGGTAGGCGAATACCCCATTTGGTTAGCTCTTCCGACGACTTGCATCGCTCGTACTTAACATGTTCCTTGTGCCATATCCCATGTAATTCCTCCCCCCGGCCCCCCCCAACCATGATGTCGTTGTGTAAGTATACGCGATCAGAATCGACATGATTCCCACCATCTCTATCTTCTGCATATTCTTCGCGTCCAATCAGCTCTTTTGTGTGTCTGTGTGTACGATACGTTACCTACTCACGTGCACAGGCCATGCGAGCATCGACGTTTGGCCCGCAAGAGATGGGCCATAGTGTAAGCCTCCGAAAATACGACGACCTACAGTACGATGGAGGCACAGAGGCAAACCAGGGCGAAGCCGCAAAGTCCTGAAGTCTCGTGTCTATTCCCCCTTATCTCTACGATGGAGGCATGCTCGCGAAGCAGGGTGATACCGCTGCACAGATAGGTAAGCAAGCAGATACGGTAGCAGACCTGCCTGCCTCAACGCAGCACACATGTATGGGGCCAGGCAAATGCCATTCTGTCAATATGCTGTACAATCTACTAAGTAAGTACACGTATTAGTGGCCCTTCTCCCCTTTGGAGTACCAACCACCTCGCATCCACATTCGATGCCTGCTCGTCAAAACAGCCAGTGCATACAGAGCAGGACATCATCACGCCTCGTGCGTCCTGAGTCCTCTAAGCACTTCGAGCATGGAACTGCTGTACCTAGACCAGCATCGACTGGTCACTGGTCCTCCAATGAAGCAAGACCAACCGGGTTTTGGCATGCTTGTCCTGGTGCACCCAGCAGTGTGCCATATGTCTACTTGCAGGAGGGTTCCATGCAGCGAATATTGGACCAGACACATCCTTGGCATCGGAACCTTGGGTGCTGCTTGGGGCTTAAAAATAAGACCTTTCGAGCCCTTGATCCCCCAGCCGTGGTTCGCTTTTGCTAGTAGCTGCATACTGCCGACAGACGGTAGGCACGAAGACGGGAAGGGAGTGGACAGAATAAACATCTAGGTACGACAATACACCACAGGGAAACGGCAGAGTATCTGACATTTCTCCCCTGCAAGATCCGGCTTACAGGGCCAAGACCTACTTAGAGGGGCAGTATCTAGATGCCGCCTGTCGTTGTCGCTGTCGTCGTCGTCGTCCTCGTTGTTGTTGTTATTGTTGTTGTTGATCTCAAGCTCAAATATCCGGAATGCCCGTGTCACACGAGGGGCACTAACAACAATGATGTTTGCTGCGCCTCTGTAGAAGATTGCAGAGGCCACTGAGGCGGCCTCACTCTTCAGTTTATCCGTCAGTGGCAATTTGGCATCGACTATGTCTTCATATTGTCTTAATTGCGAACCGCATATCCTTAGGTGCAGATACGCGGCTCACCTTACTGTACACCCCACTTGATACCCGCGCGACATGGTTGTATCCGATTGCTATCACTTGCCGTTGAGCATCTAGACTACCTAGTAGCCCACAATCAACCAGCGACGAATTGGAAAACTTGCAGCCCTGACGATCAGGCCCAACTACTACGCATACCGAATGAAATGATCGTATAGATGGATTGGAATGATCTTGTTCTAGCGCTATTATCATCACACTGACCCCCACAGCGCCATCACCACTTTAATGCAGTGACGTAGCAGGTGGCTTTAGATGATGAAGCATTACTATATAGCCTGAACCAGTCGTGAATGTGTCTTTGGTGGCAGCTTTATCTCGGACGAAACACCGAGTAGGCTCGGCGCATACTTTTAGTGCTAGAACATTCGGGTATGCGTTCGTATGTCCAGAACCGCACATAACTCTGTTCTGTTTATAATGATGGTGGTCGATGTTGTGTTGCACATTTGATATTCGCGAGGTTTCATCCCGGTTGGCGAGGGAAATGCCGTACCGCCTTAGTCAAGCGAGTAGCAGGATGGTGGGCTATATCATCATCCTATACATACCTACCTAGACATGAAAAGGTTAAGTTATTAGCATATTCGCGAAGCGATGCGCGCGGCACGCAGATGATCTCCGCCTCGCGTGCAAAACGAATCGAATAAAAGAACTTATTACGATGCTTTTGGCTGATCTACACACCATCTATTAGGCTCTTTAGGCGTCCGCGGCCTGTGGACCAGAGATCCTGGGACAATTACTAAGTAGGGAGGCAGGTCGCGGTTCACAGAACCATACTCTTTCACGGTCTCGAATATGGCGACCGCAGATTGACTTACGCAGCCGCTCTGACTGAGGGAGCCTTATCATTTAATACTCCCCAGGGCTAGTTTGCCGGGAAACGGGCCGTCTTTCCGTGTGATACCGGCCCACGCGTGAAAGATAGGCCGGGCCCTCGTCTCCATTCAAGAACTAATATCCGGCATCACGGACCACCGAGGTCCGGGTCTCAGGTTTTATTTTTTCCGTCCGATTGTACTCAAGCGATGCCGGCGTCGACCCCTTTGGGCAATGGGTACCGATATATCATTCATAGTCGACATGCTTGGGACAACGCCTAGAATTCATTTGCTGGGCAGGTCTCGTAAAGATTGACCACATTGGTGCCGCCTTAATACAACAAGCGCTGACCGGTCTAGATGCAAGCACGTCCCTGTTTCTCTCTTGCTTCGAATCGTCCTATCATGAAATAGAAAGATAGCACTTTGATTAGACTAAAATGACTGGTGAATTTAAGAAAAACAATCTACGGAAATTTGACAGACTACAAAATATTCTACTTACATAATTTATATGCAGCAAATATCTAGGTAATAATAGTAATACCTAAAGGATTCTGCCCAATAGAGGATCGCTCATGCCTGAGACAATCAGGTTCCTGCAGCTATAAACAACTGCGTGTGGATCGTTGGAGTACGTATGTGGCGTCTGGCATCCTACTATGTAGGTACACTAGGTAGGCAGCCTGTCAAGTCCAAATTGACACCGTGCGTGACAGAAGGAGACTCCACGAGACCAAAAAACTGCTGAGCGGCTCCATAGCTAAAACAGCGGCAGTGGGTGGTATGGTTTGTGTTTCGGGCATAGGTATATTTAGAACGGCATGGCTTTCTTACTTAGTGTACATAGTGTCATCCTGCAGTATTCTCATGGTTCCTTTCGTAGCCAGGATATTCCTTGAACATTCGCAACGTGGTGTACGTTCAGAAGGTTTACGAAGTAGGTCTCTTTTGCATACTCATACGATTACTTAAGTACATGACCCCCTGTGATCTCTGTGTTGTAAAAGTCACATTACCTAGTCTTGCCACTATTCCCAAAACACTGATCAGTCGTTGTAGACCCAGATTCCCTCCACGATTTCCTACGTGATTGGGGTTTTCGCTCTTTAGTGGCAGACTTCTCGTTCACCTGAGATTAGGAACCGATTTTGGATTCGTGTTTATATCAAGCCAATAACTGCTGCTCCGACCTATTTTGCCTGATGATTATTTGCATGTGATCTGCTATCATTCAGATTAAAATACTTATGCTGCAGCCGAGCAATGTCACAAAGACGAGCTATTCACTTCGGCCGGATATCTACAGTGTTACGTGGGAGATTGCATGATTTTGTGCTGTTTGCTTCTTAATTTTTGGAGGAATTTGGTTGGTTCTCCTTTATTTTCTCTCCTGGATCACGGAAAGCTATTCCCATCGTCTTCTCTACCCCTTGTCAGGAATGTCTTAGCGACCTCATACATTCCCAGATACAAACCACTTCCCACGGCCGTCCATACAGATCGAAGGATCGCGCCTCGGAAAAGCCCAGTGATCCCTCTCTCGGCAACCACTTCCCGCGCCACCGCTAGGCCTCCCCGGGCATGGTATTTAGGCTTGCTGCCCTCCTTTCTTATCTCCGCCCGTGCAGTGTCCTGCTCGCTGCTACCCGCAGCAAGCATCAGCCGCGTCTTGACAACGTCCATTGGTGTCGTGATGGCCGCCGCAAAACTACCAGCCAGCCCAGCGCTCGTCCCCGTTACGAGGCCCGTCTCGAAAAGACTTCCCCTCTCGGTGCTGCTTTCGACTCGGGCGTCGCCATTCCTGGGTGGGTAACGTCTCCATAACCGCGTCCGTAAATGCTCGAAAATAGGGAATTGGATGGCGGTAAACGGTAGATTTCGTGCCACCAAGGCTGCGTACCCCGAGAGCAACCTACGTCCAGCGTCGGCGCCGCCCAGCTGGCGAAGAGCTTGGAGAGAAGTAGATTTTCTAGTGGATTTGCCACCGTGGCTTGATTCGTGCCGTTGTAACATCTGCGCATTCTGCTTGATGACCTCGGCTGGTGTCAGCACGAGACATGACGCACATTCGGCAATAGCTGAGGCACCAGAATATGCGACTGGCTGCGGAAGTCCGAAGCTGGAGCAGTGACGACTCAAAAATGACTTTGAAGCCTCGTACACGGTAAAGAAGGTCCCCTGAAATACTCTTTAGCCTGTCTGTATTCTCATATAAAGCTCCGATTGTAGAACGACATAACTCGTCTCTAAGATCTTAGAGAAATCAGAGACGAGTGCATCATAAGTGAATAAATGCGTACTGCTGCCGGTAACGTCGCAACGACGACAATTCCTATTCCTTGGTAAAGCCCCCTAAATAGCTGCCGGGACGGTAGACGTGTCTTGGTTGAGGGATCAACAAACGTCTTCAAGAAATCTTGGCTTTGCTGCCGAGTTTTGAGCGTATCCAATGGATATACAAGCATGTCCACCACAAATGCCGCGGTGGCGCCGGCCTGTCAACACCTATGTTAGCTATCTGTGCGAACGAACGACTAACTATGGCACACATTAGTTGTGGAGTAATGTGTCGAAAGAGGCTCACCAACATGGTATCGACATGTGAATTTCCGCTCATCATGCAAGTAGAGGACGATTTCGCCTAGTCTCAAATATATCAATATTCATGAAGGATCAAGAATTTGAAGCTCGGTCTGCAAATCCTTATAAGAGAATGGTTGATGTTGTCGTGATAACGAATTCCGGGTGGAAAGGAATGATGACATCATCCTCCCTAGTGTAAGTAGGGGTCTCGTTGTTGAGATACAGGCAGGGGCACTTGGAGCCTCGTCCAATTAGATGGAAGACACTGTCTTATTGTAGTTATCGCTAAACTACCCCCTAGCATAACTTGAGCATAATTAAGCTGTTTGACACGCCGTTCATCATTAAAAGATCAAAGGGGCGGACCTGGAATAAGTACAATACATTCATAGCCGAGGCAGACCGAGGCGAGCAAAGCTTACTTGTCTGAGTGTTCAAGACAGATACCTATATAGGTGCCGACTAGCTTCATAAATTGTATACAATTTCGGAAACGTTGCTTGAGATCCTCTCAGTGAAGTTACCCTTAGTTCAAAAAAAGCCGACGTTCTGTCAATGAGCTAAGCGCTTCACGAAAGGGCGCCTGCAAAACATGATTCTCATCTAATGGGAAGAGTGACTGCGCGAAGGGTTATAGGAGCACGCTTGGGGTTAACTCCATCCTGGTCTTACCTGGCCTGCTGCTCACACACTTCACAGGTTCTAATATGAGAATCAGAAAGTTAACTATGTGAAATGTGTAGCGACATGACATGCAACGAAACCTCGCCGTAACCGAATGCTCGTGGGGGTATCGTATTATTTTTCCATTTCTGCTAATTATTATCGAGCTATGTATGACAGCGACCTTTTGAACCCCTTACTGCCCAATCTGCACTACAGGACACTCCCTTAATGTTTACAATGTTGCTATCGAAGAATTACACCTAGCCGTCCGTCCCGCTGCTTCTAAAAGCGGCACACAAGGATGCGTAGAGATGGGTCAAGTCGAGAACGGGTTGTGGCAATTTCGTTGATTGAATATGTGATCTTACTTTGACTGCGCCCTGCTCTTCAATAAGGACTCGTATTGTGTGTAGGAGTTCGGGCGAGAACTCAGAATACCATCGGTATTGCCAAGTTACCAATCGAATGACGGCTCGTACGGTGTCGTCGATATTCTTCTCTTTCTGAAAAGCGCGTAGGATGCCTGACAGTGCCTTGGGGCTAAAACGCGCCGCAAGACATGCCCTATATGCCTCAGCTGCCTCATCGTGATGTTGCAAGCGTTCTGCCAAAGCACCTAGAATTTCCCACTCCTCGGCGGACTTCGTATACTGCATCGACTGCGCTCTATACTGTGCCATCTGCGTCCTCCAGATCGTGTAGACGCGTAGATCCTCGTAAAGAACCATGAATAGGCTGTCTAACCATCTTTCGCAAAGACGCTTGTTGTTTAGTCGAGAGAGATGCTCATCAGTAGTTGCCGTCTGTAGTGTTATTAGTGATTGTCGCATTGCAGGGGACATATACAATCTTACAGTATCGCCATCAGCCTTGACCTCACCAGGGTCGATGGTATGCGTTGGTTTTTCCAACGTGCCGTCACCATTGCCACTAGCCACCGTGTTCGGCATGTTACCACTTTCGCCAGGCTCCTCTTCAGGCTTCACATCAGACTTCTCAATTTCTCTCTCCTTAGTTTCATGATCGCCGTTGGTAGAGGGCTCCGGTGAGCCACGAAGCCCATCTGTACTAGGATTGCGCTTTGAGGCTGGACCGTGCGAGGCGTCATCCTGTCGATCGCTTCTATACTCATCTTCCATAACGAAAACTGAGCTGCGAATTTTCAATAGTTGGTCCCAACCAATCTTCGCGGTCATTTCGGTAAGAATATTATATGCTAACTTAAAGGTACCTCGATAATTCGCTGCTCGAACGTTTAGTAAGCTTGGGTCTACCTGCTCTGAAAATCTTGACTCTGGTTCACTGTCAATCTCGTCGAGCCTAGTTTCGGGTAGCGTTGGGAGGTACACCTCCTTTGGCTCTGGCATTATTGGAGCATCCTTATCCTGATATGTGAACATAGGGCAGGAATTAAGTATTGTCAAGGCGTTCTCCCAGTCCTCTAAAGCGACATAGACCTGGGCTAGTCGAGCCCACGTGCTGAATTCACTAGGCGCAGCAATAGTACTGCGATCAGCACAGCCTAGAGCCATTTTCAATATGTTTTCCTTCTGCGTGGGTGTATCGGCTATCATCGCCTTTTTGATAAGGAACTCAGCCTGGGTATCTAGCATGACATAATCCATGGAGGATTCTTTCAAGGCGTGATAGAGTACACGGACACCTTGAACCTCTTCGTTTCCCATGAAGAGGACCTTGGCGAGCAGCGAAGACACTTCAACATTCTGTGTTCGGAGCTTCTCGAAGAGGTTGATGGCAGAAGTGAAACGACCCGTTGTATGGAAATACTTTAACAAGCCAGAAGTCAAGTGATTTGACACATTATTCGGTACCTGAACAATAGAATCAGAGCCCAATTGCCAGCCTGTAGCACTATCCATTAGCATTGAATCTTCGCAATGTCCACAGTGTTTAAACCGGTGTACTATGACTAACCTCTGAAAAACAGTGTCTCGGCGGCGCTCAGGAAACGATGCTCAGTCTCAGTGTTAGTAACCGGATTGAACCGCCGCACCCCCATAATCTTGCGAATGGTCTCCCCACTACCGTCATCAGCGTACGAATAGGCGCGCAACACGCTACAAAGATATGTTTCAAGCCAGAGCTCGTCAGTGGCTTTACGCTTCTCGCCTCGCTCATCGACACAGAAGGCCTCGACGGTGCCAGGAATTGTGACGTGAACGCGCATGTCAAGGCGGGAGAAGGCATTGTAGCAGCAGTAGATACCCTCGAAAATCTTGCTGGTGGGTGTTTGGCCGTGCTCCTTGTAGGTCAGTGTGTTGATATAAGCCGCAAGACTAGCCGAGGAGGAGGCATCGACACCGGTGACATGGTGGTATACGCCCGTCTAGAGTTGAGCGCAGATCAGAAAAAAAGAGCTTTCAGCAGACAGTTGGCAGGCGGTTGACTAGACGTACCGATCGAACCGGACTTTTCAAGTTCTGCTTGAGCAAGTGGACGAGGTCGGGGGGTCCGAGTTCGCGAAGAGAGACGAGTGTCTCGGTACGGGTGTCAATTGACTCGTGTAAGACCTCCTCGTAGATCCTACATGCATGCTTAACATAGCTGCACGACACGTTCAAGGCGCGACGACAGAACTCACTCTGGAACTGCGGGTGCAGGCATTGTCGTCGCGGTGGTGGCTCGTAGGCCAAGGAGTGCAGGCAGCTTTCCTTGCTAGCTCTCAGGTTAGTTGGACACGGCTAGTGTGTATGTCCACCGCCTGGATAACTCTAATTTTGGGAATAAGTCACATACAGAGCTGCGAATGGAATATATGTGCTTGGATCGTATGGTCGAGAGAGTTGATGATGCGACGGGGAGGTCCAAACGGGAGCCGGAGCCAGAGCCAGAGCCACGGCTGTTGCGTGGTCCGTTATTTTTAAGATGAGATGTCGGAGAGGTAGGTACGTACTACGTAGTTAGGTAGTAGGTACGAACGAGATGAGACGCCGATAGCTAGGTAAGTTGCAAGTTCCATCTACATAGTAAACTCCTGTACCCGCACAGTCCCGCAGGACTGGGCCGCCAAGCAGTTGCTCAGGGGAAGTGCCGTCTCTTCAGGCACGGTCGCACTGTCCAGCACGATGCAGCCACAGGGCATCCTGGAAAACCAGCGCCGCTGTCCGCCTGCTACCCGTACAGTACTAAACACTGTGACGCCGTATCTCAATCTCCAGATCAAAGAGCTCTCGTCAGAGCCCAGAATACCCAATTAAGCCCGTCGCGTATTGCCCACTCCAAGCCAACACGCGTTACGTAGAGCTTAGGAAACATGATCATTGTCGCTTATTAACACGATTCTCGATCAGTCATACATATGCAGGATTAAACCTATCTATTTGTTATTTTCATATTTTCGCATGGCAACCGATCTTTGCGAATGGTGCAACGGGCTCTGATACGTCACTATGCGACGGCTCCATGTCGTATCTCGTAAATTCATCGAATTGGCGGCTAGAACGCGCAGTTAAACAAGATGGCAAGGCAACCTTCGTCACGTTCTCGTTAAGACAAAGTATAACTGATAGCGCATGCAGCCTGCCTTTACGGCCATTAATCTCGAGCCCGAAGAAAACCTCGACGAAGAGATTGATACCTCTCGCGAACTCCACATAGACGAGGCTCTCAAACGCTTTCAGACCGCCCTGAAACTTCATGCCCAAGGCCCCAACCATTACCAAGAAGCCACTGCTGCCTACGACCATCTTTTTCAGTCTGAAATATTCCGTCTTCCTGAGAGCACCACTGAATTCGATCGTGCTGAGAGACATGCGCAAGGCCGTGATTTGTCTGCCCACCTGTCCTTTCCCCATACCCTCGAAGTAGCCCAACCCGATATCGCCGACGTCGACGGCGGCGCAAGCAGCTTACCACAAACCCTCTACCTGGCCTACAAGAACCATGGCCAGTTTGCACTTGACGCCATCCGCCACCAGGCTAGGGTGAGCCCAGCTGATGGCGTTTCATTGTTGGAAGACGAAGCCACACTCTCTCGGGCACAGCGAGCCCTCGACGAATTCAGCGCCGCTTTGGACCAGGATCCATCTGACGCCGATCTATGGAGAAGGGCTGCCCGTGTCGCTGCTTTCCTTAGGAGTGCGAGAATTAGTCGATACTGCCTTGAGGCGGCCATTGAGCTAGACGATGATCCGGCTGTTGACGAGGTTGAGCCTCCGTCTCTTGCTGAAGGATTCGCGGGTGAGCAGCTGAAAGGCCAACTACAGGTCTTGTCGGACGAACTTGGCTTGAATCATCCTGCAATGGCCCCTTTCATGAAGAAAATAATACCAGAAGCTCTTAAGAAACATATTGACCCGCTTCCTTTCCTACCTGACCATACTACATCACTTACATCCTCCAAGCCAACTATCAAGGGAGCGGATGCGCAGGAGTGCATCATCCAAGTTCCAAATCCCTCCTGGGTAGATCTAGGACTTGCTCTCCTTGCATACACGAGATCCAACGATGTGGGTGCGGGTAAAGTTAGGCTGCTCGTTCCTGAAATACCAGACGTTCTTGATGATGTGCAGACTCTAGCCGAACGCCCCAAGACACAAGAAGTTGATGAAGAGAATCAGACAGTAGAGATACCAACAGTCGAATCGCCCTCGACGTCGAAAGATGATCAGGTCGACACGCCTAAAGAGGCTCGCGCAGAGAACGACAGCACACTAGAGGATCGTTTGCAAGATCGAGGTAGTTCTATTATATCACGCAAACGGTCTCAATCTGTTGCTGGTCTCCCTGATGCCGCGGAGGAAGAAGCGATTGACCAGAAACGAAGTAAACGCACTCGCCGTCGTGAGACGGCTGGGGAGGCGCTAGATTCAAATACTCTTCTGGCTGCCCAACTACAACCTTTTCAAGCTGCGGATAAGAATCTTTTCCAGATGACTCGCAACCTAGCCGAGAATCTAGGGGTTGAGGATAAAGCTACTCTCGAACGTCTTGGTGAAGTGATAGACTCATGCGCCTCAGACACGCGGACATCTAAATTAACTCGTCGCCCTATGGTCGATTTGCGCGACTCACTTATAAAGTTTGTAGATGAGAACGCGAAAATTCTTCTAGCCAAGAAAACCTCCTCGCCTATTGGACTGGCCTCATTTCTTGAGCACTCCAAGCCAGGATCCCAGCACCTTGCCTCTAAGCCTCCTTTCCACGATTCTAGAGGCCTTGCTGGCTTTGTGCAGAGAATCAATGATGGCTGGATGGACATTCAACAAGTCATATTCCAATGGACTCAACATATTTGTGCTAATTACCTTAGTAGTACATGGTCTGATGAGATGAAACGAGCTGTGGTTCAAGTCATAAGCTACCTACACGAAGTTATATATTCTGGAACAGAGCACGAGCTTCTACACTGCAAGCAAACTGGAAGCTCTAAACGCACAAGACCTGCCGTCGACCAATTGGTCCAGATGCAATTTGAATTGCATTTGGATATCTATGAACGCATCACTAACCCAAACAGTGCTGTAGATTTCGCTACACGCGTGGAAACGAAAGCCAGGTTAGCTCGTTGGTTTTCTTTGGCCGCACAGTTGAGCAAGGAGCGAGCGGAGACCAGCGATATTTCGTTGTCAATGCGATTCCTTTGGTCTTCCGTATTTGCCGTAACGCTTACAGAAGGCGTGGAGCGAGAGCATGTTTTGCAATGCTGGAAGAGCCTCCGTGATCGACTTGCCGAAGAAGATCCGACTTTCAATATTCAACTTCCTAACAACGCCATCATGCCTGAGGTATCTGCACTAGCAGCAGATCGGGAGATATCCAAACTTACTACGATGGATTTCTTCCTGGGACTTTTTCAGACTGATTTAAAGGATCCTGTCTCGGTAATTGAAAGCTTGGAGCCGGTATTGAACCCGTCATCAGTTGTAACTATGATCGACCAATCAGATCAATCGGATGACGAGGCCACCACCCATGAGCTTACAGGAGCATCCAGCCAGGAGGACCATTCAGTCACTGAGACTGCTAGCCAAGGTCTTCGTGATCTGTGGAAGTTTCTTTTGGGCACAAGCACCGAACTACGCCTATTTCTTTGGACCCGTTTAGGCGATGCGTATGAGGAGATCGACTACAAGACCAAACAGTTTTCCTGCTATCTAAAAAGCATAGAGATGATTATAGAAGACTTCGAAAGAGATCCATATCTTAATGCATCTGACGAAACTCGAGTACCATTGTTCATCAAGATGCTCAAGTTTCTCGACGAATTACTTATTTCCGCCCTATCTACTGCTCTCAACGAGCCCAGTGCTTTTGAGATTGCTGACGATCAGCATATTAAGCTAAGCATTGCAGCTGTAGCTAAACTATGCTGTATTTTACACGTTTCGTCGATGTACGAAGATGAGGTCCGTGTTGGCATGATGCAGCATGCATCCAACAGCAACACATTCCAGTCTTTCATAAACAAGCTGCGTGAGATGCAGGTTCGAAGTTGGTCCCTGCTATTCACGATTCTGAAGGCCGGCATGCAACAGAATAAAAATCTATTTCCTACGGGTGATAGCGAACGAGCAGACTACCTTGCTGCTATCCATCAGGTGTTAGGCCTCCGCAAATTCTGCAAGTCATCTAACAAGATCTTTCTTCGGATGATGCGGGTTGAATTGTTGAAACCAAAGCCACATACAATTGACAACTGGGACGACTACTTCGGGCAAGTCCTTTATGACCTATATGGCTTAAAGTTAGGGCTTGGTCTTTCCGAAGTACAGGATCATGGGTGCCCCCCCGAAAAACTTGAGCGACGAAATACAATGTCACTAGTTTCCAAAGTGTCTGTACTTGCACATCGTATGCCGATGAAGGACTTGCTTAAATCAGATTTGAAAAATACCATCGAGCACATGCAACAAGCGATAGGGTCAACGAAATCCAACCAACAACTCATCCAAAATCTTCGAATCTTTAATCAAACTATGGCAAAGCCCATCCATCCGCTTCGCTTATACGAAGCGTTTAAGGGAAAAGTTAGTATCGATGCTGTGGGCGTCTACACTTCAGACAGTACTCTCGCTAAACACAAGTGGTTTTTTCTCCTGGGTATGATAGCCTTTACTAAATTTAAGGGAGTTGATTTGAATCGGAGACAGACTCCCGGCGCTACTGACGATCTTCGTATTGGAGCAACATTCCTCCGACAGCAACTACAGTTCACCCCGGATCAATGGGATGCTTGGTTTCGATTAGCTGAGTGTTTTGATTATGAACTGGACGAGTCAGTTCTCTGGACTGCAGACAAAATGAACAAAGAGCGCGGAGAACTAGTGAAATACCAACGTAATGCAATTCACTGCTATACGTTAGCGCTATCACATTCGCGAACTGTTGTCTTAACCGATAACGAGGAAGCCAATGATGCTATGCATGATTTGTACCACAAATTTGGTATGCGCATGTATGCTTCAAGTCGAGAACCTTTTGCTATGGAGCCATTCCAACACTCTGATCACAAACGCGTTGTGATCCACGAGACCGGGCCTGATACTAAGGATGTTCATTCTCCGATGCAGGATTACAAGGTTTGGAAGTATGCTGCAAGGCTTTTTAGAAAAGCTATGGAGGTAAAACCTCGGCAGTGGAAGTATGCATCAATCCCATCGCATAGTCTCGCAACCACTGGCTAACTATTTACATCAGGAATCCATACATGTATGCGAAATGCGTCTGGAAAATGTATCGGAAACCCTTGATGGATCTTGACCCCATTGATCGGACAAGTCGACCTACGGTTGAATCGATAATAAAGGCCCTTGAACAGTCAGTGAAAGTCGTATCTGCGCTGCCAAAGCCCCGACACGGCCAGGACCCGATTCTAGAGCCACATTACAAGATCGTGTCAGTGATTCACAAGCTAGTGCTGCTTAATGACTTGCAACCTCAAGAGGCTGCTGATATCCTCCAACGCCAGCCATACGCAATTGACAACGGAGAACACATCGAGATAAACGACCTGGAAGACTGGGAGTCATATGTAATAAAAACACTCACTCAGCTGCGTGAAAAGGATCGAGCAAACTGGCAACACCGCATTTTTATGCGCCATGCAAGAATCATCTTCGATGAGAACTCCGAAGAATCTAGTGTCGTTCATGCACTGGCCGCCTTTAGCGTTCTCAAGGACTCAATGCTTACTAAGACAATGGTGATGAATGTATGGAAGTGCGACGCAGAACGCCCTGGCCGGCACCATGTCTACACTGAGCAGTACGTGCGGTTTGTAGTCAAGTTGCTAGTGGTTCTGAAGGACAGAACGAACTTTGAAGCTATGCTCCGCCGCCTGCGGAAGAAAGGTGCGGACTATTACCATTTCAGCGACCTTTGGCAGACCTGCTGCCTTGCCTACCTGCGACTCATTCGCCAGGCCTATCAGGTTTCGCCAGTTCTCGAAGACGAGTTCAAGTCAACGGCACCCGAGGAGTTTGAAATTATTACCAGCAGGATTAACGAGTGGTGCTCTGATCCTGCCTCGTCACATCCCGCATTGAGTGCGCTGCAAGAAGCCATCGAGTTAAAGAAACTGAACGGCGGTCTCATGAAAGCTGGTGCCATCGACGATTTGATCAATGACTGTTACACCACTCTGTATTTCAAAACTGGAAAATCCTTGCCTGGCCCGGATGTGGCTGCGTTACTCGAAGAAAAAGAGCAAGAGCGCCTTCAACAGGAGGCTCGACAGCTAGAAAAAGATAATGCCGAGCTCAAGCCGTTAAACCCGTTTGGGGGTATCTTAAACCCTCAATCACATGAGAATTCCGGGACAGAAGGCGGCCCAGGGGATTCTACTCCTGCAAATATGGATGGTGTTCAACGTCCTCGCAAAGCAGGTATTAGAAGAGCAGACGTGTTGCGCAGGGCTGAGCAAGCAGTGCTGCGTGCCCAGGAAGGGCCTAGGCCTACGGGCGGGAAATCCCGCAGCTCCGTGTCGAGTGGTAAAACACCTGCTGTTGACGAGAATAACGAGGATGAAGCCGATGCGGATAGTGACAGAGACAGTACGAGGGGCGATGCCGAGGGTGACGTTGAAATGAAAGACGAAGAAGCTGATAGAGAGCTAAGCTCCGTGCCGGGTAGCGTACACGACTCTGCCGATGATGAGAGTGATCTTAGCGATGTGCCTCTGGAGGACCTATTGGATGAGGATGAAGCTCAACATCTCATGTTTCCCAATCTTATACGAAACCAAGACACGGAACCTGAGGAATCAGAAGCCGAAACAGAAGAAGAAGAAGAAGAAGAAGATGATGATGATGATGAAGAAGAGGAGGAGGATATCGAAGAATAGACACGGCCTCCGAAAGCATACTAAAACACTTGAGCCTTGATATGGCGTCACTATGACTGTACCGTATTCTATATAACTACCTATACATTGTTCAAGGAGGCATGGTTATAAGCATTCAGGGGGGCGCGGATTGGACGGCATTACTTAGTTGATGTTCAATATCTATACCAGCGCTTGTTGAAGATTTTTATTCATCTGGTGTTTTAAAACGAAACGAAGTCAAACAAATGTAGGGGCCAGAAAATGGGTAGCATCCTAGCGCGCATGGATGGTTGAACTTGCAAATGATTAACGTAGTCACCTGGCAAGCACTACGCGTTCACTCTGAAAGGCATCCTCATAGCAGGCTCATAGGGGCTCGGGGTCCTCGAGGCCAAATAGCTCAGCCACCTACTTGAAGCTGAATATCAAACTTCATCTCCACCTCGGCGGGGCTCAGACCCCTGATACGACTTGCTTGGCCAGAGCTTGGCTGTCTTAGTTCTTGGTGTTGGCTACTAAGAGGCCAATCACCTCGGGAGGTTGATCCACTTCTCCGACGGACCAAGCAACGCATGTGTTGTCTGTCTGTTTCCGAAGTAGAAACAGTCGTCAACTTACTGTGGCTAGGCTAACATGATACGCGCCGTTGGTCGATGTCATAGAGGGCGATGCAATCTGAACTAGCGAATTTCCCATCCCATCTCGGGCGCAGCTTGAACGTTCTGGGTAACATCGTGTAGATCCGACCAAGATGGATACGGGGAATGGTTTCTAAGCTAGGGTAGGCCAAATAAACTGGCTTGTCATAAGACGACGTTGACCTCTCCTGGCGTCGCCTTACAAAATGTCATCCGTTTTCTTAATTTGATACTCTGCCGTCTGGCGACAGACTTTCCGGTTGCCGGGTGTTAAAGCAAGAACTGCAACCGCTTGCTTGCGTCGATGTTAAGCAATTGTCTTTTCTGAGGCTCTCGTAAAGATATCCTCACCACAATACTTTTGCCAGGGCAGGTCGAATTATAAATAGTTGTCCTCCGGGTTGGGGATAACAGGAAACGATGCGGTCTCATACGCTCGTCGCTGTCTTCGCAGCTGCCGGCACAATCGCCGATGCGAACATACAAGCCGCTCCTCAGAGAAGGCAGCAAGCAGAGCCCGGCGTCGCCAGATGGGCTGCTCCAGAGCTCTCAACGCGATCTACTTCGACCTTTCATACTTCTTCTGCCCGAAGGGCCGAATTGCAGATAATGCGCAGGAGTTCTTTGAAAAGGCGTCCCAGACGACGCCAATTTTCCGAACGAGATGACAGCGAGGATTCCGACGATGATGATGACGATGATGATAGTGATGACGAGGATGATGAGCACGAGAAGAATGAAGAACCCCAAAAAAGCAATGCGGGAGCCAGTGAGTCTCACCTCCTTAGGCTTCCTTCACATGATATGCCCACAGGCACCACCATACCAATAGCTTCTAGAAACCCTGAACAGCATCCACAGCATCTCACGCATGATAATAATATTAACTAACCAATCCCCTTATAGTCGCCGGCGGCGTCATCGGCGGCATAGTTCTCATCGTCCTCCTCTTCTTCCTGCTGTTCTGGTTCAAACTACGTCCCCGGCGTCTCCGCCGTCGCCGCAAGCGCCAGGAAGAAGAAGAGGAGGAGAAGAAGCGCAGACAAAGACAAGACGAGGAAACAGCAACCGAACACAGCACTGTCAGCTACCCCCAGCAGCAGCAGCCGTACCAAACCATGCCAGTAGTAGGCCCCGAGCCGGTCCACGCCCGCGGGGGCGTATCCCCGCCCGTTGGCGGCACCACACCGACGCCGAACGGAGGCCGTCCCGCGTCGCCGCCTATCCCACCCCAAGGCACTACGGCATCACCCGCAGAGCTAGCGAGCCCCGTCGTCGCCGACGGCCGCGAGCCGCCTCCCGCGCCGCTTGATCACGGGAAACTGTCCTCGTCGCCACCGCCGCGGTATTCAACCGCGTTCCCAACGATGACTGAGCTGTCCAGCCCAGTAGATGGTATTCCCGTCGCCAACGGCCGCGAGCCGTCGTCCCTGCCGTCTGCTCTAGAGCCGGATTACGGCACGAAGGCCAGTTACGCGAGGACTTACGTCGAACCGTCGCGGCCGGCTTTTCATCCGGCGGACCAGCCGAATCCCGATTACTAGCTGGATGGCTGCTCTTGGGTAATGTTGGATTGGGTACAAAGATTGTGGGATGCGTCGACGACTCCTAGACGAGGCATAACGAGGAACATGACAGGGGTTTGCATGGGATGTAGTGCCTACGAGGCAGGTTCATTGCTGTTCCGGCGTTGGAAGCGTTTCTATGTAGTGAGAAATAGGGTTGCTTGAGTAATGGTCTCGATTCCAGTGAAATCCGGGAGGCTACAACTTAGCAGATACCCAGACACAAGCGCGGAGACTATGAAGACTGATATTGTTAAATAGAGTTCATGCCAAATAGACTAATACCTGAATGGAATGCGCTCGGATCACGTTTACATTATGTTTTAGGTGTATATTATGTTCGAAGTGAGAAATGTTGGTTAGGACTAAGAAAGATGTTCTTATCACCAGTTAATTATAGTGTCGTTATCTACCTAGATAATCAAGGCACTACACAAATTGATCCTTTTCACCTCGTCTTTTCTGACATACAATACCAGATTGGTCATGACTTCATTATTATTGGCAGCGAGTGAGAGCCACCTGCTCGTCACTATCAACCCCAACGCTAACCAGTAAACCCAATTCTCAAGTGCCCTGCATAAGTCAAGAACTCCATCTATCCCTGCCACTTGACCCTCTTGTCACGGAAAATGCTCACCATGCCCATAGGCAAGAGGCCCGGCTCAACAATATTCAAACCACCAAAGCACTTGATAGCCTCGGGGCCATACAATTGCGCAACCCAGCGCCAATAAGGTTCCATTGTCTCCCAATCGCCCGTGATGCCCTTAAGGTTCTGCGACGAATCCGCCAGCGCTTCAATACCATCGCGGACGGCGGCGCTCGCGTCACGGACGCCCCCTTCCTCGCTCGGCACCTCGAGCAGCTTCTTAAACGCGCGTGTTAGGTTGTCCCGGAAGTTGTAATTCAAGTCTTCGCGGTGCCGCACGTATTCCTCGAAGGGCATGAAGACCTCGCGCTCGCGCGGGTCTGAGGGCTCCCAGGCACCGTTGCCGCGGTGGCTGAACACATAGCGATCGCCGCGTTCAAAAGCAAGCTTGCGCCTCGCATACTCATCGCGCTCAGCCTCCAGGAACACGTCGAGCAAGCTGTTGGGGTCGGCGAGTACAGCTTCGCGCACCGGAAGGATCGAGACGAAGGGGCTGCGCAGATCAAGGCCACCGAGCTCGATGGGGAAGAAAAGGTATGCGTCTGGAATGTCGGAGACACCGAAGCGCGTGTGCAGTAGATGCTTTAGGTATTCGACTACGCCTGTTATTGGTTCCTTTGGCTGCACTTCACCGATGAGGAGGGGAGATGGCGATGAGGACGAGGGTGAGAATACCTCGCGTTGGATACGTTGATGCGTCGCTAAGATCTGGTCTACGTGCTCGCGGCCGAAGCAGTTGGCTGGCTGGCCAAAATTCGACGTGAAAAAGGTCGCGGCGAACGTGTTCCAGGTCTGAATGAATGAGATGACACTCTTGCGCTTGTCAGCGAGTTGTCTTCGCAAGTCTACGATGTGCTTGTCAACCATGGCCTGGTCAATCTCAAACTTCCCCGTCTTGGTCGACAGTTTCAGAAATCCCCAGCGGATATCACCAACAGGCAGTGACTGGTCAATATCTAGGCTTACTGATGGGTCTCGCGAGATGCGGACTGTTCCCGACTTCTTCAAGTTGATGTATGTCCTCGTCGCATTGACAAAATCTGACACCGCAGTCCAAGCCGTCTTAGCTACAGTGTGATCCCGCGACCAGAACCAGAAATCTTCATTCATTCGGTGCAAATTGTGACCCTCGGTTGCCTGGTTGACCGAAAAATCGAGACAAAAAAGGATGGATTCACCAAAAATCTCGCTGAGGGCGTGGGATGCTGGAGTGCCACGACGACGGGTACGTGGTGCTGTGTCGGGACTGTCGTCAAGGAACTTCAGAGGTGCTCTGAGAAATTTATTGAAGAAGGCAATCCACGTCTCAGAAACGCCGAGAAGTGACATCACAGTCAATATCGTCTCGTGCGGGAGCAACGAATTCCAGCTTTCGAAAACAGAGTGGAATGTCGTCACTTCGCCATGCAGTTTTGTGCCGATAGCGATCTCAGCCGATAGCAGACGAATCAAGCGTTGTTTATCTTCCATTGGACGGCGCTCCTCTGATTCTGAATCACTATCTTCCTGCTCATTAGGCTGCCTCTGCAATGAGCTACCGAACAACCCTGCCGGCTCTATCCTGCAGGCAGCGGGAGCGGGTGGAGGTGCGGCTCTAGCTACCATAGACCCCATTTGGTATGCCTGTCTCTGGGCTTGTTGTGCAACCATCATCTGAGGGGCGTAATTTGCCTCTTCTTCGCCCTCGAGAGAGGTGTTCTGCTGTGCGGTATGACTCATTAAGCCGGCCATAAAGTAATGCTTGCGATATAACTGATCTCTAGCCGAGTGGACTGAGGAGTTACGATAGATAGAGTCAACACCGATGTAGTATTCCCGACGCTGCTGATCGAGCTGAGGGATTGTTTTCCTTGAAGATTTCCAGGCCCCATCATATTTGCGAAATTGCCTGAACGCACCCTTCAAAAAGACGGACCATTTGACGCCAATATAGTGGAGAAAGACGGCTTGAAGCACGTCTTCATGCATCAAGACATTGTAGACACCTGAAATTTTTCGCTGTTGCTCAAGGGCGACGCTATCGCCCCATGACCAGGTCGAGAGGGCAGCAAGTCGCATGTTCAGAACGTCAGCCACCTCGGCCAGAATGGTTGAGTTGGAGAGGAAGTCTCTCAGCACCTCGCGTCTTTCATCGGTAAGCAGATCCGAGGCGAGGAGCCCTTTGATGACCCAGGTTAAAGTTGTGGGATCGAACTGTTTCGGTGCAGCCATTGTCACCTCGAACTCGGTAAGCTTGCGTCGCAGCTGCTCTAGTGCTTTAGCCTTAGCTGGTTTGTCTTCGCCTCGTAGACCGAACAGGTGAAGTAGGTAAGTCCTTAGTGCGCCTCCGTCTACTTCGGCAGGCTCGAATACGACTTTCTCCCATGTATGACGAGCTTCCTTTTTCATAGAGTCGCCGACATCCTCATATCCCTCGGCCATTTCGACGTCTTCTCCAGTACCTGGGACGGCTCTCTCTGTGGAAAGCCACTCAGTGACGAGTTGCGCGTAGAGCGATGCATACTCAAATTTGGATGACTGTGTATAGAGATGACGCAGAAGTGACTCTTCCCAGACTCGCATGAGCTGAGGCGTTATGGAGGGATCATACTTGGACTGGGCCATAAAACTATCCAAATTCCTCAACTCGAGCTCTAATTCGGCATTCTTGGATTCGCCAGCGAGGATCTCGCCGGTCTTGGTCGTCTTGATAGCATAACTATCCTTGACGCCTTGGCTCAACAAGCCCAGGCGTTTGAGAGGGTCCTTCTCATCCTCAAGGCGAGAGATGATACTTGCCTTCGTTGTCTCAAATTGGGATCGCCTCTTGGATAGCTCCTCGAGCTTGGTGTTCGTGATTTCCTGTAATGTCTCCGAGAAGACGCTGCCACTGTTGGTAGGCATCTTACTATCCTGCTACTCAGTTTGTTAATGAAGAGAACATGTGAGATTACACAAGGCGATAGGACCAGGGGAGACTAGAGGACGAGGTTCTTTATATATGCGTGCGAGGTTTGAGCACCACGACAAGGCAGAACTGGCTGCCTTGCGTAACCACAGCGACCCCACTTTAAGCTGTAAGGGACGGTCGTCTTCGCTCTATTAGCCTGCGACTGCCTCCCTAGGGAGCCAAAATTCCGCCAATGAATAAATCTATATCTCGCCCTTCCTTTATGCTCAAACTATTTCCAGTCTCTGTAGTCTGGAGAGGGTGGTCCACGTGCACACAATTCTGTGACCCTTCAATGCCAGCTACCTAGCTCAATAATTTGGGTCCATACTTACCAATACCTGTTGTCTTGGCTAAACTCCTCCGGTAGGGCCGTTAACACCCACTAGTTTCCACCTGCAAGAAGGGCTAGACATTAAGGAGATGGTCTAGTAGTGCTCCAGCTGGACGAGCTGGAGAATCTGCAACGAGAGTCGCGTCGCCGGATATCAATAATTAAAACGTCATTAAAGTGTAGATAGTTGCCAGTACCTACAGACAGTTGCAGGTAGTTGATGCTGCCTGCATGCATAATTACATTTAGCGTGTCGATGAACCAATCTGATTACACTAGAGTTATAAATAGAAAGCGTGTGACGCCATGGCCGCTCATTGTTCTTACAACCCGAGACTATAACCTTTGCCTGCCGTCCGTGCCTGAGACCTGAAAACTCCTGTGGTTGATGCCCACATCGTGAAGATGAAAAGAAAAGGGTATCGTCCTGACACCAATGCCGAAGAGCAGTAACAAAAAAAGGGGTAGATTAGGTATTGCATCATGGCTCAGAATGAACCGTAAGCCGTAATTAGCACGGCGTGGTGAAATGTACATGGCCTGCAATGGCCGAGAGCGGGAGTGAGATGGTTGGCAAGGGGGTATCAATCTCTGCAAGTCTGCCCCTTCAATATTCAGTGTTACTTCAAGGCGCTCCTCAATCGTGCTGATGAAGCCGCTTAGTCCTGAGGCATGCAGCACCAAGCAGTGGAGCTACTGAGGAGACCTGCCGGTATGCTGACCATGGATTGGTCACCGCTGCTATGAGACGTTTTGGACAAAGTTGAAGATGCCCGAGTAATCGCCCGCGGAGAGATGGGCGCTATCAACTGTTGCTACCGGTTGAAGACGAGCGCATTCACAATATGATCTTTCTGCCAGCCCTGGCTTTGCAGCGACATATTCTCCTTAAGAATCTTGCCCATGTACGCTACACGGACCAGCCTCGTAGATGGTAACTAGGTGGGTTAGCTAAGATTTTCTCCACGCGCTTGTCAAATGACGACTTACTCCAGACTCTTCCGCGATCTTCCTAGCCAGGCTTCTTACCGATTCGTCGGCGTCTATGCTAATGATAACATCAGGGTACGTGTCGCTCAGTCGGGCACGGACTTTGACCAAATTCTTGATGTCTACAACAGCTTTGCCCTTCTCTTCTCTTCGCCGTAGAGCCTCATCTTCGTCAACCTCTTCAGTGGTATCCTCACCCGTAAGATCGTCATCTCCCTTTCCATCCTTGTCGACGCTGTCTCTTTGGGTTCCGCTGACTACAGCCACATTGGTTGGGTCGTTGACTATCCATTCTGGAAGTGCATAGTAATTGCCTAGTGAATCGTATACACCATTGGACAAGTCACCAGTCGGCAGCGTGACTTCGGCGGCTTTGAGTATCCCTTGGGCAGTAACGAGACCGCCAGCACCATCATCATCTATAGGCTCGACACCGGCAGCCCGTCGGATATCAGCCTCCCAAAGGACCTCCAAGGCGGTGCGGATGACCTGCCAGACTTCGGGACGGCCGGTGACCCTTGTATCGAAGAATTCGGTCCGCTGCAAGTCAAGATCGGCACGGGTCCAATCACGATCCCGTGATACCCATTCATGGCGGCGCAATGGTTTGTCTATGTGTTGTGACAGAGGTTGACGAGTCCGTTGGCCGTGGTTCGTGGAGTTCTGCCCATTCGGTCTATCAGCCGTTGCGGATTGGCCTGGTTGAGAATTGATGGCCCCCGCAGATGGCTCCGATGATGCACCATCTGCGTAAGGCGTACCGGGGCGGTACGAACGTGAGAAACAACAGCCCTACGTCCGTTCAAGGTTAGGATCAGAGTAGAGGAGAGGAGAGCAACATCAATCATATCAGTTCAGAAGCCATGTATGTTGTTTTTAAAGTGCATAGCCAATCACAGCATGTTGTATATATCACCGGATATTGCAAGGTTGGTAGTCATTGGGGGAGGGGGGGGAGTCTAGGAAGCAGGAACATGATAATAGCCTAACAGTGCCAGCAAAAAAAGGAAAGAAAAAAAAAAATAGTATACGTAACGTACCATAGCTCCAGCACGCGCGCAGGTCGAGATAGGAACGGAGACAAGAGAACCGTGCTTTTATATGGCTATATGTGTGGAAGGGAACGGGCGGTTTAGCGCATGGTTTCGGTGGTGTCCGTGAACTCTAGCCCGGACTGAGAGAGAGGAAGGTTGTGGTTTGATGTTTGGCTCGAACTTGATTGGCGTTCGAAGCCGCCCGAGAGAGGTCCGAATTGAGCGAATTGACGGGATCGGGATCGTCTAGTTTTCTTGTCCACTAGATGCCGCTTTGCGATGGACGATCGCGTGCAAGTGGACGGGCGCGACAACAACGGCGTGTGCGAATGAAAGAGTAGGTAGAGGTAGGCAGATGAGTGGATGCGTGGGTAAGGCAGGTAGTTCGTGGGAAGATACCTACCTCTGTATGTGACGAACCCGGGCAGTGGGCAGTGGGAGAGGGAATGGGGCAGGATGGGCCAGGATGAGGAGAGCTGAGGCTGGATCTGCAGCAGCTAACCTTAGCGCAGTCAGGACCTACATAGGTACCTACCTCCACTATATGCACTACGTAGGTGCCCCAGTACCTTACCTGCGTTCATCATTAGGTACCGTACATTATAGGCACCGTAGCTAGGTACATAGGTATGCACTGGTAACATGATCAATAATACCTAACCTTCAACTTCCATCTTTTTACCTATCGTACTCTATCAAGCACGTACTTCATATCTTCCCAGGCTACTTTACATCCGAAAGGCAGGACTGATTTGAGATTCTAGGAAGCCTTGGAGACAACAACGGACAGGTGAGTGGAGCAGGCGGTGGCTGAGTGCTTGCATAGAGTACAGTAAGTTTACCGGTGTTGTGCCAACATTCAAATATGCTAAGGCTAAGTATTTACCTACCTACCTTACCTCCATGTAGGCGTATTGAATATAGGAGAAATCATATCGCTAAGTGTATTGATATGGCACCAATAAGGAGAACCTTACTTTCGTAGTTTAAATTCTTCTTGTGGTAGCTTCAAACATACAATTACCTGAGGTTCCCTAGGTAGCTACCTACTACCTAGGTACAGTTGCCAAGTTCTGTCGAGTGCGCGCTTCATTTCATCCACCCATCGCCCAGCGTAGCATTGTTATCATGCCTCGTCTTTCAAGTCCATATAGATTGAATGATTCCGGTCGAGCTTCACCAATCGGCCCTGCTGGCAGGGGATGGAGGTCGGACAGCTCACTGTTGGGTATCTCAATGTGCCTGTCTATCGTATTCTATCACTCTTGACCATCGCCCGCATGGAATATCCTAGAATTACACCCCTTGCACACTAACACGGTCAGGTTACACTTTCTCAGCCTGATCAAAGACTTGGTAGCCACCTGATTGCTCGTCCTCGTTACCAGAGGTAACCCCGGCAATTCTTACTTCCACACAAGCACCGTGCCATATCCTTTTGCTTCTCTGGATCTAGCGCGTCCATGTCCGAGTCATCTACGCCGTCGACATAGTCGAAAGTGAGCTCTTCTCCGCGTGGGATGTCTCGGACAGCGAAGAATGCCAGGTCGTGGATGTGCTTGTCGGCATGATCGCCAACGCGGGCGAAAATGCGCAGGTTGGGTTCGCACGAATGATTGATGAACCGTGTTGGTCCCGACTTGAACTCACCGTCCACTTCTAGCGGGGGTCCCCGCAGGCGCTCGTCGAACGAGTCGGGGTTGGAGAATTTGTCGAGCGCGAAAAGATAGACATCCTTTCTCCGAGCCATATGCGACTGAGCTCGTCGTCGATTTGCTTCTTGTGCCGTAATAATCTCGCCCATGTATTTGTCCACAAACTGTCCTTTGTTTATATCTACCGTACTCCGGACACCCCAGCCTCTATTCTTGGTGCGAAAGATCTGTAATGGTAGTTTCCTCCCTTTCTCTACCACGCGATTAGTGCAATCGGAACTGCAGACACAACTCTCGTGGCACTCGTAGATGGGATTCCGTGACGTGAGCACCTTGGAGCGTAGGCGGCCGGCTCTCGCGCCATAAGAGTGATATGCATACGCCTTCTTCCCATACTCCCGCCGACGCCAGGCTTCAGATTCGGGCTCGCCCGAAGACTCCTCGTTTGAGCCGAAGTCCTCGTCGCCTGAGTCGTCGTCTTCCACATCCTGCAAGCAGGTGCACTGGTCGTATTGGCAATCCAGATCGCGTTTGCACTCGCAACCGGTGAGGAACTCGCTCCTAGTAGGCTCAACATCCTGGCCACGAATGGAACGTTCCATGAAATGGAAGTTGGGGTCGATCATGGTGTCGTCCTCTGTGTTGACTATGGTGATAGGGTACTGCTCGTGCGTCGCGAAAGTGCGGATTTGGCACCAGTGACATTGCTCCTTCTCGGCGCGAAGGTACTGCACGTCACCGGTGGTGAGTTCAATGTAGCCTATCGAAAGAGCGATAAATGTAGCCAAGAACATACCTCATTACCGCCATGGTGGAAGAAGTGACGTCGCATAGCCTGTTCCATGTTGAATTGCTGCGCGAGCGAGGAGGAATGGGAAGCGGGGAAGGATGCAATGAGTGACTAGGTAGGTATGGGGGAGTTCTACGCATGCATGTCCATGATTCGGCTGTTTGGCCCAGCAACAACTTGTTTGAATTCTGAATCTCACGCGGAGACACCATACAGACCAACGAATTTAGATCTGTGACGTTGGCAGAACACGCGCTGCTCATAATGTGAAGTTACGTAGGTACATCGCGTACCTGCAGGCTGTAGCTAGCTTCGACGGCTGGTAAGTACCCCAGAGGTACAATGCCTATGTACAACCCAACTCGTGATCTGAATTCATTCAGTGTCCAAGACGATCTCAGACATATGCGATAATGCTCCTTCCCCATGGCCACCTACAACCAGACCCGGGTTACTTGTTACGCGCATCAGCCTCAGCCTCTCGCAGATTCCGCTGGACATCTTAGACCATCAATGTAGGTAACCTAGATGTCCGCCCCCGACCTCAAACGGCTAGCCGCTTCGAGGAAAGCGAGAATGGTGTACAGAAAATCAACCCCGTCCCCCTCCGGCGACATGTATGAGGAAGAGACAACCTGGTGAAAAGAAAGATGCTGTGCTACATGCCGTTGTAAGGTATAGACTCAGAGTCGGCTACCAAGGCCAAAAGAAGACTGGTGACCGAGGGCCTTTGCAGACCCGGCAGAGTCTTGTTCAAGCCCTGTTGACAACCCTTGCTATAGCGGGCCCTTTGATTCGTCTCCTGAGACATTCACTATGAATACCAATTTCACGGCCGCCACCAAGAAGACGCTCATCAAGTTGCACCACACATTATATACTGCACGAATCGCCTCTTCGATTGATGTGCGCAGTTGAATATGGCCCTATCCAATCTGGAAGCAGTCAAAGGAGGAGCTTGTAGGTTGTGCCTACTTTACTTTGGCACCTGACATCGCTATAGCTGCAAAGGATTACCTGATTAAATCCTGTCGAAAATAGATAGGAAATATGTTCTTCTATGTCTGCAGTTCGACTATCTGCATTCTTTACGGCCCAATTGAAGTGTATCAGTGAATCGTCAGTTTAGGAGGTACATGGGTAGAGTAGGTAGCTTATGGTAGTTCTTGTCCGTTTTCGGCCACAAAGCTATGCTTTTGCTGTGGTATTTCCACAAAGAACTATGACCAGGGACAACGCTTACATTTTGAGATGGGTCAGTCTCTCATACGCTAAAGAAGCGCCATGCCGAGTCTTCATCGCGGTGCAAAGTCGTATAGAAAGCCAGATTCTCCGAATACTCATCCATCGCCTCCCGAGCCCCTAGCACGCCATGGCTCATGAGGACTTTGAGAAGAATCCCCCAGCCGGTCAGCCGTTTTCGCCTTGGGCGAGACGGCAAGGCCTGACCGAGATGTCCCTTGACCCAGCTTTCCAAAGAGGGCCATGTTTCCACTCCGGTTTTGCCCCAGAACGTAAGTGACTAAGAAATTAGGAGGGCTCTGTGCTGGAGGATTCGACGGTGTAGGTTTCTGTTGCCAGAGATCCTGCCAGGCCTAGACTTCCACCAAATGAGTGTCTCACTAACTTTTGTTATAGAGTGAGCATGTTTGAAACTTCAGCCTCAGAATCACGCTCGTCATCTATAACCGATCCTTGTCGTGTTTTCTTATATGGTGCTTAACGGCCAACTAACAAATTCCTAATGCTAGTCCTCGAATTGATGCTCTATTTTACGCCGATGGCCCAGATGTCTATAACACAGGGATCTTCGCGGATAGTAATGAGATAGACAGGTTGTTTCTCTCTGACGAAGAGCGGATGGAAAATTTTACGGGCATGGAGTTCTGGAAATTTGGTCCCCTCAATCGATACGTGAAGTTCTCTGATCGAACCGGTTTCATCCCTGGAGGGCACAGAAAGCTCGCGCCTGCACACGGTGTTCAACAGATTGCCCAGCTGATTGCTGAAAGGGAGATGATAGTGCCGGATGAAAATAGTTGGTTTTCGTTCTTCAAGAAAGACCGATGGTACAATGGGGACTACAACGAACCGTTACTCAATTCCCAGCCGTGGAGTATAGATCATCCATTGGTAAAATTGAATCTAAGCATTGCACTGGAATTAGCAAATAGGATGTTGTCAGCACTCATACAGGAGCAGCACCCGTTGTGAGTAGACGGTCAACTTCTTGAATGAGAATTCTGCTAACAGGGATCCTTTAGTATAAATACCCTTCTCTTTGGTTACATTGGCTTCTGGGCCACAGTGTCTGACTGTGAGTAGTTGGGCTCTTAATTACTGTTGTCTCTTATCCCGATCAGAACGGCGAATTGAAATTCTAATCTGTTCTCACCTCTTGTATCTACTATTTGTAACTCTGAGCCTTTGTAGTGCTGAAACCGGGATCCGCCGATCACGACAAATACACATACCATATAGTATTGCTCTCCTATGCACGATATCAAGAAGATGAGAGCACCTGCGACCCAGCTTTAAAAGATTATATGGAGAAGGCTATGGCTCGTTCTCCCAATGAACATAAAGCAAGGCTCGAAACACTGCTGAGAACACAGAAATGGGGCTTTGAGGCAATGGAGGATCATACTGAAGCCATAACCTTTGATGCCCATGATTACATCATTACATTCAATTCTTTCCAACTAACGGCGCTGCTTGACCCGGAAATTACTTTAGCTGAGCGCTGTGTGAAATTAGTTCACATAGCGGTAACGGTAAGTTTGGCTTTAAATATACTCGTTAAGGAGTAAGAAGCTAATACTAAGAACAATAGATTTTACATGAATTATGTGAGTATTGTGTGGGCCTAAACACCCACCCCTCGTTTCTCTCTTTTCTTATTCTCTTAGCCTTATAATCTTTTTCTTGGGCTAGAGGTAGCTGGAACTATTTTGATTATCCATCTAATTGGATAAACATGACGCAATCTAATTATGAAGCGAATACGGATTTTTGACGTGTGTTATGTTATAGGCCACAGTGTTACGAGACGTAGGGTTGAGACGGACGTATCTAGAAGCCCTGGACAGAATTACGTTGAACCTGTGAGCCTAACATTTGAAACACCATTTTTACCGATTTCCGCTCGGCTTTAACATATTTTGACTCTTTCGTATAGTGGTTGGACTTTGGTAGCTCATCCGAGATTGGGAATGCATTCGAGCAGGCGGTCTTTGGTGGCGTGCAATGCACAGCAAGTAAGGTCTTTTCAATCCCCTCTGCCATATTCCTCACTGCAAATAATCATGTGCGCCATCTCTTGAGCAGATGTAACAGGTTCTACAAGACTAGAGCATTTGCTGAGACTGCTATAGATACGTCATGGCGCAACCGAGTTCCTCTAGCTATTCACACGCGGACCTGGCCCTCTCCTTGGGCAGACCTGGGATTTTCTGATAGTACAGACCGGTTGGTAAGAGGAAATTCAGATTTCGACAACGGCCGCGTTTACAGAAGAACCCTCTTGCCTGCTGAATATTCTTCCAAGTTGTTATCGGAGGAATTTTGGAAAAATCAAGCCATTCCCCGGAAAAGCGATAAGTTCTTCCATAGGAACCCAATCTTCGTTAGTAAAAGTATTAGAGGTCCAGAGCACTACAGGGGTATGCGCCGCAAATGGTCCGAAATACTGAAGCCTGTGGAAATTGATTCTGGCGTCGACGTCGACGCGCTGAGCCCCTCCGAACAGGACATGGTTTTCGAGTGGCGTCGTAACGAATACTGTAGGTTAAATCATGATGCATTTTCTATCAACTCTTCTTCAATTCTCGGGTTTCGGAGGGTTCTAACTCCCCTTATAACAGTATGGAATCGCTCACGTGAGAAGTGGTATGACTCGGAATTTGCAGTGGTAAGTAATTATCACTATGTGGTCTTCTAACTTGGGAGTGCTTCCTTGTGCTATTGAGACAAGACGAAGCTCATTTCGAAAATTACTATAAAGCATGCCTGCTGACACGAATTACTGCAGTGGAGTAGGACACCGGTCTGTTCAAGCATAATTATAGCCACATAGCCGATTGCATCACTAATATGTCCTGATTTAGTGGGCCAGACGAAGTGTACGACACCAAATCGCTTCTTTTAAATACGCATACCAGAAGAGGGACCTTGCCCTTTGCTCTATGACTGCGGGCCACCTTGCTCACGATTACATCCCTTATAATGATGCAACCACTCGGCAAAAATATCTAGACCTTGTGACACGGTCACCAGAAAAGACGATATTCCAGTAAGTGTACTATGATCATCTCTATATTAATATCTAGTTGTAATTAGTGAAAAAAGGAGGAAGAAGAAGAAGAAGAAGAAGAAATGCAAGCGCTAATCAGGAGACCTATAGTATGATTGGTGAGAAACCACGGCTACATCTTGCAGAATGTAGATAAATCCACCGTCTAACCACAATGTAGGCTTGCTCATGTTAGCAGCAATCCCCATTCGATACTTTACCAAAAAATTACAAGCGCGGGGCGATGCTATAACTGGCGTGTCGGTGTTAACTCCAAGCTCTGCGGCGGCAGGCCTACCCATTATCAGGAAAGATATTGAAACATGGAGACCGAAACGTGTGATAGAGGAAAGCTACTTTTACGACACAATAACTTCCCCAGGCGAGGAGTCGCCCGATCGATTCGGCCACCTGGGCTACCTGGATGTAGTGCGCTTGATTATACAGCATCTGGCTTTGAAAGGGATCCCGGTATCAACGCCATGGTTGAATGAAATTCTGCGCGTAGAAAAATCCCAGCGAGAGATCCGGAAGATTACAGATTCGATAGTTGCTCCTGGGTTTCACGCGTATGCAACCTGGAGCGGCAATTGGGATTTTGAACTACCACAGTATGACCCGATTGGTATGAGTTATTGGCCAGGACGACCGCATTTAGAGTGGATGAGCGTACCTTCTCGGTAATATTAAATGCTCTCGCTAGCTAAGTTCTATTTAAGGAATAATTAAGCGGTATGCTAAAGGACGAAGCTAGATCTGCAGTAGGTCCCACACTACGTGTACAGTATTCAGCTGTTGCCAGGCCCACCTTCAGCTGGCTACGACATCTGCACACTGTATACACCTGAAAACACACCTAAATCGAGGGTCGGAAGGTGTAAGGTTATCGTAGGTTGCTAGATAGCTTCTTTTTTTAGCTATATATTTTAAAAGTATAACCTTAATAAAATTACTAAGTTTTATATTTCCTTAACTTTAAAAATCTTTAAATAAATAACTTTATATATAAATTATATATAAATTAATTATAATTAAAATTATAGCTTCGTTTTTAAATTAACTACCTATTAAAAAATTTACTTCTATAATACCTTAATTTAAAATATCCTTAATATTATATTTTTATACTACTACTACTATTTTAAACTATATTAACTTAATTTTATTATTTATATTTAAAATTATAATAGCTTTAAAAGCGTTATTACTATTTAAAGTTATATTTATAAAGGGGTTATTATTATTATTATTACATTTTTAATATTTTTTAATTTAGGTTTATATTCTTTTAATTATTATTTATTTCTTTTATCTGTTTTATAATTATTTATATAGTTTTTAATTTAATTGTTCCTTTTTTAAAGATCTTAAATAGCTAAAGCTAAAATTTAATAATTATAAAGCTCTTTATTAATTTAAACATATAATTAATAACTTAAAAGCATTTTAAAGGGTATAAACTATTAAATAAAGTCTTTTAATATATAAAATAATAAGGGGATCCTATATATTATAATAGCTATTACAGGTAGGTTAAATTTTAAAGGTTAAGTATAATGTTATAAGTCTCTTTAATCTTATAATAGGTATTTAATAAAATTAAAGCTTAAAAAAGAAAAAAATCTCTTTTAAAGTATATATAGGAAAGGTATATAATATATATAAAATATATATATTTTAAGGGCTTTAAAATATTATAATATAATAACTATTCCTTTTTCTTTAATTAGGTTATCCTTAACTTAATGTATAATTAATTTATTAATTAAATATAAAATAAAAAGTTTAATTATATAAATATATAATATAAAGTATTATAATAAATATATTAATATAGTTTATTTATATAAAGCTTTATTATAATAAAGGTATATAAGTATTAAGCTTATATTTATATTATAAATTATATATATTATATATTACCTTTATAGTAAAATTTATATATATATTTTTATTAATTATTTATTAACTTTTTTTTTCTTTTCTTTTTTTTTCTTTAATTACTACTAATTTTAAAAATTAGTTTTAGCTAAAAACTATTATATTACTTCCGTTTTTACTTCGTTTCCCTTTCTTTTTTCATTATATTTATATTATTATTACTATCGTTTAAATTATACCTCTTAAGGGTAAAAAAGGAAAGGGTAAAGCCCTAACCCTAAAAAGTAACCATATTACCTATAGCGGTAAGGGTAAAGCGTTACTATTATTACCGCTATTTAAGTATAATAAAGATATAAATAAAAAGCGTACCAATAATAAAGCGCCTATATTGCTACTATTAATATTATTATTACCACCTGCTCCCCTAATATTATTAATACTACTATTAAATAGCAACGATAACGACGATAATAACGGAAAGGGCAGTTTAAGCTAAAATTATAACGGATCTACCAGCCCTCCACCTAATAATTATTCGAACTATAGGGATAACTTAGATATTAAAGGTAAAAACCTTTAAAAAAAATATAAATAATCTATAAGGATAAAAAATTAACGCTATAATAAATATATTAACCTTATAGCTATATTACCTATATTAATATATTATAGTTATATTAAATATATTAAGCATATATATTAGTTTAACCTTAATTTTCTATTTAAATTTAATTATTTATTTAATAAATCTAACTTTATTAATTATTATAAATATATTAAAATATATTAAATATATAAGCTTATTAATATTTTTATACTTATATTATATATAAATCGTTATTTATTTAAATTTAACTTCTATTTATAATAGCTTTTAAGATTATCCGCTTTATTAAATTCCTTAAATAAAATTAATAAATATTTATATTTAAAATAACTATTAATAACATATAAGTTATTAATAATAATAAAGTAGAACTTTAATTTAGCTTATTTAAATTTTATATTAATATTATAACTATTTAATACTACTTTATTAAATTATATTTATACCTTCTTTTAACTTATTAAAATTATTTTAATATAATTAATAATTAAATTAATAAAAAGGTATAAAGCTATTTTATACTTATTTTAAATTTATTATATTTATATTTAAATAAAAGCATTTATTTAATTAATTTTATATTATTATTAAACAATAATTTATTATTTATAATAACGCATCTCCCACTTAACGTGGCCACCCAATTAAGCTGGCCACCCCCCCAGCCTATACAAAAAACGTCGGTGCGCTAATCACGTGATAATTCAATAACTTTATAGGTATTGGTCGTATAAAATAATAAAATATACCATTAGATTCGTAATAAAAAGAGCTATTTAACGGTACCCTTCATTAGTTTATACGACTTATACTCGCAGAGTTATTAAGCAATACGCTAAAGTAAGCGCTAAATTAATACTTGCTTAACGCTCCTTTAGCGTACTGCTTAATATCTCGCTTAATAAATTTTGTAAAAAATAGTAAAAAATACCGCTGGATTCCTTATTAAATAACGGATCTAAAGGTACTAATTATTAAATCGTAGGACCAATACTGGTCAAGTTATTACAGATTGAAACATTAGAGTTTTATATAGGTTAAGGGGGTGGCCAGCTCAATTGGGTGGCCAGGTTAAGTGGGAGATGCGTTATAATTATACTTATTTTAATTAATATTATAAATAACTTTACTTTATATTTTTTTTATATATATTTTTAATTTAAATAAAATATAGCTTAATATTAAAGCTACTTTTAAATAATTTTTTTATATATATATTTATAAAATCTTAATTTAACTATATAATATATCTTTATTTTATTATTTATAATAAAAGTAAAGACTTTTATAATTAAATAATATAATAATGCTTAATAAAATAATATTTATAATTAAATAAAGCTTTATAATATTATTAATTTTAATAATTATTAAATTTAACCCTATTTTATATATAGCTTAATAATAAAGTATAGTAATTCTTTAACTTTAAAGGTAAAGGTTTAATTCCTTTTATATTAAAATAGTTAATTTTATTTTTTTTATAATTAATTTAAAATTTTTAAAATCCTATTAAGTTTACTTTATATTTTATATTAATAATATTAAATATAGTTTTAATTTATATTTAATTTATTATTTTTAATTTTCTTCTTTTATTTTTAACTTTAACGTTTTTTAAAATCTTTAATTACTTTTAACGTTAAAATATTAAATTATAATACCTATTAATTATATTTAAAAGGTTAACCTTTTTATTTAACCTTATAATATTAATTTCCATTATATATTATTTTACTTATTATATTTTTAACCTTTTATTCTTTTAAATTATCTTTAGAGTTTAATATAGGTAAACTATATTTATATTTAATAGTTTAAAGCTTAATTAATTAAATTAGGAAAATAGGGTAAAAATAAATATATTATAATAAGAAATTAATATAATATACTTATAAATTAACTTTATTTATAATCTTAAAAGGTTTTATATATTTAAATATTAACTTTTTATAATAAAACTTTATATTTATTATTATAATGTTTTATATATTATTTTAATATAATTTATTATTATTTTACTATTTTATTTTTAATTATTTTTAATTTATTAAGTTATTTTTATATAATTAAAATTCCCTTTAATATAAAGTTATCCTTAATAAATAATTTAAATTTAAAAATATAATTATATAAAGCTTTAAAAGGTAACTTTTTAATTATTAAATTAATTATTAAATTTATAGTAAAAAAAGCTTATAAAAAAAGTTAAAGCTAATTAATTTATTTTTTATTAATAAAATATTATAAATAACCTTTAATTATTTAGTTTATTTATTTTATTTAATTATTAATTTTAAAGTAAAATATAATTAAAAGGTATTATTTTATTTTAAAGTAATAATAAAGGTTAAATTAAAATTAGTTTATAAAAATAATACCTTTATTTAAAATTATATCTTATAAGCTATTATATAAGTATTTAATTTTATTATAAAAAAGGATAATTAATTTTATTAAAGTAATAATAATATTAATTAAAAACAGGTATATAAGTTTAATAAATCTATTAATAATAATTAATATAAAGTTAATTAATTTTCCTTTATAAAAGGTTTTAAGTAAACCTATAATAAAGTTTATAAAAAGTTCCTATATAGGTTAATTAAAAATTAGTAAAGTATTTAGTTTATTATATTTTTAATAATGTTTTACCTTTATTTTAAAGTAGATTATATAGGATTTTATATACTTTTAAATATTATTTTATATATTTTTTTAAAAGAATTTATAATATAGGAGTTTTAAGATATAAATTTAACTAAAGTAATTAATAATAGGTTAATTATAATATAATTTAATAAGTTAAAAATGGAAGGACTTTTTAAAGGGAATATAAACCCTTTTCTTATAGTAAATTAGGTTTTTTCTTATTAACCATTAAGGGTTTATAGCTTTTTTAGCTTTAAATTAATATAAAATTGCTTAATATTTAAGATCTTTCCGTTAAACCTTTAGGATTAAATTACTTAAATCTTTAAATAGCTTTAGGTTTTTATTTTTTTTTAATACTTATAATTATTTATATTTATTTATATATAATTACCTATATAAAAATGGTTTATTTAATAGGTATATATATAATATATAGTTTATTAATTAATACTTTAAGGTATAAATTAAGGACTTTAAATTGTTATATTATAATAATCTTCCTTTTTAATATAGGAAGGATATTTATATTAATAGGTAAAATAGTTATAAAATTAAAGCGGTATAAAGGTAAATTAGCCCTATTTTTTTTTATTTATTTTATATTTAATAATAAAGTTAAAAGGAGTTAAATATATATATTAATAAGCTTACCTTTTATTTAACTTTAAGGTTTTTATAAATATTTAAAGATTATTATAATTAATTAATATTTTAATTAATAGGTAGCTTTTTTAAAAGTAATGTTATTAATG